ATAATGTTGAAAAAAGTAAAAATGTCATCGAGCGTTGGAGTCAAAATCAAAATGCCACTGAACTTTCCACAGCTCTGCCGACTGTCAACGTAAATTTTCATATTCCACCGCAAAATATACGAGCAGCATCCTGCATGGAATTTAAGCATGACAAGGTTAATGAGTTGATTTATCGAGGCAGAAGCCAAAACGAAATAAAATCAAGAATCACAATGACGGACGTGATATTTTCACAGCCACGCAGGTCCAAGATACATGTCGTTTATATTACAGACAGAACTGAATGAGAAAATACCGATGATAGCAGGCTTTTGCCCGGGATTTGAAGCTGTTCGCCACGGATGGCGAACAGGTTATCCGGTCAGCCAATCACAAGACAGGATTCTCTTAGTGGCGGCGTAACCCCGGATTTGAGTCTGCTATCATGGTAGTAGGGGGTTACCATTCGAGCTGCCCCTAACCCTAAACCTAACCACTACCCCAGATTCTAGAGATATTGGATGGCTCGAATCATAGGCTCGAATGATAGCCCCTCTTTACGGCTATTATCCGTATGTCGTCAATAAAAGACGAGGATGTCTTAGAGACACAGGCGCACATCAAAATACGGTTTACGGTGCGGAATCCGTTGGATTAAAAAATGATGCAGAAAGGAAAGAATCGCAATCTTTGGCGAATTTCCTTGGTGGAAAGAAGCACAGCTTGAATGTCAAGAAGTCACTGGATATCTGGTGACTTTCGAGTATAAAGTCACTGTCTGGCAGTCTCTAAAGTTCACCAACTTTCACTGAAAGAAGATCCGGCAATATAGTGCCCAGTTACTGGTTTTCTTTCTTCTGTTTTTCAAAAATATATTTGACATTCTGTCTCCACCAAATCAAGACTCATCTTCCTTTGTTTTATTTACTTCATAAAACGTCTCCATCGGAAACAAGCATTCAAGCGCGAGGGGACTTTGTGTCTGAGGCAAAATCCACATTTGTGGATTGCGTATCTTCCAATTGGTAATATAACGATTCAATTTGCGGCTTGATACTGCAATCGGCGATGCACAAGCGCGGTGACATGGGAAATTTGTGCGAAAGTCGTAATTTGCCGATGTTCGACCGCGGCTGGATGGGCCTGCCCTTTGCTCAATTCCATGTTATCGCAAACGGCCGTAAATTGTCAAACGGGGAAACCGGTCGATATACATTATCACACAGCGAATACTTCCGTTCCCCAGCTGAATTGCTTCGTAAAATTTCGCGGAGTTCATTTTGAAGAATCTTGGATTCTTGAGCCAGGGCTTTATTCAGTCAGATGGTGATTGTAAATATACAGTAGATCAGTTATCATTGCTGATTGTTAGGCAGAAACTGTCAGTTGTCATGGCCTCATTTTCCGGATTAGTAGCGATAGAAATAAGTGGAAGAACTTGATATACCGGCTATCTGCACCTGTAAGTATTCAAGACCAAAGCGACGATATCGAACTGTCGGGCTGCTTGTGACAGGCACCTGCACAAAATCGGAAAGCCCAAATATCAATATTACCATTTTACTGTACCAACATTACTGCCGACCACGCGACACACTCCGGGACCAGAGGAAATAAGTTCCAACATATCCTTCCTTCCGGAACAATAGCGGAAGCACTCAAATGAAAATCTCAAATGTCACACAATGAATTTGCATGTTCCTACAGTTAAACTTTCGCGATAATGTTATTCTCATCAACCACAAAGCGACGATTTATTGCCTCCATTCTAAAATATTATGAGGCGATAGCCATCTGGCCAGGAAAATAGCGCGACACTGAGAAAGTCGCCGAATGTCGCCAAATGTCGCTAAATGTCGCCGAATGTCGCTGAATGTCCCCGAATGTCCCTGAATATCGCCGTATGTCGCCGAATGTCGCTGAAAGTCGCCAAATGTCGCCGAATGACGCTGAATGTCGCAGAATATCGGTGAATGTCGCCGAATATCGGCGAATATCGCTGATTGTCGCCGAATGTGGCCGAATGTCGCTGAATGTAGCTGAATGTCGCTGAATGTCGCCGGATGTCGCTGAATGTCGCCGAATGCTGCCACTTATTTTTAAAATTATTTTTGCATAGCTTCGAGACAAGTTTCAGCTTTTTTCTCCGAAAAATCTCATTTCCGACTTATTTTACAAAAAATTCATAACTCCATGATTCCTGCCTTATTCATTTTATTAACGAAACTTGACGTTTATTGAGTCTTTCTTTGAATCAGAGAAAGGGTCCAAATATATCGCCCAGTATTAATTAGGCTCAATAAACGTACCTGCCCCTTTGATGATGACGCGCGGCACCCTCGACGAGCACTCGCCGGGGGCGATTTACAGCGCCCCAGGCGCGTGCTACGAGGTGTATAAATATACTTAATTTTGAATAATATTCTGCCAGAATGATTCCGCCGTATAACTGTCGCAATAACGAGTTAATTGCGAAAGGAACAACCATTTTGACACGTTTCTGGCAAGCGCGAAATTTACGAACTGAGAAGATCTTTTTCAAATAATGCATAAAGATACCATAGTCAAAAACTGGTGTTACCAAAATTTTGTCGATTGAAGAAGATTCTCCAAGGGACTTCGAATTTCAAGAAGGGCTTGTAAAAACGGCGGTTGACCTTGAAGCTAGGCTGATCTTTCGAAAAGCGAAGGAACAAACTTGCATTCTGTATAAGAAAATAGGTGGATTAGCCAACCCGCGCTGTGATCCTGCGCTGGGAAGGCGGAAAAGCGACGGATTACCGGACGACCGTGCGACCTGCCCAAAAAGACCCTTCTCAATAAATGTTGTTTCAACTCCTTCCACAACAATATCTGAACATACACCTGAATACACCGACTAGCGCACACTTTCTTTTGGGCGGACCTCAACGCTAATCGCTTTACAAAACAAAATACAACTTAGTTTTCAAGTACTCGGCAAATACTAGTAATTACGCTGGGGTGGGAGTAGAACTACATATTCTCGCTTATGCTTATATACAATCTTACATAAAGTTTATATAAGTCTCTGACTAGGCGGAATGAAGTTTTTCTGCGCACATGGTCTCCGAAAGTTGAATAAACAACCCTGACTCTGTGTTTCCGATGCTGGAAGAGGAGGAGAAGAGAATAGAAACTCTTGATTCCGTCTATGGAATCGGAACGGTTTCAAAGTTATCTTTGTTTACTTTCACCTTTTAAAATGAAAATTTTTTAGAACACCATATTTTTGGTTCTTAATGCGTCCTGAGGTTAAATTTGTTTCATAAACTTGATAAGAGGAATTTTTGACCAAGAAAAATCAATATTTTTGCCAAAATTAGAGCAAATTTGTCATTTTTCGTCAAAAAGTCCAATTTCAAACGCGATTTTAAGGGTGTTAGAGTCAAGATAGACCCCCAAAATATGAAGCCTTAAAAATCGTTTTTTGACCTGTAGAATCCATTTCCGAGGTCAAAATTTTGAAATTCCGAAATTTAATTTTTCGAAAAACGCTGACGAAGGGTCCTTAAATTTTTACCTTATTTGGTTGATTTACAAAGGTGTACAAACAGCGAGTACGCGAAACATCCTGGATGACGCGACACATAGTCGATCATTGCTTTTTGAAATATTAACAAGAATCTAAATTGGAGGGTATGAAATTGCAATTTGCTCAGCATAATAGCCTAACGAGGATATTTGTCTTGCTCCGGCAGCCTGCGAGGGTCATAAATTTGACGCCAAGTAGGTTCCATTATTCGATAATAGGTAAATATTGAGGGTAATCACGCGATACATTATTTAACAGCAAATGCTTTTTCGCGTGTTCGGTTTGATTTACGGCGGAAATCCGAAAGGTTGAACGAGTAAATTGACAGAATTGTAAAACATAGAAAAATAGGGAATTCATTAAGGGGGTAGATATCAAGAATTGGATTTTCTTTCAGTCTTTTTTTCCTAATTTTCAACATAGTGACACCCATATTTTTTCTGCTCAAGATCCATGTCAGGCAATTATCTTTTTCCTATCGAAGCCGAAAAATTAGATTTCTTGAGAAAAATATGGGTGTCACTATGTTAAATTTGGGAGAAAAACCTGCAGCCAAATGGCGATTCTTGATATCTACCACCTTAAGTCCCGCTATTTTTCATAAACACCAGTCGTATTAGAGCAAAGTTTGAAATATTTAATTCACGCATTTAGAATTGATACAGCCTGCTGTGTATCAGCTTTTGTGCCCAAATCCGCGGCGTGTCGGTGACCCGCCCGGAGTCGCTCACAATAGAGCCGCGAGCACTTCAAAAGATATATTTTCGTATATCACTCTTTGATCTGGAACATGCTAATCACGTGTTAATATTTAACTTCTTTATTCTTATTCAGTATTGTAACAGCGGCGGGACACTGGCCAGCGTTTCGGCGCCGGCTCAAGAATCTGAAACTCAAAATAAGCTTCCGCTAAATTTATCCTTCCGGAGGTGGAATGATTAGTCCTCACAAAATGGAAGTTGCGTTGGAAATTAAAATTGCGCACGAAAAGTTTTGTTATCGAAAACAAGCTTTTTTCCATTAGATTTCATAAAAACCCTGGAGAAAAACTCTCTTGGAGAGTGTGTCCAAAAAGCAAACAGTATTTTGATAAACTGTATTTTCAAAAAAGCGCGCGGTTATGATCAAAGGGCTTTTAATTGACCCTAACCTTCTTTGCCTTTGATACATTCTACTGTAGCGTCCTGCTGGGTGTCATCCTTCTACTTGTCAAGCTTATTGGTACCTGTTTTCACTACCTCTCTCTCTCTCACGCCTGGAGCCATGTTAGTACCAGCCTTGAGTTATCAGCCTTGATCTGTGTTTAAAATTGTATTCCTGCGGAAGTGAAGACATGAAATGCTAAACAAGAGACGATAGTAAGTGTTGTTGATCCAAACATGTCTATTTGTACAAAAAGGGGATGAACGATAAGCAGAATATGAAAAGAATAGAAGATTTTCTCTTTCTTTGAAGATCGCGTGTGAAATTAGCTCGAAGAATCGTGGGTAGCGGTCGTCATTGCTCTCGACGCAGAGTACATCATTTCGTTCAGATGGCGAATGCGCTGCATTTGAGATATTTGCGAGTGAAGAAGTTGCTGTCTGAGGAGATTTTCGTAGACAGACGCTGTTGGGAGGGGGTTTGGCTGGAGATTGCCGAAGCTCGTCAATGCTGCGCTGGCGGCCGTGGAGAATGCACCTGCTCCGGTGAGAGCAGTTGTGGCGCCAAGCAGAGCGTTGTTTTTGTCCGCTGTCAGGCTGGGCAAGGGAGATGGAACTGAGCTAGGAGAAGTGTTGATTCCCTCCGTGCTGATGGCAGGCGGTGATGAGGAGGAAATTACTCGTCTAGGGCTCGACTCGGAAGTCGGAGCTTTGAGGATGGAATCGATGGAGAAGGAAGCTGGCTTTGTACAGGAGTTAGGCGAAGATGTGCCGCTCAGATCAACGGGCTGTTTGAGCGCAGGCTCTGGAGATACTGGAGCTGATGGCATCGGAATTATTGGCGGCTGAAATATCAAATAAGTAAATTTTGAAAAAGCTATGAAATTAGATGGAAGACCTTGAAATTGAGATTTCTACGGAACTTACCCGAACAGTTAGAGCTGGATTAAACGGAGCCCTCGCAAATGGAGGAATTAATCCAAGTCCAAGCCCAGGCGGAATTCCAGGAAAACCAGTAGACGCTACCGCCTGATGTCTGTTGTAATTCATCCAGCTGGCCAAATGGTCGTTGTATCCTCCAACTAGACACGGAATTAACAAATCTGTTGATAAAAGTGTTTTCTTACCGTTATACGGGAGAGTTGTTGGCTTTGGGCGCTTGAATCGCTTTCTTCTGCGGAGAAAACTTCCATTATCAAACATGGACTCTGCTGCTGGGTCGATTGTCCAGTAGTTTCCTTTTCCAGGATTCCCAGGCTCTCTTGGTACTTTGATGAAGCAGTCATTTAGAGACAAGTTGTGTCTAAAATTGGAAATAAAAGGTCAATCAAAATTTCTAATGCTACCTAATCGAGTTCTGCCAGGCTGGAAAACGATCTTTGTAGTAAGGAAATTTAGCAATTATGTAATCGCAGATTTCGCTTAGCGTGAGTTTCTTCGTTGGTGAGTTCAAAACCGCCATTGTTATTAACGCTAAAAATGGGTTGAATTCTCATTTTTAACTTTTTAAACTTACCAATATACGAATACGGCGGCTTGACGAGTCTATCTTCGCCGGATTTCGAATCCTCTGACAATCTTGATTCCTCCATAATGACCATTCGTGACCTCTGTGAATATTGCCGTTGGCTACAGCCACTTTTTAATTGCGCCTCTGACCAAGAGCCAGAGCGCCTTTACTTGGAGCGCCACCTGGAAAAAACACGCCCGAAGACAAGGCATTTTTCGACAATTATTTTAGCAAATGGTGGCGCTTCATATTCTTAAATAAGCGCACAAGAGCATTTGCAGCTCGCCCATTTCACGGCTAATTTGATATTAATTCGTGTATTACTATGCTTGCTGATGAAAATTATGGGCTAAAGACACGATAAATCAAACAAAGATCATTTTAGGTTTTCTATAAAAATATTCTATTTACAATGTATAAAAATTAAAAATAATAAAAATAATAATATGTACAGGAATCAGACAAGACTGTATGTGGTTACATGGGAGGGTTACTCAAGTTGTTCATTGTTTCAGCTCGGTTCATTGCGTCCAGCACTGTCTGCTGCGCGTTCATCGGCTCGTTCTTGTCGTCCATGAGCATTTGCGCCAGGTTATCGAAGAGCTCTTGGTCCATTTCCATCATTGTTTTTAGAACATTGCAGACCTTCAAAATTCGTTAGAATCAACTTGTAGTGCTTTTTACTTACAAGCATGACGATGGTTGCACTCCAGTGTGTCTTTGCCGCTTCATACAGTGACATAAAAACAATTGGCATCACCATTCGAATGTTTTCCTCGATTAAGCTTACGACGTATTCGTTGTTCCAGTAGTAAAGAGCGCGCTCCGCGACCTAAATATGGTGAAAATCGGGGCGGTCATAAGTTGACATATATGAATTCGGAAATGTGAATACGAACCTGGAAATGCTGACTCTTCATACACAGAGCTAATCTTTGGAAAAGAGGCTCGCAGATGTTAAGAAACTCATGTGGCTCACAAACGTCAAGGATCTCTTCGATTTCCGAAAGGAACATTATTTCTAAATATGAATGGATTATGAATAGATAATATAGAATTAGTCTATATAATAGGCTCAGAAGGATCCGGATCGTTACCTTTCCAAGCCGGTTTCCACCAAATAAAGACGCTTACCTTTGCTAGTATTTGTGATGGGCCAAACTCTGAGCATTGATCCGACGACGAGCATTGTCGATGCAGATTCTTTCTCGACAAATTGAACGATACAATACGACAAATGAGGTTGAAATGAAGTATACCGAGGCGATTTGTGTAATGGGATCAAAACCTGAAAATTCTACTGAAATCAAGGAGGAGAACAGGGACTTACCTTCGACAAAAATAATTTATGCTCAGCTTTGATCGGCACTGCGAAGCCGTTAATGATCGATCCGAGGATTTCCAGTAACTCGCCAACGCCGTTGAACGAATCGTCTTCGTACGCGAATTCGAGGAAAATATTGTTGATGGATTTCCTGATGAAGCCTCGAAGCCCCAAAAATTTACCTAGCAAAATGAGAATCAATCAATTTGAGTTACTAACAGTAAACGTACCATAAATTCGATGAAGAACAGTCTTAACAATTTCTCGCTCGCGTTCATCATGTGAATTCAGCAAGCCAAGGAGCTAGAATCATTCTTAGTCATGTTACCTTATTCATGAATTACCTGTGTGATAAACGAGGCGTCTACGTATTTCTTCATCGTGTTTGGATGGAATGCTTGGCTTTCAAGGAAATTCACAAACAAGTCGTGGACGAGGCTAACATGTTCATACTGTGGATCCTTAAATTCATATAGCAACACGAAAGATGGAAAGAAGACTTACGTGGAAAGTATCGTCATCATTTTCGCCCCCGACTCCAGGAACAGGCCTCGGCAATGGACGAAAGACATTGATTTCTATCATCGTCATCATATTCTTGATAACAGGCTCGCGCAATAGCTGGGGAATCGTTTGAACAGCCTAAAGTTCAAATTAAAAAATGGGACATTTAGTGGATTGCTTACCTCTCGTAACTCATGAAGCGTCTCTGTTTTATTCTTTTTTTGCCTTTCTTCCTCCATGTTAACGTACCCATCGAATGAGTAAATCTTCGAGCATATTTCGAGCTTGCGAAGCATCAAGTCAGCTTGATCTGATTCTTTTGCATCTCTAAAAAATCCTGAGTGACTGAAGCTCGTCTTAGTCACTTACCTGAGTAGAGGGAGTCTTCCACCAGGGAGTCTTGGGCCAGCTGGTCCAGGTGCCTTTTTACTTCCTCTTGGAGCTCCCCTACTCTTCCGCATTTCGGTGTATGCGCTTCTGCTGCACTTTACCTGCGCACTTTCAAACTGAGCGACACTGATGTTTTCATTTTTCGCGGTCTTCTGCGAAAAACATGTTCTAGAGAAAATACCCCATTTCCTGGAATTTATCATAATAATCCCTACTTTTGCCAGATCGTGATAATTCCATCAAATCAATCAAAGAAGAATTGTGCCATTTTTTTTCAAAAAATAACATTTTATTTTATAAAAAAGTTGCAGTACAATGAAGTGTTTATTCATCAAGAAGGGTGAAGCTGTGCTGACTGTACGATCCAGCATGAATTCCTTTGATGGTAAAATCTTCCTCCTCCTCTTCGCTGCTGCTGCTCAGCAAGTCGATCGTGTCGATAATAACTTGCTTTTTCGCTAGCATTTCGATAATATCTCACTTTCAACCCTCCTACTTACGTTTTATCGGCACACCAGGCTCAGTTTTAATCGTCCGTTTTCTTGGTCCATTATTTTTACGAACGTATTTTCTTTTCGGTTTTGTTGCTGGCGTCTCGGATATTTTAACCGGTTCTTGAACACCTTTTGGTTGCGTTCTTTTAACTTTTGACTGCGTGAGATTTAAAGATGGCTTTAAAACATTTGGACGAAGAGGATCTTTTTTTCAAGCTGAATATTTTATTGAATGATTCTGTGGTTTTATACTTATCATTCATATAAATGGAAATTTATATAGAAATGTTCATGAGTGACTTTTGTGGAAACTATAAGCTTTATTCTTGCCAGATGATGGTCTACGCTCCACATTTGCTAGAGATTCCTTTCTAGGAGCATGTGTAGACATTTCCATTTGAAGAGTTTTGACATCAGCAGATGAAGACGTTGAATAAACAGTTGACATACTTTCTGACTCATTTTCTGAGCGTGCTTGAGTAAAATCGAATGGATTCTCTTGCGAGAAAGTTGTTGAGCATCGAAGGGGAGTTTGAGAAGGGATCTCGCTGGTGAAGGTAAAGTTGAGGGAGGACTCGTCCTCAGCGCGCTCTGTTTTTGTCTTGACGCCGGCTAAGAAACTAGATGGAAATTGAAATCTTTATTTTAAGAAATTCAAAAAGCCGGCTCCTGCGAAAGAAGCTCACTCAGCGGCCGGTCGTCTTCATCATGTCTCGTCTCGGTGAATGAATCGCTCGAATGGAAAGAACTCGGTTTTGTAGCGGAATTTGCCCACGGTGGTCGGAAAACTTTCTTAGATGGCACTTTGAAGACTGGCCTACGACATCCTGTCGATTCCGGTTCAGTTTTTATCATAGATGAAGTAGGAGTTGAAACTGGTTGTCTAAAAGTAGTGCTAGAAGCACTGAATGTTGGTCGACTTGGTACTGCAGTTTGAGGTCTTTGAACAGGCACATTTGGTTCTATAAACATTTCTCTTGTTGAAGCGAAAATAAAGCCTACCTGTTTTGAGTTCAATCTTGACAATGGGCTCAGGAGTGTCGACTCTTTCGTTGAAAATGACATCGTATCCTCCGACGTTTATTTCAAGATCTTCCCTTGGAATAAGATCCTTTGGCGTGAAAAATGTGTAGATCTTTTTGCACTGAAGTGTGTACAATGCTGCTCGATTTCCTTCCGCAGGAACTGAAAAATTGATGATCATGATGTCTCAAGGGACTTTTCTTACAGTTAACATATCCATCTGACCAGCGTTTCACTTGTATTTTTTGAGTTTGGTGCGTGTAGACGACTTCCCACGTACTCATCGTTGATTCCTTTTTAAAAACCATAAAGTGAAAAAATACATAGATTCAAATGTATTCTAGAACTATCTCATAGATATGGCAAAGCATGTAAATCTGCCGGAAAATTAAGTTCTTCTTTGTTAATTACAAGCAAAAATTCAAAACGCTGCAATAAAGATTCATTATTGAAAAGCTCAATGATTTATTTCTACATCTACGACATGTCAGGATTTCAGATAAAGATTTTACTCTGCTTCTTAGATCATCGGATTCGTTCCAATGCGGACATTTCATGGAACGCAGTGAAATGTTTCGCGTTTCGTCTTGCAAATCTGAACTTTCGCCTCGTTACACCGCCTTTGATTTTCTTGAGCTCGTCGATGTAGTTTACGCAGGAATGAGTTGGAATCGAGAAAATGCTGTCATCAGTTATTGGAAAATCCTCGGCAGAGTCGTTTTCGCACGTATGTCTGTTTAGTGTTCAGTGCGAGTTTTATATAAATTCACAAAAACGTGACGACTGAACCGATCCTAAACCAGTAGAATAGCGGTGGAACTTTCGTTATGGGATCTTTAGTTACTCTGACTCTCAGATGCTCCTTGATCCTAGAAATTCAAGAATAAATTAAATAATTAAAAAAAAGAAAAGCAAAAAAAAAAACCTTCTTTGAAAAAATTCTTGGAATTTCGAATTCCCTGGTTTAGGGCAACCAAAAGTGACAACTCGAAAATTTTGTCCCTCAAACTTTGTCGGCAAGGAAGCGCCAAACATTGCAGAAACAGCGCCACCAAGAGAGTGACCGGTTATGATTATTTCATCCACCGAATTGTCCTTCAAGATTATTTGAAGAATTGACTCGACTCTGACTTTTAGTGCTTTGAATTGAGCGTAAAATCCGCTATGAACTTTTGCGTCCGTGTCTTCAAAATTCGTCTGGAAGACTTTCAGATCTTGAGCAACGTCGCCAAGTTCATAAGTTCCAGCGACTCCGATAACGATGAAAGTTTTTGGTTTCTGATTCGATCCAAGGTCGCGGATGTCTTTCTCTGTGGCGAGGAAAATTATTGCGTCTGCACTTGTGTCATCGTCCCGAATATGCTGAAATTTAGTAAATTATCAAACAATAAAAGCCTTCAACCTTAAATTTTATGTTTTCGAATCTTCGAAAAAGCATTTTTTGCTCGTTTCTAATGAAACTATCGTTGTGCGGTCGATGGCCAAGTTTTTCTTGTTCAACCTCTTTTTGTAATTGCTTCAAACTTTCTACAGACTCGTAACTACACGAAGCGAATCTTGCAGACATTAGAATCTTATTGATTCTATCGATGGATAGCTGTTCATAATTTTCTTCTCCCATTTTTTCTAGCAGCGGTCTCTCTCTTTATTTGAGCTATTCACGTAATCATGGTCGGCTAAATATGAAAGGCTATTTGCTCAAGGAAAAGGGAAAGAAAACGGTTTGAAAGGAAGATGTTGTCCAAAGTCATGAATATAATAGTCGGTAAGTACGGTCAAATTAAAGACAAAGAACAAAGCCTCAGAGGATAAATTTAAATGAAACAAAACATGTTTGAAAAATACTCAATAAGGATATTCTTGTATTTTTTATTAACGAAGCGAACAGACGTCAAACATACTTTTAAGTCAATCAATCAGTCATAAGAGACACTATTTAGGCTCAAGTTCCTGTTATTAGTTTCTGCGGATTTTGCGTTTGAGAAATATCGAAAAACAAAATTAAAGATGATTTTTATTCAATGCGTCAATGGCATTTTTCTACAACAACGACGGGTCAGGATTACAGATTAATATACAGATCAGTGTTTGAAAAAATGGCCAAAACTCTCGTGAGCGAGTGAGCGCGAGCAGAGGCCACCAGATTTTTAACATGAGTGAGCGAGCGCGAGTAGACCCTTTTGATTTTTTTTCGTGAGCAAGCTAGCGCGAGCGCAGCTACCGTAATTTTTCTATGAGTGAGCGAGCATGAGCGCTCACTCGCTCGCTCGCGCTCACTCACAGCTTTTAAACAACGTTTTGATTGAGTGTTTTTCTTAAAAATTCTTGTACTTTTATATTTGAATGACTTTTAACTATAATTAGTCAATAATGACTACTCTAACGTGGCTGAAAGATAATATCCAGATAAATTTATAACTATTTAATGACTCTGTGTGATGAGTTGAGCGAGCGCGAGTGAGCGCAAGCAGGGACCTTTGAATTTTATGGTGAGTGAGCGAGTGCGAGCATAGGGTTCTCGAAATCACATGAGTGAGTGAGCATGAGCGCTAGCTCACTCGCTCGCGCTCGCTCGTGGCTCGCGCTCACCATTTTTTCAAACAATGATACAGATTAATAGGATGTAGGGAAATGTTAGGGGTTTTGTCTTGCATTTGTGAACTTTCGCTTCGTTTTGCTGGAATCTTCGTAACAAGATCGTTTTCTGCCCTTACTCTCAGATGTTTCTGAAACTTCTTGAGTTGGAGTAAGAGTAATTGAATAGGCTTGAGGCAGGAGATACCATCTTTCTTTTTTCATATTGAAATTCTCGTTGACTAAAGCGAGAAACTCGTTGTTCTCTCCGTAATAAACGAAATCTTTGTAGCAATTGTAGCATTCCTTCATCATTTCGTCAGAAGCGTAGAACTCGCGAAAAAGAGGAATTCTGATTTGAGAGCCGGAAAGGTCGATGAGCGTGTTTTGGAGAATGAATTCGGAGTTTTCGATTCGATCGAGAACCATTTGGTGGAAAAATATTGAGCCGTCGGGATTAAGGTAGGCGCCGGTGACGGTTAAGGGGCGGGAGAATGAAAAGTTGGGATGTAGGAGGACTAAAAAGATTAGTGGACATTTCAAGAAAAGTAGACATTTCAAGATAACGGACATTTCAAGAAAGTGGTCATTTCAAGAAACTATTGAAATGTCCGCTTTCCTTGAAATGTCCGTTGCTCTTGAAATGTCTGCTTTACTTGAAATGTCTATTTCGATTGAAATGTCTCTTTTTCTTGAAATGTCCCCATTTGATTTCATCAATTTTATTGTTGCGGTGATGCAAAATGAAAACTGCTTTCCCCCCACTCAGATCAAAAATTTTAAAATTTTGAAAAAAAATATTTTCCATTAAATATTTCAAATTTGCTTTTTGATGATTCAAAACCTTCATTGCAAGTAAGGCAGGCATAGAATCCGTCAAAAAACTTTCTCTCAGATTCAAAGTAAAGTTAATTTTGATTGAGGATGTGTGTGAAAAGGTAGTAGACAAAAATGCCGAAAAGGTCGATGATTATTTTCTGATTTCCTTTTCGGCACCTTGCCGAAAAGTATTTCCATTTTCAAGCCTTTTTCAGGAAAGAAAGGGAATCATTATCTAACCTTACGACCACAAACGGGAATTACCCCCACCGACCACAATGTGTCATATATGACACATCCCCTTTACTGCCCTCTGGAGGCTAGTTTATAGGTCAAACCCGAGCATCTGGGCTCGGCAACCTGACCTGAGAAAAACCCTGAGTCAGGCCCCTGAGTACTGAGTACACAGGCCCTGACCTGTGTGCCTGAGTAAAATCGAGACTCGAGAAAAAACCCTGAGCCTGACCCTGACCTGAGTTTAAGGACAGGCCTAAGTTGCTCACACAGGGCCTGAGTTACTGTATAAAAGTACTAAAAATGCTCAATTTACAACGCCAGGGGGTCAAATTACACTGATTTTCCATCATCAGGGCGATTTTCTGATAACAGAATTGTCAGATTGAAAGCGATCTTCGCTATCTCAACTCGATCTCCGGGAAATTGCGACTAAAAGTGCAGAAAATTAGTGTATTTTGAAAGTGAACCCAATATTATGAAATTTTAACACTTTACAATAGCTGCATATGATACATTTTTGGAAAGCTTACATTCAGCACATTCATTTAGGATACGGCTGAGGGCGTCTGGGCTATGCCCGGAAAGCAATTTATAGGAATGAATAGTCAAATATAGGTACCTTGGTTAGCTAACCCTTGGTTTATTGAAAAAAATTCCTAAGAAAAAGTTATCAAATAAAAAAAAGCTTCTGTAAATTTTAAGATTAGGGTCTAAGAAACCTAAAAAGAGTAAGAGTTGATAAGACCATTATGCAAACTTTGGAGTTTTGGAGCCCTGAAGATGGGCTATTTTCGCGATTTTAGCCGAGATGTCAACTTTGAAGCCGCCGGAAGTAGATTTTTCCTTGGGATTACGGAAAAAGCTTCTGTAATTCAGGAGATCTAAGATAGATCTCTATTAAAAGCTATTATGGGGTACTCTGGCATTCACAAGTCCAGAGTTTATGAGGCTTGCTTTGGGGAAAATCGACCACCCTAGCCTGTGAATTTGGTCGAAAAAAATCCAGTGTTTACCCTGAGTCAGGCCCCTGACTCTAACCTGAGTACCTGAGTCTGAGCAGGCCTGTTTTCCTGAGTACCTGACTGAGTGAAAAACCCTGACCTGAGTTCCTGAGTGAATTTCGAGAAATAATTTTCGAACCCTTACCCTGAGCCTGACTCTGTACTCAGGTTGCCGAGCCCAGCCGAGCATCATCCAGAACCTGAACCAAGATGCCGAAATAAAAATCATTTTTGTATGAATGCAAAGTGCCGAAATGGAAATCAAAATTTGGGGTAAACTTTTCGGCAAGCTTATTCATTCAAATTTATATGAAACGCTCTTTCTAGATAAAAAATTATCAACCCTAACCCTAACCAGAGTTGCAAATTTGTCAAAAATTTCTCGAAGCTGAGATAGCGGAGCCGACCTGAACATTTAGCTAAGCGGAGCTGAGCAGATCAAAAAATTTTTCTCCGTAGCTGAGCGTAGCGGAGCTGGGCAAAATTTTCTTCGCCGTAGCTGAGCGTTTCGGAGCTTACCAATTTTTTTTCCACCGTAGCTGAGCGAAACTAGCTGGCCAAATGTCTTCCAGCCGTAGCTGAGCGTAGCGGAGCTGGACAAAATTTTCATCGCCGTAGCTGAGCAAAGCGGAGCTGACCAAATAATTTTTTCCAGTAGCTAAGCTAAGCTAAGCCTCAGCTCCGCTTCGCAAATTTGCAACTCTGACCCTAACCCTTAACCTGAACCTAATATTTCAAGAAGACCTAAATTTATGTTCCGACCTTGGTTGGTGCCCACCTTCGACGGTGGGCTGATTTCTACGGTCCCTAAGACTCAGTTATTACCGTAGAAAAGAATGCATTAGTAGCAATTGAGGGAAAACTGTAGAAAAAGATGCGCATCTGGAAGATTCAACCATAATATGGTGCTTCTAGCTGGTACCGCAGAAAATAAACTCGACAAAAATTTTTGATCGTTTTAGGACCAGTTGACTGAATGTTTTTCCCTTAATTGTTTAAATCTTTTAGTGCAAATTTAGGGAATATCATCCCATCATTGCTACTTTATATTTAAGGAAACATCAGAGATCATGAATATATCAATTGCTTGAATCTTTATGTTTTTCAAAAATTTTAATTTTTGTTCTGAGTAGGGGGTCAGATATTATTAGTTTGAGTATGTGCAACAATTAAAATTAGAAAAAATAAAAAGTACATTTCAAGAAAAAGGGCCATTTCAATCTAAAAAGACATTTCAAGAAAAGAGGACATTTCAATCAAAACAGACATTTCAAGAAAGTGGACATTTCAAGAATTATATTTTTTGCTTGAAATGTCTCTTTTTCTTGAAATGTCCGCTTTCTTGAAATGTCCCTTTTCCTTGAAATGCCCACTAATCGACTAAAAAATGTTAAATGCAGAATTTGGCTATTTTAAAAACCCTTTTCAAAATCGAAGTTCGCTTCTATGAAGGTGCCATATCTGATAATATCCCATCCACTTTCATTCAAATAAGTTCTGAATTTCATTCTTCTGAGAAGCAATTCAATTTTGTTTGTTTGAAATTCTTGTTCTTCTTTTTTAGGGTTAAGATTGAAGCCAGCCAAACTGCGTGGACAGACTATCATTGTTAATTGAATGAAGATCTTTTCGAGAGAAAAATAATATTTCATTTTCCAATCATCAACTTTCCAAACATTTTTGATTGCCCATCTCTAGGCCTCGGACGTAAAAATCCATCACCATCATCGGAGCATCGTATGGGATTGAGAATAGGCTCATTCGAAAGCTCTTGGAGAGGGCTTTCTTATGAGCAAATGAAAAAATTGGACCCTCTCTCCCAGTTTTGGGTAATCTGCCGTTAAAGATAAAGTCGAAAAACATTTTTACGAAATAACTTGAAACAGGGAGACAGGGTCCAATTTTTTTATTTGCCGTCAAGAAAGTTCTCTTTAAGAGCTTTCGAATGAGCCTACTCTCGTCCTCATACGAAGCTCCGATGGTGAAAATCGATATTTTTACGTCCGAGGCCTACCCATCTCAAAAGAACGGAAACAGAAATGGGAACACAAAGATCGCTTTCTTTTTGATTTAAAACATTTTTTGTCACATTTTTGAAGTCGAAATTAATCTGTCTTGTCAGTTTTTGCTTGAGATTTGCCATTGCCGAAGATTTTGTCAAATTTGGATCGTCCAGGCAAAAGTCAGGAGCCACGTTTTTAAGAGAAATTATTTTTGACAAGTTTTCAATTTTTTCGGATAAGGGAGGGTAGATTGGGAGCCACTCAGCATGACATTCCTTGAAATATTTTTTCATCAGAAAAAAGAAGCTCTTACCTTTAGTTCTTCTTTAATTTTCTCTCTTTCGTCTTCTTCGATCGGTTTGAAAAGAAGGCTCCACGCTGTTTCCCAATCACAAAGAATCAAAACGTGGAGTGGTGATCCTAATCCGTTTCCAACTTCTCCACAAACTTGCAAACTGTTTGAGAATGCAGCAGATCCAGCATCTTAGAAAAGATAGACGAGGTAATAATTATCAAAAAACTTCAATTCAAAACTTACATAAATATCTAAAATTTCTATATTTGCTCCCTTTCCTCGTGAAGCCCATTCTTCGGTAGCTCTTCCTTCCAGTTTTTTCATAAATTGTCCCGAAATCGATCCATTTACATTCTTTATTTTTTAATAAAATGTTTTCAGGCTTCTGATCTTGATGCAAAATTCCAATGCTCCGCAAATACTCTTCTCCCTCTTTCACTCCAATCGCAATTTTCTTTCTCTCTTCTAAATTCAAATCTTCCTTTTTCAGTCTGTTTCTCAAATCGGAGTCACATTTTTCCATAATCGTTATCCATCCAAGGCAGTCCTCTCTTTTTTCGTCTTTGCTCGAGAAAATTTCGATGTTGCCGAAGTTTTTGATGACGTTTGGATGAAAAGGGATAACTTGAGCGTCGCCTTTTTTGTCGTTTTCAGCGATCTCGTAATCTTGAATTTAAAAATCAAAATTCATAATGACTTACAATTTGTTGAAGTAAGAATCTTACTAGGTAATACCTTTCGAAAGATGAATCTCAAAGTCCAACGTCTCTTTCTTCGCAAAAAGCGCCGAGTCAAAAGCCTGAACTCGAACAGCAACTTCCAATTCATGGAATTTCTCTTCGAAAACAATCGCTTCTCCCCCAGAAGAAATAACTTTTTGCCCAAGACATTGATCGAGAATCCATTCACCAGTTTCTTCTTTCAGTTCTGACCGCTTAATCTTCCTTCCTTCGAGTACCGGATTTTCGTCGAGGATCATTTTTTGAAATGAAGTTATCGCCCATTTTTCTGATGTGTATCCTTCTCCATTTTTAAAAATAACCGCCTCCCAGCCACCGTTATAATCATATATAAAATCTCTTCTCTCGATCGACAAAATCAGCCTATCTAAATCATCCCTGCTCGTCGTTCTTTTCAATTTCTTTTTAAAATCTTCCAGCCAATTTTCAACGGCTTCTCTTGTCAATTCTTTTGGATGCGAAGAAACTTTCATTTTTCAAATATAATGTTGAATGTCCAAGAAGTGAGAGCCTTGAAAATTTCTGGACTAGAATTATTTGGTAGTAAGTTTCTGCAAGAAATATTAACTCATTGGGCGAGTCTCAGTACACAATCTGCAATTTTCGTTTGCTCTATTACAACATCAAACTAGCGTAGAAATTCCCCATCATACTTGAGGCTTTCTGTCTGGAATTATATTTTCCTGAAAACTTTTTTAAAAAATAGTCATGTTTATTTAGAATTTCAATATGTCTGCGCGCTTGAAGAAAGCTGTTGTCATCTTTGACTCAATATTCGGGTCAGACAGGGAGATCTAGTTCAAGGTCATCATTAACAAATCGTAATAGTCGGTTAATGCAGTCAAAGGCTAAGTATATGAACAACTGATAACTTATCAGTGATCAGTCTATTTACAATATCCCTCCGGAGCAAAAAAAGTAACGCATCGCCCGCGGCCGAGCCAGGTGTTCTATTTTGAATTCTAAATCTCCATCGACCGCCAACAACACTCGTAGGCTACCATTAAGCTCTTAAAAGATAGAGATTCAAGGTGAAGAACTTTCTCAGAACTGACCGAAGGTCTAAGCTTTAACCATTCGACATGGACGCAGAAACCAGGTACTAAATACGACTAAAGAACCCTTTTAAAATGAGTTCGAACTTCGAAGAGACTTTGATGCATTTATTTTAACTGTTGTTTTCTCAATTGCGAATTTGTTTAATTGCTCCAGTGAGTGAGTCACCTTTTTGTAAACGAAAGGGCTCTTAAAAATTCACCGTCGTTTGAGCGCTCTGCTCCAAAGAATAATAGAGAGCTGCCTCCTTATGACAAAAGGCATTTACCGACTAAAACAACCTGCTGAACGAGCTCGAGCTTCTTACCAAACTAAACGCTGGTTTCAGGGAGAAAATAACGACTGTGCTGCGCTAGAGATGGAAGAGATCACGGACCAAAGTCCGATCGAGACGAACTTTGGGATGGACAATGCGCGCCTCTCGCTGACACGGTCCTTTGGTTCTCAAATCTCGCGTTCGCGGAAATCAGGTTGGGCTCCTGCTTCCGACCCAGCCATGTGGTCCATGTTTATGCTGTGCTTTCTCACCATACTGGGTCTCATGCTTTATACAATCATCTTAGGAACTGCTAAATAATCTTCCAGACGTATTAACAAAAAAGCACTGCAGTAATATTAAACTCGCCTATCTTCATTTAAACTGTAAATAAATACAACATTTACTATTCAAAATTTCAAATAATCAAAGAATTTCTATTGGAGTTTCGTCCGGAGGAGCACTCGGACTCGAATTCAGGATGAGATGTTGTCGTTGTTGTCCGCTTCTGTCTCCTTTTTGATGCTTTCTGATAGGCGCTAGAAAAAGATAAGACTCTTTCTCACCTGTTAAAAAAACTGGGCTCGGCAACCTGAGCTGAAAACCTGAGTCAGGCTCTGGAAGACCTAAAATGAAAAGCCGCGTAGCGGCTTTTTTTTTAGAAACAAAGCCGCAGAGCGGCTTCACAAATAAACCTTATAAATTTTCTTTAAATTCGTGGGGAAGCCGCTTTGCGGCTTCGTTTCTAAAAAACAGCCGCTACGCGGCTTTTCATTTTAACGCTTCCAGAACCTGACTCAGGTTTTCTACTCAGGTTGCCGAGCACTGTTAAAATACCGTCTGAAACCGTCACACCATATCTGCTGCTCAGAGTGAGATTCCAGATAGAAGGTCACTAAATATAGATAGTAAAGTAGCCGGCATAAAAAAATTCGGAAACCTCTATGCTGAGGACTACAGTAGGAAAATTCCTTGGAGCTTTTCTCTTGCTTGAATTCCGTCTCTGGCCGGATTTCGCTCACAAAAACGTCGAATTTAGGATGATCGCCCGGCGAATTTCGAATTAAAACTGCCCAGAAAGAGTTGATCCCGTCGTTTGTGTAGTCTAGTAAAGCAATCCATCTCTTAATTTTTAGATCAGATAAGCCAAAAAAGAAAACCTGCCTTGGAGAATTTGAAGGATGAAAGATGAAGTTTGTTGGTCGATGGAGACGATATTCTTACTGGAACTATGCCACAGCACTCTGCTCGCTCAAACATCTCGTCGTAGGGCATTATGTAGTCATGTTTGATGTAAATTGAGAGAGCCTCATTTCGATCATTATTTTCATATCGTTCAAAAAGACGCGCTCTTTCTGATCAATTTCCTGGGCCTTTTGAAGAGTCGCCATTCCAATCACCTCAAATGCTTTAATTTTTTCACTACAAGAGGCGCAAATCATGTTGGTATTTTTTCAGTCTCGAAGACAAGCCTCGTGACTTCGATCAGAGGACATTTGTGACATTGAGATCCTCCACAGCAATCACAAACTGCGAACGATTCGCTTTTCTCCCCACAAGCCCAGCATTTCGAAACGGTACATGGCCACACAGCTCGTGGGGCAACTTTTCCGACGATTCCGGAATTTGCTACGTCTCATTCATGGTTTATCAAGAAGTAGAAAATCTTCCTAAAGGGATAGTTTCTTCATATAAAAACCATTTTCATGTGATATTTTTTCGAGAAAGAGCTCAGACTCAAAAACACGAATCCAGTCATTATAATCGCTCGCAACGAGGTCAAGACAAATCTCCTTAGATCTTATTCGAAAACCTTTGCGTTCGCAATTCGTGTGATCGAAGACTTCGATCTTTCCGAAGTTTTGACTTGTGTATGGCTTCCCAATCAAAACTTTCGGGAAATCGGACTTTTCGTATTTCAGTGACGAAGGTTTGACCGAAGCTCTTAAAATGCATGTTCCAGGAAGAGAGAGATGAGTTTTTTGGTGTTTTCGAGTCGCTTCTCCGAGGAAAACGATCAGATCTTCGTCGGGGACTTCGTTGGAAGAAGTTCTAGTGAAAAAGTCCCCAGAATCGCGATGATTTCGCGGCTGTATTATAATCAAGTCGACGTTGGTCTTATTTATGCTCGGGCAGTCGACCTTTCCGTATTTGTAGAGCTCCCAGCGCATTATTTCTTGAACTTTATTCTTGTTCGGCGCCAGTATATGCCCGTACTTTTCGATCAAGATCTTTTTGTGCTCGTGATGTTGCTCTACTCGAACTAACTCGTTGATTTTCTTGACCATTTTTCTGATCTTCTCTAGCGCTTCTTCTGCCTCTTCGTGATCGAAGTGATCTTCGGGAAGACATTTGAGATAGTCGCGGAATAAGAGATCGTAGCGAGTGAGCCGTTGCATCAAAACGATAATTTTCGAATTCAAAGTCATCAGATTCTGCTTCGAAAAGCCATCATCTTCACGAACTTCGTCGAGAAGTCTTTCGATGATTTTTGACCGGTCATTTTGCTGAACGATTCCCGAAATCAACAAAGAAAGAAACGTTTTGGCGTACCTGTTTGAAAAAATCTTCGTAAATTGAAAAGACGTACTCATCTGGTTTCAGCACTGAAAATAATCGGCCCATGACGAATCCATTTGTATCAATCTGAGAGACGGCGATTTTCATTAGTGGTTCAACAATGCCATCATGGAGGAGTAGAATTCTTTCCAAGGATCCAGGCGCCCCGAAGAGAATTCTTGTTTCATGCGAGTTCGTCATTTTCCGATGCTTTTCGAACTTTCTTTTCAATTTGCAGATTTCTGTCAAATCGGAGATGTACTTCTTTTCGGTCGCCAAAATTTCCTTGCAAAGTTTTTCACAGTGAGATCGTCTTTTGATGTAAATATCGCCTGATGCTGGCTTGAATGCAATTTCTTCAATGAAATCTCGGAGTTTGCTTTTTTCCCGCCGCAAAAATCCGAAATCGTCGATTCTTTCGTAAAGATTGTCTCTTCTATCTTCCAAATGGACATTGCCAAAGACATCGATTTCAACGATATCTTGGTTGTTGAATTTAAAAGCTTTGAAGCGAGAGAAAGTTTCCAAAAGATCGACAACAGAATTGAAAGTTGAGAGCTTTAGCGGATCATTTTTGTCGATGTTCTCGGAAAGACGAAGAAAACATCCGAATAAGTGGTCAATATTCTCGTCAAATTTGCTCAGAAAGTCATTCAATTTCTCAATAAGCTTCGTTCTTAATTCAAGTGTTATTGGGAAAAAGTAATCCGCATATGCGACCACTTCCTCGGTGGAATTTTATTAGCAAAAAAAGTGTCACATTTCTTATGATGCCTTAGCGCAATATTTTGAAAAAAGAAATCTATAGATAGGACATACAGTTACTTCCTCAGTGGAATTTTATTACTACACAATTTGTAAAAATTGAGTTAAACTTATGCCATCTTAGCATAAGATTTTGAAAGTCACCACTTCCTTGACTGAAGTGGAATTTTATTACTCCGCAAAGTGTAAACCTTGAGTAATCTTACCTTTGCGCAATATTTTCTTCAATATATTCAAATCGATAAAGTGATACTCTGAAAAACGATGACCCCGGTTCACGTAGAAGTTCCCTCAAGTTCTCTGCAATCTCCTTGACCCCGCAAAATGAAAGCTTGAGGACTCCACAAGCTCTTATAGAAGGCTCAAGCCAGCATCGAAACAGAACAGCAAGTTCTTCGACAGCAGTTTCATGCGTCTTTGATTGACCAAAAAGAGTCGATCGTATTCTCGGATCGAGATCTGGAATGTGCCGCTTTATAAAACAAAGATCGAGAAGGCTTTCAGTAACATCGTGAGCTGCGAGCAATAGGTCTTTGAGCAGGCAGCCTTCGTTAGAATCAGTCGACTTTTACTGGGCAATTTACATTCTCGGGTTCAAAGGTAAATTGATGTAAATTATCGCTTTTCCTGTTCAATTTGCAAAAATGATTTTTCATTAATTTTTTCCGATAGAAAAAGAGTCCTGAAGCTTGATAGATATTTATCATTCAAATTGTCGTCATAGCCTTCTTTTAAAAATCTTAACTTTCCTCACTACCAAATTTTTATTACTGAAAAAAATTTTAAAAGTCGAAGAAAGATTTTCCTTTCCTAAAGACCCGCCGCCGGAATTTTGCAAAATCGACTGCAAGTTTGTTGAATTTTTCAGCCGAAGCAAGTCAAGAAATGCAAGTGCCGATTTCAATTTATCCGGATGGCCGGCAGGAATGAGTTTGAAATAATGATGAGCGAAATCGGTATAGTCAACGAGTCGTCTTTGCACTTGTCTGTGGAACTCTTTGTAGCTCTCTAGCTGCGTTTTTGAGAAGCCGGGAGCATCTCCTTGTCTCAAAAGCTCTTTAACATGAGATCTTCTTTTTGAAGCCTCTGCAATAAATCGCCTGTATGAAGTGTAAGCCGTGGAAGAAAGCTCAAGTGCATAGAAAAGATTCCCAAAGGCAAGTCTTTCATACTAAACGACAACGAAATCGGGACTTTTTCTCCTGAAATTGGTCTACCTGGTCACATGTTTGGACAGTCCGAAGAAGAGGAAGGAGATAATTCTGGTGAAGCTTGTAAATTGGCATCAAAAATGAGGGGCTTTCGAAGAGTAAATTGTTTCTTTGGCTGAAGGGTACGTCCATTCGATAGACATCTTCCATGTGGAGAAAGTCTTTCAGCATTTGCACGTATTTTACTTCATCATTTATGAGCTCGGTTATCAGGGATTCGAGCTCAGGCGGAATCGAAGAGCGGACTGATGGAATGCGCCTTTTACTCTGTCTTCTTCTCCTGCATTTGTGGACCGTTACTTTATTGCATTCTCTGCACAAGTTATCCATATTGCACTTGTCATGCACTTCTCTCAATTATCGAAAGAAAAATCTTTTTGAAAGGACGAAGCCTCTAGCGGAAATGAACACTCATTTCACAGAAAAAAATACACGAAAGGAGTTTTTTCAAATTTTATTTATTTAAATATAGACACCTTGATCAGATCCACAACTACTAGCAAGATAAGGGTTGTAGTCTGATGGTCAGCCCGACCGCAAACTTTGAACAGAATAGAAAAAAAAACCTAGAACATCTTTCGCACGCAAAGCAGTCACATTTACATAACCAGGCAGAGCATTCAAAATCGTCTTGTCGTCCAGGCTAGTGCGACACATGACCTGGACTAATGAAGAAGTTCTTGAAGCAGGGTGGCTTCATTTCAAAGCCAGAAAGGACGGCCTTATTCGCCGATATGACTCCGCCAATCACTCCGATAACCATAATGATTCTAATAAAAAGTAAGTTAAATCCAGTTAAATCTGGTTTCGCGCAGCTTACATGTGGAGAGCGTATTCTGCTTTTCCGATGGAAACCGTCTCAGCATCTGCATGATTGCTGACCTTCAACTCTCCTTTATATTTCCTTACCAAACTAGAAGAAACATAACGATGGACAGATGATTACAAAGGTAATCTTACCTCATATAGAAAAGCGAAGGGAAAATAAAGGTGTTTAATGTCACAGTTGTCGATCCAACCAAATCAAGGATGACACCAAAATCGGGAACAAGCAGAGCCGAGAAGATCACTAGAATTCACCATAAAAGCAGGAATCTCTACTCTTGTCCTACCGATTCCCATGATTGTCAATCTAACAGCGATGCATTTTTTCTTTTGATTTTCGGGATCAAGTCCAAGCGCCGCTTCAGCACCTTGATGAAGTGGATTCTGGACGATGGCGAAGGCGAATAATAAATGAAGAGTAATGAGTACGTTGGCGACTTGTGTCATCCAGGAGTGCCCGTCAAGCTGATCAAGAATGTTGTTTTCAACATCACTGCCGTACACGGCGTATCCAGCGATTGATACAGGCAGCATCATGAGGACGATGGAAGTGAGAGAGACAATCACAACTGTCGAAAATTTCTGAGGGCGTTTCATGTCTGTCTGGATAGTAGGGAACACTAATCATGGTTCAGAGAAAAGCAAAGTATTGGAAAAAATACCAGACATGCCACCATAGCAAAAGAGGATTTTTCCGAAAGCGCTGGCCACAGAGCTTACGCACGGGGTCATAAAAACTGGCTCAGGAGGAGAGCACTCGTCACTGTGGTTTTCTAAGTACGTCGTATTCCATTCATGATCCTTTCCCTCCTCGGCCGTCTGAATTCAACTGTAGATAAAGGTCCAAAAAGCTTGGCATACTTGTGTAACGATGAAAATGCACGCAATGAAGGTTGTCGCTGAAGCGGTGTACGCCACCCAAGGCATATCTGATGGAGTTGAGAAGAAGCCAAAAGGTGCAAGCAAGAATCCAATGATTAAGATTATTCCACAGAAAGGAATCGCCGGCGACTCGGTAAAGAATGCAATGAAGTTGTAGACATTGTCCGCGCTCAAAATAAGGAGCACCAATGTAACGCTGAAATAATGATGAAATGAAAAATCATGGAAGACATCAAATACCTGAAAAGCGTTATGTAGACAGTAACTTTAACAACTTTCTCCATCGTCGGTCCCATACTCTCCCTTGCTATCACTGGGTAGGGATCTCGTACTTCACGAAGTTCAGGAAATTTGTAAAGAATATATTGCCATGCTTTTCCCAGTTTTACTCCCTTAAATCAAGATAAGATAGATAAATCATTGAATATATGTTTATAATAAAAAAATTTGAAGAATGTCTTGAGAGAAGAGAACATTGAAAAAGTTTTATGTGAACGGTTCCGTATTGTCTTCACTAATGTTATTTATGACACCAGATTTAGTTGTAAAACCTGACCGCAGTTGAGCGGGCATCAGGCCATTCTTGTCTAGTAGAACTAAATAATCTGCCTATGAGAATGAATCTTGGGAACTAAACCACAAAGCAGTATCATATCATTGATGTCCTGATGATGTCTTTTGATAACAACAATCAGATTCTACTTAAAAGAAAAAAAGCTAAAAGAATCTGGTTTTGAAATTAACGACTTTACCGGACAATCAATGTAATAAAAGTCTATCAATCTCATACCTCAAAACCCGCAATCGCACAGCATACTATCAGCATTGGTATTCCAATCCACCCTGCATTGGAAAATGCTTTTGGCAAAGCAAGAATTCCGGAACCAGCCATTTCCCCGATGATGAAGAAAATGGCGCCAGTGATTGTGAGACCATCGGTTTTTGTAACAGTCTGTCTACAAAAACATTTTGAAAGTTTGCGATCAGTTGCTTGAATTTCAGTGTCAGATGATGATTCTTTGTAGCGTTTAGACGCAAGCGAAGAATTGGAACAGCCGCCTCCTTTACTGTCCCTCCGAAATTTTAGACTACTCGAACTCATCGCCAATTTGTTCAAAACAAACTAACATGAACGAACTTCTGATAAAAATCATAAAAATAATTTTTTGATATTCTAGAAGGGCGTTTTGGACAGATAGTTCTTACCTTGCTTCTCTGAATTTCTTTCTCTCTTCAAAATCAAACGTCGAGTATCCAACCTTCCCCTCATTGGAGTCCAGGAAACTGACTCTTGACTCTGTTTCGTGGTTTAGAAACTCATCAATCGAATCATTGAGGGACTGGTATTTAAAGCGAAACATTTTTGATGCCTTTTGGAAAATGAAATGTCTATTCGAGTTCATTGTGATGATGCAACACCTTGGAGGGTTGATTTGAGTTCACTTGCACAAGTCTGCCCTGAGCCTCAGGCGAAAATTGTGAACTTGATCCAAGGCTCAACTAGAATTCTTGGTTGATGTTTTCTGGCAAACTTCTCATTTTCAAAATCTCTGACTCTGTTTACAACTGTAAATCTCAGTCATCTGTCTACTCTGATTTTCTTTCCGATTCATATCTCGATAAACTAACCCATTCCGGTTTTATACGAACAATTGTAAACATAATTTTTACTACGTTCCCATTCTGCATACGTACATTTAACATAAATGCTTCTTTGAAATTCTACCGCGCTAAATTTCATCCTTGGCGACAAAAAAAAGTTGTTCTCTAAACCAATTCCTGTAAGTTCTCCGCTATCTCTTGAGCTAGATCTGCTCATTTTATCAGGTAAATACTAAGTCACAATTATTAAATCAGAAGAATGCTCCGTTCATTGTTCATAGCTGCAATATAAATGTATTATAAAAGTAGTTGTTGCCCACAGGTTGTGGGAGTGGCGTCGATACGAACCAGTTCTGACCAAGAGAATAAGTTTTTACAGCTTTATTGGTATGCTTACCGGAGTGAATTAAAAAATAAGCTTATTTATAAGTGTATATTGATGAAATGAGAGCCAGTATTAAATCATAAGAGAGCTGTGATTCTCTTATTGATGATTATTTGGATTTTTATAAATATTTTATTGAATGTTTGACAGTGATTTACAGCCAAGGAAAGTTTTTGAATGAAATTTGAATAAAATTGGTATAAAAGCGTACTAACTTTGCGAATTTACAAGTCAAAGCGCTCGTTCTCAACTCGCTCGTCAGCTTCTGCCTCTATGCTTCGATTCTGACGAGAGCCAAACAGCTCGAGAACTTGAGGGTTGTCAATAACAGCTACACCAGCATAGCTAAAAACTGATGAAAAACGAGTTTTCGAAAGGGGTTTTTGAAACCTTCGCTCGACTTCCATGGTCGATTCGAGCCATTCCCAAGTGTCAGTTTGCGGGTTGTAAAACTCAACAGTGTTGAGATTTGTTGTTCCATCATCGCCGCCAACAACGTAAATGAAGCCATTGACAGCGGCGACTCCAGCGTTGCGACGACGATTGTGCATGTCAGCGATCTGGGTCCAGCTATTGCACTTGAAGAGAAAATAACGAAATGAACGAAATAATTGAAAGTTACCTGAGGGTTATAAACTTCTGCAGACTTTCTGACTTTAGGACCGTCATGACCACCTACTGCGTACAAGAGTCCATCAACAACGCCTACTCCAGCGCCTGATCTTCTTGTTGTCATGTCCGCCACTAATTTATTGAAATACCGTTATGGGAAATTTCACATGACCTACCTTTTGACCACTCGTTAGCGTCAGGATCGTAGCGCTCGACAGAACTAAGACACTGTCGCTGAGCTCCGTCGTAACCGCCGACAGCGTAGAGGAAGGACCCGACGACTCCAACGCCCACAGATGATCGCCGCGTCGTCATGTCCGCGATACGACACCAACACTCTTTCTTCTCAGAGTAGACTTCAGCGGTGTCGAGCCCAGATGCACCGTCAAAGCCGCCCACAGCGTAAAGATTATTGTTGAGAACTGCAGCTCCGAGTGTTGATCTCCTTGCGTCCATTGGTGGACCTGGATTCCACTCGCCCTTCACAGGGTCGAATATATCTACCGTTCGCACGCGCTGTAGTACGCTTTGAAAAGGGCTTATTATCAATTATTCCTTCCTAAAGTTCAAATCATTCCTGTGAGCCGTTGAAGCCGCCGACAGCCCAAATAAAGCCTTTATAATTCGCTACGCCTGCGCGACATCGCCTTGTGGTCATATCAGTAAGTCGCGTCCAACATTCATTTTTGAAATCGTGCGCTTCGACTTTCTTGATTGCCTTTGGAGCTTGTCCGCCAACGATGATCAGTACTTTTGAAAGGCCTAGTGGAAGTCTTGGACGAGTTCTTGTCGAACCGCCTAACAGAAAAGTTAATAGAGACGAAATTGAGAATTTTGTTTTCTTACCTCGTTTGGCTTTCAGTTCAATAGGCAGTAGATGATAAGTAAGGGCTTCAATGATGAGATCTTTGCAGTCCTTGTCGGCATCTTTGAGCAGATCGTTCTCCTGGCTTATACTTACCAAGAATTCTAAAGGATTATAACGCAGAACTCGACATTGAAAATAAACCTTTGGTAAGAAGAGGAAGTCGGACGTTTTCAAGTAGCGCCCGAAGAGATTTCTTCCTCTCCAAAACATCAAAACGGACCCATTCCATAGCAGCATCAAAAACCTTTTCCTCCGAAATTACGCTCAGCTGATCGGAGGAAAAGAGCGCACAAACATCAGCTTCGCAAAGGCTCAAGAATTCGTCGCCTTTGACGACTTCGGCGAAGTTTTCTTCTGTAAAATTGGTCGAGGCAAGCAGCAAATCAGAACAAGAATGAACATCAGCTAATTTGAGATCATAATTTGAATATTTTTTTGGCAAATTACCAAATGAGCGGATTCCGAGACAGTTTGAAGGATGAAGGTGAGATTGAAGAAATCGACAACATGAATCGCGGACCCAAGACAGTTGCAATAAATTAGCCGCAGGCAACAAGCTCTGTACATTTTCCTCAGTCACTTCGACCTCACCTGAATAAATGTATTCGATGAGCTGGCGAAGTGCTGTTGCTTGGACGCCGGCGAGATTGACGACATCTTGAGAGGATTCGGACATGGTGCCGTTGAACATGGCACGGAAGTAGGGCGATGAAGAAACGAGGATGATCTTGTGGACGGGGAATTGGCGGCCTTCAGCAACGAGTGTTACGTCGCAGAGACTTCCTTGCTTGCGCAACTCGTTCATGACGCTGTAGCCGTCCTTTGGATGCGCTGAAATTCGGTGTTAGCGGTTAGGCACTGGTGAAAATTATCAATTAGCTACCATCATTTTTAAACTTGTTGACGTTGGCGGCGGTGGAGCCTGCCCAAGCACCAGGCGCCATGCTCTCGCTGCAGCTCTCCATTTCGACTTCATTCTTCGCCGAGTCCATTGTACTTGGCTCTTCGTGCGACATGATCGGAAGTAGCAGCTAGCAAGGCCTGCACCGCTTTCTCGGAGCGTTTTATACCGGTACGATCATACAGAAATAACTGTTTCTAAATAAAATCGTATTTATTTCTCTGTTCAAAATTGGTGAGGGCGCAAAGATACTTTTCGCTATTTTTCAATTTGCAGTTTTCAAGAGGAAAGAATATTTTTATCGAAGAAACAATTAATCTAAGCTGAGTGATGAATAGGGAGTCCTAGAGAGGAGTAGGGGCAGTGCAATTAACAAGAGACAATGATTACTCTTCCATTTTCTCTTCTTCTTCTTCCTCTTCTTCCTCCTCTTCCACGTCAGGATTTGAAGCCTTTTTCGCTTTTTTGCCCGGAACAATGCCTAAAAAGAACGGTAGGAACCTGTATTTCCTTCAAGAAACGAACCAGCTTGGAGCTGTTGCTGCAACATTTCAACTTCTTCCAACGTCTTTGCTTTCAAAATTGCCTCTTTGATCCTCTCCCTATCCGCAGCAGGCATTTCATTCTCTCTGAAAATCATTTTAGCGCTTGAAAAATGTGTCTTCAAACTTTCTCTTCTGCAACTCCTCCAGTTCGCCGCCAGGTACGAAGGTATTGGCGATTTCTTTCAAGAGCTTATCTCCCTTCTTTCCAGAGAACAGTTTGTTTGCTGCTTCGCGCTCGGCCTTTTTTACTCTTCGGTAGTCAAGTACTCTTACTTGTTTCAGCTAAATACGTTTATTACAAGATGTCATAAGATTTGGGTCTCGGCAACCTGTATGGAAATAACTGTACCTTGAAGATAACGTAGAGTCTGTAGTTGGTAATTGCACACATCGGACAGCCCAGAAGTGAGAGATATTCGAGCTTCGTAAGTTCCGACAGGGCATCAATATCAGCAAGATCTTTTAATTCGTTATTGGTCAAGACAAGCTCCTAGAAACAATAGTTGCTTATCAGATAAAAAAACATTGAAGGGTCACCTCCAGATTCGGGAGATTGTGAGCAATATCGGCTGAAATCTTTCTGATTCGATTGTTGGCGAGGTAGAGAATCTTCAGTCGCTGGAAGTAAGGAAAGTTCTCGAGCTTTTTGATGTCGTTGTCGTTCATGTTGATCGTGTCGAACTGGTCGAGAGTGGCTCCCAGGTTCTCGACGACGGAGAACTTGTAGCTGCGCAGGTTGAGTTCGCGCTCTCTGCAGGGATTCACCAACTGCGCGGCTTCGGCGATCACGTCTGCGGTCAGTTTTACCATTCTGAAAAAGGTAGATTGTGGAATTTATAGGAAATTATCCAACACACTGACGGCATAAATTCCTATTTTACGAAAAGTCCAATTTTTGGTACTTTTTATGAGAGTTACAGTAAATTTTGTATAAAGTGCTCTCTATAGGAATATTACAGTAATCCACTCTAGAATTGACTAAAAATGAAAAATCTACAAATTAAGACCATTCAGAAAACTTAAAATTGTTAAAAATGCCGCGATAAGGGAAGATTTCTCTGTGAAAGAAAGTAGAATTGATTTTAGACCTTCCTAAAGAAGGAGCGAGAGGAGAAAAAAGTGAGAGCTGCCCGATTGGCCGCGCCAAGCGCTGACGCAAAATCGCGGGGCGATAAATTTTTCAAGAACAGGCGAAAAAGCGCGTTTTTGTAGAAACAGGAGAGAAAGAATAAGAGAAAAGGAATAATGGCCGAGGGAAAATTGAAGAGATAATGACGATGAGTGGGCTTGTAAGGTAAGTTTCTCATAAAAAATTTCGCTGAAAGAGTTTATCAAAAAAATGTTTTAATTTATTCGGATTTATTGCTGAATATTTGTATTTCAGTCATTTATCAACGTCCATTGGACAGGATGTTGTTCCTGGCTGCATTGTTATTGCAAAATTCAACCCTGAAGAAAAACGCGACCAAATCGCCGTAGCCTGTCGCGGTGGAAAAGTATGCGTTTACAATCTCTCCGAGTTAGCAGCCAACACGACGAGCTATTACAAGCCAGTGACAGTAATCGACGTCAAGGATGAAATCGTTTCGATCGCTTCTGCTCCTTGGAAGCCAGAGTCGAAATACGAGCTCCTATTGATCGCTTCTTCTTCGACGATTCAACTATACGACATTTACGAGAATCACTCGCTTTTCCATCGTATCTTGCCGGATGAGATTCGCACCATTTCTGTCGGCTGTGTAGCCGAAAAGACAGAGCCCTGGATTCTCACTGGTGGCGAAAGTTCCATCACCGGCTTCGACAAAAATGGTGGCGAGGTGTATTGGAACGTCTCTTCCGACGCTGTCAACTCGATTTGCTTCGTAGATTTGATTGGAAAGGCTTACGATCAAATCGTTGTTGGAACGCTGGATCAAGAAATAACGATTTTCGATCACGAAGAATTGATAGATTCCAGGACGGAGGTTTCGCCAATCGTTCTTTTGACGAAAGTTGGGCCAGATCAGATGGCATATGCGCTGGAAAACGGGACGATCGGCGTTTATCAGAGGCTCAATCGACTCTGGAGAGTAAAATCGAAATCAACGGCCACTTGTCAATGCTTTTACAAACCGAATCAAAGTCTTCTGACCGGCTGGGAATCTGGACGATGGGAAATGCGAAAGATGGCCACGGGAGAGATCATCTACAAGGCGCAAATTGATTGCCCCGTTGCAAATGTAATTGCCCATTCCTTTTCGACTTCTGGGGACGATCTGCTGGTGTTTGGACAAAATGGTTCGATAGAAGTTTTTCTACCGCCGACCGAAGTTGATAAAAAGAAACGAAAAGCGGTTGATGAAAATGAAGCTCTCAGAAAGGTAAAAATCGCAAGCAGAATTCGCAAACTGATTCTCTTTTAAGATCGAACACAGACGCCAAATACTGAAAAAAGAACTCGATCACGTGGAAAATGCGCCAAAGAATCTTTCTGTTTCTGAGAGAATCGAGCAGAGGTAAAAATGATCAACAACGATCTATTTTCTCACCCCGAATTTTAGTATTATTCCACGAACTGCGAAACTATCAGTCAACCTTTCGAACTCCTCGGATGGCCTGTATCTCCAAGTTTCCGTCGACTCTGAACTAAAAATATTCCTCCTCGTTTTTCTTTCCGAAGGTTTGTTCGGCAACGACGAGGCGAAAACTGAAGTGTATCCAACCGGGAAGCAAGAGTTGCGAGTCCATCTGGCCGAGTCTGTTTCTAGCGTCACAGCTCTCGGAATCAAGGCCGGAGTCGGCTACACAGGAGCCAAGACGCTTCATGTTTTGGAAGAAATGGTCGAAATTCCCATATTCTCGCATTTTATGATCAACGAGGCGAAGCAAATGCCAATTGGGAAGGTCGAATTCCAATTCACTGAACGACCCCAGCGACTTTTCCTCTGGCTTCAGGAAAACTTCCTTTTGAAGAAAGATAAAGGGCCGATAAGCAGCGATACTTTTTGCTTCAAAAGCCCGAGCGGAGAGAAGGTCTGTTTCCATCTCGCCGGGGACAGATTGTATATCTACGCAGATACAGTAAAATGGGCGGCAGATGCAGTTCAGTCGCTCGCATCGTATTTTGGAATAAATGATATGTCTTCGATCTGCGACTTTCCGGAAATCAAGGACATTGAAGGCTTATTTCAGGAAATTGCAGATATTCAAGGTAAAAATTGATTCTTTGTTGAAAATTCTAAAATCTCTTTTTAGCTTCACTGGTGCGAATTGACTCTGACATAGCGGAGATAACTCAAGGGCTGATGTCGAGCTTGGTCAGATTGGAAGACTCGCGAATTCTCGAAGACTGGAAGAGCATGGAGCAAGTCCAGTCAAACATTATGAATGCCGACAGTGACCTGATGCTCAAGCAACGTGTTCGCCACGCGAATCGAGACAATTTGACGAAAATTCTGAAGAAGCTCAACCATTACATCGATAGTGGATCCAAACTAAGGTGATTACCTTCCCAAGAAATTTAAATAAGCCGTCTTTCTAGGGTCGGAAAAGAGCCTGTTAAAATACTCAATGTCTGCCGCCAAGCTGTGAAAACAAAGAAGCCCAAAGTTATCGTTCGAACGCTCTTACATGGGGCCAATTAGATTTTTTTTCTGTACAGTTATTTTTCTAAAATCATTTTCATTTTTCTACGAATGCCTTTATTTTTGTCTAGCACTTTTCCACACTATTTATTCATTTTCTATCAGTAGAATGACGGATACAGTACCTGAAGAGGAGAAACTCACAGTTCCAGACGGATGGAAGCCAGAAGAATTCAAACCAGAGGACAATCCTCATGGATGTCTGGAGGAATCGAAATTCAGGTCCGATAGATTCAATATCAGTCGTTGTAACAATTTTTAGCACCCTTTTTCCAAAATACAGAGAGAAATACCTGAAAGAAGTGTGGCCTCTCGTCGAAAAATTCCTAGCGCCACACTTTATCAAAGCCGAGCTAGATTTGATTGAAGGCTCTCTTACGGTGAAGACAACGAGGAAAACTTGGGATCCGTATTCAATCATCAACGCACGAGATCTCATCAAGGTAGCTGCACATTACCATTTTCCACAATCCATTGTAAACTTCAGCTCCTTTCTCGAAGTGTTCCGTATGAGCATGCAGTAAAATGTTTTGACGACGAAAATGCGGTCGAAATCGTGAAAATCAAAGGTTAGAAGGTTGACTTGGTCGATATTTATATCAATTTAGGACTGGTGCGCAATATGGAACGATTTGCGAAGCGTCGACAAAGACTGATTGGTCCAGAAGGACAAACCCTTAAATGCGTAGAATACCTGACCGGTTGCTACATCAACGTTCAGGGAGGAACTGTGGCCATTATCGGCCCGCACAGAGGACTCAAAGAATGCCGAAAGATCATCGTCGACACGATGAACAACAAACATCCCGGTAAACATTTGATTTTTTTCTATTTTTAACGATCTTTCTAGCTCACAACATCAGAGAACTGATGATCAAACGAGAGTGCGCAAAGAATCCAAATCTGCGGAATGAAAACTGGAGCAGATTTCTGCCAAAGTACAAGTCAAAGGTTGTAAAGAAAGAGAAAAAGGACATCAAGGAGAAGAAAGAATACACGCCATTCCCACCCGCTCCTGTCCAAAGCAAAATTGACAAAGAACTCGGTAGAACTGAATTTATTTGATTAATTTTTATCGTCTTTCAGAAAGCGGAGAATACTTTATCAAAGCGAAGGAGCAAAAGAAGCGAAAGAAACAGTTGAAAGCCGAAAAGGTAAAAGCCCACTCGCAGAGTCCTCCGACTCACTTTTTTAGCAAGAGGCAGCAAAAGAAGAGAGAAGTAAAAAGAGAGCTGCATCATTCCAAGCACCGAAAGAAAAAGAAGTCAAAAAGGACAACTCGAGCGGAGAAGCCCCAAAGAAAAAGAAGAAAATGGCAAAACTTTCAGTCGACATTGAAAAGCTCAAGGCGAAGAGTTAGTGTCTCTCTTTCGATAAGAGATTTTGATAAAACTGTGAAATATATGAAAGAACCTGCCTGATAAAAATGTGTGTTATTCTTGTTGAAGACGATGAGAATAAACAAGTGTTTATTTTTTGAACTTGAGCTGGGCAGAGACAATAGAATTCATGAGAATAGATCATTTGAAAGATGGATTCTTCTGCTTTAGTTGAAGCGCGTTGAGATAGAATCCCTCTACGAGTCTCCTAATTATTTAGGATTGAAGGCATTGGAGTACAAGAGCAGAAAACAAACCTGAGCTCGTGTAATTCTTCCTGCGTTTTCGCGTGTTTCCCCTCCAAAATCTCGTATTTTCGTTTCCACTCTAATAATTTGTAATGAAAATTCAAAAGAGATTCTCACCAAGTGCAGTTTTCTTCCAATCTTCCTCATCCTTCTGTAAATTATTTGAAATCTCTTCATGAGGTCTTTTATGATTAGTAAGCGGAGAGGGAGAGCTGGAAGAATCTTCGTTTTCACAGTTGAATGCAGATGTTTCTACTAGTTGCCTCTTCGAGTTACTGTACTACGCGACAACCGCTTCATCTCACTGGTCTAAGCTATCAATAAACTGCAAAGAAAGACACGAGGATTCTCTATGTGAAGATTTATTCTCTGGCTTGGACGGAAATAAATCTATGTAAAAATGTATCTATGCCGGTCCTGACTCGAGTGATGATCGAGGTACCGGTGGCGAGTATTTATGGCACGGTGGCGTTGTGGGTCAACGCCCCCGCGCGAATCATGTTAACAATGGCACAAAGGGGCAACTATCAACCCCCTCACATGGTAAGCACGGTAGCAGGGCATTGTAAATACGAAGTGGCAGGTTTGAAAAGAGGGAGAGAGCAATCTTCGTGATTTTTCTAAGCAGGAATCGGAGTGAAGGCGAATTTGGCAGGGAAGTGAAGATTGCTGAGCACGATACGATGATCTACCATCGAATGCGGTAACCACGGCCGCGACCAAAGTTGCGCCCTCGTTGAGCTCCGCGGCGGGGTCGGTCGGAGCCGCCGTTTTTCATTTCTTTTCGGAGAGCGTCCAGTTGCTCCTGCAAGGATGCAATCTTAGAAGCTGTAGCGCCCTCGTCCTGAGTTGAAGAAGCCGGCTTCGGGTCCGCCGGCGTGTTCCATCCAGTAGAAGTCGTAGTAACCGGCTGGGACCAGTCTGTGGAAGAACTAGAGCCCCAGCCATTGTCATTGGAAGCTGGAATCGACCAGCCAGAGCCAGATGAAGTCGTCTGGGTGGATGATCGATGGGTAGGCGTAGCTGTGAGCGGCCGAGGAGCCACTAACGGTGATGCTGAGCCAGAAGAGGACTTCGACGTCGAAGCCTCCTCCTGGATGAGTCTGCACTGGGGATTCCAGAAGGTCTTGCCGGGCAGAGCAGCGGGTTTTGCGTCGGCTTTTGGAGCACGGTCAGCCGGCGGAGTGTCTTTGATGACAACACTGGGTTCTTTACCCTCGTAAAACCGGGCTTGACGTTTTTCGACGCTGTCAAGGCTGCTTTTCAGCACATGGTGCGCTACGCTGGAGTACTTACTCTCGCTGTGGTATAGGAGCTGAGCGATGCCGATAAGATTTTTCATCTTATCGGATTCTCGGAAAGTCTTAGTATGCAGAACGTCCGCATTTTCAGCGAGAATTGAGAGAACTCTGTGCGAAAGCACCTTGCAGCGATCGTTCGCTGCACCGGTGGCGCATACTCTGCCGTTAAGGACAAGTAATTTTCGTGCGTCCTTCGCTTTTTTCACTAGATCAGCTCGGACGGCAGTTGGAACCGGGTCCGGCTCAGTGGCGATCAATTCATTGTGATTTCCGGCCGAGTCAGACCACAACTTCGGCCAGTCGAGAGATTTTTCTGTCTGAGTAGCCGCCGATGATCGAGCAGGCTCCACAGACGGTGGCGTAGTTTCTGAGGTACTTGGACCCCCATTTTGGGAAGATGGTGATGACGTCATCACCAAGTCTTCCACGGGAGTCATTGGCTGAGGTTCGGCAAGTTCGTCGACCTCACCGGTATCCATTTTTCGATCCGAGCTGTCCTGCGGAGGGTCATCTCGGGTTAAAGTTCCGGAAACTTCCTCGGTGAGGACAACATCGTCCGTGTTCGGTGTTGCAAAGTCAATTAAGTCACTGACGCATTCTTGACCGAGGTCAATTTCATTTGCCATTTTCCGAGATCAAGTCTGAATGTATAAAAACGTTAGAAAGAGATAAAACTATGAGCTGAACGTACAAAAAGTACAGAGAACCTAATCCAGTAGAAGCCGTAGTTACGGGCTGGGACCAGTCTGTGGAAGAACTAGAGCCCCAGCCGTTGTCATTTGAAGCTGGAATTGGCCAGCCAGAGCCAGATGAAGTCGTCTGGGTGGATGACCGATGGGTAGGCGTAGCTGTGAGCGGCCGAGGAGCCACTAATGGTGACGCTGAGCCAGAAGAGGACTTCGACGTCGAAGCCTCCTCCTGGATGAGTTTGCACTGGGGATTCCAGAAGGTCTTGCCGGGCAGAGCAGCGGGTTTTGCGTCGGCTTTTGGAGCACGGTCAGCCGGCGGAGTGTCTTTGATGACAACACTGGGTTCTTTACCCTCGTAAAACCGGGCTTGACGTTTTTCGACGCTGTCAAGGCTGCTTTTCAGCACATGGTGCGCTACGCTGGAGTACTTACTCTCGCTGTGGTATAGGAGCTGAGCGATGCCGATAAGATTTTTCATCTTATCGGATTCTCGGAAAGTCTTAGTATGCAGAACGTCCGCATTTTCAGCGAGAATTGAGAGAACTCTGTGCGAAAGCACCTTGCAGCGATCGTTCGCTGCACCGGTGGCGCATACTCTGCCGTTAAGGACAAGTAATTTTCGTGCGTCCTTCGCTTTTTCACTAGATCAGCTCGGACGGCAGTTGGAACTGGGTCCGGCTCAGTGGCGATCAATTCATTGTGATTTCCGGCCGAGTCAGACCACAACTTCGGCCAGTCGAGAGATTTTTCTGTCTGAGTAGCCGCCGATGATCGAGCAGGCTCCACAGGCGGTGGCGTAGTTTCTGAGGTACTTGGACCCCCATTTTGGGAAGATGGTGATGACGTCATCACCAAGTCTTCCACCGGAGTCATTGGCTGAGGTTCGGCAAGTTCGTCGACCTCACCGGTATCCATTTTTCGATCCGAGCTGTCCTGCGGAGGATCATCTCGGGTTAAAGTTCCGGAAACTTCCTCGGTGAGGACAACGTCGTCCGTGTTCGGTGTTGCAAAGTCAATTAAGTCACTGACGCATTCTTGACCAAGGTCAATTTCATTTGCCATTTTCCGAGATCAAGTCTGAATGTATAAAAACGTTAGAAAGAGATAAAACTATGAGCTGAACGTACAGAAAGTACAGAGAACCTAACGAATTCTAGAGATTTCGATGAGACACTCAACTTCTCGCCCATAGTTTATCATACTGTCTATCAGAGTATAACCCCCCTCGACAGGAGGATACACTTTTTATTTTCTAGAGAAGGGATTCGAATCAGGGAACTGAATACCACATTTTCTAGCGGATTTTCTACGCTCAGAATTCTGTAAACTCTGCGCGAGAGCTTCATCTTCGCGCGAACGTTTTTGCTGTAGCCTAGCACTAAAACGCTTCGGCGATACTTTCACTCGTGCACTTTTTGGTGCGCTTCTCGATTTCTTGGACCCGGGAACTTCGGGAACCAAGAAGTCGACTGGTCGATTACGTTTCAATGGGGCTAGAATACGATCGTTTCTAGAGATCTGATCGCTCTGAGCTCCGTTTTCAATGGAATTTTTGATCGGAGAGTCAGATTGACCGCCACGTGGCGCATCAATTTGACTCGGATTTTCACTTGGATTCAAGTTTTCACCCGTGGGTCGATTTTCGCCAGCACTCGCCTCAGGGCAAGTCTGATCCGAAACCGCGTTTTCGCTATTTTCGAGCTCTGGAGACGGAGTACGTTCTTCGGGAACTCTCTCAATCAGCGGTTTTTGCACGACTGGTTGCGCTGGCAAAGTCTGGGGAAGCGGAATTCTCAGATTTGGAAAGTAGGGCACATCGCCCAACGTTGGGCGGCGCTCTATTTTCTTGAGAATGTCGCTCCGATGGAACCAATCAAGGTTTCCGTGCAGATCACTAAGTTGAACCACGTGATTATTTGATTTGTTAACCACGTACGGCCCAAGCCATTTTAAATGTTTTGACTTTGCGATAGCAGAGTTCTCGCGTTTCAAGAAAACTTCGTCTCCTGGTTCTAAGGTTTCTGGAGTGAAACGCGGACGATTCGCGAGTAGCGTATTGTCAGCGTTCCTCTGGCAGATTTCCATCTTTTTGAATAGAAGATTTGTGACACGCGCCCTGTTACGCAAAAAATCTGGAATATTTTGCCCAGACGGCGCTTCAAAATCTTTGTCGAACTCACTTAGCTTAGCTGGTCGACCAAAGACAACCTCGAATGGGGTCGCTTTGGTCGTGCGATTCTTGGATGCATTCATTATGTAAACAACTCGTTTTATAACGCTGGGCCAGTCAACATTGTAAGAAACTCTGCGCGAGAGCTTCATCTTCGCGCGAACGTTTTTGCTGTAGCCTAGCACTAAAACGCTTCGGCGATACTTTCACTCGTGCACTTTTTGGTGCGCTTTTCGATTTCTTGGACCCGGGAACTTCGGGAACCAAGAAGTCGACTGGTCGATTACGTTTCAATGGGGCTAGAATACGATCGTTTCTAGAGATCTGATCGCTCTGAGCTCCGTTTTCAATGGAATTTTTGATCGGAGAGTCAGATTGACCGCCACGTGGCGCATCAATTTGACTCGGATTTTCACTTGGATTCAAGTTTTCACCCGTGGGTCGATTTTCGCCAGCACTCGCCTCAGGGCAAGTCTGATCCGAAACCGCGTTTTCGCTATTTTCGAGCTCTGGAGACGGAGTACGTTCTTCGGGAACTCTCTCAATCAGCGGTTTTTGCACGACTGGTTGCGCTGGCAAAGTCTGGGGAAGCGGAATTCTCAGATTTGGAAAGTAGGGCACATCGCCCAACGTTGGGCGGCGCTCTATTTTCTTGAGAATGTCGCTCCGATGGAACCAATCAAGGTTTCCGTGCAGATCACTGAGTTGAACCACGTGATTATTCGATTTGTTAACCACGTACGGCCCAAGCCATTTTAGGTGTTTGTATTATAACTTGCACTGATGGTCGAAGAGAAAGAAACTGTCGGCTCAGGAGTAGTAGAAATAGGTTGCGATTGATCAGCTAAGTCGTCGAAAGTGGCAAATATCTGGCGGGCGCCGCCTTCGCAGTGCCGGCGGTTGTGGTGCTTGCGGAACGAGTTTTTGTGGGGCGTGTTGGAGACATTGAAAAAGGCCTTGAGATATCTGGAGGTGGTGCCGACGCACTTGGGATGATCGCAGCTGAGAAATGTTGTCGGCTTATTATCGATATAGACACGGCCTAATGAGATAGCAAATAGTGCATGAATGAATTAAAATTACAAACCAATTGTAAATTCACCATCAATAGGATTCGCCATTGTTCGATAAGTAATTCGATGCATCTGAGTCTCGACAATTTCTAGCATTTGCTTTCGATGAAGATCATACACAGTGGGTCTTTTACGCCAGGTTAAACATGTCTTTTCCAGAACTAGAATAATGATCATTTGCCAACCTCCCTTGGGCCTGAACCAGTCTTATTGACTGATTTCTTAGTTGTTTCGTCAGCAATCGCGATGCCTATGTGATCCAAGTTCTCCCCGAGATCTAATTTGAACTTCTTCGCTTCAGTAATTCCATCTTCCTGTGACGCAGTCTCGATTTCCTCAACCTCGTCACCGTTAATTGCTTCAATTTCTTCGGGTGGAACAAACTCGGGCGACAAAATCTCTGATATTTCTGACATTTATCAACGCTAGCACTGTGTCGGACCGCGAATACAAGCACCCCCTTCTCGAGGAAGCGTGGTGAGAAGTCAATAAGTCCGTCCGGTCCATGAGAGCCCAGCACGGGCCAATTGGGACGCCCCCGAGGCGCACCGGCCTACGTTGGTCGTCCCGTCCCGCCCCACAAAGACAACGACGAAAACAAGCTGCTACCTCACGTTCTCAAGCTCTGCGTTCAATTCAAACTATTGGGATTTTCCCTGATGCTTATACGCTCTCATATCGGAACAGTAAACAAGAATGAATCTGGACCGATTTTCCACATTCAAATGACTCTTCTTTGATTTAGAACTGGAATTTTATTCAGTTTCGCAGTGTTTTATTGAAGGGAATGTACAAAAGTGAACGTGAAAATGGTGTGGTGAAAAAGGAATGGATATAAGTGAGTAGGTTCGTGAAGGGGTGTTGACGGTGATTAAAAGTACATGCTTCCATTGCAGCCATATACAGATTTGTCGAAGTTAATTGTTTTATCCATGACTGGCGGGGGCTAAATTTGACCCTTTAGAAATTGAAAACGAAGGGTTGAAGAGTACCTCAATCATGGTCGTCCACTGGCCGGAGCTTCTTCTAGGTTGACGATATTTCATTCGAGCACGATCGCCGGCGATGTGGTCGAAGATGTGTTGAAGCTTGATCTCGCCGTCAGGGTTGATTGCAAAGAACACTTTTTCCTGCATGTTCTCGACGCTAAATTTTTGCTAGTTTCTTCGCGAAAGGCAGTTTAGGCTACTCACGATCTTTCGTAGTCGAAATATTGGTCGCGCAGTGCAGCTTTGAGCGGCTTCGACCAGAGTTGTAAAATACTTTACCCTAGCCTCAAAGTAAAGTAAAGTATGGTAAGGTAGAAGCTATTTTTCAGTTTCACTTTACTTTACTTTACTTTAAGATTTTGAAAGTGATCTCTACTTTGCCAATACTTTACCATGAAAGATAAAAGTGCTTTCTACTTTACTTTACTTTACTTTATGATTTTCAAAATGAACTCTACTTTACTTTACTTCACTTAAGATTTTTAATAATGATTTTACTTTACTTTGCTTTATGTTGGAGTTTTCTCTAGAAAAATCTATTGATATTTATGAAATCTTATTTTACGCTTAACAAGCGATTATTTCTCTAGACTTGCTATTTTCGCAAGCATTTTTCAATAAATTTTCATAACACGATGCCGCCTAAGCGCAAAAGAGATTCCTTGGAGGTTTTTCAAGCCCCAACTGATGAAAAAACGAAGAAAAGACTCAAAACAATCTTGGAGCATGACGATATTGCCCCATATAATCTCGGGTCGTTGGAACTCGGATACATTGAAGGAAAGCCGACTGGCCTAGTGCTTTGCGAATGTGGAGAATATTTTGTCGCTGGTTCAAACGGAGCTCTTCATCTCGACAAAAGTATTTATTTACAGGATAATTTTTAGTCATATTTTTATTCTAAGTAAGAATACATTTGGGTCGTAACCACGCATCTCGATCATCCCCATGGGATAAAAAATTGAAACAAATCCCTGAAGACCTTGTCAATGATGTTCATCGACAAAACGCTGTTTGCATCGCAACACACAATCTCCCGATGAATATATTTTCTGAGTAAGATTAAAATGATTGTGTTGAAAATAAACATAAATAAGGAAAGCATTTGTGGAGCGCGATCGAATCCTGTTGAAAGGACTGTCACATGACCCTGAAGGGGCTCAAGATCTCAAAATGAGCAGATATCTACTCCGAAAAAGAATCCGTGATAATGCAATATCGATGAAAGAACACCTTGGAGGAAATTTCGTTCTTCTGGCAAACAAAGGATTTATTTCCTTACTATACGATCACAAGACTGTGGGAAACAAGACCTCCGATTACCAGGATAATATTCTGTCCTTGGTATGTCTTATTCATCTTGGAAATCGATCCAAGCCGTATACGCTTTTCTTCGAGCCTGTTGATTCTCTAACGAAGCTGGACACTGTACAAACGATTCGAGACGCCCTCATGAAAGACTACGGTATCAACCTTGATGAAATAACAACTCCGTTGCCAATAACAGTCGACGGTGGCGAATATCACAGCGCTAAAACGCTGTCTGTCGCGTTCAATGTATGCCTCGCACATTCAATGAATGTTGCTTCAAAGGTTTGAAATTTTTTGGCAAAAGTGCGCTCATAGGTTAATATGCCAATTTTTTGGCACAAGTGCACTCATGGGTTCACATGCCAATTTTTTGGCATAAATGCGCTCATGGGTTAACATGCCAATTTTTGGCATAAATGCGCTCATGGGTTAACATGCCAATTTTTGGCACAAATGCGCTCATGGGTTAAAATGCTAATTTTTGGCACAAGTGCGCTCATGGGTTAATATGCCAATTTTTTGGCACAAGTGCACTCATGGGTTAAAATGCCAATTTTTGGCACAAGTGCGCTCATGGGTTAACATGCCAATTTTTGGCACAAATGCGCTAATGGGTTAATCCGCAATTTATTATAACTTAAAAACCTTTACAGGTTAAGGAATATTTTTAGGGCGCTGTAATTTATGCGCAACGGTATTTCGACCTGGAAAATGAAGAAAAACGAATTGACAATTTTCTTTTGAAAGCACGAAAGGGTCTGAGCAAGGAAGAACTCAAAATCATGAAGAAAGAAGGCATGCCACAAAGCCTCGCGGATTATTTCTACGATCTTCCAGTAACAGAAAAAGATTCCGTGAAAATCTTCAATATGAGGAATCCGGAGTCAAAACTAGAAGGCGATGCGCTCAAATCGATGGCGGGAAAAAGATCACCCAGTATCCAATGCCGGCGAATCTTAACAAAATAAGATTCAACAGAATGGATCAGCATCTTGACTTACTTCTCTGCTGGGAAGGTAGAAAGACCGTTATTTTTTCCTACAAAAATTGTAGATAACATGCTGATGATGGACTCCGCCAGCTCCAAATACAGATATCTTATAACTTCACTTGCCGATGATTATCCAAATATGGCCTATGTTCGCGCGCACAAATTGGTCACAACGATATTTAGGAAGCATATTCTCCGTGCAGAGAAGAACTCTACTAGGGTGCCAGATGTATCTCAAATTTTCGAAGATTGTTTTCGAGACATTTTGAGTCTCAATTTGACTGCGCATAACTATGATCTAGAGACTGCTGACAATATAAACAGTCTTTGCAAAGGTAAATTTTCAGAAAAAAGAAATATTATTTTTCATTATTTCCAGGCGCAACTTTAAAAATGATGATGATGGTCTTTGGCTCGGCGCGTGTGCCTTTTGAAGGCTCATTTACTTTGAAGAATGGAGACGAACCACCTAGAATGACTTTGGTCAACAAGGCGTCAATGTTTATTGACTTCAATCGCCAAAAATGCAATTTTTGGCGGCTAAGAGAGGCTTACAGAAATTCAAAAGGAAGGATTAAATAAAATTTTTAAAGAAAATTTTATCTTTATCAAAATAATATTATAAAGATCCATTAAAAGACCCGTTTTTGTAGCTCAGGAGCTCGTCATTTGCAGTGTCACTACCGATTGGCCAAATGAAGCTCGGGATTTTGTTGTTCAACTATCTCAAAAGCTTGAAACGGAACCAGAAGAACTAATCATGGACGAATTGGTGATCGAGGAGCGAAACTCGGATATTGATCCAGATGTTCTGAGACAGTCACGAGGATCTCAGCCAAGAATCAATTCACCATCAGTTGAAGGTAATTTACTTCTATCGAAAAATTATTCAAAAAAATAACAAGGCGAAATCGAGCGATTCAAGAATTCCGGGGAGAATATGTGGAGGGCTGCAATAAAGGCAGTTGAAAAAATGGGTGCGCAAGTTACTGCCAGCTCATGCTTACGGTCTTTCTACAAATTGTACCGGAAAGACTTTCCAAGATTAGGAAAGATTGCTGATTATGTAAGTTGACGCATGTATTCAAAATTATACTGTAACTTAAACTTTTAAGTTATGCGCAATGAATGGTTCTGCGAGCGAGATTGAGAGGAGTTTCGCTAGTACTACGGCGCAGGTCCAAGATCCAAAGAAAAATAGAACGAAAGCTGCGAAAATTGAGGAAACACTTCAGTTCAAGCAGTCCAAAGAGTTCTTGGACATGATGAATGAGGCGCTCAAAATGGTCAAAAAGGGCTTATAAGGCTATTTTTTTATAATCAGATTTTATTTTAATAAAGCTTAAATTTATTTTCTTTACTTTGAAATATTACTTTACGTTTCTTTGCAACTGGCGAAGTGGAGTCAGTTTCACTTTACTTTGCTTTACTTTAGAAAAAAAAAGTGAAGTCTACTTTGCTTTACTTTACTTTAAGATCATGATGGTGGGTTTTACTTCACTTTACTTTACTTTAAGATCAATGCTGTCACTTTAACTTCACTATACTTTACTTTAAAATGGCCGAGACAATTTTCACTTTACTTTACTTTAGAAAATTTTAAAGTAGATTTTTGTCACTACTTTACTTTATGGCAAAGTAAAGTATTTTACAACTCTGGCTTCGACTCTGCCCAATACGGAATCTTCTTCCTGGGCGCTTCGTCGTCGTCTGTCTCGTCTCCTGACTCAAGATCGTCGATGTTGTAGTTGTCTTTCGTCGAGGGGTTCATCTCCCACTTGTCACAGCCTTGAGGAGTCATTTCGTAGTTTTGGCTGCTAGGAACCGGCATTGATTTCAGTGGCGTCGTGTAACTTGGCTATAAATATTTGATAAGAATTCATTTACTTGAAAATGTTGCTAACCTCTGGATGATGAACATTTTTGATTTCGACCTCGTCGTCACTCTCGACCGACTGCATTCTAATGGGCATCGACTGCGGCTGTTGAATCGGCGTCTCAGGAGGAGCGAATGCAGGAGCTTTGATTGGAGTGTTGTTCTTCTTTTGCATCGCCTCAATTTTCGAGCGCAGATTACCGATTTTTTCACCGGCTTGCTCGACTTGGCAGGTGTCTTTTTCAACTGCATTTCTCGCTTTTTAGCCTGCTCCTCTTCCCGCTTTTTCTGAAAGCAAAAATCGTTGGAATCGAAAGTTGAAAATGGGGAATTACCTTGACAGCGGCTAATTTTTCTGCCTCTTTCTTTTTCTTTTCTTGACGCTCTCTTTCTTTCTCTTTCTTCATTTCCTCGATTCTCTTCGCTCGTTCGTCCTCTTTCGCCTTTAGATCGGCCTTGCTTGGCGTCTTCGTGAGAAGGGTCTTACTGGAGGAGCTCGTCAACTTGCTCTTAGATGGAGTCTTGAACAATGGCCCTCGAGGAGAAGCAAATGGGCTAGCAATCTTGGACGCAAACTTTTTGAAGCTGGGTGTTCGGCTGAAGTTAGAAGCCGAACTGCTCGTCGTCGAGTTCGCTGACGCTTTGACGGAGCTAGAAGACATCGTAGACTTCTTCGAGGCTGTCGATAGATTTGATCTAATCGATGACTGGGAACGCGTCGAACTTGTCAGGTTCGATCGCGTCAGTGATGTCGGCTCAGGCTTCAGAGGCGCTGCCATTGCGTTCTGATAAGATTGTCGCATTCGTGGAGAACCGTACTCGATTTTGAGCTCTTAAAAATAAAGTTAGCATTTGAAAACATGGAAGAGTACTCACTGTTATCGACGAGTCGATTGACAATATCCGCTTTTCGCCCAACTTTTGGCAAGTTTTCTTTGTCGCAGATCTTCTTGAGTTCAATGACTTTCAAGCTCGAGTATCGCTTCTCATACTCGACTCTCGAGCTATCGATCTGCTCGAAGAGAATCTGCTCGCTGGAAGGGCCCTCCGGTGTCTCCTCCCCTTCCTCTGGTTCTTCTTCGACTGACTCCATAGTCGGAACCTCTTTGGCGCTCTCAGTGCTTGGCTTCTCGTTTTGTACGGCGAGAGAAGGTCTGGAAGCTTCGGCCTGGCTCTCGTCGACGTCGAGGCAGATCGTCGGCACTGATTCGTCGAGCGACTCTTCGAAAAGCCGCTTCGCGCGCTCCTTCATCGGCGTCTTTGGAACTGTGTCAGTTTCCAAGAACGCCAAGATGTCAAGCTCGATTTGGCGGGTCTCGTAGAGGAAATCGACGAACTCGTTATCAAACTCCGTTGGTTTGATGACGAACTTTTCGTTCGGCTTCATCTAAAATCACAAAAGTTAGAAATAATCCTTCAAAATAGATATTACCGTCACTGGAGCGCGTATTGGAAGTGGCGGAGCCTTCTTTGACGCAGATAGGTCGACGATCTTCTCAAGATCTGTCGACCAAATCTTTCGCTTTCGCCCGAACAACGTTTTGTCGCTCGTGGCGTTCATGTCCCGCAGAACCGATTTCGCAAGTCTTTGAATTTCATCCATTTTCAATGTTCTAAAAACATAAAATGTCAGTCGACTAATGTATCCATTATTATTAATAGTTAGAGTCGGTTCATATATTTTCAAAATATATGACCGATTCTATAAGTTGGTTAAGTGAATGGGTTAAAACAGGAGCGGTCAAAAGTGAAGTAAGTCGGTGTAAATCAATCTCTGTAGTCCCTTTCGTCTTCTCTCTATTTCGTCACGGCTTACTGTGGTGGTCCACCCATATTCTGGAACATTTTTCGCATTTCCTCGACCTGCTCTGGGTTGTTGCGCATCATTTCTTGTGCCATCTGCATACCCGCCTGCATCGCAGCTAGATTTGTTTTCAAGATACCGTTTGGCCGTTAAAATGATGACATAAACAAGTTTGATAAAATATCTAACGTAAAAAATACCTGGGTTGAAGCCGCCCGCTCCCATGTCAGGGAGACCGGCAGGAGGGCCACCTTCTTCTCCACCCATGGGAGGCATGGGCATGCCCATTTGGCCCATCATGTTCTGCATCATATTTTGCATCTGAGGGTTCTGCATCATGTTTTCAGCCATCTGACGCATCTGAGGATTCTGCATCATTTGCTCCATGGCAGCTCCCATTTGGCCGAAGTCGGGCATGCCGCCGGGTCCCAAGCCAGCAAGACCACCGGCAGGGGCTTCCTTGAGCTTTTCTTTCACGATCTATAATTCGGTTTTATTGCCCCTGTAAACCAATCGATGAGTGAATGGTTTAATAACTGTTGTAATTATGGTGCAATATTGATTTATTACCTCGAGGTTCTTTTTGTAGCTTTCATTATCCGGCTCGAGCTTGAGCGCTTTCTCGTAGCAGTTCTCTGACTCAGCGTACAATTTGATCTTTGAATAAATAAGACCCATTCGGGAGTAAGCCTTTGAGTAGTCTGGCTCAAAGGAGATGGCCTTCTTGCAATCCTGGAGAGCTTCTTCATAGTTCTCGATAGAAGTCTTTTAATCGTTTTACAAAAAGAGAAATTCAAAAAGTTTACTTTTCAGTATAAAAAGAGCGTGCGGTTGCTATTGGCCCTATTTGAAAAGTGCGCGGCGATGCGTGCTCAAGTTCACGCCAAAAATGCGCGCACCAATGAGCGCAGCTGCACGGACCGAACCAACTCGCTTTGAAACGGGCTAAAACTGATCGATGGGAACGGGCCTTATTAGGCAAGGCGACGACATCTGAGGTCACCCGCAGAGGAGAATCGGCAATTTTGAAACCTGTCAATGCAGGTGACCTGCATGGGAAATTATGCATCATTTTGTAAAACCTGCATAAGCGGCGGCTCTGTTGCAGTAGTAAATAGCGCTTTCTTGAACCTTGATGGCTTCGGAGTACTTTGCGATAGCATCTGAAAAATAAACGGTTTTTTAAACGACCTTGAGAGTATAACTGACCTTCGAATTTTTTGTCTTTCATGAGTTGATTTCCTTCACTCTTCAATTTGTTGGCGAGTGATAGTTCTTCCTCAGTCACTTCTCGTTGGTTCATGACTGATAAGAAAAATTGGACTATGTGCAATTGAATGAATACGCTTACTATCAGGAGCAGCATCAGTAAGAAGCTCGAGAATACAGGGAAGTCCTTCAGCATCTTCCGGAGTGGTGTTGAAGGCCATCGCAAGGCACTGAGAAGCGACGTTGAGGGATTCCTCCTGATCGGGGGTGATCATCTTGCCTAAAAAGCGGTAAAACGCAAGAATATCCACTGTAGCTCTTACCATCAATCTCCGACTTGAGGTATTTGAGAACCGAGGCGATGAGAAGCTTACGGTTGTTCGACATAACGATTAAGCTTTCTGAAGATTGGAAAAATAAGTGATTGCGAAGCGGCAGAATGTGGGTGAATTTTCAGATCAGTAGAAGGCAGTTTTAAGGATTGTTATGAACTTTGTCAGTGACTGCTTTACATAAGCAAGAGAGCATCAGATCCATTTTACCAACGAAGTTTGCGCCTGCGAGTTTTTCCCAGTCGACTTCGCGCCACTAGAAAGACAGTTAGTCTGCGGAAAAGATTATCTGCTGAATCACCTCATTGTCGGTAAGGACTTTCCATTTTGGATCCAGCAATAAATCGGAAGAGGGTGTGCTGTTCGTCGTTTTTTCCTCGATATAAACTCGAATTTTCCTATTTTCTGTTCGTACGGATACACGGCCAGTAATTGATTGTGATGAGGATGGAGGTGCCAGAAGCAGACATCCCTTCGATGAGCTCAAGACGGTCCAGTCGATGATCCTGGAATGTGATTCACATTCTCTTCCTTGATTTCTCTCGCTTACCTAACAAGTCCGGCGAGGCAAGCAACTTGGAGCGACAGTAGTTCACCTTCTATGACACGTCTCATCTCTGCAGTGTCTGTACCAAGCTCGACGATATTTCCATCGCGCTGAATAGCGGTGCACCCGTTAATGCCAACATTGAGCAACATCGAATGCATGCCAAATTGTTTCGTGCACATTTCATAACCAGCAACACTTGGATTCCGATTAAAAAATGAAGATAAAGATTGAAAGCACCTGAAGTGGACTTTGATCGACGTATGCACAGGGTTCTGAATGATGGGCCAGTGAATGTGAATGTTCGGCTCTGCGATCTCCTTCGCAATGCTGTCGAGCTCCTCCTCAACTCGACGCAGAAGCTCTGCGTGCTTGGCAGCTTCGATAATTTTGTGTATCATTGGCACTAGAAAGAGTTCCAATATCTGAAGAGAAAGATGAGATTTGTACCTGTTTTTCTCATTCGCTCTATTCTCGGTAAATTATACGGCTTTGTCGCTGCGATCCTCTGTTTTTTCGTCATACCCATTGTTGCGATCGTCGGATGAGGCGCGGGGCATGATTTGGACGCCGCGTGATGTTCTCGCAAAAGTTTGGTTAGATGTTGCTCCAAGCTAGAGACACGTGTAATAAGAAGATCTAGAACATTCTCGATTACCAGAACCACCGTCTTTCAGACGATCTATCGAAGGGCATTTCATCGCCAGCTTTGAATGGTTTCCGACAAAGTTCGATGATTAGCTTCGTATCTGGGAATATTTGAGTGGAAATATGGTCGCCGATCATGTAAATTGGAACGATAGGCCGGTAACAAGACACTTCTCTGCACAATTGACTGAAAGAAAAATTAAAACGGAATCAAGCCGCTTCTGATTTACCTAAATAATTCTCTAGTGAATAGGCTGTGCTGCGCTTGACGCAATTCCTCAAGATATCCTTTTTGCTTGTATTTAGTTGAAATGACATGATGATAGGTTGACACGGTCTCTTCTTTCGTTACTTTTGACAGGTCCACTTTCAAGGAATCGTTGATATCGCAGCGAACCAGCTTTATGCTCAACCAGGCCATGTTCTGAAGCTCGTGCGGAAGTCTGATTTTGAGTGGACAGTTTTCTCGCGAACAGTCGGCATCGCGTATGACTTCGAACTCTCCCAAAGCAGGGTAGCTTGATCCCGCAGTTCTGAAGCTCAAGTCTCCGAGGATCTTTTCGCCCTTTCTTCGCAATCTGTAATGTTGGCGCAGATACTGTAGCTCCTGATGAAAGTCAGGTTGTTTTTCGTTTCGCTCCAGACGCTCGGCTCCTTCTTTAATGACTTTGGAGGCAAGAAGGAAGCTCTTCTTCTTTGCCGCTACTGATGAGGCTCGCAATTGCTCGGTCGACGATGACGCTGGGCCGGAAATACTTGCCAATTGTAAGATCTTCTGTGGAGGTTGTCCAGGCTGTTGTTGGGGATTCGCAGGAGGCGCTGGGTTCGTGTTGTGATTGAGAACAGCGAGCACGTCGTGGAGAACTCTTACTTCTGTTAGCGCTTCGAAGATGCTTTTTCTAACTTCGTCCCAGGGATTTTCCTTTGGCTCAGCTTTGGTCGGAGACGCTTCTACTTCCTTTTTGACTTCAACTTCGTTGTTGTCTTGCAGCTCTTTACCGAAGTCTATTCGCTGAGTAGCCCGTCCAAATTGCTCCGACATAGACATCGGCTGGATCCATGTCTCTTGGCCGTTGAGGGCAATCTCTTGGATGAAACATTCTTTTTGCCCCTCGATGGCAAGCTGCACATCATTTTGCATGATTACTACTCGATTTCTGAATGATGAACTCAGATTTTCATGTCGTGTGTTTGGGTGAACTTTTAGAATTGTTTGTTAGGCAGTGAGAGATGAGTGGAAGAATAGCTTGAAGATAGAAGCTCAGGGACTTTGATGAAAGAGAATGAAATTTCATGTTAAAAATTAATAGAAGAGTCCACCGAAGTAGTTGGACTGCTGTGATTGGTGCCGAGCGTTGAACGAGTCGAATGCTGTTCGTTTCTGCTCCTCTAAAATATTATTTTTTTCTCCTGGAAGAAATGGCAATTACGAACCGAGTGATTCTAGCGCCACTCTGTACTCGTATCCAAGCGTATCCGTCAGTTGAACGTTGGTGCAGCCAACGCTTGAAGTTGGAGCGTATCGATGATAGTCGCTCTGCATGAGCTTTGTACCAGGGTATTGAATCACTAGACGATTTTGATAAAGAAATCAATTTACGGATGAATACCGAGTTTTTCGATAGAGTTGTGGACATCATCTTGGCCGTGGTGAGAAGCGCGCAGCAGTCGAGCCTGAATAGGCTTCAATTCAGACGACAAAACGTCGAGCTTCTCTTTCCAATCGGCGAAGAAAGTCATCCCGGGAGCTTGAAAATGGCCGATGTGCATGTTTTTCGTTGGCTTGGATGCGTCCAAGCAAAGCGTTGTTGCCCCGGAAAGAGACATTCCGTAGCCAAATGTTGGTTGACTAGATTTGAATAAGAATTTTATTTGCTTGAAGATTTGTACCGTTTGATATAGACTGATGGAATCGTAAGCTGAAAAACCTGATTGATAAGAGAGTGTCCCTGGTAGATAATCTCTTCGATTTCGTTCAGATCATAGTCATGAAGAACAGCGAGATTTTCGAGCCAGCACTTTGATGATCCTGTCTCCATATCTTGAAAGAGAAGCTCGCAGTTTTCAAAGATGATTAGCCGCTTGTTTTGATCTTCCCAATCGGCTAGCTTTTCGCTAGATACTTATTGAAAATGTTGTTCTCGGAGAGTTCGCCTACCAAAGAAAGTTCAATTCGTCAAATATTGAAGGATTCTTGGGCGTATGCTTGTGTGGCTTCCACGTGACAACCCCAGCTCCAGCCTTTTCCATCAAATTAAGCCTCGCAGTTTGTCGCGCCGAAGAGCGAAATGAAAACTTCATTCCAGACGCGAACATTTTTCGCAGAATTGTTCTAATTTAGAACTTCTAAATGGACACTTTTAAATTCAAGAGGATGTAAAATGCATTGAACTCAGCACACATGTTTCATACTTAATTGGCAGTAGGGGTAAAATTAAACTAAATCAGTAATAAAGTGGTTATGCGCGGTTCAATTCGACAATTTTCTGAATACGGTAGGCTACAGGATGGATGAAGTCGCGGCTGACATTCTCATCAGCTCCCTTGGCCTGGAAATACTGGACTTCAGCATCGGTCAATCGCTAAATATTTGTTGAAATCAAGGAAGAGATTCAGATCAATAATCACCTTGATTGTCGTTTCATTCAAAGCGGAAGAAAGGCCTTGCTTCAACTCAGTCAACTGGGCATTTGTCAGTCCTTTTGCGCTCATATTTGCGTCTCCTGTATCCGAGTTGCCGAAGAGAATTGAACGATTCTTCTTCGGCGCTTTCGACAGATAAAACTCAACATGTTTCCAGACAATAAAGGATGCGGACTCAAGCTGCATATGCTGGATTTGCATGATTTTCTCGCTAAATAAACAATTAGGCTGAATTATTAGATATGAAACAAACCTCAAAGAGAGCTGCTTCTGAAGACAGTCCTTGGCTTTTTGTTGCTTTTGAGCAAGCGACAAACGTTCGCCACTTTCTAGCGTATCGTTCGAAACTCCGGCCAGCTCGTCGAGGGTGACTGAAGCATTGAAAAACAAGGTAAATTTAAATGACTCACCAGCAGGAAGTGCTGCCACATTTTCCAAGTTTCGCTGCTTCAGCGTAAACGTCTGAATGGTCTCAACGAAATCCGCGGTCGCTTCTTTTAGAAGCTTGATGATCACTCCGAGGGGCAAGTCTTCACTAGTGGACAGCGTCTCCGGAGAGAGAATTGGACTCAAAACGATATTGACACTGCTGCCTTTGTTCTTGTAGTAGGTGTTCAAGATGATCTGTGTGATCATCATCGTGATGTTCGCCGACGTTCTCTGGGCAGCGAGATATGCTGATCTTTCAGTCTTCTCAACCCAGGACTCTGTAAGAATGTAAGTCGACTGAAGTGCGAATAAAAGCCGTCGGATCTTGTTTTGCTGCATCTCAAGATTAGTGATCGAGTCGGAATCATCGATATCCTTCTTGGTATCGTGAAAGTCATGGCCAGCGACGATACAGAGGACGGATGTGATCAGATGGATCTCTTCAAGAGACTCTTTGTCGGTGCTTAGGTTGTTGTAGGCGAAGATCACATTGGTGAGTGCGTCGAAGTGTTTGTAGACAAAGTAGAACACATGTTGCTGGATGTTGTCGTTACCAACGCCTGGAAACGAGTAACAAAATGAAGCAAAACGAAGCTTTACCTAGTGTGCTTTGAAGACACATAATCAGACGCAAGACAGGGAAAAGGAGCATTCTGTATCGATGGATCTTCTCCTCATTGCCTTGCCCGTCGCCCATGTTCGAGACAACCGGTCGCATGTCAAGAAATTTAGCATCTGAGAGCTGCTGAATGATGCCAGTTTCGACTAGTGCTCTAGCACCGACTCGATGCCTCGCGAGAGTGCTGAGGAGTGACATTCGGGACTCGTGGACGTAGACTGAAGCGAGATTTCCGTTGCCTTGAAGGGACTCGACAAGAACAGCATCTTCGAGAAGCAACGATGAAATGACCTGCTTTAGGTATCCCTTCTCTCGCATAAATGTGAGCCACTTTTTATCACCATCGCGTCTCATGATCGAATCGAGAAGCGCGTAAGCGAGAGTCCGTGTCACTGAGTGACCGTCAACTGCATCTTGACAGGTTATTTGCATGATGCTTGTTCCATAAAGGTTCAAAATCCTCGCGGCCGAGTTTGAAATGGGCCCAGAATTAACGATCGTATCGTTGAAAAGTCGGGAAGCATGCATGTCCGTTTGAACTAAAAATATCATTTGGCAAGGATGAATTCTGTTTTTGAATACCTTGGAAGTCAGGTTGGAGCTGGAAGTAGTTGAGAAGTGAGGCGTAGAGATGGGATCTGACGCGCTGACTTTGCGCACCAATAGCCCATTGAATCAACCCCTCGCCAATACTGGGCAAGAGTGTTGACGATGGGATGATTGGCGTTGCAGTCATCTCACTTAAAGTTCCATCCAAAAATGTTGCCGACGAAGTCTCATGAAGAGCGTTCGGGTCTTGTTGCTGCTTCAAAGAAATTCTGAGGTGAGTCATGATCGCCATCGCTAATGTCGACAGCATAGACGTGAGTGAAGTCATTGACTCGGGACGATTAACGCAGCTCAAGATTTCCTGCAGGATTTCCTGCAAAATTGACACTCTTACTGCTCCTGGGACAATTTCCATGGGCCCAGCGATGCAGACCTCGAGAAGCTGTCGCCATCCTTCCAAGAAATGTACTTTTGCTATGGTCAGTTTTTGGTTGATATTAATCCTTTGTAGCCATCGTAAAACTTCAGTGACTTCGGCTTCCAGTCTTGCAGGGATTTGGCCGTTAGAGTCGACTTGTGATGTGAGTTCGCCTTGAAGTGAGTTGTGAACTTTGAGTAAATTAATAACGCCGTCTTCTTTTGACTGAGTTGCCAGTTGTTCGACAACGCCGATGTCTAGGAGATCAAAATTTGGCGGTTCGGGATAAGCGTCGGTGAGATCTAACACACGGAACATTGACATGATTGCAAGTGAAGTTGAGTGATCTGCGCCAAGAGCGGATAGTTCTCCAATCGTCAGAGTCGTATTCTTCGTCTGTCCGATGCGCCTGACATCTCCTCGCTGCAAAATTAGCTGGACAAGTCGTGCTGTTATACTTCTCTGTTTCGCCTGATTTGTGCAGTGTAGCTCAAGAGCAGAGAGCTTCAAAAGCCAACCAATGCTTCTGAGCTTCTCAACAGAGATCTCCTCAAGAGGTTCCTTGAATCCTTGCAGTCGATCAAACACAAAGTCATATGTCGATCTCAAATATCTGAGCACAGGAGCAGATGTTTCCGTATTCGAGCAAAGTCTGTAAATAGTTTCATACCCAAGTTCAAGTAGCTCTTCGTTTTCATCATCATCAGAACTCGACAGGAGTGCGAGAAGCGCATGCAATACAGTCTTCGGAGCGTTGAGGATTCCTGGATCTTGAAGACTGGCGGTGGAAAGAGGAGCTTGAAGAGGATAACCAAGGAGGAAATGACTAAAGGAAATCGATCGACAGTCAATGTACTGCAGGATGAGTTTCAAGACAGTGATCCGACAGGAACCGGCTTCCTCTTCAGTGAGCTCCAAGCATTGCCAGAATGATTTCATCAACTGTTCTCGATGTGAAGTTGTCCCAGAAACCATCAGACTCAGCATGTCGCCAGAAGAATATCGCTTGGACAAGTCGAGAAGGATTTCTAGTGCACTTTGAGCAAGAAGAGGTTGATCAGACGCGAATCCAACGAGTTTTGCGATCTGTCGAATAAAATCGGCCTTTTGTGTTTTTGGATTGATTGAAGCAAGTAGCTGGTGAATTGGAGTGAGAATGATCCCTGCGCCAGCGTCGCGGCAGTTGTTCATGAACACTTTTGATCCTCGAATAGCTGTAGACAGGATCCCAAGCGATTTTTGACCAGCTTTGAGAAGTCCCTCGTTGTACGATGATGGGTATTCCTCGAGATGTGAACCCGTCTCGCTCATAATATCGATAAGCTTTCGGAAAAGAGCAGAGTCTGATAATAGTTTTCTGAAAATGCCGAATCCTGGGTGCGTTGTTGACTCGGTGTTGAAATCATCTTGCGAAGGAGAATACGAAGCGAGCAACAGAGAGATTGTGTCCAGTACTGCGATGGTGATCTCCCATTTTTGCGACGGTTCTTTGTAAGAAAATGAGTCTAGGCGAAGTAGGACGTTGCTCAGTGCGAAATCAATGTAAGCTGTGACTCCAGGTGAGCGAGCTCCGGCGCCGAAGTTAAGTGGAAGTGGATACTCGCAAAGTTTCTGGATCAAATTGCAGAAGGCGATGGTCAAAGGATATCGCTCTTCTTGTGACTCGATTCGCTCGACTTCTTGAATGATTCCTTGAAGCACGTGATCACCGTCCATCGATACCCAAAGAGATGCCGCTGCACCTTCGTTTCCGATAAGTGTGCGAAGACAATCGAAGCAGGCAGCTTTCAACGACGGAGCAATGCCACACCGGAAAAGCTGCATCAAATAAATCGGAACGCGCCACGCCTGTTGTTCCAAAATAACCTGTCGTGAACTGGGGTCATTTTCCGCAACTGTAGAAGTTAATTTTATCACTGCAATCAATGCTGACGTTTCTTCAGGACTGATGCCAGCTTGTTGCGACCAATTAGTGTTCTCAGGCCCTGTCTCAACTCTCAAATGATCAGAGTATTGCTTCAACGATTCAAATATTCGTTCCCAAGATAGATTTCCAGCTGCTTGTCGGAGTAAGCGGAAACAGGAAGAGCTCGAAATTTCATCTTGAGATAGAGCTTCCAACATTTTCACAGTTGGAACATATAATTCTGCGGAAACCATGTCGATTCTGATGAAATCTTGAAGTGCAAGACAACGATGGGTCGGTTTCAGGCCTTGGAAAGCGTTCCAAAACTCAGCGTGGAATCCAAACGAGCTAAATTTCTTGTAAAAAGCAGTGATCAGATCGGCGAGCTCAATCCATAGTGATGGCGTTGAGCCTTTTCGGAGCTCCTTCAGTTTCAGAGGCATTAGAACAATGATATCTGTGATGAGTTTGTGAATTTGGCGAATGACAAGCTCGTTTTGAGGCTGAATTGCGTCGGAGTCGACAAGTTTTTTCAGGAATGTGAAGGCGCCAGCTTGAAGAGCCTTGTCCATGCACTGATCATCGCATTCAGTGAGTGTTTCAAGATTTGCGCTCAATGGTAGCTAAGGAAGAATTTAAATGGACAGAAACATAAAATGTTTACCTGAGTAAGGCCGCTCAAAGTCATCGACCAGGCCAACTGAACGATGCTCAAAATTTGCGCATTCTTGAAGTCAGGTGACTCATAAATTTTCGTGTGCAGCAGGGATATCCTCGTTGTATCCGAAAGAATCGGCAGAGCGGAGAGTGAGTCCATGTGATCCGTGTGCTCCACTTCGATCATGTGAATAACTGTAAAGAGCAGGGTGCAGTCGGACTCGCTTATCGTCCCCTCTCCATTTGGCTCCATTTTGGCAATGAATTCGACCAGTTCTTTCATGTTGCTTTTTGACATTCGCTCGTGGAAGGCCAAGCAGTAGATGCTCTCAGCAAGGAGCATTTTTGTGCTGACTATCAAATTTCTCACGGATCGCTTGTGCTCGGCATCGCCAAGTCCTCTTTGCTTGGCTAACTTATCCAGTTCGCCCTCGATACTCAAACTAGAATAAGCCTTCATCAAACTGCCGAAGATGTTCTCGTTCCAAAGCGAGTCCAAAAACTGCGCCGCCACATGATCGATTCCAGCGTTCATATTCGTATTCCCAAAGCTAGACTGGCACAGGTTCTTGAGCGAATGCAGAAGATCATTCCTGCCATCCCAATAAAGCAAAACGGCCACGAGGCCACGCGTTAAACCGGGAAACTGCGCAAGTCGATGCTCAGCTGACCAGAGAAGCTCGAGCGCACGATGCTCGTCCAAGTCGTAGAGCGACGAAATAATCCCAATTTCCGCAATAATGCTCTTGCTCAGTGTCTTTGGTCCCTCATCCGTCTCGATTGGCTCGCAATCACCCTTGTTGATTTGCGATTTCTTTGATGCATTGCTTGGACTGCCTGCTAGGGGCGTAAGCAGGTATTTTCTGTTTCTCTCTGAACACAATCTTTTGAAAAACAAAAAACGGGATGAAACCGTACCTAATAATTGAGCCACCTCCGCAGCATTTCCAGACTGTAACGCTTTTAAAAGATCTTTGAAGTTTTGCCAAACTACCGAAGTCGAGCAGCTAACTGTAGACACAGTCATCTGAAAGTAAAAGGGGTGAGTCACAACTAACAGTTTAGTATTTGGCCTTTTTTGAAAGTAGAGAATACATACATAAAAATACAATTGGGCGAACAGTTCGAAAAAAGAATAATGTTTCAGTATGGTACTAAAGTAGAGCGGTTTCGGCAGTTTATGATTTAAAGCATGAGGTTTGAAAGCGTGATGAGCAGTTAAAATGTACAGTAGTAGTTAATGACTGTTGATAGGGTTAGGGTCATCTATCTTTTATTTCAGGGCCCTGTATCAGATAACGGGAATCGATGTTTATCCGCCTTTTTTGTTCAATACAAGTTATGAACCAATTAAGCGTTACATTTGAGGCGCCACGCACTTTGCTTGAGTGCTTCTTGTCATAATGAACTAAAAGAAAGTTGCAATAGCTTCATAATGATGGCTAGGGTAAATCACTAATATTTGAGCTCTTTTTTGGGCTTTGTAGAAGAGGCATATAATACCTTTTTATAATCCCCAGAAGCTGAGGATCATTTTGACTATTGATAGTGGGGGGTCATCTCGTACCCTGAGGCCATTTTGGTACCCCGGAAGTCCCAAAATGTGGCCAACTTCGGAAATTCGAATTTTCGAGGCCGTAACTAAGCTTTTTAGACGGAGCTATCTATACCAGCTTGTAGCTCAGGCTCTGACGGTTATTTTGAGGGGTAGAAAAGTATGTCCCGGGCTACTCTAGAAAGTGGTGGAGGTGGTGCAAAGCTGGGGTCAAGACCAAAAGTCCAGCTAAAATGAACTCTTATATGATTTAAATACAGTAACACTTTAAAAAAGCAACTGTAAATACATAATTGGTCACCCGAGGTCAACTTGGGGTCACTCAGGGTCATCTGGGGTCATGTTGGGGGTGTTATTTAATTCAAGACGTATTTTTTAAATCTTGACCTTAGATGACCCCGAGTGACCCCAAGTTGACCTAGGTGACCAATTATGTATTTACAGTTGCTAAAGTGTTACTGTATTTAAATCACGTAAGTTCATTTTAGCTGGACTTCCGGTCTTGACCCCAGCTTTGCACCACCTCCACCTCTTCTAGAGTAGCCCGGGACATACTCTACCCTCAAAATAACCGTCAGAGCCTGAGCTACAAGCTGGTATAGATAGCTCCGTCTAAAAAGCTTAGGTACGGCCTCGAAAATTCGAATTTCCGAAGTTGGCCACATTTTGGGACTTCCGGGGTACCAAAATGGCCTCAGGGTACGAGATCACCCCCCACTATCAATAGTCAAAATGATCCTCAGCTTCTGGGGATTATAAAAAGGTATTATATTCCTACTCTACTTAGCAAGAAAAAAAGTGGAAAATATTAGTGATTTACCCTAATGATGGCGAAGGGTCTTACTGGCAATATAGTCGACGAATGTATCAATAGCCTCGTCTGAAACATCTTTGTCCGTGCAAATTGCGCCAAGTCGAATGGCGATGCGCGTCATTTTGTTGCGATGCTGCGGCTTCATGCAAAATTTGATTAAATATCCTTTCAGAATCGTTGATAAATTTCTCAGGTTAGGCTCGAAGATATAGTCTCTTTTCCCGAGCGCGCGTTTCCTCTTCGTTCTAAGGCACTTTTCAAGCCATTCTATCGAGACAATCGGAATATCGCTGGCCAAACAGAAGAGACCGATCGAACTGTAGCCCCTGACAAAATGAAAACATGGAAGATAATCGTTGGTCTTACTTGAGTGTTTTTCCTTTATCCTCTGCAATACACAAAATTGTCTTTGAAAAATCATGTTCGTTGACGTCCAATTTGTCGCAGACTTCTCCTCCCATCACGTGCTCGATTTGCATTCTGTATTTATCCGCCAGCTTTGATGGAGCAAAATCTAGTCAGGGTTATTTAGAGAACGGTGGCTTGAGCTTTGGTTGCTTACGAAAAACATGACGGTAAAAGGGAAACTTGTCGAGCAAGGTATCCACAGCACTGGTTTTGCGAACTCGAGGCGTGAAGGGATTGTAATTTAGTTCTTAAACTCCAGTAAGCACTTTTATAAATTTGAGCGAAAACAACCATAAGTAGGAAGAGGATTGTCCGGCATTCGTATACTATAATCTCTGATAATATTCTCGTTGACGACAATTGCGCAGTCGGTCATTTGAACAAGCCTGACTGTATCGTCGTTCAAGTCTTGGCATTCGTAGCCCGACCATTTAGTTGCCATACTCATTACATCCTTGCTATCGACATCCGGTTTTCGACGGCCCCAGAGGCCAATCACTTGAGTTGGTAACCACCTGTCGTTGCTAAATATCATGTGACTTTCTCATCAATAGGATCATCCTATAATAGGATGGTCAGATACACCTAATTAATCAAGAATTAACTATCGAGTTAATCTAAGCTGTTAAAACAATGATTCAATGGCAATCGAGATGCTAGCACCAAATGTTATATTTAGCGTTTATACCTGCAGTTCATATTTGCGTCACTAGAAAAAGTATTAAAACCAGATAATGATACGTACCAGGAAGGAAAGGTGACAAGGGAAAGAGGGAGGATGAATATGACGGACACCAGAATGAATGAATTCTTTTTGCAGTCAACCGATCGACCCGATGTACTTACGTTTCCGTCACTCTGCGATAGAATTTTATATCAGACTTTCTAATTCTATCTTCGCTGAGAAGCAACACATGTGATTTCTTGATAGTGACAGTTTTCATGAAGTCAGCGTCGAGATAGACGACTTTTATGTTCGCGCTAGAATTGGAGGTTAGAATCTGGGAATCAGCATTTGATACCTTCTTTGATCGAGTATTTGCTTGATAAGCGCGGGGTAGAAAAGTTCTTCTTCTTGTTCTTTCGGAGCGTCGCCGATGAACTTGGCCCAAACGAGAGAGCCAACACTCAAATCGACCATGGCATCACAAGACATAGACGTGCTCGTCGACGACGGGGAGTTCTGAAAGGACGAGCAGGAACCAAAGAAGTTGTAGTCGGTGCCGTTGCTGTTTTGGTTTGAAAACTGGTTCGAAATGGTGCTGGTCGGGGTCGGATCGTCGTCGATTTCTTGCTTCACTTCGTTGCAGTAATCTTGCGCTGTTTCCATCACTGGTTGCGGTAGATTTTCGCTGGTTTCTGCAGAATGCATCGTTAGCTCGTCCATCGTCGGCGGGGTATTTATATAATCGGAAATGCTCATCTACGAAAAAACGATAGAAAAAAATAACAAAATTGCCAATTTACCTTCGATCGAAAATTTGAGACTGGCAAATTGTCATCTTCTTCATCCGCCGGTTCCGATTTAACTTTCTCTAGCTCCATTTGCTGTTCTCTAAGAGCAATAAGATCCGAAAGTCTCTCATCGTCATGTGCGTCGTTTTCTCTATTTTTAATAATACGCAGGCTGCTTTGCACTTGCGTCTCTATCTGATTTTGCTCTGACTCGGCTTCAACGACTTTTGGCTTCTTTTTTGCTCCGGGCTGACTTTCCATTCTGCTCGCCGGAACTCGCCGTTTCGAAAATAGCTTCGCGTGGAGATGGCTGGCCAGAGTTGGAAGACCAGGATTGAATGTTTTTGACGCGCTGTTGCATTCGAATATTAGTTGATCAAGGGAAATCTTCTTTTCTACAAGAAAACTCAGTTAGATCTACCGAAATTGCCGAATTTACCTTCGGTGTGAATATCTTCAAGCCTGACATCTTCTTCCTCTCGGTGATAAAGAAGCCCGTCAGAGCTCGAAGTGTCCCTGAGAACGAGGTATTTCTCCTTGACCTCGACGATCTTTCTCCGATGAATCGTTCGAACGCGGACGTACTCATTCAATTCTTCATCAGAAATACTCGGAGGGGTAAGAACTTCTTGGGGAGGCGTCAAAGTCTCCTCGGCGATGGTTTCCATTTTTTAAATACCGAATATCGACTTAAAGTATCTGAAACAGGGCCAGTCAGTTTCGAATTTATTCCATTTTGAGTCGTCTTGATAATTGAAAGTGTGAATACTTTTTTCAAAGTGTTAAAAGTTTTCAGTGGTGTTGCACTGTTGTTGAAAGCAATAAAGCAGGTATGGGGATATAAAAACTGACATCGATAAAGAGAAAAAAAGATGAAGAGGAGGGACATAGAACGAAACATCGAAAACCTAAATTGGGGAAAAAAAAAGAAATAAAAAATTCATCATAAGTTTCGACTGGTTGGACCAGAATTCTTTTTGATATCAAGCTTGAACTAAAAAGCAGAACGCCTTATCACAATGAAATTTTCTTAATTGAAAAATGAAATTTCTTTAGAGGGTCAATCGTAAACATAAAGGAAAAGTAAGGAGAATAAAATTTGAAAAGACTAAAAGAGCTTATTTACAAAATGTAATAAAATAAAGTAGTGTAACTTCATTATGAAGTTTTTGAAGCTCGCGGGTGTTAAGATTTGAAGATATATCGCGCTTTTGACGTATATGCGTTCCGGACCATTTTCTTAAATTCAAAAATAAAAATCCGTTTTTCAGATGAGAAAAGCCAACCAGATTGTGACGCTGCGCCAGGTGGATTTTGAGCCCGTGCTGGGAGGAAGAAACTGCGCCGCAGATTGGGCAGTTTGTGCACGAATCGCAGCGGCAGAGCATTTGATGCCCAGTTTCAAGGCCTCCGATTCCGTGCTCGTTTTGCATGTGAACCACGCGCATTATCTGAAAGTAACTTTCATCCCTTTTCGGAGGGTTTGATTTATGCCCGCTGGCTATTTAGTATCGATTCTTGAAGCTTGCCGTGAGAGTTATCGATTGACTGTAAAAGTTGCTCTCTAGGTCGGTAGAACTCACCTTCGAAACGGTCATTTGGCCGCAAATGTGACACTGGCAGCATTTTGCACATGTGCAGTTCGGGTTAACTCCACTGCATGTTTCGTTCAACGTTCGGTGCATGCCACTTTTGGGCTCTATCTTTATCTGCTGCGTTGAGTTTCTAGGGACATTTATTTTCTTGAATGGAGGAGGGAAAGTGTACCTATTAAGATCGTGACGCTTCTTGTTATGAATTGCTAGCCCAGTTTTATTTTTGAAGGTGTCATTGCAAATACTACAAGTTCGACATGTTTCACACGAACAGTCGTACGAATGCTGAAGCGCAATGTTTTCGGCATTTGTCGGTTGGCGACTGTTTGTCGCTCCTACCGAGTTCGCCGAAAACATTGATCCATTCTGCTTGATGACTACGGAGTACACATTAACACCCAGCGATCTTACCTAGCCAAACCTGAGACCGGAATGCTAAAGTCACTCATCGTCGTAGAGGGGCAGTTTATTTCTATGATTTCATCGCTGTTTTCCGCTTCGGCTTCGTTTATCTCAGCCTCCGTCAGAGTTATGCGTCTCGTTCTGTATTAAAATTAATGTCTGGAAAACGACAAGTCCGAGGGGACCCCTCGAAGGGTTAATTACCTTCTTGGAATTATTTCTGTAGGCTGCGGGGAATCATATCCGGGTGGATGCCCTGGACAGACAACTTTGTGATCTTTTAGTTCACCAATATTTTTAAACCTTAAAACTTCTGGTTGAACGACTTAGTTTAGTATCTTTAGAACCTCTGAAAACAGCGCTCGCAAACTGTCGGAACATAGTTGCTATGCCACAGTAGTTTGTGATTCTCAAGCTCAGGCATTGTCCCAAACTCCTTACAGTACGGCCCATCGTATTCACATTTCTTTGACACCTTTGCCGGTAATGGGGCTTTTATCAACGCTAGAGCAGCACTACTCGTAGTTGGTGTGTTCAAAGAATTGCTCATGCTCATTGAAACGGCTGGTTTCTTTTCGGGCGAGCTTGGAAGAGGAGGCAAATTAAGCACCATCGGACCTTCATTTTTGAAATTTTCTGGCGGCTCCAATTTTATCGACTAATTATGCGATTAAAAATCGTTTAACGCTACGGATCTTACTGAGCTTGAGCGCTCCGAAACGGACTGTCTCAATGTGGAACGGCGAACGCGTTTGGGCTTAGGAGAAGAATCCTCAGATTCATTTTCAAAGAGCCTCGTCGGAAGAACTCGATTACAAGATTTTACATGCTGTTTGAGAATAGTTTGGTTTTCAAATCTTCTAAGGCAGTGTTTACAATCAGACGTCACATAATTACTGAAAGAACAAACGTCGTCTCCATCATGCAATCAAGGAAGAGTACCTGTGCCAGAGCTTGAGATGGAGCTCCAGCTCTCGCTCACTATTAAACTGCTCGCTGCAATAAGGGCCGATCGCCTCTTTATCACAAGTATAAACGGGGTCATTATCAACAACGATTTCCTCGTCTGAGTCGATGGCATCCATGAAGTGCTCCGCGCAGTCGTACTTTTCCGGGGCCAAATAACTCGCTTCTCCTGTGTTTCTGTCGTTGAAAAACGTCGCCGTCACCGCCTCCTGGTCTCTGTGAAGCTGATCAATCATCGCTTGCTGGATTTGGTGGGAGTTGTACTGGCGCTGATAACGTTATGGGAAAACTGTCAAATCGCTTACTTCGATAGTTTTGTGCTTTCGCAGCGCGCTGAGATCGAGATTTTTGAATTGGAAGATTTTATGCAGAGCTGTCATTTAGGTTTTAATGTGAGTGTTCTCGTGCTAGGGCAATTGCGATAAGTGGAAACCTTGTTGCCTGAGTAGACGCCTAAACAACTCGATGTATCAACGTGGTTCATCAGCTTGGAAACAAGAAAAAGCTGGACCAGCTCCATTGAAGTCAAACTTGAAAGCCATTCGGAGTCTAGCACAGTTGCCATCTACAATAAACAAAGCTTCAAAAACATATCAGTAGTTCATGTATCCTTAACGAATTGTATCACTTGTAAGCACTTGTATCACATGTCAGGTCTCAAGAACAATACGAAGAAAAATGTTTATTGAAAGGGTAGAAGGAAGGGGTGATCAATTATGCTGGCGGGCTGGCCAACCAGAGGAGCGGGATAATTTGTTGAGTACAGTGTGAACTAGTTTTGGAATGGGTGGAGTTGAGCATTCAACTCTGGCTCGGGTCCGGGGTCAAGCGGATGTATCCTTTTCCAGATGGAAGAGAGGCCTTTTCGAAGCCCTTTGCGAATCGCTTCGTCGCTTGCTCATCGGTCAACGATGGAACAACCATGCACCTGAACACGGGTCAGAAAGGGAAATGAGACTGGAAATTTACTTGTCGCCTGACTTCCAGTTCTGAGGTGTGGCTACTTTGTGGAGGGCAGTTAATTGAAGAGATTTAACAACGCGAATAATTTCGTCAAAGTTTCGACCAGTGGTGGCAGGGTAGAGGAGAGAGAGTTTGAGTTTTCTGTCTGGTCCAATGACAAATACAGCTCTGGCGGTCAAAGGAGTTCCCTGGAAATATTGAAATGACGCACTGGGTAAGAAGGACTTACAGTGGAGTCAAGCTCGTCGGGGTCAAGCATGCCAAGTTGGGTGGCGATTGTTCGGTCGTCTGAGATAAGAGGGAAGGGAAAGCCGCCTTCGAGTTTGTTGTAGTCTTGGATATCTTTGATCCATCCTTCGTGATCGGCCATGGTATCAATAGAGAGCCCAATCAACTTTGTGTTGAGCTCTTTGAACTCTGGCGCGTACTTGGCGGCGGCTCCAAGTTCGGTGGTGCAAACTGGAGTGTAATCAGCTGGATGCGAAAAAAGAATACCCTAAACGTAAATTTTCTTTTACAAAAATTGTGAAACTCTTACCCAAGACTCTCCGAGGTAGTCATAAAGATTCAAGTTTCCCCATGTCGTCTTCATCGACAAGTTTGGGAAGGTATCGCCGAGCTTCAAAGACATCTTTTCTGAAATTTTGAGGAAGGTGATTATTGAGTTTTTCTTTTTAATTTAGTTAATTTTTCAGTGAGATAGTTTTTTGGTAGTGATAATGAGTTTTTGTTTGCTGCTTTTAAAAATAAATAAAATTGCTAAAGGCAGTGGTGAATATAAACGTCAATAAAATGCTAAAAAAGGTGAGGTGTGAGTTTGAAGAAATTTGAAAATTTTCCATTTTCAGTAAAACAATTCTTTTAAATTTTTTGGATCTGCCAGAGACGATACCATGTACGGTATTCCCGCAGAAGTGAAGAAGACTGGTTCTCCACGGCCGTATTCGAATGCGTTTACTTCTCTCCTGAACATACCGGTACTTAGAGAACTCAAGCGGAAAGAAGTAGATGCTCAAGGGCGTTTTACTTACGGATTGTTACTTATTACGCTTCCCGACAGATAGCTTTTCCAGCCTGTTGCTCTCTGGATGAGCACTTTCTTTGCGTTCTCGTTTCCTCTCCTGGCCTGAATGGATAGCAAGTGCCACACTTCCGCCAACGCCGTCCGGTTGTTTTGCTCGATTTCGATGATCGGGCCGACTCCAAGTCGAAGCACTTGCGTGGCGATGCGAACATTGCTCGGCGATGGGGTATTTATAAGAGTGAGCAAGAGCGACGGCAGAAGCTTTGAGAAGATCTGTATTCTCGCTGGCTTGCCGTTCTCAATGCTCGGAATGAGGAAATTCACCAGAAGCTCCGCGATGAACATCGTCAGTGTTTGAAGCCTCTAAAATTGGAAAACTGAGGACGAAACAGGGAACTCTGAGGCTACCTCTCTTTCGGATATTTCCATTGATTTGGCGAACTCGTCTTTCTTCCTGAACTCTTTCTGGAGCATCATCAGCAAAATCGTCCTGAAGCCTTTCTCGTTCTCTCCTTTTTTGATCTTGAGACAGATTTCTGCGACTAATTTCGACGCGATGTGGCAGAATGGAATATCGCAGACACTAAAATACACAATTAAGGGTATAGTCGTCGATTTGGCCGATTTCAGAGGGTTATAACTCGGGACTTGGAATATGTGAGAGGCTCTAAAATAGCTCAAATAAAATATCTATCCTAGATCTCACTTTTCTCACAGCCTTTTACGTATTTTCCAAGGAAATATTTGTTTGCTGATCGCTCAAAGTTGAGCTTTCGGCCAAATAACGCCAAAATAGCCTCTTTTCAAGGCGTTATAAGTCCGAAGTTTCTAAATAGACCTATTGATTCTATATAATTTTCTTAAAATATAGACCCATATCTTAAAAATGACACAGCCTTATACTGTAATCATAAAATTTTCTTTGAAAAATTTTTAAAAGAACCAAGGTACCAATTTTTGACCTTTCAGATTGATAATGTGCCCTGCGGGCATAGCCCAAACTTATCCTAAGGGGTCCCAAATAAATGCTCTGAATATAAGCTTTCAAAAAATGTATCATATGGCACCCTTACAATGCCCCTAAAAATGGTCAAAATTTCAAATTATTCGGCTTATGGCAAAATACACTAAATTTTGCCACTTTCAAACGCAATTTGCCGCCAAATGGGTTGAGATAGCCAAAATAATCATGAGGGGTTTTTTGCTCAGAATTTTATGGGGATTCTAAAAATATGCTCAGATTACAAATTGGAGACCCTACCAAAATCGATGACTATACCCTAGGATCGACAAATGCCCCCGAAATCCGGATCGGGTTTTCATCGGATTTTCTTGAGCTCTGATTTTTCCGATCGGGTTTTTGTCGGGTTTTCGTCGGGTTTTTGTCGGGTTTTTTATCGGGTTTTTGTAGGATTTTTTTCGGGTTTTTGTCGGGTATTTTTCGGGTTTTCATCGGGTCTTTGTCGGGTTCTCGTCGGGTTTTCACAACACTGAAGTTAAATCAAATAAATTGAACCCAAATCGGCGAAAATAGACATAATTTTTGGCTAACAGAAGTTTTGGTGCCCTCTTTAAAGAAACTGATGAGGAGATACGATGAGAAACCCGACAAAAATACCCTACAAAAACCCGATAAATGACCCTACAAAAATCCGATTTTGTAGGGTCGTCAAAATTTCAACGTCGGGTTTTTGTAGGGTAGGCAGAATCCAACAAAAACCCGACAAAAACGTCGGTTTTCGATCGGGTGTCGGGTGGGACTTGTCGATCCTAGACTATACCCTTAAAACATCATAAAGGTTTGTAAAGGTCCTTTTCAGCGGTCAAAGCAAGACTTACCATGTATTATAAATTGTTTCCGCGACATATTCCATGAATTCGTCGCCGAATCCATTCGCGCCCATGATAATCGTGCTTATCAAGCAATCGAGCATACTGTCGAAATCGGCTGGGTACTTGAGGAGACGATAAATCGCCTCGTTGAGGATATTCTTCATGTTGAAAAGTCTCTGCGCATCTTCTAAAAAATATCTCAATTTTGAAAAAAAAAGAAAGAAGTTAGGAGCGAAAGGCAAATAAAGAAACGCGACTTTGCAAATACACTAGATCGCAATTTTGAAATTTCTTGAAAAGAGAGAAAATAAAGAAGAAAATCTAAAAGTTTGTGCTCGTTTCGAGTATTTATACAACCTCAGTAAGACTCGAAAATCAACTTTATCTCAAGATAAACAGAAATAATCTCTTGATGAAACGTATGGGCTAGAGCCAACAGGTATTACTCCAGCTCAAGCAGGATTGAATAACTAATAGAGCCTTCCTATTTTCATATTTTATGAACAACAAAAGTAAATCTTGGAATTACCTGTTTGAAGATTTGCTTCGGGCACCGTGCATTTCAAATGCACGGGTCTATTCTGCAAATAATCGATGCTTTCGGGATTCTTGATTTGCTTCTTGAGCCATTTTGCGTATCTGGAATCGGAAAGCTCGTCATCTTGCAGCTTCATAAAGAGTATCTCGGGCAGCGTCGCATCGCTCGGCAGGTTATCGATAAGAGACGGCAAGCTGGAGCACTGGACGACCCTGTCCGAGTTGGAAATGTTCGGCAAGTCGAAGGCACTGCGCGGAATGTTCTTGGCCGTGGAGAGGAGCTTTATACTTTGAGGTTTGGCAACTTTTCGAGGCGGTCGTATCGTTTTCTCGTCGTTTTCTTTTTCTTCTTTCTCGCAGGGAGTCAGCCAAGGATCAGTGCTCGGAAGATCTTCAAAGCTTGAGTCGGAAACTGCCCACGGGTTGTCATTCAAGTCGATCATTTTCATCATTCCGTTCTATCTGAAAAATTACATATAAATTGATTTCCGTTCTCGATGAAAAAAAGAAGATACAAAAAATGAGAAGCACTGGTATTAAATGAAGGATAAGTGTGTCAAGCTGCTGATGGAAACATTCCGCGCGATCGAGGATGAAGATACTTGGTGTGCTGCCCAATGGCAAACAGCTCTGCCCCGTCAGATGAAGTGATTCGTGTCTCTAGAAAGGCGATTTTTTCCTGCTCCTGGAGAAAAGTGCTCTCCAAGCGAAGCTCTGTCGTCGATTGTTCAACTGGCTTGAGTGTCGTCTGAACAAAGTTTTCGATTATTTTTTTTCTGCTCAATTGGGCTGGTCAATCGACTTTTAAATTATTCGCTTTAGACTTTGAATTATCCGAATTTCTCATGAAAACGCTTGAATAAATAGGATTTATGCCTTGGCTCAGAAACCTGCGAAGAAGACCTGAGTCAAGGGTCTAAAAGAGCTTTAATGAAAGCCGCGTAGCGGCTTTTTCCACAACGAAGCCGCAGAGCGGCTTCGCCAGAAAAAAGTAGAATAGATTTGATAAGAATTTCATAAAAGTAACCCTGACTCAGGTCCTCTACACAGTTTGTTGAGTCCACATTTCTGCTTACCAGGGATAGTTTGGTAGAAACACCGGCTAGTCTTGCATCCCCTGTCATGCATAAAATTGTAGTGGTAGAATCGACGATGGATGTAAGAGTTCCAGGAGAAAGTTGACCTTTGAAATTCAGCTCGTTTTCGTCGATTTTATAGGATGAAATCAGCTTCCCAGGTTGAAAATCGAGAATCTTTGACTTTCTCTAACACGAGTTGAAAACAAATTAACCTTGTCTCGAATTGAAACTTTAAAAAAATCAACTTTCTTCGACTTCGAAACTCGCGCCTGAAAAGCTCTTTCAACTGGACCAAGATTTTTCGCAGCTTTTGCCAAAATTCCATTTATCTTCGAAGCATTCAAAAGATGCGTCATTCCAGGAAAATTTATTCTTCTCTAGAGAAATGCTCGAAAAAGGTTCCGTAATGTCCCAAAATGATAACTTTGTGAATTTTTCTCATCTTTCCGCCTATCACGCGTGCGCGCCCAGGAAACTAACGGCCAATGACGGCTTGAATCAAGAAACTCGGAGAGTTCATCGTTAACCTCGCTAGCCATTTTGATATTTTGAAGTCTTTACATTGCTAAATTTCACATTTGCCGAATCCTGAAAACTTTCATTCTGGGAATACGTTTATTTTTCAAACAAAAAGAGTGAGAATCAGTTGGGTACAGTAGGAACAAGCTTTGGTAACACTGTTACCGTAACAGTACATACAGAAGTTTAGTTCTTAGCAGGTCTCTTTGGCGGCTTTCGTTGATCAATTTCAGAAGTCTTCTTCCTCCTCTTCTTCTCGAGTGAGCAGTTTCAACCAGCGCACTTGTAGGAGAATATCGTGTTGCCTGGACAAGACCTTCTCTTTGAAAGCAGCAGTCGCGTCAATCATGATCTCTCTAAGACCCTCTCTTCGTTTCTTGATGATGTCGATAATGCGGGAACCTTGTTCGTCATCTTTGTCGCAAAAGACGTGAGAAGTTCGTTTGAAGTCCGGATTGTTCCAGTACGATTGTTCCTTCCTGACGTCGATCCCTTTGTGGAAAGCTACCATGAAATTTACCAGCTCGATGAATTCGTAGCGGATATAAGCAAGCACGTGAAAGTCGCAGCCGCAGGAGAACTCGAAACAGAAATCGGTACCGCCGACTTTAAATTAAAGTGATTAAATGATTTATACAGTGCATGTGCCAAAAAGAGGGCGTCGTATGCGAATGAGTTAGGAATTGGAAGCAGCTGGGTTTTGGCGGCGCAGGTGACTATTATCACTGATTATCGGCAAGATTCTACAGCGGTTTTCGGTGGTCTTTGTTACAAACACTTTGTAGTTTTCGCCATTTCGATATTTTAAAGTGCTTATATTGCTTAGATTCAAATTTGACAAATCAAAAAAATATTAATAGTAGTAATAGTTTATTTTGTTCAATTTGTGGATTGGTTAACAGGAAATACCAAGAGGTGCACGCAGTGATTTGGCAACAGTAGCCTAAAATTAAAGAAACAACACATTGCAGTTGGATTTAGAGGAAAACTTTTTACTTCTTCGTTGGCTTCTTCGGCTTTCGTTGATTGTTCTTCTTGGTCTTCTTGTTTTTCTTCTGTTCGGTCGCAGGATCGTTGAATAGTTTGACAAGCTCATCATCGTTCATCAGGGGCTTCTCGATGAGTGTATTGGTCGTCTTCTGTTTCGACCTTTGGGACTTCTTGGATTCTGGAAAGCGGGGTTCTTTCTCGTGAGTGAGGAGAGTCTTGTAGCAGATTTGAAGGAGACGATCGTGGTGCATCGAAATTTCCTTGTCTTTCAGGACATCGGGATATTTGTTGTCGGTCGCGAGGCGCTGTCTTCGTTTCTTGATGAGATCGAGGATGCGGAAGTCTTGTTCGCCATCTTTGTCGCAGAAGACGTGAGAAGTTCGTTTGAAGTGCGGATCGTTCCAGTTAGACTGTTCTTTTTCCACATCTACTCCTTCGTAGAATTTGAGCATCCAACCGGACAGGTCAGCGAAGTAAAGGTGGTCGATAGTGGGCACGAGGAAGCCGCAGCCGCAGGAGAACTCGAAGTCGTAGTCGGCAGTGCCGAATCGGTTGATTTTCATCTGGAAATCTTGATGTCCTTTGACATCGTCGAATTTCAAAAAGACTGGCTGTGACATTCTTGTTATGTTTTGATTGATTGTAGTGATGTCTTTCAAACGTTCTGCGATGTTTTATAAAATAGGTGGTGGTCTAAACTTTGAAGTTGTTATGTGCGATAAGAATTTCGTGTGGCCTAAACTTTGATCGTTCTCATGTGTGATTCCTTGAGAAAGTGGCCTAAACTTTGATTCTTCCTATGTGTGAAAGTGGTCTAAACTTTGAATTTCCCCCTAGGCACTCTGACTAGTACCATGTGTGTCATCACCTTGAATGAAAAACGTTATCTTTATTGGTCTGCATAAAGCGTAGTGGCCTTAGCGGGCAGTGCTCTAGTCACCGATGGCAGAACCGCCTCCGGGGAAATTCAAAGTTTAGGCCATTTTCTCAAAGAGTCACACATGGAAACGATCAAAGTTTAGGCCACCCGAAGTTCTAATCACACATATGACCTTCAAAGTTTAGACCACCCCCTATTTTAAACGGGATGTGCCCCACGTGCGAATGGGTTTCGAGTCGAAATCAGCGGGAGACTGGACGATTTTTGGCGGCGCGGGTGATTATCGGAAAGATCGGAACTAGCGCTTCGTTGAAAAGAATCGATATTGATAAGAAGGGGACCACTTCCATTGGGTTGAATAACCTGATCAGCAATTTTTTTGCTGATAAAAAGCAAATGCTTGCAACGTCCGGGAATCGAACCCGGGCCTCCCGCGTGGCAGGCGAGAATTCTACCACTGAACCAACGTTGCTTGGAAGTTTCTCAAAATGAACAATATATCAACTGTATATTTAGATATAAAGATTGCTAAAGGTGGGAGCCGACCATATGGAAACACTCATCTCTCTGATAAATTTTCCCACAAGGGTCATTTTTTCGTTATTCAAGCAAGAAAAATGAGAGTTGATATGATCTTACCAGTCGCTGAGCGCATCAGGAAATCGGTTCTATCGATAGAGTACGAACTAGTTTAAACTTTGAAATAATGATATTTTAAATATCGGGAACTCGAATTTCTAAAAAAAGAAACCGAAAAAAGCGGTGGAAGCTCTACCTCAATAATGAGCGTTCCGCACGTCGCGAGTGTATTCTACAAGGGTAAAAAAAAGCCAACCGCAATCCGTTGTAGTAACATTAAATTAACATTTTAGGCGCTTACAAATGCGGAGCAAGTGTACTCACGACCACGAGTGCCCTGACCGCCGCTCACTGGTAAGCCATCGTTAATAGTTCAGCCAGAATCCTAAATTTCCAATTCCAATTCAAGCGATTACAGAAAAACTGGAGATTCCGCGGGAACTCTCAAAGTTCGCGCTGGTATGCAATCTACGACTTCTGTAAGTAACTACCGTTTCAGGTTCTTCGACGGGTTAGGGTTAGGTACTCGCTAACCTGAGTAGAAAACCTGAGTCAGGGTCTGAAGCTGCTTCGACATACGGTAGTTCAATATCTTTAAATTCTGGCGAATTAAGTCGTTTCTTGTGCAAACAGGTTTACAAAGTATTTCTCTGTTGTCAGCCCTAGAAAACTCTTTTGGACATTTTATGTATTTGTTTTTAGTCAAAATATTTATGAACACTAAATTAGACGAAATAAGGAAAAACATTGTTTTGAGAAAAGTTCTCTGAATGACCGTTCAAATGAGTTTAATTATTTTTATTTTAAGATGGTGAACGTACAGGAAAGAGCAACAACAACGGTAAGCGATTAATATTTTGCAAAAAATGTAATTAGGTTTGACCAATGAACATTAATTGGATCAAAATAATTTAGATCAGAAAACACCCCTCTTACTCCGCAGCTTCGATGAAGAATGATATCATGATCCTCAAATGGCAAAGTTGAGATATAATTAGACAATTTTACTAAGAGACCCTTAAGGGTTACTAAAGTAAGAGCAATAAAAGTAACTCAATAATAAGAGCAACGCGATAACATTTAATAATTACGTGCGGCCTGTTAACCTTCCATCGGCAGGGATCAGCTATAAACAAAGTTTGGGGTGACCTACGTAAACAGCTGATCCTTAATAAGTCTTCCACAAGTACAGCTTCGTCCTTTACCACATGTGCTTATGGATACGACAGCAACAGTCGAGACACAAAGGAGCTAAATTGCTTCACAGGATCGACGAAAACACATTCGACGTGCAATTCTAGCACCGGCTGGAACGGACTCGTTTACTCACCGCAGCAATTCTGCATTGAAGGAAATCCCAGTTCGAGTGGAGCTTGTTTCCACGACGGAGGAGCGCCAGGTTTGTAGTTATTGTCAATAACTTATTGAGCGCTGGATCCGTTGTAATTAACGACAGTACTTGGCGATTGATATGAAAACACTTATTTGACGCTGGAGCAAGCGAATTTGAATTAATTTGATATAATTAATTCTCTCTTGGATCGCGTTTTCGACAAGTTGAACATATAAAAGAAACGTTTTCCAAAATATAAATGTCTCTTTTGATAAAAAAAAAGCTTTCGCTAGGTGTAAATGGTAATTTGGGCGAAGCCGCATCGCGGCTTCGATTCGAAAAAAGCCGCTACGTGACTTTTATGAAAGTTCTTATAGAAACTTTTTCCAGCTCGCAAAATTCAACTCATCTATTTTAGCGGTTCATAACAACATCATTTACGGAATCTACAGCTTCCCTGATCTTCAATACAAGTAAGTCATAGGCAGGTTTTACATGAACAGGCAATTTCGCACCCCTAATTGCTTATTTTTGCGGCAACAACTCCGCAAGGATTCCTAAGTTCTGCGGTACGTGTTAATAAACGTGCTCATCGTCTTTTAGCGGATCGACTTATCCGCGCTCCGCCAAATGCAATGCAACTGGCAAGCCTGGCGTTTTCACTCAAGAATATGGTTCAAAGAGCGAGAACTTATTTTGCAAGTAAATAGACCAAGGGGAAAGTTTAAACTTTGTCTTGATACTATCCTAAGGTCAGCGGAACTCTCTTTGAACCAAAATAAAGTAAACCAGTATTTGAGCTGGATTAACTCAAACAAGTGAAAAGGAAAATATACAATCTCAGTTTTCTTGCAATAAAAAAATTATTCACAAAGCTTGTTTTAATGTCTTTATTTCCAATAAATTATTGGTAGTCATGAATATACAGATACAATGATAAATTTCAGATTTCTAAATCTTAGGAACACAGTTCGAAAATCCTTCTGTCGTATTCGTCACAACATCGTCGCAACAAAACTGATTCGGACTTGCATTGTTGAAGACAACGGCAGCATTGGTGATTCCGCCGCAGCACATTCGATCAGCGTCGGCGTCCTTGCCGCCTCGAATGCACATGTCGAGTATTTCTTGCGCATCAGCGTTGTAAAGCATATCGTGATGTTCGGGAACGTACAATTTCTAAGAAAGAGTTATTTTTGGCGTCATTTTTTCTCAGAAACTTACCGCTACTTTCGCGTGCTCCTTGCTGAAATGAAGGTCGCATTCGCACAAGGCTCGCTCGCATGTATCTGGCGTGTCTCTGCAAATCTTGTGTTCCTCGCCTCCGATAGTTCTGGTTCCTGGGTTCAGGTACTGGACGAATTCTCCGATGCACCAGTCGCCGTATTTTGCTCGGGCGCACTGTTGGCAGAGTTTGTATTCTCGGCATTTTTTGTCCACTCGATCGACTCCTGGCCCGGTTCCCATGTCCGAAAGCGGTCTATCCCCGTGAATCATGCAGTTGCAGCCGTTGTTTGTGGCAATGAAGGTTCTTTGGATTCTTACCTTCTCTCTGGCAAATTTCGCGTGTTCAAAAAATCATACAGGTCGTATTCTGGCTCTTCTCCTTCGTTCTGCTCGAAAGCTGGATCGTCGGAAAAGTCAGGATTCGGGTCCGGGTTCACATAAGCCTTCAGCGCTTGATGAAAGCCAGTGACTTTGAACACATCGGCAGCGCTAACGCTTTCTCCAAAAAGAACAAAAGCTGAAAAGGTTCTCATTATTAATCCTATTTCGGCGAGCTGTAAATGTAAATTGTGATGGTTGAGCGGTTTTTCGTTCATTTTATGTAAAAAAACTTGCGACGGGTGGCGCTAAAATTTAGAGAGAGCGCTAGATCTTGAACAGAATTCTAGCTATTTGTCTGTTTTGATGACAAATCTCCAAACCGGCGTTCTTTTACGCTATTTTTTCCCGATGATAATAGAAAAATCTAAAGAAAACCTTCGCCAGGATCATCTTACATTACAATAATTACGGTTTAATGGAATTATTATGGCTATTTATTCGATTAGGTGCTCTGTTTATCAAAAAATAGAACGGGCTATGTTTGTAACAATAAACGCTATAATTGGGTTGTATTACAACGATGCGATTCTTGATATTTACCCCCTTTAGAAAACACTCAATAAAAGAAAAAGAGAAATTTATTGAATCACTTGTAAAAAGTCAGGAATAAATCAAAGAGCTAAATCAATAAGGAATAGATGACAACGAACGAAGTTTATCACCACCAATCGAACAGGAAGCCAGCAACAGCAACGGCAGCCGCCCCGACAGCTGCTACAGGAGCACTCACAGTTCCAACGACCATCGTGCCGACCATTACTGCTACCTCTCGCTTCGTTCGTCCAAGTTCAGACTCGTTGAAAATCTCATCAATCATCTCCTGAAGTTCGTTACCGGCAGCCTCGATGTGTGCTCGAAGAATAGAATCGTCGTCAAGGTCAGAGTTAAGCAGCGCTTCCTTCAAATTTTTTCCAATTTCTTTAGCCCGGGCGAAGAGAGCAGCTGATCCGTCGAGTTGTGGCAATGGATCAGAAAGCTGGAATGGAGGGACAGAGTCAGCAGCATTAGGTTGTCGGAGAATCATGTAGAGAAAAGCGGTCGCATCGTTTGATGTGGTCGCATTTGATGAGATCTCCCGAAGGCGGGCGAGTCTCCACTCGCGCTCGTTCGTCCTTGCATTTTCTTCGGGGATCGCAGAGCTGTATGCGGAGACTAACAGAGGAAAAAGGAGCAATTTCATTTTGATTTTTTCGAAAATTAACTGAGAAAGAAAATGGATGACTTGCTTTTATGAAACCAGTTGACCTTGAAAAACCGGGATCGAATTTTCGAAAATATTGGACTTTATCCCAGATCATGAATAAATAAATAATGTGAAGAGCGAGATGATAGCAAACTCGAAAAAAATCGCCTAGTCATGTTTCTGGAATGACGGTTTCGTAGTTTCTAACTTAATCCTTACCGGCCGAATGCACAATGCATGGTGTATTTTTTGATTTTTTAAAATTTCCTCCATATCTTTTTTTACAGAGTTACTCCTATATTAAATCACCCGTTGTTAAAAAAGACTCTCCAGTGCTAACAACATCCTCTGAAACATAGGGTTACACTTTTCAACAAAACCTCAAAAAACGTGATTGAAAATTGGCCTTCGCCGGTAAGGGTTAAGGGATACCCTCTTTATTTGAAATTTATTATCGAGAGGTTTTCTGTGATATATTTTTGAAATCTCTGTGACCTGACAATCACTTTCATGTTTTATGTAAAAAAGAGTACATCACGTGATAAGCCGTGACATAGCTGTTATTATGGCTTATTTAAGGGATCCCCCCCGATTTCGTCAACTTTGACTTCGAACTACTTTTTTTAGGGGTGAGCTTTTTACAAGTATAAGGGCTCATTTTGAAGCCCGTTTCTTAATGAACAAACTCTAGTACAGAAATTAATTTTCATAAGGGCAAACACATTGAAAAGACGGGCTGAAAACATTGATACTCCCGAAAACCCCCATTTTGGGCCATTTTCAAAATCGAACTAGTTTTTTCTGCTCTTAGATAGAGCCTTAAATCAATAACAACTGTCTTTCTTGATCCCTAATCTACAATCTCTAGTAGAGGCATGTGATTCCGTCAAGGATTGTAGAATTTTTCTTAACAAGATGTTTTTAACTGATTTTTGCCATTTTTTTGATTTTCTTTGCTCTCTAGCGCCTTTTAGTGGTTAGATATTTTATTAAATCTATTTTTTTCTAGTTCAGTTTTCTCTAAGCTTTCTAAAGAGCCCTTATTCATCTGATTATGTCGACTTTGAAAAGTCGAAAAAATTGCGAATTTTTTCTAAGTAAAATTTTTCGTTAAAATAAGCCATTTTCAAAGCTGTTTCACGGCTGACCACGTGACGGACTCCCTTTGACATAATATATGAAAATGATCGCCAGACAACGGAGATTCCAAAAATATATTACATAAAAGCTCTCGATGATATTTATCAAATCGGGAGGGGATCCCTTAAATAAAAAAATTTACTTTGAAAAAATTCGTAAACTAAGAAGGAATTGAACTAGAAAGAAATAGATTTAATGAAGAATCTTACCACTGAGAGGCGCAAGAGAGCAGAGAAAGTCATAAAATCAGCTAAAATAAGTTGGAAAAATTATCGGGAAGAAAAATTCTATAATTCTTTATGGAGTCACATGGCTGTTTCAAAGAGACCATGTTTTCTCGTTAGAGATTTTAAGCGCAAGTGATTCTCAATTTTATTTTTGGATCTTCGTTAAATCTGCTTAATTGTAAATTTAAAATTGAGGATCGCTCAATTTTTACTTTTGGTGCTCATGAGATGAGCTTTATCCCAGATCGCTTTCCACTTACTTAGATTCTCAGGGAGTCACTCTCCTAAGAAATTGGGTCAAGCAAATAGAGAATGAGTCTCAAATTCGCTTTTGTAACACGCAAGTGATCCTTGTTTATTTCAAAAAATAGACACAAACAAAGAGTATTTAGACGAGTACTTTTCCATGGATGAAAACGTTTGAGTACGCCCTGTACAGACTCCTAAAAACAGACTCATATTGGGCGTGGTTTTTGTGTCCTTGACCTAGTTTTTTTATTGAACATGGCTCAAAGATGAAATTTTTCTTTTTCTTTTTTGCTTTCAAGGTCGAGAAGCCTAATAAAAGCAAAAGTTTTTCCCGTAAAACTCACTCATTTTTGAGAAAACAGGAACAAAATGAAATTGCTTCTTTTTACTTTTCTTTTCTCTTCTTACGGTTCGATAATCGCGACACACGATGCAAGGATGGCCGACCGAGACTGGAGACTAACCCGTCTTCGGGAGATCTCAACGAATGCAACAACATCAACTGACGTGGGTGCGATTTTCTACATGATGCTTCGACATTCAAGCATCGGTGCTTCTGAAATTCCATTCAAGCTCAATGAGCAGCTGAGGGGATTTGATGGGTCAGCAAATCTCGTCATGCGGGTAAAAGAAATCGGACAAGAGTTGAAAACAACACTGCTGGAATCAGACCTCGAGGACGAGTCTCTCGTTAAAAACCAAATTCGGTTGACATGTTTGATGAAGACGGACTCGCTAGAACTACAAGAGAAACTGTCGATCCAATTCTTATCGCCGGTCCAGCTGTTCCAATTATTGCAACAGTCAATCCTCCAGCTGCAGTCGCTGTTGCCGTTGTTGCTGCTATTCTTTCCATATTTTCTTAGAAGATATCAAATTTGCAGAGATCACATCTTTTCACTGATTAAAATTATTTTAAAATTTGCCCTTCTGATTTTATTTTGATTTTTCCAATAAATAGACACTTTTTTATATTATCTATTCAAGAAATATTGCAAAGAATCTATCGAATTCAATCTTAGCTAAATCCACATGTTTCTATGCATTTGCTTTTGCTGATTTAAGCAGATAGAAGACGCACTCTGAAAGCGCCGAAGCCTAAATGCAATCTGAAGGCCCCTTAACCTGTGAGGAATCAAAACGCCTATCAGTGAATTACCGTGGTTTTCCATCTTAAGAGCGCCAACTTAAGAGCGTTTTTGGCAATTTTACCATATTTTGTCATCTGCAAAAATCCCAGCTTTAGAGCGTTTTAAGGAATTTTTAATGAATAATCAGAATAACTTTTATTTCAACCTGAAAAATCATTTCAAAAATTGTTGTTTACGCTTCTTTTTAGGTGAAATCATAGCCTCTGATTCAAAGATCGTAAATTTTTTATCATATATAGGTAAAAATGACGTCAGATGCATTTTTAGAGTTTTGAAAAAAGCTTGTTTAATGCATTTTTATTCATCATTTTTTTCTCACTCTCATCCTAGTTTGACCGTAAATTTTTCAACTCAAGAGCGTTTTGATCTACCCATGTCATCTGAAAAATGCTCTTTTTCTGATGCTCTGGTCAAAGAAACGGAGTTCTGATGCTGATGGTTTTCTATCTTTTCTTGTAGAATTAACGCTTCTGTTTTGCTGCATAAGTTATTCATAGCACTCCGCAAAGCTGCAATAAAATTTGCAGATCGATAGTGTCAACACCAAAGGCAGCTTTGGACAATGCTCTCTGCAACTTCCGTTCAAATATTGTTCAATTTTTTTAGGAAAGGAGCTTGCTGTTATGCAGCTATAAAATAAAACTGCTTTTTATTAAAAAGAACAATTTATTAAATCATTTGAAAAAATTCAGGAATAAATCAAAGGCTTAAATTAACAGAAATAGGCGACAAAGAAAAAAGTGTTTCACCACCAATCAAAGACGAAGCCAGCCATGATAAAAGCCCCAGCAGCTACCACAGGAGCACTAACTGTAGCAACAACTGTGCCCATAATAGTCACAACGAAATCTCGCTCGCTTCTTACGAGTCCAGAGTCAGCGAACATTTCATCAATAATCTCTTGGAGCTCATTTCCAGCAGCATCAATCTGTTCTTTGACGTTCAAATCGTCCTCAAAGTCAGAGTTAAGCAGTGCTTCTTTCAAATTTTTTCCGATTTCTTTTGCCCTCGTAATAAAAGCAGCCGATCCGTCGAATTCCGCCACTGTATCAGAAAGCTTGAACGGAGGTTCAGAGTTAGCAGCATTAGGTTGTCGGAGAATCATGTAGAGAAAAGCGGTCACATCGTTTGATGTGGTCGCATTTGATGAGATCTCCCGAAGGCGGGCGAGTCTCCACTCTCGCTCGTTCGTCCTTGCATTTTCTTCGGGGATCGCAGAGCTGTATGCGCAGACTAAAAGAGGAAAAAGGAGCAATTTCATTTTGTTTTTTTCGAAAATTAACTGAGAAAAAAAAATGAATGACTTGCTTTTATGAAGCCGGTTGACCTTGAAAAACCGGGATCGAATTTTCGAAAATATTGGACCTATCCCAGATCATGAATAAATAAACAATGCGAAGAGCAAGATGATTGCAAACTCAAAGAAATCGCCTAGTCATGGTTCTGGAATGACGGTTTTGTAGTTTCTTGCTTAAGGGATCCCCTCTCAATTTGAAATTTTTCTTCGAGAGCTTTTTTGTGATATATTTTTATGGAGATACATATCAAGAATCGGATTTTCCGTCAGTGTTTTCTCAAATTTTTAACAATGTGACCCCCCTTATTTTTTCTGCTCAAAATTATTTTCAGGCCATTATCTATTTCCTATCGAAGCCAAAAATTAAGATTTCTTGAGCTTACGAGGTGCTACTATTTTAACTTTTTGTTACTTTCTGCCAAAAATGACTTAAAAAATGAAATTTTTGCGAAAATCGCATATTTTCAATGAACAAGAAATTTTTTTCTAAGAAAGTAACCCTTAATTTTCTGGTTTTTAAATTTTTCGAAAAAAAATTTATTCTTCTACTTGCCGATGAATTCTTTAAACACTTTTCTTGAAGAATTGAATTTTTCCAATAAAATCAGGTTTTCGCGCTTTTTTGTTTTTGCGTAATGCGAATATTGACGACCCCCCTCTTAATGAAGAATCTAACCACTTGGAGACGCAAGAGAGCAGAGAAAGTAATTAAATCAGCTTAAATAAGTTTGGAAAATTATTAGGAAGAAATATTCTATAATTCTTGACGGACATTAAATCTGCTAAATTGTCAATTTAAAATTGAGGATCGCTCAATTTTTACTTTAACTGCTGATAAGGTGAGCTTTTTCCCAGATCGCTTACCACTTTTTTAGATTCTGAGAGAGTCACTCTCCTTAACTTAAGGAGTCCTAAGAAATTGGGTCAAGCAAATAGAGAATGAGTCTCAACTTAGCTTTTGTAACACGCAAGTGATCCTTGTTTATTTCAAAAAATAGACATAAACAATGATTATTTAGACGAGTACTTTTCCATGGATGAAAACGTTTAAGTACGCCCTGTACAGACTCATATCGGGCGTTGTTTTTGTGTCCTTGACCTAGTTTTTGTATTGAACAAGGCTCAAAGATCGAGAAGCCCAATATAAGCAAAAGTTTTTCCCGTAAAACTCACTCAATTTTGAGAAAACAGGAACAAAATGAAATTGCTTCTTTTTACTTTTCTTTTCTCTTCTTACGGTTCGACCATCGCGACACACGATGCAAGGATGGCCGACCAAGACTGGAGACTAACCCGTCTTCGGGAGATCTCAACGAATGCAACAACATCAACTGACGTGGGTGCGATTTTCTACATGATGCTTCGACATTCAAGCATCGGTGCTACTGAAATTCCATTCAAGCTCAATGAGCAGCTGAGGGAATTTGATGGGTCAGCAAATCTCGTCATGCGGGTGAAAGAAATCGGACAAGAGTTGAAAACAACACTGCTGGAATCAGACCTCGAGGACGAGTCCTTCGTTAAAAACCAAATTGATCTTGCCCTGGACGAGCTTCAGCAGATGATCGATGGCATATTTGATGATGGCGGACTCGCTAGAATTACAAGAACTGTCGATTATGATATTACTATCGTCGGTCCAGCTATTCCAATTCTTGCAACAGTCAGTGCTCCAGTTGCAGCCGCTGTCGCCGTAGCCGTTGGTATCTTTGCCATATTTTCTTAGAAGATATCAGATTTGCAGAGCTCACATCTTTTCACTGATTAAAATTATTTTAAAATTTGCCCTTCTGATTTTATTTTGATTTTTCCAATAAATAGATACTTATTTTATCTGTTCAAGCTATAAAGCAAAGAATCCTCCGAATTCAATCTAAGCAATAGGCACATGTTTCTATGCATTTGCTCTCGCTGATTTGGGCAGATAAAAGACGCACTCTGAAAGCGCTGATTCTTTATTGCAATCTGAAGGTCCCTTGACCTTTGAGGAATCAATTCGCCTATCAGTGAATAGTGTGGTTTCAAACCTGACAGGCAATCGCGGATTTCGAAAATAATTCTCACGCGCAAGCGAGTTTTGAGTGTGTTTTTCCAACTCTGCTTCGTGCATTTATTTGTGTTTAATGATAGTTGTAAAGTAGGAACCGAAAAAAAATTGTTTGTCCCTAAAAGTCGTTTATTTTGTCCCTATCTTTTTTCCCGTGTCTTCAGACTCCTTAAAAACCTTAAAAATAGTGGTCGTCTTCAAAATTATAGTCGATTTTCATGAAAAATGCTGTTTTATACCTTAAAATGATTCTCAGCTCGTGTGGTTTCAGAAAAGCCCAAGAGCGTCTTGTATAAGAAACCCTATCAAAATTATTTTTGAATGGCTTATTATTATCTTAATTACTGTATATGCTCTTTTGGGGTACTACTGTATCAATGTAATTTCAAATGACCATAAAATTTTTCCCACTTTTCCCCAGGAGCTTTTATAGCTTATGAATTATTTGTTATAATGATCCTTAAGACATGAGCATTCCGGCACACTATAGAACTTTTTTTACAACAGACATGTCTATATGCGAAATCGGATTTTAATATTTTTTGATGAAGCTCGAAAAGTCTCTAGAATGTAGATTGATGTTTTGAGAAAAATGGAAAATTGATTAGTTCTAAAAAATCAAGTTTCAACCAAAATGTTCGTTTTGAGAAGCGCGCTACGAAGAGGCGCTGCTACAGTTCGTTTTTATCGCACAAAGCCTAAAATGCTCAGGTGCTCCTTGCTATACTCACTTCAAATTTATTGGAAAATTCAATTTTAGCGAGCTGGCCAAATCCCACGGAACCGACAAATTCGCCGTCTACGTCTCCACCTTCATGCTCTCCTACATCGGAATCATGCTCACAGAAGACATGTCTGCCGACGACATCGCCGAAAGTCTCCACAGCTTCAAGCTCGCCCTGCGAAAGACCAACTTCGCCGACGAGGTCAGAGAAATCACGAAGCATTCGACAAGCTATCTGGCAGATGAGCATCCGCGAAAGACCTTTTTGGCCGCGACGCTGGGCATTTATGTTTTGATGACGAAAATAAATTCCATTTCTTTGTAACGACAAAAATTTTGAAAATAAAAAAATGACTTTCATTATTTCGAAAGTATTTTTGAATCAAAGGCGATTGATTATTTTTATCTTTTTTTTTTTGTTTTATAATTTTATTTCACCGATTTTATTTACAGAGCCAATAACTAGAACAATCTATTATTGGAGAAAGAACTATTTGCAGGCAGCGTAAAGCAGTTGTCGTCATTTTTTTCAAAGAGACTTTCTTGCAGTCTCTTTTTCGTTCAGTTCTTTTTACTTTGGCACGCAGCTATTGAATCCGTCCGGCGACTCAGTCACTTGCCCGTCGCAGCAGAACTGGTTGGGGCTGGCGTTGTTGAAGACTCGTGCGGCGTTGTTCACACCGCCACAGCACATTCGATCGGCAGTTGCGCTCTTTGCTCCTCGAACGCACATATCTTGGATTTCCTGATGGTCTGCGTTGTACAACATGTTATGATGTGCAGGCTCAAAAGCAACAACCTTAAAAAATAATCTCAGTGTTGCGAAAATAGCTGTAAATTTGGCCTAAATAAGATATAAGAGGCTTAATTATAAGCCCGTTAGGGAGTTCCAATTTTAAACCCGCCCGCCCGCTATGTTTTCGCCCCAAACATACCGACATCTTGGCGTGATCCTTGGCAAATTGCAGGTCGCACTCGCAAAGGGCCCGCTCGCACGTGTTTGGAGTATCTCTGCAGACCTTGTGAGTTTCTTCTACTCCATCGACGACCAAAACCTTGGTTCGTGGTCTTCTATAAGCAATAAACTCGCCAATGCACATTTCACCGTGCTGAGCGCGGGCGCATTGCTGGCAGAGCTTGTACTCACGGCACTTTTTATCGAGTCTGTCGACTCCCGGTCCTGTGCCCATGTCCGACAGTGGTCGGTCGCCGTGAATCATGCAGTTGCAGCCGTAGTTCCAGTACTTGTCCGCGTCGAATTCGGGCTCGATCGAGTAGAATGTCATCAGTTCCATCAATTGAGAGTACCTTAAACACCTGTTAGAGAGCTTCTTCATTCCTTTCTCTGACCTTCTTGTTTGCATTCGACCCTGAAGGAAGTCAAAAACATTGTAATCTTCTTTGTCTGATTCGAGATCTTCGAAACTCGGATCGAAGGCTGGATCATCGGAGTAGTCCGCATTCGGGTCGGGATTCGGGTAGGGCTTTAGCAATCGGTGAAAACCGGTCACGTGGCCGTCGAAATCGGAGTTGACGATGGCCGCGTGATTGTTTCCGAAAAAAACAAAAACTGGGAACAATTTCATCCTCTTTTTTAGTTTTTTAAAATATGTAAACGTGAAGTGAGATTCTCTTGATATTCCGTAACTAAATTCTAACGGGTACCGCTAGAAAATTGGTGGCGCACGAAAGTCAGCTAGCGCGCGAGCACACTACTGATCGCCGCCAATTTACTCGTGTAAGGCGAGAATCGTGTTTTGAGCATAAATTCTCCACCGTGCCAAACACTGCTTCGCGCTCTTAGAACCGTTGTTTGCAATTTTTTCCGGGATAATCTTGTGGTCAATTCAACAAGCGAAACCCTAAATGCTTGCATGGTTTCACGAAATTAGGCAGGAATAACCCCTTAGTACGAAAACTCATTTATTGAAATCAGAATTTCAGAAAATTTCGTAAGCAAATTGAGACACTCAGTAGTTGAATGCATGGCTCAACCATTCGTCGGATATGAAGACTTTCAGTTCTCCTGTGAAAACCTCGTCGAATTCATATTCTTTCGAATAAATCGTTTTTTCATTAAATTTGATGTCATGGACCATGGTCGAGCTTGCCAGTTGCGTTGTTCATTATTTGTGTGACCTGTTTTTGATGGTTTTCTTTATTTCACTCTCAATTGTTAGTGTGATCAATGATTTTGAATTTCGGAAGGTGTGTTCGAGGTCCGCACTTGAAGCATTGTTGTTTCATAATTTGGATTATAAACGGCGAAGAATCCATCGCCAAAATTATTCTGAGTGCCGGTGTGAATCTTTTACAGGTTTTTGACGAATTACGTGAACAAAAGTCTTTATTCAAAACCCTTTCGTGAACCATGTTATACTGACCATAGGCAGCATTTGTAGGAAAATCCACGCCAATGTTTATTTTAAACTGCTGCGAAGCTGTGATAGTTCCATATTGTTTTCCTTTGGCTGGCGCTACTGGTTCGTTTCCAACGATTATTCGACAATTTTTGGGAACAGAACATTCAAAAGGACACGGGTTTGTTGGTTCCTGCGTTGTGCTTGTTAAAGGCACTGATGTAGCTTCCATCGTTTGGGACTCTTTAGAGATTTCTGTGGTTGATTCGATCAGGGAAGCAGTTTTGTTTGTTTGTTGCTTCATCGATGAGTGCTTGTGTCGTTTCCACCTGGTGACCTTCAGTTGTCAAAATTTTCTGAGAAGTCTTCTCTGTTTTCGATTCAATGGAATTTGAAGTAGTGAAAATCGGAGCATTTTTTGTTGTTTCGTCGATGTTTGCTGGTGTTGTCTTCGCAATTTCTTCTGTTGTTGAGTTTTTCTCATCTGGTTCTGATGAAAAAGGAGCAATTTTCAAATATACTGGCGTCAGTATCACTGAAATAAATAACGCTAGTTGAAGAACTGCCAACAAAAATGCAAAAAATCTCATAAAAATATTACTTTTATTTTCTAATGAAGGGCTCAAATAGCCAAAACACCCATAAATTAGTTGTTCCTGTCTAATTGTAAATATGATACGCTATTGGTTTACGACAACTTACAGCTGACAGATTCTGATATCAACTGAACGTCAAATAGACCCCAGTTTCATCCGAAGCGCCCTCCAAACTCCCTGATAGAAACATCAATAATTTGGGTAGATACTGTAACTCCTTGAAAATAACAACCCCTTCACTAGATGCCTTTACAGTTATTGAATAAATAATGCGTTTCATGTCTCATATGCTCTCGATCTAATCATTTCTTCGCAACGCACACGCGAGCCCAGGGAGTATCAGAAACCACAAAGGAGTATAATTCGTACCTGCGGTCACCCGAAGACAGAATAAACGTGGACCTTTAAAAAAAGTGCGAATTGAGTGATCAATTATACATTTGAGAATAATATCATCCCGAAACGAAATAAAGAAGTGGAATCGACTCAACTCTATTATAGAGAATGCTCAGAGAAAAATGTGCTGACTTTGGGAAGGGTCTTTTCTGTCTATTCTTAATTTCAAATTGTAAACATGTGACATGTAGCAACATTGACCGAGCAATTATAACAAGTCTATTTTTGTTGTTAATACGATCGTTTTTTTAATCCAATAATTATTTAAACATTAATCGATTAAAAAAGATCATATTAAAATGAGCGAAAATAGTCTTGTTATAATTGCTTGGTCAATGTTGTTACATGTCACTTTTTTGTTCAATTATTAATCATGAAACGTTTATAAACATAGGACCTCATCATAAAGCGCTATCTTTTATTATAATCGCGTTCATCTGCTCGTTATTGATGATTATGATCCTGTGTGGACATAAATACGAAAACATTGACGAGAAGGTGAGAAAGGAAGAATATGGAAAATACGACAGCTCAAGCTATCGATCTTGAATTTTTCTGATTTTGACTATGAAACGTGTTAGAAATGCTATAAATAAAGTCATTAGGAAAAAAATATATCAACCGTATGTAAGATACGGTATGTTTCCAATACAAACGTGCTCCCACAAGTCATAAAAAGGAAAAAAACTAAGCAGAATTTTTGGCTTTTATTTAATTATTTCTAAGGAGTACAACAGTTTCAGGAAGAAAAATTTTCACGTGATATTTTCTAAAAATCAATTCGAGCAGGAACCTTTTCTGGATGAAGATATTTGTACGGAACTCTCCACGATTTGTTTCTGAACACATTAAAATATTCAGAAGACTTATAAAACTAGTACCTCTCGTCAATTTTTACTCCGATTTCTTGAATTTCCTTTGTGAATTGCTCTTGAATTTGCTGAGCGTTTTCTTCTTTGAGCAGTTTCATTGGAAATTCACCGAGATAGACCTTGAAAGTTTCAAGTTAAAAAAGACTAACCCTAACCCTAACCCTAACACTGTACATAGTTATCTAGAGTTACCTCAGTAGGTGGCGGTGTACTTAATGAGATAGTGACGCCCATCTGAAGGACCATTCCGTCTTGATCGGGAAGTGTATTCATGATGTCCTCCATAGTTGCTGATTTATCGGCTGGTGCAGGCTGTCGGAGCAAAAAGGGATGATGGGCTGTGTTTCCATAGATGTCGAACATTGGATAGCCGTCTGCGGCATGCTGCACGCTGGAGGAGAAAATGATTCCAGTTAGAAGATGAATCAGGTTATCCTTGAAGTGTTTTAGTTAGTGAGAAAGGGAGCTCTTGTCCGTACTCTTGTGTCAATCTCGTTGAGTTTGACATCATCCGCATTTGAAAAGCCATAGTTCTGAAAAAAAAATGTGAAAAAAACGATGTCGATTTTTATCCTCGCCAACATTTGCTTCTTTGATCCAGTTTTGTAGCTCGCTGTCTTGGGCCAAATCATCGTCGCTTTTGTAATACAGCTCTATTATGCCACGGACATATTTTTTAATCGCAGCCCAGTAGAGAAGCGAATCGTCACGGTAGCCGAATTCTTTTATCTAAAAATCATCTCTTATTTACTTGATTCGTGAGTTTGATACTGGGCTCGGAAACTTTTGTAGAAAATCTGAGTCAGGGTCTGAAAGAGCTTAGCTGAAAAGCCGCGCAGCGGCTTTTAAAAAACCAAGCCGCTAAGCGGCTTCGCGATTATTACCATTACAATCTAGGAAAAATTCCGCGCGGCTTTTTATTTAAGCTCTTTCAGACCCTGACTCAGGTTTTCTACACAGCTTGCCGAGCCCAGGTTTGGTTACTCCGACCTTGTCGTCGAGAAGACCTCGCTTTTCGAGATTCTTCGGAACATCGAAATCGTCGATTGTCCATTTTTTAAGCCCTCTTTGCATTAGTTGAACATGGCCTCCACCACCTTGAAAGAATTTGTCAAATATTTGGAAGAAAGCGTCCTGTTTTACCAAGTGAAAAGCCCATATCGCTCAAGGCACCAGAAGCGAGTAAACCGTTCCTTCCGTAGACATTGCTGTTGACGACATGCTAGGTAAAAGTTGACTATTGGCTTTTATCGGAAAAAAATACCAGCAAATGAGGAAACATCAAGCAAAAAAGAGGATGATTTCGCGAAACACAACGTCGGAGAGCAATGGCAAATGGTTCCGCTGTAAAATGGCAGCCGAGTAGATGCATGTTCAGTTGCTGGAACTGTCCATTGGCACTATTGAAGAATATTTTCGCCAACATCCAGGCATTTGGCGGATCCTTTGGTGTAAAGACAGGGTTGTCTTCCGCCTTGTTTGAGAATAGCTGAATGGCGAGGGGCTCAAGATACCCTTCACTGTTGCAGTAAAGAACAAGCAGGGGCGACGACGTGTATCTTCCCTGCATGCACGGAATGCCTTCGAGAATCGAGTTGTCGACCATGTAAATACGTCCATCAGCTACAGCACTTTCAAAAGTGACACCCTCTGGCAAGCATTTCTCCAAATCCGCAGTGGGGATGTTGTAGTAGTCTGGAAGACTTTCAAAGACTTTCTCCACCCCTCTCGGGCTAAATTTTTACTTGAGACTAGTTCAAATAATAATGATTTTTTTACCTGCATCCGTTAATTTGCTGACGGGCAAATTCAGCGTCAGTTCTTAAATACGATTAAAAATTTTTAAATAATAAAGATAAAATCGTACTGCCATTCATTCCAGCAAGTTGAGCAATCCAACGCTCGCTCTTTCATCCAAGGCATAAGCAAGAGCTTGTTCACATCGTCCAATGAGTCGAAGTTTCGAAAAACCCCGGTGAATTTAGTCAGAAGAATACTGGAAGTAATGGCGCCCTTCCAGCTTCTGAAAAAGTCGTCGCGCTCAGCTGACCACTGGGTGTTCCTGTCAAGATCCTCGAATTTATCTGCTGTTAAATGACCAGTCAGCGAGTATTCGATGTTTTCTATTTTTTCCCATTCATTGATTCGTTGCTGTTCTGCGAGATAGTCTTCGCGAAAGTTTTGCTTGACAAAAGTACTTTCATTTTGGGGCAGAAAAGGTGTGCTCTCGGCTCTCGTCGATCCGTTTTTAACCCACTCGTAGAAGGGGAAGCAAAATTCGTCCGACTTTTATGGGTTCATCTGGCTTGGGCCCCTTATGAGGGAGCCTTACCTCGTTGCTGAGCGGTAGGCGTAAAAATTCGTTCTACGCCAATATGTATGCCGTATTTCGAGCCTCAGGGCGTGTCGGAGCAGCGAAACTGCTACGCGCTCAGCAACGGGTTAAAATCTAATTTCGGCGGTTCAAGGAACCAGTCCTTTGCGATAACGGTAACAAAGTCGACATACCAGTCGGGAGAAATACCTTTATCATCAATCACTAAACCTCAAATAGAACAAATTTCAAAAACAAGATCTTTTACAAATTTTGCAAAGAAGTGGCTTCCCAATATCCTCCATTTCGACATCGAACTCGTCTAACTCGCCCTTTTGAAAGTCATTTCTAAGAGACTTATCGATTGTTGTTGGAGTTGTTTGGCCCGTCTCTCCGATGAGCTGAATTTTTATATCCGCATCTGTGCCGGCTTTCTTCGTGTTTCCAGTTTTCACGACGATTTTGTAAGGTATTCGTCCAGTGAGAGAAGCCTTTCGCTGCGAAGGTCCCGCGTCGTCGACAACACATAATCTTTGGCAGCAGTCTAGTAGTCCATCAGTCGAGTCCATCTCTCTCTCTCTCGATTATGTGGCTGCTCATTATTGCCTCGTATTTATGGCAATCAGCTTCCGTTTTATTATGTTTACGAAAACAAGTGCGGTCCCAAGCGTAAAAAATATGTCTAAAAATTATATCTGCGCCGGCAGAAAATTTCAGAAGACTCGAAATCTGAGGAATAAGTTGAACCTCGAAGTTAGGGTTAGGTTAGGGTTAGGGTTAAATTTTGTTTCGAGGTTGAAGGCAGGAAATATAAAGACGTTCAAAAACCCAAGGGAAGAATTCGACGATTGGAGACTGACAAATGCCTACGTGATTATGCGAGGAATCCTCGATGTTTTGCAGCATATCGACAATACCTTCGAAAAAAATGTTCGAAAAGTTGAAATTGTGAGCTTTTGGGATAAAGACTCTTACGATCACTCCCTGTTTGATCTATCGAGAGATACTATCAAAAAGTACGAGGCTGAGTGGGGCGCAAAAGTGACCTACGTCAAGCCAGAAGACTGGAACTCTGAAGAATATGCGGAGTTTTACCTCGAAGTTGAAAATGCTGTGTATAGAAAAATCGACGCTGAAAACCATGTCAATTAATTGACGATCATTATCGACTTAGAAAGTGTACTAGAAAAACTCTAATAAAACAACGTTTCATGTTCAAAGTTCTGAAAGCAAACATCAATTTTCTTATCAATGGAACCAAAGGTGATCTCAGCAAGAAACGGTCCTTTCTCCTTAGTTGACGAGTTTTTAGCAACAACAATTCTGCGTTGTTCCTAACGGAGGCAATACAAAGTGAGTTGAAGTGCCGACAAATAGTTTGATGTTTCATGTGATAACGAAAACGTGCGTTTTATCAACGGCTATAATTTGGTTTTGCAACACATTGAATTGCAATGTTTGCCCAAATTGAACCTCGCTATGCTCAAGAGTTCATCGTTTCTAGATCAAAAGTATCTTCTAAGATTTTCAAATTCAAACAAGATTTGCTGCTTCAATCCTCCTTCAACCAGATTCTAACGAATGTTTTCAAACAACGAGTTTGCCGATGATAAGAGATCAAGCTTTGAGAAATACAGTCGACCTTCTGAAGGTGCTCTAGAATGGAAAAAAATGAATTCAGAATCAATTTTGATCAATTCATCGCCGGAAAAAGAAAGATCATCGCAGAAAAAACCGGTTTACATTGCAAGAAAGACATCAAAACTTCCATCAGCTGGGAATTCCGGAATTCATAAAGGAAAATTTTCAAGTCTGAAAAATTTTTGAAAAAGAAACTTTTTCTGTGAAAATCATTAAAAGACAGAAAACCGATCTTTGTAAAAGGACTCATCCCCACTTCTTATGATAGCGCTCAACAGCTGATGATTGATAATGAGGAGAAAAAGAGAAAGAAGAAACTTCTGAAAGAAAAATTTGCTCGATTAGAAGCTCGACGAGCAGAACGGCTCAACCTCAAGCCGCCAAAATTGGCTCTGGAAAAAAGTCGCAATGGTAAGAAGAAAGCTCTCAGCAACACAAAACCTAACTTTTTAGTCGTGCCAAAAGTCGAAATCATGAGGTTCGACGAAAGTGGTTTGGTTGAAGCCCCTACGCAAGAAAAACCTAAAATAGAAGAAAAAATATTCACCAAGCCACGAAGCATCATCAGTACCGATCGAGATATTCGCGAGATTTTTTCATCGACAGCGATCGCCAAAACAGAAGTCGAAATGAAGCCTTTATGTTCGAAAAGTTTTATGTAAGAAAAACTCTCAAAACATACGATTCCAATAAATTTAGCTATCAGAAGAAAGAAAAAGTCAAAAAATTAACTCGCGAGGAGAAAAGAAATTTGATGAGGCTCGACGTAAATCTTTGGATTGCAGAAATGCAGTCGGAAATGGAATGAGTGTTGTGCCTGTTGACCTTCATTCGTTTCTGCAAGATTGATCAAAAAAGCTGTTCAATAATAAATTCGCACCCCTTGTCCCTGTGGATCGCCCGAGCGGATATGAGTTTAATTATTCAAAACTGATCCTGAATCTGGAGGCAGCTAGAAAGATGTTCCTTCTTTTGAGAGTTCCGATTTTTACAGAGAAAACAGCTGTATGAAATTTTTGGTACTAATACAAGTTTTGCTAGGACAAATTTTCGCAAACACAATACAAGTTACGGAAAAATTTTGCGATCTAGTTCAGCAGCCAGATTTTGGAGAAGAATACGAAAATGGCAAATATATTGAATATCTTTACGACATCTTTGCGGATTATTTAAACCTATACGACGACCTTCCTGAAGCTCCTGATCCAACGAAGCCATCAAGAAGAACAAGAGAAATTCATCGTTACCAAAGAAGAATCGCATCGGCAGCAGCAGGTATGTTCAAAATAAAGACGGGAACACCTGGGTGATCTAAGAACACGCACCCATTTGGCATAACAGTTGCGCCCATGTTTTTCCGAGTTTCGTAAATTTCTGATTATTTTGCTTTATAACAAAGATGATTAGCAATTTTATGTCGAACAGAAAATTTGTTCACGTTTTCTTAAATGGCCTTGCTCAATTCTGCAATTTTTTTTATAAAAAAGTACAAATCTGCGTTCGACAACCTGAGTCAGGGTTCTTAAAGAGTAAAATGAAAAGCCGCAAAGCGGCTTTTTTCAAAACGAAGCCGCAAAGCGGCTTCGCAAAAGTTAGTAACTCAATGAATGATTTTAACTAGCGAAGCCGCTTTGCGGCTTCCAAAAGAAAGCCGCTGCGCGGCTTTTAAGTTTTGCCTTTTAAAACCCTGATTCAGGTTTTCTGCACAGGTTGCCGAGCCCACGACAAATCAACTGATAATTTGTTGAGCTCTAAACTTACTTTTACTTTGTAGAAAGTGAAAACAAAACGGACCAGCTAATGTTGACAAGCGAAGAAATTGAGCATGGAAAAAACCACGAGTTTCCTGTTTACAACGAAACAATTCCAGCAAAACATAATTCTAGCGTGAGCGTTGTTGATACTGGTGAACGCGTAAACAATGCCACAATCGAGGGAAGCAAAGAGAAAAGAACCGTGAGTTGCTTTTTTCCTTCGGCGAAAAAAACAACAATTTTGATTCAGGAAAAACCGCAACCGCGTGGTTGGAAAAAGAAGTGCGAACTGGACGAATTCAAATATGCACCGCACTGTTTTCGCTTTCGGACGCGACGCTCAGCCGCTCATCCCGGGATTTTACCAACGAAGATAAACGAAAAACTGCTTCAAGAGCCATCTTACCATTGGGTGCCAGAAATTGTTCGAGGGATGGCCGTTGATGGGCTCTATAAAGAAAATGGTCAAACCTATAATTTCCTTCACAAATTACCCTAACCCTAACCCTAACCCTATAGGCTATACTTTTCGGGACTAAGCTACAAGATATTCGATCTTAAGGGTGTCAACATCAATTTTTTAAATAACCCTAGCCCTAACCATAAACCATAATTTCAAATCCCGATAAGAAGCTAACGTTTGACCCACAAAAAGGAATAGCAGGAGCAATGACAGTTCTAGCAAAAAGAATATTGGAAAAGGAAAATATAGGTAAGGTCTTTTTTCGATGAAAATAATAATCAAACGCTCAAAATAGAGTCTTAATTGAACTAATTGAACAATAAGCAAAAATCCCTTTTTAGCTTACATCAAAAAATTGGTCGAGATCGATGTTGTGAACTTCCAAAGGCAGTGCAAGAACCGAACCAATATGATTCAAGAAGGCAAGCTCAATCCTGAAAGACACGCTCGATCGGGCGATGCTCAAGCGGATGCATTAGAGAAGACGATATCTCGGGGAAAATCAGTTGTGAAAGCTGGTGAGCGAAAAGTACGCTACATACCGGTTGAGCCTGATTCAAGTCTTGAGAGAGAGGATAGGAATGGTTGATGAAAGATGCTCTGTTTTTATTTTAGAGGAGAGCTCGAATTTTCATACCAGTAAAAGAACTCTTGTGTCAGTTATGGGATGCGTGCTTGGCTTCATGGTCTGTGCGACAGTTGGTTTAGGTGAAAAAACTCTTATTGAGCTCGAAAGATGACAATGTTCTCATTTTTTAGTTGTTCGCCATCATGGTCAAGACATCTCCAACAGCATGAAAGAAGCTGGCATCTCCAAATTCCGTACGCCTTGATCATTTTTAACCCCAATCATTTTCGATCTTTTTAAGCTCGCCTAGCCACCTCGCGAAAGTGGAAGAAAACATGGAAACCAGTGTTACCAACATTATCGGATTCCGAAGTGCCACAATCGCCTGGTTTTCGCCCCGCATTAGTGAGATTTAAAACTTGTCGGAACATTTTTTTCACGTTCAACTTTTTTCAGCTCTCATTTCAAAAAATCGCGTCTCGAAAAAATACCCGGTCGGTAACTCCTATTCCATTGAATAAGGACATTCCTTGGTAAGTAAAGTTGGTTGTTTTTAGATAGGCAAATTTGAAGAAAGTATTTTTGGAAAATCATTACGATTATTTCATTCGAGCTTGAAATACAACTTGGAGTTACCAATGACCATTTACATTTCAGCATATCTGTCATTCCCCCGTCTCTTTCCGCGACTCCAGCAGCCACACCCGCGCTTTCATCGTGCTCAAGATCTCCAAGAAGCTCAAGATCTCCAAGAAGCGAGACTCCGTCGACAAAAGCCATTTCAGTTCCAACCTGACTCAGCCTAAATCAATCAATAACTTGATTTAGTTATTGCTTGTTGTATTTAAAAATTGTAAATTCGGAATAAAAGGATAGTTTGAACACAAATGCTTTGATCAATGTTTAATTTCTACATAAACAAGAAAAGAACGTGCACCGGTTGATGAGGGTTCGCCTCCCTGTTTACGAATTGTTTGAGAAAAATGAGTAATATTTAATTGTAAGCTGGACAAACGTTTTGTGAAAAATTTCTTCGTTCGAGAGCTCTTTTTCGGGGATTTAACAAGAAAAAGTAAATGATGATTGTTTGTTTACCGATCATTCAAATATCAAGTCTTTTCTAATGACTCGGGGCTCAGAGGGTTACCAAATCAGAGTTTTTATAGAGCAAAAATATAAATGAAAATTTTGGCCATTTTATTAGCATCGGCCATTTCTTGGCCGTATATTCCCGATCGGCCACAATTCACACGACTCCCTGACGGTTCGAGAGACTACGAAACCGATTATCAATTTTATTCAAAGTACTGTTCTTGTGTCAGATACGATTGTTACTGTGATCTTTCCGATTGGGGCTTGGGAACATTTGGATCTCCTCTTGATTTTGGATCTACAACCCTCGTGTTCACGTCAACGTATACACCTGAATAAATGGAAAATAAATTTTAACAAACTCGCAATATATTTTCTTGACAGAAAAGGAGTAAAAGTATGAATTTTCGCGCTTTTATCGGAGAAAGACTTGTAAAGACAACGAAAACTAATGAACGGAAATTTGATATCATGCAATTTGAATGTTTGGGAAGATCACGAAAAAACGAGTTTATTATTTTTCAATGAATTGATGTTTCATGCTCAACTTTTCTTTTCGCCGATGCATTTCGTACTCCATCGGATTCAGGCCAATGCGCTAGAATGTAAAATAGATAGAGGATGCCAGCAACGCAGCCTCCGATAAACGAGCCGAGGAGAGGAACCCAGAAGAAGAATGATGAGTTTGTGTCATCGAGCCCAGAAAATGCCGTTTTTCCGTATAGAATTGTGGCAAAGCATCGTGGTGCAAAGTCACGTGCAGCATTAATGGCGCCACTAGATAATACTTTTGCAAGCTTCGGATTTTATAAACGCCTTACCCAGAATTTGCTCCATACGACAATCCTACTGCAGTAGCACTGAGGCCGATAATCAGAGGGGCCATTCCTTGTGGACCTCCATTATTGTGTCGCTTGTCAGTTACTGCTAGCACTGTTGTCGCAAGAATTGAAGATCCAATGATTTGATCAACTAGCATTGTAAGCTAAATATTTTTCTTCAATGTCTTTTTTCTACGAACTCTTACGTGAGAGTTCGGCACATCATGTTTTGGACAAGTTGAATATAGACAGCTGAACTCATAATTTTTCTGGCTGAAACGATCAATAGCATTTCCGTATTTGTCATTCAGAGCATCCCCGTTGAAATGTTCGTAGGCATCTTTTTCGTTTACCGAATAAACCCAGTAAGAGAGAGCAGCAGCGACGAACATCCCAAGAAATTGAGCAACCAGATAAACAACTGTTCCTACGAAATTCTGCAAAAATCCGTTTCCCATCTTTTTAAGGTCAAAACATGCAAAAAAAAATTCTGTGGATTGAAATCAAGGAAGAGAATTCTGAACCTTTCCTTCCCCAGAATAGCGTGCGCCATTGTAACAGTCGGATTCAGATGTCCGCCAGAAGCACCAGCTGAGAAGAAAATTCCTAGAGCAACGCCAAGTCCCCCACAGAGTGCACCATGAACTGAGCTTGCACCTCCAAATCCAAGCAGAGGAGAGGTCAGATGCGCAGCGCCAATACCAATGTATGCAAGAATGAAAGATCCTTAGAATTTTTCTTACATCGGAACTGATTTGTTTTACTAACCATGAAATTCGGCGAGAAACTGTCTCACTCTCGTGCTTCTTATCTTAAGATTTCTTGAGACGATTGATTCCAGCGACATTTTCTCGAGACTCTTCGACGGCTAAAAAGTAATCCATCAATAACACCGACAGTTACTATCGGTTTAAACCGATCTTCAAAACGCAGCCCCTATAGCCATGTATGAATATTAATTATTTCTAAAATTATGGGAAAATTAATTACTAATCACCTACTGAAATCGGACTGGGCAATGAGCTACTCCTTCGTTTGCTAATTAAAAAGTCAATGGACGATAACCGTGGCCGTTCTGTCATTCTGAGCTCTCTCTTTGACTGTAAAAAAAATCCTGCAATTCAATGCACCGCAATCTGATACCAGGCTTTCGCTTGCTTTTGTCTTATTTTTTCGTTGAAAAGGGCCGAAAATAACGGATAAAATTACCTCTGTTTCAGGAAAGACACTTCTGGACACAAATTTTAACATGACTCCCTGTGCCGAACAAAGCTAACTATCAATCCCTATCTTAATTGCTTCTGTGAGTCCTTGGATCGCTGCTTTTTGCTTACAAGGCACTCAGGTTCCGCTAGGAAATGGAGAAGTACCTATTGATTGATGTCTCTTCTGACGAAAATATTTTAGGAAGCGGTTGAACTTTGAACTTGAGATTTATTAAAGAAAGATAAAGAATAAGTTAAACGAAGATATCTAGAATTTTTTCTTGGTGTCGATGGTGGAGGAGGCGACGACTTCTGAGACCTTGTGAGTGATAGACTGACCAGTGACAAGCGTAAATCGAAGCTCAAAGGAATCCACTTGCGGCGCGCCTTTCCAGTAAAAGCTATCGATGGTGCCGAATTCCATGCTTTTCCACGCCCCATCGCCCTTTTTGATCTAATATTGATGCTAAGAAAAGTATTCGAAAGGAAAATTGTACCTCGATAGACTTCATTTTGTGCTTGTGGTTGAGCGGCATGACGGCCAGCCACCATTTGGAACTTCCTTCTTTGATATGGAATTCAAAAGTGTCCTTCATCATGAATCTGTCAGGGCACTCGATAAATTTCCAATTCGCCTTGAATCGCGAATGACCAGCGTTTCCTGAGACTTTGTCCCATGCCGCGTTGCTCAAGTCCAAGTCGCCTTCGTGGCATTCTGGGCAGCTGTCGACCACCATCGCTACTGTCGTTTTTCCGGCATCGCAGTTGGTCCCGACATTACCAGCTGTACAGTCGATTTCAACGCATCGTCCGCAGTTGGCTCCCTTTTCCCACATTGGCTTTGGCAAAGCAACGAAATATTTTGTCGTCTCGTCGCTGAATTTGGGGTAGCCGCAGTTGCCACCGTCGGGTTTTTCCGCGTAAACAGTGATATCGCCCTTGTGAAGCTTTCCGCCGCTAGCATTTTGCCAAAGTGGTGAATTATTACTCCAATTTCGGGCAGTTGTAGCTGTTGGCTTGGTTTTTGGTTTTGTCGTAGTCTTCATCGGTTTTGGGGTTGTTTTCTGAGCTGGACGAGCAGTCGTTTTTGCTGGCGCTTTTCCTGCATGCACCGATTTCAAAGAAGCTGAGTCAATGACAAACGAACGGCTAGGTGGAGGTCCCTCGATATAGATTCGAATGTTCTTGACATCCTGAACTTTGTAGTCGAAACTGATGGTACCGGAAAGACGAGTCCATTGTTTAGGTCTTGCTTGAACGCTTGCAATTGGCTTCCAGACTGGTTTACCGGATTTGAATTCAATATTTGCAGTCATGATGAATCTAAAGGATAGCTTAGGAAGGATTTATGGCTATGAGCTAATTTTGCTAAACTATGAATTTTATATTATGATGATAGAATGAGTGAAATCGTGAGTAAATGTACTGTATTGTTAGTTTTGTGTAATAATGAAATGAATACTACAAAAAACTTACGAGAAGAAGGACATTTTATTTTCTAAAATCTGATAAATTATCTTTCCCGATATAAAACTTACTTCTCAGCTTTTTGATCATTTCCCTGCGGACGTATGTAAACTTCCGCAATATAATCATTTCCAGGAAGAAGATCCTTGCCAAAAACAAAATCCTGTGCTGGACCAGCCCAAGCGCCCAGTCTTGATTCGACCTTGTATCCAGCTTTTCCACTTTGAGCTGCCCATGGGAAAGCAACTCGACTTCCCTTGCAGCCGTTGCAAATCCATCCGTGGTGACCATTTTCGAAGTCTCCATTTTTGAATTCTTGAGCGCTAGTATCTTTTGAAGCCGTAGCTTTTGTTGGCAAAGGAGCAGATGATGAGCTAGAACCGTGGCTGCTCTTTGCTGGCGGAAGGGGCAAGTCAATACTTGGGCGAGCGTAATTTCGAACTGTGCAATCGCCACCAAGTAATTTGCACTTGACTCCAGCTGCTAAGCCCTGGAATGCAGCATTATAGTCTGTGGCTACTTCATTAGCAATGTAGTCCTTGCGGCTGTCTGTATATCGATCTTGCTCGTTTGGCCCGCCGACAAGTGCTCCAAAAAGAACCCAAGGAGCGGGGCCACGCCCAGATTGCGCCCAGTCACATGTTTTTGGCTTTGCTGGACAACTTGATCCTCGATGATGAGGCTCTTTTGGTGGACTTTTACCAAAACCAACGACGTAACTTCTGCCTGTGCTTCCAAGAGCGTAATTTAGCTGTTTCTGGGCAAATTGAAAATATTGGCTGGCTTTTGGAAGCTTTGGTTCCGCCATGGCAGCTTGTAAAGCCATAAATGCGATGTTAGAAGCGTGTCTCAGTGGGGCCCACTTTTGAACGTAGATCATTCCTTTTGGCGTTTTACGCTGTCGTAAAGCACTGTCGACGTATTTTGCCAAGTGCGTTGCATATTTTGGATTCTTGGTCGCTTGAAGCATGACTGCCATGGTTCCGGGCTTCTTGGAATCCCAGGTTGATTCAACTCCCGAGTACTGGATGCCGAAATTATTATAATCTCGCTCCGCAATAGCCTTCCATTTTGAATCCCCAGAAGCTCTGTAAATCCACGCCGAAGCCCATGCGATTTCGTCTTTGTAGCCCCAAGATTTGTAAAACTCAGTAATCATCGGAATCGCGCTATTGTAATCTTTTTGGTAGTTCTTGGCGAGTGCGTAGAGTTCGCGCGCATGAGCTAAATATTCATCAGCCAGTTTTGGGTTACTTTCCCGGAAAAGCAAAGATCCAGCAGCAAGCGCTGCAGCGGATTCGCCGACGACATCGGAGCCGGGATTTTTCGGTGAGATGATGTAGGTTGGTCTGTTCATTCGCATCTCTTCAGCTCTGCCCCAGTATTCGTGGTCTTTTTTCGCATTGCCGATTTGAGCAACAAACTGGTCTTTTGCAATGTGACATTTGACGAAGTAATCCAGAGTCCATTTGACTTGAGCAAGAGCGTTTTCATATTCGCCAGCTGCTTTGTAAGCGTCACCGTATTCGATGATTCCCCAGGTGAGTGTCGTTGTTGACCAAGCCATTGGCAAACCGAACTTAACGTAATCACCAGCGTCGTACCACCCGCCAGTAAGATCTCTTCCGATGTCACATCCATCGTTGAGGCCGCTATCTCCTCGCCATTTTACTCGATTGTCTTCCGGAAGCTCACCAGATCGCTGAGCTTCGTAAAACAGAATCGACTTGGCGATAACTTCGTTCAAGTCGTATTTTGTCTTCGCTACCTCTTCTTTTGAAGCCTTTTTGAAAGTTGGCTTGGTTGCAGATTGGGATTTAAGATTTCCTCCGGCTCTAGAGCAATGATCTTTTGAGGCCTTGTTGTAGGAGATTTTTCCAAAATCTACGTCTGAAGACACAGTTTTGGGGGGATTTGCCGGCTTGGTGCTTGGTGAAGTTGTCGTTTTTTCACTTGTGGGTCTGTTAATTATTGATGGTTTTGGAGCTGGCTTGGTCTGAACATGCTTTTGAGGGGGTGCTTTAGTTGGTTGGGCTTTTGCAGGCGACGAGGTAGCACTAGATCCACCGTTAATTCCGTCGTGGCACCACCAAGTCGTTGCCTTGACTCCACCGCTTTCCGCTTTCGCCAAAAAGTCGAAATTGAATTTGCTGTCGAGAACTTTGTTGTAAGACATCGGCAGGAGCTCCCAAGTCTTCCCATCGTCAGAGATCTTTTTGGCTTTGCTTTCCAGCTTTGGAAGCCACTCACAGCAGTGTTGAACTCAACGATAATCTTCCAATTGGAAACTCTTCCGGAGACAGGCATCCAGCCAAAAGCGTTGAACTGGTGGGCGCCTTTGTCGAACCATTCTGAGATTTTAGTGAATAAATAACAAAGAAAGAGATTTCTTACGAGCTCGAATAATGAGTCCAGATTGATTGTCGACGTTCTTGAGCTTCTTACAATTACTTCTGGCGGAATCTTCTGTAGACGCCGCTGATGTTGTTGTTTTAGCTGTAGTTGTCGTGGCCTTTGTTGTGGTGGTTTTAGCTGTGGTTGTAGTTGTTGTCGCCCTGGTTGTCGTCGTTTTCGTTGTCGTCGATTTCGGTGTGGTTTTTACCGGTTTTTGAGTTGTTTCCGGCAAAGCCATTTCCGCTGTCTCATTCTGTTTAGAGAGAACAGAAACTTTTCTAAAATTCGCGCAGCGTTTTTTCTTACCCTTCGCGAAAATTTTCACGACATCGCCTTTCACAGCCTTTTTGCAATTGAACACGATCTTGGGCGCGTTTTCTTTTGCGAGGCGGCGAAGGACTTGGGTAGACAGCTTTTTTCCACAAGTTTTTCCGTTCACGCTTGCCGTCAGGCCGATGTAGTTCTGAAGATGATATATTAATTTGAATTCAATATTAATATATTCTTGGAGTCTTTTCTTTCTCTTTCCTTGGCCGCTTTGAGCGTGAAATCTTCCATTTGCAGCTGAATTTCTTCCACTTCCGTCTCATTTTCAAGCTTTATCTCTAGTCCCGATCCAATGTTCTCACTATTACAGGGTTTCTCGACAGTGGTACTCTCGAGAGCCGCCTGAGTCGTCTCATTCTGGGCAAAAATCCCCGACGAGCCGAGTAAAATCGGAAGAAGTTTCATCTTTTTCAGATTTTCTTCCGCACTGCTCCTTATCGAAAAAGGGATCGCAGAGAAAATGAGGTGTTATTTTCTGCTTCGTCTATCGTCGAAACGTAATTATGCCCGGCGGGGGTCCTAATATTCTTTTTCCATGGAATTGAGTACTAAGTATTTTTTGTAAATAGAACTTCGCGGCTACGAAGAGTTAGACGGTGTTGAATCAGTCGTAACTAGTTTTTGGCGAAATTGAAGCTGGAAAAATATATACAGAAAATGGAGGAGATTAGCAACAGATGCTCAGAGCTCTCCCTAACCGGATTTTGTCCTTGAATCGCACTAAAGAGTCTCTTCTTGGTTCTCGATGATGTTTCCGACAGGTGAGGCCCCGAACAAACAGAGAAAGGCCTCCGGCCGCTCAATGGTAGTTTTCTTTCAGAAGACACGTTCCATAGTGATTTTGGATTAATTTCTTGCTAATAATGCCGCCCGTTCTAATTTCGAGCACGCTTGTTCCCACCCCCTTATTTGCTCCTGCTCCTGTGCACTCAGCGCCGTGACACTGTTGATGTTAGTATTGCTTTCAGAGAAAGTGTTATTGCGAGAAAAATGGTAGTCAACAATTACACGACATCTAAGAAGCTAGAAAGATGGGTAAGCTGAGTGCATGTTCCTCCAGTTTTGAGTTTCATGTTAAAAAGTTTCCACAAAGTGAGGGCTGATTTTAGAAAGAATACAGAAAAATAATGACTGTCAGCAACTATCAAGAGTATAAGAAAGCGTTACGATGGGTTTTTTTAATCGTTATCAAAAGATTTTTAACAAAAGTATTTTAAGGATCACATGATTCGACACAGTCCTCTAAAACAATCCGCCGGGACAAGAGAACTTCCACTTTTCACCCCAAAGCCGTACCGAATAACGCCAAAGTCGACGAAAGATATTATGAGAGAGCAGAATTTCATCAACGATTCTGTCAAAGGTAGAACATTAAAAACTGTCCACTATCGAAATATGCTTAGCGACAAAGCAAGCTCGAGCAGCACGACAGCCACTTAATCCAGAGTACGACGGGAGCAAAGGTGTGCGCGTAAAACGTCGATTCAATTGTTAACTTATCGTTCAGATAAGATGACACGTTCTTTCTCCATGTCTCCTGTCCGGCAGCAACTTCCGAGGTCAGAATCGACTTTTCGAATGTATCAAGATTCTACAAGTTCATACAATCCATCTGAGTATTCTCTCCCACCTTCGGTAAGAGATTTTCATGATAAGCCTCGATAGAACCTCCCGGTAGCGTTGCGTTTCTCGTAAATCTTCAAGAAGTACTCCCTCCTGTCGATCAATTCTTTGCTCAAGAAGTTTGGTCTCCCGCGGCGTATTACGGCCCCAAACAGTTCAAGAAATCGAGAGCAAGGAACGACTCTATCATAATCGAGCAGTGAAAGATACGAATAGCGTTCGCTGGTGGAATCCAACGGTATATAACTCAATTCTTTCATCGTTGATTTCATCATTTTGATAGACTTATCTGATCCAACCGTATGATGCCGTAATGGACCCAAACGCAGGGCGATATTTTTCACGTCCGGAAGTCAAAAAGCTTGTGAGCAGAACTCGCCTTCTACAAATCTCTTGAATAAACTTTTTACAAACGTTTTAAGAAATCCGTCTCGCATCCGTATCATGGTAATCTTGGAGATTAGTAAAACTGCTTTGAGGCGCCAAGTTCCGTTTGAGGCACTTGAGAACGTCTCAAGTGATTTTGCGTTACTGTAGTGCCACAAGTTATTATTTGCACATCTGCAGATTTTTCTCTCGACAGCTTTAGTGGGATATTTATTCGAAGAATCAGTCAGAATCGTTGTCATCGAAAATTGACGAAATATCAAATTTACATGTAGGGCATTCGTGCTTTTCCTTCAGCCATGGATCGATACAGTCTTTGTGCAGAATATGAAGACATGGAAGACGGCGGACTTCGTCGTCTCGTGCGAGATCGTCCATGCAAACCGGGCAGCTGTATTCAGTGAAAGCTTCTCTCAACCGCTGAGTTGGTAGAGCCTCTATTTGAGCGGGATGAAGACCTTGAGGTCGCCTAAAAATAGTTGTTAGTAAAAAATATTCCTCTTGTATTGTTACCCTTGAATGATCATCTGAAGTAGTCCTGCAAATAGTTCGTGGAGTCTTTCATCGACATCAACATCTTCATCAGAAGACGAAGAGTCTTGATCATTTTCAGAAGAATCTGTCGGTTGAATTTCAATGAGTGAATCGTTGTTTGAAGGAGTAGGTTGTTCGTTTCTCCCGTCATCGTCAAAAATCATCGATTCTAGGGTATTTGAAGGTGACGCTGACTTATGTTTACTTTACGTCTGACTGGTAGGTCGCTGAATTCAGGGACATTTGTAATATTTTGAGACTCGGGCTGCGGCATAAACTGTCGCGGCAGTTCTTGTCTGTTAGACAATTCTTCATCCGCTCTTTGGCAAATTCGACGAATTTCTGTGACATTTGAAATGTCGCTTTCGTTTCTCCTCGTTGTTGGCGGTTGATAGCCGCAAACCGATTGTTCTGGTCTTCTTGTTGGCTCGTGATTCTGTTCGTCTGTTCCATTCAGCTGCTCGTGAAGTCTTCTTGCCATAGCTTCATCGGACTCATACTGATCCACAAGTCTAATCGCTTCTCTAGTGGTAGCAGTCGGATCATAACTCTGCCACGGATCCATTTAAAATCTTGAATGTTTTCTCGTCCCTCTTACTGTTCTCTACAACTTATGCTGTTGATAAGAATCTTGTTCGTGACAATATTTGCATTTGCCCTGTTTTAACGATTTTGACAGCCAATGCGATTAGCGTTTGGATTATGAAAAGGGAAAGGGGACAAATAGAACGTCTAACATAGAAGTGGCTTTTGTGCAGTGAATCTATTCGAGTTTATTATCAATATTTTTGCAAAATGTGTGATTTTCAGTGAGTTTTTTCTAGTGATAGTTCTGGCCTATAGAACCAGCTTCATTTTACATGGCGGAGGAAATGTCGAACTTGCAGATCGGACATTCTTTGCTCTTCTTCAGCCATGGATCGATGCAGCCTTTGTGCAGCACGTGGAGACATGGAAGACGTCGAATCTCGTTGTTGGTCGCCATATCATCCATGCAAACTGGACAGGTGTCCCCTGCGATTGTCTCGTCTAGCGACTGGGACGGAAGGCGATTGATCTGGTCTTGACGAAGTCCGAGCCCTACCGCTGAATGCTGAGCAGTTGGCCGTGTGAAAGCAGGAGGACGGAATTGAGATAATGCCGAGGTAGATGCCCCTGGAGTAGCTCCAATGGAAGACGAAGCTTGACCAACTCGATTGTTCGTTTGCAATGCATTAATGAATGAGTCATCAGAGTCGTACGTCGATGAAGATGCATTGAGAAGCGCTTCCCCAGTGTCTTCCTCTTCGCTATCCTCTGGCAAATTATCTGGCTGTCTTCGTGGAGGGCTGGACATAGCATTCCGTCGATGCTCGTTAGCGTTCGAACGAACCTGCAAAATCTTGATTTTCAATCTTTGTCTTTGAAGTTACCTGTCCCGATGTTCCTGGAGCTCTACCCGATATTTGAGGATGAATTGAGCGAATCGGGCTTCTATCTCTTTCGTCCTCCTCGTCCATTTCTTGAATCAGTCGCTCGGCATCTCGCACCAGTGCCTGCAAATGTGCGCGTGACGCAGCAGATTCCGCTGTTGTATTGTGACTTGTGTCCATCGACTCGTTGTTCTCGTCCTCATCTTCTTCGTCGTCGCTTCCTGTCAAATCAATGACGTCCTCATCTGAAAAGCGAGTAATTTTTCACCTTTCAAAGTTATTGAGTACTTACTTATCGGTGGCAAATCCGTAGTAATTCGAACGCTCCGTCCAATAACTGCTGTTGACGAAGTCGGACCTAAACTCGGATCTCACATGTTCTGTAATCATAAAAACGATTTGTTCATTATTTGTTTCTAGCAGTTTTTAGTGGTAGAAAAGATCCGAGCCTGGAGATTCAAAATCAAATTCTGTGCCATTCTGGAGTTGTCGGGCGAGGGCTTCATCCCTTTCGAACTGCTCGACTAGGCGAATCGCATCTTTACGGGGTTGTTTATTTTTTCGAGAAAAAGGTTGGAAAATTAACAGATTTAAGAAGAATTGCCACAAAAATTAATTCATGAAATTTAACATTTAGATTCTACCCCTCCCTATAGTCGTATTGAAGTTATCACTAGAGCTTTGACTCATCTCTCAAATCTCTCTGCCAAAAGGAGAAAAATCCTGTTTTTCAAAATAATCGCAGGAAAGTGGCTGACTGATTTACGAAATGAGAGCGCGCGCTTCTGTGATGTCTCCTCAGATTGGCAGATCGCTGTTTTCGACTCCAACGAATTTCTTCGCAAAGCGGAACGATCCAAATTTTAAAACTAAATGACTCAACCGAAGAAGCGCCTTCGAGATTTGAAGTTCTCGAAACATTTGTTTTTTTGGTAGTTTATTCAGAACACCTCTGCTGATGCTTCCCCAATTTAGTAACCCTGCTCCTGACTCAGGAATCCTGACAAAGTTCGACTCTGCTGTGTATGACACTTTGATAAGAGAGATAAGGTAGATGAATTGACTGTTGTGCGGTGAATCTATTCAAGTTTATTATCATTTTATTTGCAGAATTTGTGATTTTCAGTGAGTTTTCTAGTGATAATTTTGCCCTAAGGAAGAGCCTCGTTTTACATGGCGGAGGAAATGTCGAACTTGCAGATCGGACATTCTTTGCTATTCTTCAGCCATGGGTCGATGCAGCCTTTGTGTAGCACGTGGAGACATGGAAGACGTCGAACCTCGTTGTTGGTCGCCATTTCGTCCATGCAAACTGGACAGGTGTCGCCTGCGAGTGTCTCGTCCAGCGACTGGGAGGGGAGGCGATTGATCTGGTCTTGACGAAGTCCGACCCTAAATAGTGATTTGTGAGAATAGATAAAATTACCGTAAACGTACTTGTGATCTTGAAGATTCAGGAGGCGCTCATATGAAGATCCTTGCAAGGGAAATCCACTGCCAGGACCTCCTCGGACGATAGACATTGAAGAAGTTGCAGACCGGTCACCGCCACTTGAAGTGCTCATGGAGAACAGCAAGTTTGACCCGCCACTGGAGCCGCCAGTTCCTCTAGTTAAAGTTTGTCGCGTGAAAGCAGGAGGACGGAATGGGTTTGATACCGAAGAAGATGGTCCTGCATTATTCGCTCCAGAGTAGGAAGGAGCTTGCCGAACTCGATTGTTCGTTGCGACCATCGAGGCATCAGCATCGTTGATGAAAGAGTCTTCAATATCGTAGTCGTTGGACTCGTTGAAAAGCGCTTCCTCAGTGTCTTCCTCTTCTCCAGCCACTGGCAAATCATCTGGATGTCTTCGAGGAGGGCTGGGAAAAGCATTCCGTCGATGCTCATCTGCGTTCCAACGGAACAAAGTCCGCGAACGACCCTGAAAAATCTCGATTTTCGATCTTTGTTTTTGAATTTACCTGTCCAGATGTGCCGGAAGCCGTTCTCCGAGGCCGTATATGGCGAATAATTGGGCTTCTATCTCTCTCGTTCTCTTCCTCGACCATTTCTTGCATCAGTCTTCGGGCCATGGCCTCGTCACTCTCTATCTGTGCGTTGGAAGCAGATGATCCCGCTGTTGTATTGTGACTAGTGTCCATCGACTCGTTGCTCTCGTCTTCGTCCTCTTCGTCGCCGCTTACTGTCAAATCAATGACGTCCTCATCTGAAAAGGGAGTAATTTTTCGCCTTTCAAAATTACTGAATACTCAGACTCAGTATTCAGAATACTCACCTATCGCTGGCAAATCCGTGGTAATTCGAATGCTTCGTCCAATAACGGTCCTTGACGAACTGGGACCTGAACTCTGATCTCATTAGCTCGATGATCATTAAGCTATTTGTTCGTTCATTGTTACTATCAATCTGTTCGTCATAAAAGAGATCCGAGCCTGGAGCTTCAGAATCGGATTCGGCTCCATTTTGAAGTTGTCTGGCGAGGGCTTCATCCCTTTCGTACTGCTCTACCAGACGAATAGCATCTTTACGGGGTCGTTTATTCTATGTAAGATCTTTCAATAAACATAAATGATAAATTTAAATAAAGAAAAAGTATATTTATTAAATAAAAAATTAGAAAATCAAAATCTATATCTGGCCCCTTCCTAGAGTCGAATTGAAGTTATCAGTGGAACTCTGACTCATCTCTCAAATTTCTCTGTCTGAAAACAAAAAATATCAAATCTTTTAAAAACCAGGAAAGTGGCCCGATTTACGAGACGGGAGCGCGTTGACTCACTTCAATTTGACGCGCGCTTTTCTGATTTCTCTGCGGATCGCGGCAGATTGCTGCTTTCAAGCCTAACGAATTTTTGGAACAATCCAAATTTTGAAACTAAAATGATTCAACGGTTATCGTCGATAATAACTTATCGATGGCCCATCGACGATGGGATTGCATCATCAATATTTGAATATTCTCGAAAGACGGTATTTATTTATTGCTTTGGCTATTTATTGGCAATTTGTTATCGTAAATGGACACTAATAATATATTTTTAGTGTCCAATACTAGAATTAAAATGAACAGATAATGAATTTTTGCAGTATTTTGACGTAAGGATCACCTTTGAAGTCATTATATAAATCGTCGATTTAATAATTTATGAATTTAAGAAAGCTATACAAATACCAATAATGCTGTAAGATTCTCAAATAGATTCAGTTTTATTCAGTTCATCAAGAAGCAGGGCTCGGCAACCTGTGTAGAAAACCTGAGTCAAAGTCTGAAACATCTTATCCGGAAGCTACGGGGCCTTTCATTAGAGATCTGTCAGACCCTGACTCAGGTTTTCTACACAGGTTGCCGAGCCCAGTCAAGAAGTCGTCTTCGTTTACTCAGAACAACTCTGATGATGTTTCCGGAGTTCAGATACGATATCACTAAAGAAGCCGTCATCGAAGACCAAAAAGAGGCAAACTTACTCATGCCAATAATGAAAAAGTAGCAGGAAATATCAAAATCGCCCTTCGACAAAACGTAATCGTAAAAAATCGGAACAAACAGAACACACAAAGCAGCAGAAAGCCTGGTAAGTCCGTACAATCGACCGAAATGCTCAGCTGGAAAGGCGAGGTTCATATAAGCAGCAGTAGCACCAAGGAGGAAAGCCCTGTAAAAAGAAATCGCGATCATTGTTGTAAGCTGCATTTGTAAACTTGGCACGAGCTGAATTATTGATGCAAAGATTGCAAGGCTGCCGCATAAAAATAAACTTTCGTTTGGTTTCCGAGTACCCTACTTTGTCTGCAAAATCCTCTGCCACTACTGTACATATCAGACAACCATTCCTGAAAGAACTAGCTGCTAAGCGAATGATTCGGAGTCCTCTTGGGTCTTCTGCGAATTGAGGACTGCATTTTCTTGGCATCTGGGTTCGGCAACCTGTGTGAAAAACCTGAATCAGGGCCTGAAAGATCTTCTACGCCCTGACTCAGGTTTTCGACACAGTTTGCCGAGCCCAGCTTAGCATAAACTGCGTCCCATCCAATATTAGGCCAACAATTGGCGAGAAAAAGACACAGTCCAACACTTGAATCTTGCCATAATAATCTGTGTATTTGCTAACGGCAGCGTCTTGTTCCGTTACATTGCTGTATTCTTCCGCAGCAAGACCTCCAATGAAGCCGTTGAAAGTCGCAACGAAGAAATTAAACCGGAACATTTGGAAGCCAAAAGCCAATAAGTTGATCCAGAAGAGACTCTTTTTCGCTTGATTGAGGAATTCTTTCAGATCGGATTTTGGTTCTTCCATTTTCATCAGCTCCGTCTTTTCATCTGAGAGCTTTTCTCTTTCTGTCGGCGTGTTTGCACAGCTTGAGATGCCTTTTTTAGTTTTTTGAAATATACTCGTATGTAGTATTTACGAGTTTCACGAGAAAACATTTCGAGAGAACGATCCTATTCGGAAGTCCTCGGGAATATTAAATGGAATGATGTTTTTTGGCATCAAGAAAAATGTTCTGAACAAACAAAACAACGTTGCCAACGTATACCAAAGGAAGATTGCCTTCCAACTCATCCCACTCTCGTATGCATGTTTGAAAACAACGAAGACGATCGACGAGGAGCCAAAGAGTCCATTGATGACGGTGATGACGACTGCCCTGACCTTTGGAAAGAGATTGCCAATCGGCATGTTCGTTACTAGAACACCAGCTCCGCCAGTGCATAAAAGGCAGATGCCGTAGAAAAGAAAGCCTGCTTGCTCAGGGGTCGCTTTTCTCAGATAAATACTTGTGTAAATAAAATCGAGGCAGATTCCACGTGAAACTCTAACGTAAATATAGATATCCTTTCTTGAGCGATGAGATAAGAACCGAGCGTCAAAGTTATGGAAGCAAAAGTTCTCGACACCCAGATTCCATACGCATCCATCAAGTAGCCGGAAAGGAGGCAAGAAACATTTGTCATAAACGCTCCGTAAGCATATAAAGCGGCGAGGCTTGAATCTTGAGAGTCGCAAATGACCTCCAACGGGTCGCATTCACTTCTGTAATATCCCTCCTTCTTCAAGACATAAGCAAGGCTTCCGAAGCCGAGAATAACGCCGGAAAAAAGCCCTCCTTCTACAATTGCCGTCAAAAGACTAAAATTCACTTGCTTTAGGAAGGCTTACAAACCAACCTGAAATATCGCAAACGTTTCCAACTTTCCATTTTTTGTTTCTCTTAAAAAGTTTAAAATCGTTGCCGGAACTCCCCGAGGCTAGAATATCACGCGTTCCATGAATGGAATGGTGCCATGATAGTATACTCCTGGCAGTCTTTATGCAAATAAATTTCCCACTGAAGAATCTCGCTGTGTACTAAAGAGTTTGAAGTTTGAAATCGTTGATTATTTTTGCCAAAAAGAGGAGATGGAAAGTTACAATGCCCTTAAGTATTATACTTTGTATTTAGCAAATTATGCATTTTTAATAGAATAGTTTTTCAGAAATCAACTTTGTTAAATAAAAAAAATATTGAATTGAATCCACATATGATATAGCTGGATGTTTTCTTTACAGATGCCCCTCGCTTATTATTTCTAGTGGTGTCTGTAAAATATTTATCGCGGACGGAAAAAGAAGAGACTCAATGAATGATGGATCGAACGTGTTACATGTCGGAAGTTACAGTCTATCGCCTTCAGGCAATAAAGAGTTTTATAAATTATATAAAGCAGACGAATTCAGTCAGAAGCTCCTTCAAACGGCGCGAGCGTGTGCCATTGCGCAATTGGTCGCCTTGGTGATGCCAGCATGTCTGACCAGTGTCGAAGTTCAGTGCCAGAAGCGCCGCAGCCGACAACAACTCGGCCGATCGGGTCGTTATTTCCAACCTTGTCGTAGTCCAGCACGGTGAAGATCATTGTGACTTTCTGCACCTGCTCAAAGGGAACTGTACCGCGGTCGAAAACCCATCTCTCTCAGCATTACGACTAATCTCAGATAATCGACCATTTCCTTCAAATGTAAATCCTTCGTTGTAATACGGGCTTAGTGTATTCTTCTTTATCGTCGTCTTTTTCTTCTTCAAACGTTTCCCATTCTGCATCAAGCTAATCTTGACATATGGATCAGATAATCCGCCTAGAATGTCATTTTTAATTAAATATTCAAAGCAGAGCTGCTAGCTTTTAGCAGACAGCCAGGGCAGCTGATTTCGAAAAATATACTAACCGACATCCATTTTCTTCAAGTTTTTCGCTTCAAGAACATTTACCGTCAGCTTCCCCGCTGTTGGGACGTATCGAAGGGAGAAGCACAGGTCGCCGAGTCGTTCGTTATTCTTTTGAAAGGCTAAAGAAATGGCTCTCCTTTCGTAAAACATGAAATCAAGGATGAAAATTTCAGACGCTGCGGGTAACCACTGGTGCAAAGAGGCACCATGAACTCTGCGTTATTAATTCCAAGTGTCTGTAAATTTCGAGAGCGGGCTTGATTCTTGATGCCTCAGTGTGGTTGTCCGTGTTCAACGACGGCTAGGCACACTTTTGCATAATTAAACGATTCGCCTGGAAAAAGCAACCATGTCAAACCGCTCGAGTGCATGTCAAATTCAGAGTTTTAAAGAGCACTAAATGAATAATTGCGAACTTCTGACGCTACAGCACATGCTTTAGCTCTAGCCCTGCTCTTGTCGTCTTTGGACGGTTCGAGGTCGCGCCATTCTTGATGCACTTGGCCAAAGTCGATGGAGGACAACGGCACATGTATTTGCCCAAGCATGTCGTGTTTGGAGAATCTGTCGAAATCGTAAAGAGCGAGTAGGAGAGTCTTGCCTCCGATCTCATTGTAATTTACTGAATTAGACAATAAGGATTAATTTTTTATCAAGATTTTTACCGTTGAACGTGAATTTTTCATCAAATGTCGGGTTCAGTGTTTTTCTATGAACTTTCGTCTCGTGCTTCTTTTTTCGATCAGGTAGGAGATAGACTTTTACATACGGATCCGAAGTGCCACCCAGATCCATCGCCGCTAGATCAGCAGCCTGAATAATTAAGTCTTCTGTAACTTACAAGAATGCATTTTTCCCACCTGAATGACATGAACCGTTAGTTGGCTTTGTTTAAAGTCGTAATCGAGGCTGAATTTGAGTCTTCCGAGATCTCTCTTCTTTGAACTCGTGTCAGAGTTCGAATTGACATCTGTAATAGACCCGTTATTGTTATGATTCTTGTGATCTACAAACCAATGTCAGTTATCACCGGTTGGACGAGTTCTGGTTGCGATAATTTGAGCACTTTATCGACCTCTCCAATGGGCTATCCAAGGTTAAAACAAGAAGAAACTACACATTGAAAAACTAATCAGAAGTAGGTGAAAAAATACAGTATGTCTACATTTGACCTTTCCTTCAATTTTGCTTCTTTCTGCTTCTTTCCATTTTGGCACCAAGCTCGGAATATACAAGACAGTGTCATCATTGCTGCAAGGAAGGAAATTCCCAGTGCTATTGTGAAAACAGCCCATGGTGGCAAATTTGTAGCTCGCTCGATTTGCGAGAGCTCAACGCCAATTTTGTTCTTTAGAAGTTTTTAAAAGCCACTCTTTCTCTTTACGAAACCCAGAGGCTCTCGGAAGATAATTTATTAATCTGACCTAAATATGGTTTCAGTTTAAAAAAACTCTCCTTAGCAGTCTCGTAAGCATCTTCCGAGAAACCTTTCTTTTCCAAATAATGGGACGGCAGCTGTACGATTTCCCTCCGTGATCTCATTTTTGAACCCTCGTCGATGATTTCGCATCCTTTTATTGCAGACTCTGGGGCGCCGATCACATAAGTACCAGACCGTCGAGCGAGCCCTCATTTAATATGTTCCGCAAAGCATTTACGCATTATACGCAAAGCCTTACTATCTTAATTTAAGATTCTTAAAAGTTAGGCTTCTGAACTCTTACTCCTCCATGTCTTCAATTTCTTGAATTTCTTCAAACTTGTGACTTTTCGTTGCCCCTTGATATTTGCACAGAAAATGGGAAGAGTTAATTTTAATAAAAAGAGTTGGTGTCTATTGTCGATTGAATTCTATTTGATTCCGTCAGAATACAAATAGCGTTTTTTTCATTATTCTGCGAAATCGGGCGTTAAATTTTTTGAAATATTTTTTTGCAATATACTTTTAGTAGGTAAATTTCCGTGTCCAAATGGTTCTTGATCGTTATCGCCCAATATCGGGCGTATTTCCGGTCCATTATTTTCGTAAAAACAGTAAAATAACGATGAAAATTCAGAGAAATAAAGAAGGAAAAATGAAGCTTCACTGGTTTGCTTCAGGACCGTGATATGTAGAGTCAACTGGAGGCACTTTTGAACTCAGATCCATTTTCTTTTTACATATTACATGAAAAGCAGCTCTTGGAGCATCAATATGCTATCCTCCATTAGGCTGTTTTACAGGAAAGCGGATGTAGAAGGCTGATAATCCACATTGCTTGTCGATAAAAATGATTAATCGGACAAAAGATAGTAAATTTTAAATGCATGACGCTAATAGCGTATCGTTAATATCCGTTTTGATTGACGAGCCACCTTACTCAATGGAAGGATATCGGCCCGCTCAGGTAGATTTCAAATTCAGCCACTCTTGATCAGAATCTTTTGCAGCTTCCTGAATCAATAATGGCAATTCATCCAACCTTGAAGTTGTCAACAAAAGATGGCCTGCGCGACCACAAGATCGACTGGGAAAATCCAGGTACAAATTATTCAAGGCCAAGTGTTCCATTGTTTTGGAGGCGCATGAATGTTTAACCAACTAAATGCATGTGTTTAGATATTTCTAAATTCAAGCCAGATGCGCGCATCACCGTCGTCACACATGGATGGAATGACGGGTATTATGAAGAAGGACTTCTTGGTTTATCTAGGGAGTGGTTAACATTTAATGAATCTCCTATAATAGGATGTCTTTTGTTAAGCAAAGCTAAAGGCGGGCCTTGATGGAACACACAAATGATGATTACGTCGCTCTTGGTGGGCTTATTAAAGGGTTTATACAGAATAGAAAGTTGAATTTTAGATTGGCATCGAGGAGCCTTGAGAATTAACTACAACAAGGCTGCGGCCAACACTCAAGTAGCCGGCCGCGCTCTTGGTCATTTCTTCGGTAAACTTCGCGCTGCAGGACTCGGCTTCTAAACCTGTGGCAAAGTCAAACGCCCAACGCTGTCTATTTTTGAACTCGAGATACAGGATTCAACGAGGAGAACTTTTACTGCGCTGGACACTCGCTCGGGGCACATGTGTGCGCATTTGCCGGAAAATGGACTCAGGAAGAATTCGGTTTTACAATCGCCCGTATCACTGGACTAGATGCAGCTGGACCACTTTTTGAAAAAGTAGAAGGCGTGGTTAACAAATGTTTCTCCATGCTAAATGATCTCTCTAACCGGCTTTGGCTCACTAATTGTAGCGGTTAAATATTTTAACCCCACAAGCGCCCGCTCGACTGGATCATACGGACGCTCGTTTCGTTGATCTGATGCATACTAATGGAGCGCAAGGTTTGTGATTCTGTGATTCAGAAAATTTGAATGGATAAATTTAACAAATCTTCATTCAAATATAATATGTATCGTGCCCCTTTTCGCCACTTCAAATCGCTATTTAAAAATTGAAACGGTTTTTTATCTGGTGTTGAGATTTATTGAGTGTCACATGGTTTGTGCGGGCTCAACGAACCCTTTGGACATGCTGACTTCTATCCAAATGGAGGGAACCATCAACCGGGATGTGGCTTCTTCGACTTGTACTGTAGCCATATGCGCGCAGTTGACTTGTGGATTCATTCGATTAAAATGCCAAGTTGTGTCTTTGTTACGGCTTTTCAAGTTGTCAAGAGTAGCACTATTTGAACGACAGTAGAACATCTTCAAGATGAAGTTCATGGTTGTACGGTTACCCTAACCCTAACTGCTTCCTTGAAATTTTCAATGTAAATAATTCTCTGAAAGTCGAAGAAAGCTCCATGTCAAAACGAAGAAGATTACAAGGATGAAAAATGCACCCAATGCTCTGGAGACGGATGCAACATTCTTGGATATTATGCAATTAAACCCTTCGAGAAAACGAGCTATTTTGGCGATACTTCGCAGCGTGAGCCCTTCTGCTAAATAACTGTTATTTATGGTTAAATAAAGATATTCTATTTAAAACACATCTTGCTGATCTTTGCTCTAAAATCTATTTTTAAGTTCATAGAAGGAGCTAGAATCTCCATCGTCGTGCGCGTCAAAAGAGATATAAACATAGAGTAAATGTTTTATCAGAAAGGCTGAAGTATTGATCCGTCAGCCGGTCCCATCGACTTTTTGCGCTGCGTCGCGTTTTTTTTTTCCTTTGCCAAAAGTGTTTCTTCTTTATAGAGCCTTCTTTTCAATCTGTCGTCAAGTAAGAAATTACGTGTGCGCTAGAATCATCGTTGAGTAAGAGATTGAGTGACAAGCAAGAAGTTCACGGTTGGTGGCGGCGGTGTAATCGCTGCGGGGCCAAACGCGGAGCCACCAAAAAAATGAAAAAACTGGCGGCTTTCCAACGGAGCGACTGAACTAAACAGAATGTATGAAACAAATCAGAGGTAAAAAATTTCAGGCAGAAGAACTTGAAAATTTACAAATTAAATTTTTAAGAGAAACATGCTCACAGTTAACGCAGCCGACAGAAATTCCGGCCGAAGCAGGTGAATAAGTTTTACATAAACGTTCGTTGCGAGTTCAATTTTAACAAAGAAGAGTGGTTTAAATCGTCCTTTCAGATGGAAATTACGTTGTCGAAGTAATCAAAAATAACAGAAAGAAGCATTTAATAAAGACCAATTTGTACAGACCCCACAAATCACCTCCAAAACCAGAAAACCTCTTTCCAAAAGTGAGTCTACGGAAATCTTTTTGAAAACGATTAACTTTCTCTAATAGGTGCCTGTAATAGTATGCAACACTGCCGAAGAATTCTACTCCCAAGACCTCAAAAATTTTTGCATGCATCCGAAGAACCCCGTCTCTATTATCCGAGGTACATTTGAAAGCAGTCATGTCTTGTCTGGTACTCAAGTTCGTGACATAGTGCCTCTCTTTCGACTAACGAGCTTTTAAGGTGGATGCAAAGCCGCTGGCATAAACCTCGAATATTTCACGACGCGTTCGATGGTAAAACGAGCGCCGAATGCTCCGATTGAAATACGAAAGCAGACAGTCCAGTCGCCAGATTTCAACGTTAACAATGGAAAAGTGATCTGGCTCTGCTCATCGCCAAGAGAATGGAAACCGCTGAGGACATATGCGCTGTATCAGAGCCGTCTATTCCGGTAGAAATATGTTTTCCGCTACTGTATTTATTCCGTTCAGAGAAAAGAACGCTCATGAAAATCCAAACGTAATCACTTATGGTGAAGATTTGGACTTTGGAACGAATCTCGACTTGTCAGATGAAAAGCTTTGGAAAGCAGAGCTAGAAGAGCTTGGAAAACTACCGTATTGGATTCAATACAAGCACGAAAAGAACCTCCTATCGTACGTCGGGCAGCCTGTTCTCGGTGTGAACACAGTTCAAGGTGAAGAATCTATTTGGATTCTAGCGTTTCATGATCATTTCTTTCTTCAGCTTATATAAAAGTGCCCGGAAGTAGGACTCCAGGGCACCAAGAAAATCTATGCACGTGTGCAGTGAACATTAATATTGGACCAGGCGATACCTCGTGGCTAAGTACGCCAGAAGAGTACTGGCCCGCGCTAGACGAGCTTTGCAAAAAGAATCGTGTCAACTATCTTGAGGACCCTTGGTGGCCGGCGATCGACGAGCTCATCGACGCTGGAATACCCGTTCATCGCTATATTCAACGACCTGGAGATATTGGTAAGAGACGCGAGAATTTTGCTTTTATAATTTATTTTTTCATGGAATGATAGTAAATTAGCAAGTTGTATAGCAACGAAATGAAATGGTAAGAAAAAGAAAGAAAGGAAGAAGAGATGAAAAATTAAGCAGAGAAATCCTAAAGAGTAAAAAACTTTAAAGTAAAGAAAAACCTCGATAGGAAAAATGAGAGAAAGAAAAAAATCTGAAAGGGGAATTATACAGGTGTTAGTCCACAGCTGACGATTTCTACCGTTTCGGCAGGCTTTGAAGTCTTCGCAGTGCTGCCAGTGCAGTTTTCCTCTAAATCGCAGTTGGAATTTCTGAGGTCCTCTTCGAGGCATTCATTTTGCCGGCGGTATTCGGCGATAAGTTCTTCTCTCAGTTTTGTTATTTTTCCCTGCTTTACCAATTCGAGAAATTCCAGTTCTTCTTTCAATTTTGCAAGATACTCTTCTTTAATCAGCTTGGTACTGATAGCGAGCAACCCAAGGCATATTATAATGTCCCAGAAGAAGCTGTAAATGAAACAGTACACAAGTCCGAGAAGCCATGGAGGACAGCCTCTATGAATTTCTTTGATAACCGATATCATGTCAAATATAACGGGGAAAATGGGAAAGCAGATTTTTTCTTTTTTTGAATTCGTATTTTTGAATACTCGAGGCAAAGCTTTCCTCCTTATATGAGGCACTCATACCGAGTTTGCGCATAAACAGCTGCCATAAAATAATTTCCTGCCGCGAAAAAATAGCGTAAGATCACCCGGTCAACTAAATATGATTTATTGCCAAAGAAAATAACAGGATGAGATTGAAACATGCCGCTTTCGAGAAATTTTCTCAAGAAAGCTTTGTCTGAGAGCCACTCATCGACATTGTATTGGGATGCAAACTCTTGATTTCATCGAATAATTTAGTATTTCTGAACGCTGGAACACCGCATTGGGTTCAAGCAGACGGTTTTTGCAACAACATCGCCTGGAATTGCTTGCCAATGCAGAAATTCCATGTAAGTTCTCCAAAGCTAAGCATCAAATAAATATTCTTTCTCTAGTTTGATGTGGCTGTCGAACGCTACGAATTAAATTTGCAGCGCAAGTTCCAAAGTCTGGTGCCAATGGAGAGAGTCACGTGGAACCTTGCTGCTGCTGGACTTGAATTAGACTTCGAGATGTTCGCTTCTGTTCGCTATTTCCTCCAGCGATCCATGTTTACCCTCGCCAATTCAGTAAAGTTCATCAAATCGAAAGGAATAAAGATAATCCAGCAGGTAAGACGCATAACGAGGTTTCCAAAAATCAAGAAAAAATTTAGGCCGATGATCAGCAGCTTCGCTTTTGTGAGGATTGCGACTGCGAGCTTTACACACTGCTTTGGATCAAAGACAGCGGAAACTCAGATGAAGTATCAGTGCCTTACTGCAAAGATTGTGCCGAATCAAAAGAGTACCAAAGCTGGGTGGTAGTGCAGCAATACACCGTTCGCAAGCTTCAAATAATGTACGACAAGCTCAAGCTAAAATGGTAACGCCAAAACGAAGAGCCAAAATTTGGGTCAAGCCTCAAGCCAATTTTATTTGATTCCACACGCGCTACAGTCAACTCAAACCTGAAACAAAACAGTATACCAACTTCACCAAACAGTTCTTAAGAAAAGCTGATAAATCCCTGCCGGAATAAATTTCTCTATTATTATTGTTTTACCAGAATTTCTGCCTCAATTATTCAAAAATCGAAAATAAGATTGTTTATTTAATCCCTTTATTAAGTATTTCAAACATTTAAATTAGAAGTGATTGAGGTAATTCCCCGCCTCGCACGGTTGTGTGGATTTGGTCAGTTTTAATGGTTGGTCAGTGGCATGTATAGGTTGAATATTGAAGTAAAATTGAAGCAAATTACTCTTCCTTGATCTGGGCCGACAGGAAATCAAGGAAGACTAACAAAAGAAGTAAAGTGTTTTTGAGCTGCTGTTTTTATCTTTTCTTCTTAGCAAATTACAAGACTTTCTCGATCACAATGTCGACAATCGGATCAGATTGTGCTTGTATTCGTTCGCGCTCATTCTGCGCTTGTTTTTCAAGAGCTGCATCAAGCCCATCGACTTCTAGTTTTCTCGGTTTTCGCGGCTTATCTAGGTCTTCTACTGCATCTGGGTCCATTCCTTTGTGAGTGTCCAGAAGGTCGATCAGATTCTAAAGTTGGCTTGAGTATAATTTACATTGCAAATATACTTTGATTTTAATAATACAAGATACATATAGTTTTATAATACCAGATGAGATACCTGTACCACGGGCTCGAGGAACTTGATATTCGCGAATTGGCGGAATTCTCCTTCCGAAAAGAACATCCTAGAAAATGAATTATGAATAAATTAATGAAACAGATCATCCGTCAGATGGGAGAGTCTCAGACTGGAATTCTCATCAAAAGTCTGGAAATTTTCATTTAGCAGCAGATAAGCTAATAAATTATGTCTCGCCATTCCCAAAAAACTTACACAGACAGAATGGAGCTGTACAGAATCCAACTGAGGGCGGAGAATGCGACGATATTTCGGCAGTAGCACATGATCGGTAGAATTGGAATCGAGAGCATTAGATTGAGCGAAGCGGCGAGCAACTTTTCGGGGCTTTAGTAAAATTTTCGATCGATAATTAATACTAATGAGTCTCTAAAACCAAGTACCCAAAGCTTTTTGAATCAATAATTCTCACGCGTCATATTCGATAGAAAAAACTATGTTTCTCGGTGGGAGGTACATTTCCCTTTACATAATATATCATATATTATATATGAATGTGTTCTTCCATCGTAGGAATAACACCCTTTATGACTGTATTATCATTATTTGGCGTCATAAATGATTAATTTATGAATTTTCCGTAACTCAAATTTTGAATTTCAAAAACACAAGATGAGCTGGAAAAACTAATTCGTCTGTCAATTTCCTTTATAAAAGAGAAAATTTTGATTAAAAATTTTAAAGCCTTTCCTTGAATGCAAGAATTTCGATGTATTTGTGCGCCTTCGGGAGCTGACAGGTATATCGGTACCAGACGTAGCGGATAAAAGGAATGACGTCCCAAATTGAGCAAAACAGTAGGAGCGCCATGTTGCCTAGTGCTGATAGCAAGACCAGAGTTACAGAAACTTCGGATTTGAATAAACAAGTGCTTTGGCTATGATGACTGCCATCGTCTTCAGGGTCAATTCGGGTAATGATCCAGCCTTGGTTATCGTGTCTGTCGAAGTATAAAAGATAGAACACCAATCCTCCAAATGCTATAAAAAGGTCGTTACAACGACTGTAAATTTGATTCTCAGCGCGTACCTAAGAATAATGTGGACGCTACCATAGCTGAAACTGTACTAGCCATCGTAATGATGAAATATTTCAGTGGAGTCTGTCTCAAAGTCCTTGAATTTTCAATGATATGAATGATGTTTTCGGAAAAACGTACCTGAGGGTGAACATTTGACGGACAAATAGGAGCATATTCACGCCGAAAAATGTAAGAAGAGGATGGAGACATACAGTCAGATACGTTAAAACTGGGCAAGGGATAATTTCTTTTGGTAGAAAATTGTCTTTAGCAAGGTTCTTTCATTATTCCTCGATTGCAGTCGTTTTACATTGAAATCATGGAAGAGAACCTTTCCTAGAATAACTGTAAAAAGTTGAAATGTCGCGATAATAGCCGTCCCAATTATCGTGATGAACATCGTCACTTTCCTATTTGTAACAAGATGAGCACCTTGCTTCGAAAGCGTTTGAATTTGCTTCACCTGAAGTACCTAAATTATTATACTGAAATCTGCTGGTTTAGCTAAATTCAACCCACCCTCGGAAGAAACAGGTAGCCAAATCTGATCGAAACGAGCACGATGAGGGAGGAGACGCATAGCAGTATCATGTACCACCATTCCATAAAAAGCCCTGGCATCGCTCAGCCGTCCCGGTGGCGAAGCGGCCAGGTGAAAGCTTGAGGAGTCCGTCGTGAGGAGGCGTTGAAAACTTCGTGATAAATAAACTCTCAGTTGGGCTAGGACCCAAAATCACTTTTGGTGAGGACCTCGGTGGTGCTGGACAGAACCGGTGGCGCGAAATGATCGCCGTACGAGTGACTGGCGGAACAGTGATCACCATTTCATTTAGAGCGCCGCCACCTAGGGGCTCGTCCTTGTCTCGCAGCGCGTTTACCATTCTTTTTTTCGTCTATGATTCCGGATGTATCTTTGCGTAAATCTTAGAACTAAGGAATTAATGGAAGACTTTTGGCGAGTTGAAACTTTTGGCTGTTAAAAGTAGAGCCGTGTTCGCGCTGTATTTTACTGAAAGCTTTTTACGGCTAACCTAACGACATTGATATACCAAAAGATGATGATGGTAAAGGTTCTTGAAAATATTGTTTTCTTAGAGTATTTCCTTCAATTTTGAAAATTTCCAAAAAAAGACTTGTATATATTTTCATCAAATGATACCCCATCTAGTGGAAGTTGGGACTCCAAATTCAGTCAACATAAAGACGTCAGCAAAGTTGAGATTGCGTCAATGATCCCAGACAACTCAGGGTGTCGCTTTCTTTAATTCTTGAACTTGGAAGATTATAGCTTGGATTTCCGTGGCAAAGTCGGATTCGATGCCTTTTTGTCACTGGAAAATGTATACTTCCGACAGATTATCGATGAAAATGGCGAAAAATTCATTCTTGACACAGAAAGCCGGCCCTTATAGTTGAGTTTGGAATAATGGCAACTTTAATTTCATACTGCAAAATAAGAAAAATAAAGGCAAGTTCTCCATATAGTTTTTAAAACATCAAGACTTTGGAATCATATTCGAAAGCGATATATAAGTAATCAAAAAGTCGCGAAAAAGAACTAAGGGGAAGTGAAATTCCGTTCGATGTCTCAATTGACGTCAGTTCCGTATTAAAGTAGCACTGACTTCATGCCGCTTTAGTAGACTGGCCAAGAAATTGATTGGTTTCTCTCAAAAAGTCGATATATTCGAAAACAGACAACTTATTTCAAATAAAATTTATACATAGAAGAACGCTAATGTCCCAAAAGCTAATTATTATTCGGTCTACTAGGCTGGATTACGGAAATAGAGACGTTAAGAATAAATAAATTACCATCAAATTTTACGTTTGGCAAAAGGACGAGCACTGAAGAAATCCCAGACAGTTTGTAGCAGGAAATTGTCGGGCAGAATCACGGCTAAAATGATCGGTTAACTGATAGACATCGTGGAAATCGCATTATCATCCTCGCATCTTCTCTAGAATGAATGCTCTCTCAGGTGTTTGTTGCCGACCATACAGTCAGTTATAAATTTACAAGTGTGCGAAATGGGCTTGGCAAGGAAGAAACCTGTGCGGAAAGAAGACGCAGAGCGTCCGAAATGCGTTTTTTGTTTCCAGCCAGGCCTTCTGTAAGTTCTTGCTATACTGAATTTTAACTCATCGTCAATAAGACCCTCAGAAATGCCGCTCGACGATGCGACTCGGGAAAAGCTAAATGACCTCTGTCGACGAAAGGAAAACGACGAGGTCGCAGCACTTGAGCTAAAAAGAAACAAGGTCTACAAGCGGCCGCGATACAACAAGCCAGACTTTGAAATAAACCACGGTCAATGGCTTGTCGATCAACATGCTACTCCCGAGGAGGACATTTCTTGTCATTACAATTGCCTCATCTCAGCTTCGGGCATTTATGTCAAGCCACAAGATGAAGGAGGACTTCCACCGAAGCAGTATAAAAAACATACAATTGGAGGTACCGGTTATCTTCGAGCTGACATCATCGAGGAAATCAAACGAGCGAAAAAACTGAAGTGCTGCATTTGTAAACGATCTGGAGCTAGCATCGGCTGCATGGAAAAGTGCAACAAAAGTGTAAGTTTCCCTTCTTTCGGAAGTCTTATCTGAGGTCATTTTCAGTTCCACTATCCTTGCGCCAAGCGGGCGGGCTTCACACTCGTGGCTGACAACAACATGTGCCCCGCTTTCTGCTGGAAGCATGCGACCAGACGCTATCGTTACAACTTGCGTGGCTGCTCTGGACAACCAAAGTACTGTCTAGACGTTTCTTTTAACTTTAAAGGTGAGATTTTTCCACCGTCCCGTCGGTGAATACGTTTTTTCCATAGGAAACGGTGTTGGACTCGCAGATGCCAACGATCAAAAATATGAAGTCACCAAGGATGATATAACAAAAATGCGCAAGGCGTCGGATTATGATTATATGAAGATGGTGGAAACGTTTTTAGAACGCAAAGCAACTCTCACAGAGGAACGACTGATGACGATTGACGATCAAATTCAGTTTATGATCCGCAACGAATTCAACCAAGACCAAGCTTTCTTTCAATGTCAATGCTGTCTTGAGTTTTTTGATGATCTGAAAGACATCGTCGTGTCCAAATGCTGCAAGTTCGCAAACTTCCATCGAGAATGCCTTTCAAAACTCGCTGTTCAAAAAGGACTGTGCAAGATCAAGTGCCCTCTCTGCTTCGGTAAAATTGACAATACAACTAACGCAGTAAACTTTTTGATTCAGACAACAACATCGAAATGTTCATCAAATGCTGCATCGCTCAAGGAGTCAACATTCCGAATCGAGAGTCCGTGATCGAGCTAGAAGGCAACTTCGACGAGCAATACGCCGATAACAAGACAAAGCTTTGCGGGCTGTCACCAAAAGAGTGCAAATATCCGACGAGAAGTGGCTACGACGGTACAGAGGAGGAGGTTGTTCTTTGTGATGATTGGTAAGAAGTTTTTCAAGTGCATTGTAAGGTTCGCCCCAGGTCCGAACCAGTAGCTTCATTTCCACCGCCCCCGCCTCGCCGCTCATAGGCTCGGGCTTTCTTATCACCTCTCGCCCACGAGCCTGAGGCCCAGCTCCGCGCACATTTTCAAATTCCCCTCACTCGCAAAAACTGCAAACCAGCGACAGCAGCAAAGAATAAAAAAGGTAGAAAGGAGATTTCCCCGCTGTTATTCCCAGAGACTGTAAATAAACATGTTGACCCTTGAATCGAGATGCGTTCGCGTTCCTTAGAGTTGAGTGAGAGTGAGTTCAAGTCAGGATATCAAGTAGAGGCCTAGTTCTACTAGCGTCGGTTTCTAGCTAGTCGGTCTCCGGACCGCAGCTAGTCATCGAGAGTCTGTGTGGAGCTGGGATGAACCTTTTAAATGGTGTCAGAAGTGGGATACTCTTCTATTCCTGACTTCTACTTTAAATCCGAACCCTAAGGAAGAGTCGAACCGCCTCTTTTCTCGGCGAAGTATGTTTGTTGTCAGTCCCTGGGAGTTACGATTAGTGATTTTACGCTGACAATGCTTCCTTTTTATGACATTTTTTCTATCCTAGATTTAAATAACGCGCCTGGGGCCGCATTTAGACGTTTCAAATAGCGCTTTTTTACACTCAGCCGGTCTGAGACTCACTCTTATGCTATTTTAAACCCCTAAATGTTCCAGTACGCTAACTTAGAGTAAATTTAGGATATTTTCAACGCATTTTTTCTAAAGCGCGCCCTTCTGGGCGCCGCTAGGGTTAATCCCCGAGGTCATGGGAAACATTTTTTGCGGCTCAAATGCCAAAAATAGATTGCGATAAACTATGAATGTCTCTTATCAACTAGAAACATTCAACGCAGCTATTTTCTCAACTAAGCTACCCACATGGGTGCTCACTGGCCAAGTTGGTCAAGTATGGGCCCAAAGTCAATTACCAGTCCAAAAGTTCAACTTTCGGACCCGAGGTCAGGTGACCCCCCGCTGGGTCACATGACCCCAGGGTGACCCCAAAACCCCCGAAATGGGGCGATTACCCCCAAATGTCTAGAAATTGCCAAAATATGCATAAAACAGAAGTGATCAGCTGGTTTCTAGCAATCAATTCCCAAATTGGAGATTAACACTACCAACCGTAATCCAAGAATAGTAGACCAGTCTATTTGCGAAGCCTCCTAATATGCCATCAGTCACCACAGTGTAGCGACGCCATAATAGCTACCGAGTCCACGCAAGTGCTCGTTTAGTTAGGCTATAAACCGACTCACTAGATTGATTGTGCAATTAGGAAGTGTTGACCGGATGGAAGGCTACTATTCGAGGCACGCCTAGGTACGACTCCACCCCCCAATCAAATTGCTAGAACCGAATCATATAATCAGCAGCATGTCTAACCGTACCAAAAGAGACCAAAGTACCGACGATGACAACCAAAGCTGAAATCGTTGCCATACTGAAGTATACTCGATCGAAGCTGGACGGTCTGGACGCCAACTCCGACGACGATGCCATCAAAGCTGACATCGCCAGACTCAAGCGCGAAGAAGCTGACCTCGTCGCCGCACTCGTCGACATGGCCCTCGATGGATCCGACACTACCGACGCTGCCTCAAATGGAGTCGCCACCAATGCCCAAGTTCTTCAACAACAAATGTTAATGTCCTATCTTCGCGACATTAGCTTTAACGGGTCAAGCGAAGAAGCCTTATCCAATTTCATCACTAAATTGGAAGCGATTCTAGCGTCCTTGCCACTTCTCGACTTCAACACTGTCTACCTCGCCGTCAAGCCCGCGTTGCCTGCGGCGGTGATCAAGAGCCTCTCTAAGGCGAACATCAACAACCTCGAAGACTTCAAACGTCACTTGTTCTCCCTCTACGGCTCCTTCAGCTCTATCTACCAGAAACTCGAAAGCTGGCAGAACCGAGCCAAGGGCAGTGGCACCACGTGGACTAGACATGCGACACAGCTCACCTCGTCACTCGAGTCGCTGAAGGTGTCGTACCTGGCTATGCTTCGACGCAGATATGAAAACTCGCGCACCCAAGAAGAACTACTTCTCAAGCCATTTGAAGCGACTTACGAAGATGGTTTCAACTTGATCTTGTACCTGAAGCTGTTGCAGGACATCGCCGCAACGGACAGCAATGTTCACCGAACAGTCTCCGTTGAGCTCGACGCTCTTCATACTCCTCATGCGTTGGCCAATCGTGCCGAGGCCGTTCGTTGCCAAACCGTTCCTCTCAGCGCTCATGTCTACAAGAACAACAACAAGCCCAGGAAGACTGCGGAGCAGGATGAGAAATCCGACAAGCAGAATCCGAAGAAGGGCAACAACTCGAACAAGAAGGGCAAGAAGAAGGAAAACCAAAAGACGAACAATAACGGGAAAAACTCGTCGAACAGCAACTCCAGCTCAAACCCAAACGCGCGCAGCGGAGCCGCTGATGGAACCTACTTCGCCCTAAGGGACCAGAACGATTTCGACGCCGTTGTTGAATCAAAAACTAGGTCCAGTCGGGGCCACGCAGTCCGCCCTCGACTCTAAACACCACAAAATCTGCATCAACTACGAAGACCAATGCAACTCCAATTCTTCTCCCGTCTATCTCCCCATTTCCTTTCCCGAGCTCAAGGGAAAATGGTTATCTGCTTTGTATGATCCGGGCTCTTTCGCTAGCATCATGAAACTTTGTGTGGCCAAGGATTTGAATGCGAAAGTCCTCGAAACGGATCAGAAAATCAGCGGCATTGGCTCTTCTAACCGACCGTGTCTTGGAAAGGTTTGCCTGGACATGAAGGTTGGCCACCACGGACTCTGGAAACGTACTACATTTTTTCTCGTTCCGGACTCCGCCATGGGGATTCCTCTCATCCTCGGACGTGATCCCCTCTTCAATCGCTGCATTCAAGTTAACACTAATCTACAAAGAAAGACGCTGGTCTTCAAAACGCCTACGGGATGGACTCGAGTCCCATTTATCAACGACCCACCTTTCGAAGATTACAATGCAGCTAACGATAAAGCCGGCGTCTATTTCGCCGATTTGTCAACCACTGAGCTCCTGGGCCGAGTCACTGAACTCGGAATTGACATCAACGATGCCGCTCCGGAAGCTCAAAAGCGTCTAATGGCAATTATTATGCTAAAAATAAATCGTGTCTTCTCTTGCGAAAATCGACCGATTGGAAACTTCAGCAACTTCGAAGTTAGGATCGACACTGAACCGGGTAAAACCATCAGTGTACAACAGTACCCACTGCCAGTCATGATCGAAGAATCCATGGACGCCGAAATGGAAAAATTGGCTGCCCTTGGCGTCGTCGTTCCTTGCACCGATAACCATGGTTGGAACACTCCTATCGGCGGTGTACGGAAACCTGATGGTACGATGCGAATGATTCTCAACTTCAAATTGACACTCAACAAAGTCCTCGTCGAAGACGACAGTTTCAACATCCCGAACATGGAACGACAATCCATGGTTCCTCCCGGAAACAAATTCTTCATGTCCCTCGACGTTTCGAAAGGTTACTGGAACCTCCGCGTCAGAAAGGAAGACCAAGTGAAATTGTCAATCTGCTGGAATAATCGCAATTGGCAGTTCACCCGTTTGCCTTTCGGCTTGAAGAACAGTGGCTCCTGGTTCTGCAGAGCAATCGCAGACGCACTCGAGGGCATGAAGTACCGCAGCAACATCAAAATTTTCATCGATGACGTCCTCGTCCACGCTGCGGACTTCGAAACTTTCGCCAATGCAGTCGAAGAGGTGCTCAAACGACTCGACGATGTCGGATTTGTCGTAAATCCGAAAAAGTGCAAAATTCTCTACCCACAGTGCAAGTGGCTTGGCCGTTTACTCAGCTCCGAAGGACTCTCCGCCGATCCCGACAATGTGGAAGCCATCAACCGAATCAAGTCGCCCACTTCCTACAAGTCTCTCCAGAGCCTGCTGGGAATGCTCAATTGGGTCCGACAGTTTGCTTCCGTCAAGATTGGCGAGTCCATCGCTGAGAACAGCTTCTCCCACATCGTCAAGCCGATTACTGAACTGCTCAAAATCAACAAGCCGCGCAGTTCAAAATTTGTCTGGACGGCGGAAGCCGAGGAAGCGCTAAGACGAGTGAAAGCAAAGCTCACAGATGGATCAATGGTATATTTTCCCGACTACACCTTGCCCTTCGTCCTCATCACTGATGCTTCAAAGTTAGCCATGGGTTACGTCTTGCTGCAACCGATTTCCAACAAGAATCGAATTGTCCGACTCAACTCCCGGACATTGAACCCAGCTCAACAAAACTACAGCACAACAGAGCGAGAAGCGCTTGGCCTGGTCTGGGCCGTCGAAGACTGCAAACACATCCTCCAAGGAACCAGCTTCGTCGTACGAACCGATCACCAAGCTTTGACCTACATCGATTCAAGCACTCCGAGAAATGACAAGGTCGCCCGCTGGGCAAACAAACTTTCCGTTTACGACTTTGTGGTGGAATTCATTCCTGGTGTCGACAACTCCGTTGCCGATTTCCTTTCTCGACCGGAAGGCGCAGAACCTAAGAAGACTTCCGAAGATGACACTCTTGCCGGAACTTTCGTCGACTTCCACCAGTGGAAAATCTATGTTCCCTCCTGGGTTAAGCCCGGGAAACCGCCTTCGAACACGCTGAACGGAACGGATTTGACGATGCCTGAGGATCTCGTCGCGACCCTCTCGCTGAGCGAGCCATCGTTGTCTACAACTGTACTCACGAAATCGCCTCAGCCCAGTTTGATGACCCCGTCGTCTCCAAATACCTCAACGCTCTCGACTACAACGTTGAACTCGTCAAGGATGACCAGTGCGAAGAGAGTATTTGGCTCAATCATCGCCGAAACCAGATTTCCAAATGCGCAGCTACCGGTGTCTTGTCAGTTGCCGACAAAATCTACATTCCGACCGCGATGCGCCGTGAAGTACTCCACTCATACCACGATCAGTGTGCCCATGCTGGGAGCAAACGAATGATGGAGCTCACGTCACATCTTACGTGGCCGATGAAGTCGAAGGATATAAACAATTACGTCAACAGCTGCCCTTGCGTTCACCGGACAGGCGGAAGAGGACAAAGTCACAAACCGAAAATACGGACGACAGTCAGAGGAAAGCGCATTTTCGAGAAAATTTTGGTCGATTTCATAGACATGCCCAGTTCGAAACATGGATATCGCTATTGTCTGACCGTCCTCGACACTTTCTCCCGATTTCTCGTCGTGGTACCGACAAGGAAGCATCGCGCCGTTGACGCTGTCAAAGCAATCCGCGACAAAATTTTCTCAACTTTCCCTCGACCGAAAATCATCTCTTCCGACCGGGGTACGCACTTTACCTCCTCCATGAACGAAGAATTCGCTAAACTACACGGCGTAGAATGGAAATACCACTGCGCGTACCATCCAGAAAGCTGCGGGGCCCTGGAGGTACAACATCGTGTACTGAAAGACTCATTATTCGTTGCCGTGCACAGTCAGAATATTGACTGGGCAGACGCTTTACCAGAAGTGGTCAGAATACTCAACTCGCTGCCGAACGCAGCTACTCAAACTTCACCGTTTGAACTGGTTTTTGGATGTAAACCGGATCTCAGCCAGTTTGACTTAGTCGACAACAGCGATGTCGAAGTTACGCCCGCTGAATATGTCAAGAAAAGTGCTGCAGATCGAAAAATCCTCTATGAACGAGTCAAATTGATTCAAGAAAAAACAGATGAAGCACGGAGACGAAACGACGGACCTGCCATCGAGGCCAAAAGCATCGAAGCTGGCTCGAAAGTACTCATCTACCGACCATTGTGTGCCACCGGAAGACGTTCCAAAATGCGATGGATCGGCCCGTACGTTGTAACCAGGTCAAACGACTCTGTGATAGAAATCATCGATGAAGAAGGCAATAAGGACTTTATTCACCGAACTCAAGTCCAGCCAATTCAAGAACGTCGTGAACATCTGGGACCGCTTCCCAACTTCCCAAATCTACATGTGCCCTTGGCGAAAACTGGATTCGACAACTCAAAGGATCCTCCAGTTGTACTCAACGCGCCACCAATGACGGACATGAGATTGCCGGAAAGAACAGCCCCTACTGGATCCGCCAATGGAGAGGAGTCCAACCCCGCTGGACCCGCAAATGGCGATGATAGCAACTCCGCTGGACCAGTCGCTGACGAATCTGATGACCTTGGACCAGAAGATTCAGTCAACGAAGATGTCAACGACGATGGAGGCACTGCTGAACAAGTAACCCGCCCAACCCGACCCTTGACTCCTGTGAACGAAGAACCTGAGTTGGATGAATTCGGAACGCCAATGTCAATTGCTCCGACGCCGCCAAATCCAAAAACTCAGAAGTTCACAAGACCACCGCCTGTTCCAAGAAACTCGCGCGCCCGAACCAGACTTGCCGAAGAAGAAAAACAAGCATCGCTAGATCTTGCGAAGAAACTTCAATTCGAAATCAACAAGCCTGTCACACGTTCTACACGCGCTAAGCAGAACAATCCTCGCTAGAGATTCCCCCTTCACGTCAGTGAAGGCCCTTGCTCACTCACGTCTAACGAGAGTTGGGAGCAGGATTTACTGTACAAACGAAAATGAACTCCCTTAAACGTGTTTTCGCCCATTTCTAACGTGCCCGTTTAGAAGCCCTTTCTAAACTCAGGTGTATCTCTAGAACTCGTTAGGAAACTTTTCATAAATCAGAAGCAATGTCAGCGTAAAAAGATTAATTAGTTGATGATTGCCCCTTAGGATTCTAGAATCATTCATTAACCTTTTCCCAAAGATACGCCTTTTCGACTCTTCAAGTGGAAAACTCGCCGACAAAGTCAAATCCGTCATCTGCATTGGTGCCGAGGTCGCCAACGTTGATCCTGAAATGGCCCGACCTGATCCCGTCATCGTAGCCGCCGACAACGTCAATGTCACCTCCACCACCGATGTCAACCCTGATGACTGCGCCATGGACATCATCGATGCCAGTCCCGACTTCACCCTGAACTCGACTTCAGCCCTGGTGATCGATGAAGACGCTGCTCCTGTTGTCACTTCTGGCCCTGGTACCGACCACAAGCCTGTACTGGTCTCCGAGAACATCGTCGAAGCCATCTTCACAGCTGCCGAGAATGGCGAGAGCATCACTGGACTCGTTGACCAACTTCAACCCTTATCGACGTCTACTCCATTCGCTCGACCACCTGACGTCCCCAACGAATCATCCGTTTGGATTGATGACGACAACAACGAGTTCGATGAGATGTTAGCCAAGAAAAAGAAGCTTCGCCGTGCTCGCCAGTCCAAAAAGAATCGAAAGATTCAGAAGATGAAAGTTATTCGACGAAATGGAAATTCTCGACCCTTGGCCGATGCCACTCCAGTCAACAAGAACCGATCTACATTTCTCTGCTTGGAACTCCTCGAAAACATTGGCAAACTCGCCGCCAACCGCAAGATAGATCGAGGAAACAGCAAGTTCTTCGAGTCCCCAGCCGGCCGAAAACTCATTGATCAGATGTGCAAATACGCCCGTGGACCGCGCCGAGAGATGTGTGCTCGACAACTGATTGCCTGGAGAAAAAGCGCCGAAGCAAAAGCTGACAACCTTGGACGCCTGTTCTACAACTCCGAAGCCGACGACTGCGACGGTGGAGCTTCAGCTGGAGGCATCTGTAAGGTTCGCCCCAGGTCCGAACCAGTAGCTTCATTTCCACCGCCCCCGCCTCGCCGCTCATAGGCTCGGGCTTTCTTATCACCTCTCGCCCACGAGCCTGAGGCCCAGCTCCGCGCACATTTTCAAATTCCCCTCACTCGCAAAAACTGCAAACCAGCGACAGCAGCAAAGAATAAAAAAGGTAGAAAAGAGATTTCCCCGCTGTTATTCCCAGAGACTGTAAATAAACATGTTGACCCTTGAATCGAGATGCGTTCGCGTTCCTTAGAGTTGAGTGAGAGTGAGTTCAAGTCAGGATATCAAGTAGAGGCCTAGTTCTACTAGCGTCGGTTTCTAGCTAGTCGGTCTCCGGACCGCAGCTAGTCATCGAGAGTCTGTGTGGAGCTGGGATGAACCTTTTAGCATAAAATGAACAAATTAAGTGGACACAACGGAATTCATATCGCCTGCCATCCTAGACTCAAGGCCATTTTCGATAAAGAAGAAGAAATCCGAAAGAAAAACCCTCGTCACAGCGAAAAATACCCTTGGGTTTGCGACGTTTGCGCATCAGTTGGAAGTTCCATGGAGTGGACGCCCGCCACTGCTGCCAGATCAGCAAAAAGACTTCAGTAAAAAATCCTGTCCTTGTTTTTATCCCTGCGCAGATACTATTGTAATATATATTTATTTTATTTTCGTAACGCTTCTGGTTGTCTATTTTTCAGAGGAGGTTCTAAAAGAACCATCCAGAATGTGATTCAGAATCTCATATAATTTTCAGCAACAAAATTTCCGCTGAAAATTCTGAAATATAGACCGCCGCGAATTTTCTACGTTTTGTAATCCTCGGTCATTTGGCGTCAGATAAATGATCAGAAGAATTAATTAGTGAAGAGCGTCAAGATCATTAAATGACATCAAGAGAATGCAATTTTTCCACTTGTACTGCTGGAAATCGTTAATTGGCCTGCCCAGAAAAGAACGATGGATCAAAAAAGGTCTTATCCTTGATGCGACCATTTTCTCCCTAATTCACAATAAAACTTTATTCAAAAATGGCAGGGCTCACTAATACGGTATTGGTTAGTTCAGCATTGAACTGAGAACATGGAAGAAAACGAATGGAACTGTAGGAGTTGCTATAAAGTAGACCGGAGGCCTTTCATCAAGGGTTTGATAAACGGAAATTCTGCGATTCAGGCACGAGTAAAATAAAGAAAACAATGAGAAGATAAAAAGAGAAAATATTGAAATTAATATGTGGAGTAAGAACTTGAATGTGAGGCTTGTAGTTATTAGAATTGACTAATTAAAACCAGACGTCTGAAACCTGGTTAGGCGTGCTGTGCTCATTCTGACGCCAACGAGATATGCTGTTTTGAAGGGCCTGGTGTGCCTCGTGAACGTCGCGCCGGGGAAAGCCAAGTCGAAGGGAGACGAGGCGGACGAGATCGTCTTGTCGACGAGCTCTCAGACGGATTCCTCGGAGACTAAAAGGTAATAGAGAGAAGCAAGGAAAGCCGGAATTACCTGAAACAAATACAAGCTGCAGTCACGATAGCAGGCGAAAATTTATTCAACTCCTGCTCGAGGCACGAAATGTCGATAACGAAACGCGCTCTATTTGTAATTTGTGCGGTGCGCTCCTGATTGAAGCGCATCAGGGTCATTAAAGGCGACAAGATGTCGATCCGGCTGGTGCAAGAAACATTCCAGCCGAATTGACAAAGGATAGAGATTTCTAATTCCCGGATTTCTGATGCCGTGGTCGTGTGGGCCGTGGCAGCGACGCATTTTCTTACTTGAATTGGATTCACATCATAAACTGAGCAATAATGAAGAACCCATTCATTAATGACAGAAGTACCTTTTGAAATAATAAGCAAACATGTAATGGCAGTCACTTGCAGTTGACAAGGCATAAGTGAGACCTTGGATAAATAACGATCTAATAGTTGAACGGCGCCAGGGAATACTGAGCCGCAGCATTCCTCTAGCTCGGCGACTTCGAGAAGCCACTGGGCGACTTCGTTTCGCATCCAAGGTCGACACTCATCTAAAACAATCGAACGATCCGCGCATGTGTTTGGAAATTACCTTGGATTTCCTCGAAGCAGTCGCTTCTGATATCATTAGGCTGACAGGCGATAAGATTCCGCTTGATCCGAATAGGGTCATTTCTCCAATTGGGATCCGGTGTAGATGGAACCGACTGAACGCCAAGTTCAATCGGGCTTTGATCGAGAACAGCTTCTTCCTCCGGAATATGAATCGGCATCAACGAGCCACTGCTGGCTCTTTTTCAAGATTTCGTTAGAAAAAGCAAGCCATGGTCATTTTGGTCTTGTCTGAAAGAAATGGACGATTTAGTGGATTGAAATTATATAAGATTCTGTTTCAATAAAGGGCACAGAAATAATATAAGACCAGCTCTTGAAAGAAACTTTTTCAAAAAGCGATCGCTCGATGCAAAATCAGTGAGTCCTACGATGATTTTAAGGGGACAGTTTTTAAGTTCTGATCAGTTCTTTTCAATGTTGAGTCAGAGGGTTGGGTTCGATTCAAGTAGAGCAAAGTTAGCACTAGAGTTTTTGTTTAGAAGAAAAGTAATGAAAGGTGTTGCATCATCGAGTTTTTTCTCTACTTTTTGGGCTTTGGCTGGGCCATTGGCTGACCCTTGTCCTTGCCCCGGAGTTTTATGCCGATCACGCGTTCGATCTTGCCCAGGATTTGATTGTTCGGAATGCTCTTGCCGAGCTCGTACTCGTTGATAACCTGCGGCTTCTCGCAGATCTTGGTAGCCAGCTCTTTTTGAGTCATTCCTTTCTGGTTGCGTCCCTTTTGGATGAGTTTGCCGACATCCATACCAAGGGTCTATCAAATAGTCAGCATCAAATTCACTTATTGTGAGCGGTACCTTGTGTTTAAGCTCTTCCGTTTCTCGATCGAGCTTGGCATGGTGGGCGGTGTTTCCTTTGTTGTTGGTTCCGGCAAACATTTTTTGTCGAGTCTCGAGGTTGCCAGATCGCTGGGCTTGTCGGAGGGCAGACTTTTCATTTGCGGTTCCCTAGGCGAGAATACAGATATTTTTAGGAAGAATAAGTGCTTACTCGAGCGGGTCGGGATTTGCTGATAACGGTAACGGAATCCCAGTCATCCATGGTAAGATACTTTTAGTTAACTTCTGAATACATATCGGATTAACAGTTGAAAGAAAAAAATATATTTAGAGTGATTTCAAGGAATGTTGCATTTGTTCAAGGTGGGCGAAGGAATTCACAAAGTGCTCAGAATCGATAGAATAGGCTTCGTAGCGGTGAAGAAAGGCGCGATGATTGAACATGTCCCAAGATTGCGAAAGAACTGTCTCGAGCGGCTCTAAAGGTGTTCATAAAATAACCTTACAGAATTTTGAGCGTTACCGATAAGAGTTTGATCTGCAGAGAGCGTCGATAGAAACGTTTCATGCTTCAGAAAAGGTTTTTTCGCCAGATAAGAATTGAATCTATCTGTCGGAGCGATTTTGTCTGAGAATATCTTGTCATCATTTAGGCAGCTCTCTATTTTTTCGCATCCTTCGTTTTTGCCTCGAATGTAAGCATTCATCGCGATTGACCTGTTTGTCACTGACTTCATATTCATATTTCCAGAGTTTTCGTTAAAATTGCCAGTGAGGCAAAGCTGATGCATGTATTTCAACAATAAGTCGTTCGAATATGTCTAGAAGACATAATGAAATAAGCAAGTCGGGAAGAAAGATAGCGTTACCAAAAATGCTCTTTTTGGATTGTGAAGTTGTGGCAGGCTTCTTGGCGTCAGACATTTGAAATTCGGTGAAGGACAAAGGTCGACGGCGATTTGGTAGATGGGCATTTTGTGAAGTGCTCCATCCGAATCCTTTATTGGCAAAAGAATCGACGCAAGTTCCTTTGCTACGTAGTTGTTAATGTCCGAGTAGGCGACGTTTTTGAGATCGAAGCGCGATTGAATAATGTCAGTGATGCTTGAGTTCTGATGGAAAATGATTCCGTCGGTGGAGTTGTTCAACGAGTTCAGCGTAAGAAGCGTGTTGTAGTTTTGAACGACGACTTCGCCGGTTGAATATGGCCACACGGCGTGCGCTACTATTGGCACTTTTGATCCGTACTCTTCTCTGATACTCTCGACAGTCCTAGAACCGACTCCAGAGCCTGTACCGCCTGCCATCGCGAGCATAACAAGAAATCCATCATTAATCGAGTCCGAGTCTTCCGCAAGCTTTCTGATCTGTCGTTGAATAGTCTCTTGATTGCGCTCGCCAAGAACCGAATAGCCAAAGGCCCAATTATTCCCTGATCCAGATCTTGCCGTAATCGCCGCCGTTTTCGAGTAGTTCCACGCATTTGCCTCAGATTTTTTCATAACACTCTCGATCACCTTAGGCTCCATGTCAATAAGAACATTTCTTGCGTACACTTTTCCATTCTGCTTTTCAACGAAAAACCCGTCTCGCAAGCCTTCATCCCACATAAGTTCCGTCAAACAATGCGAAATCTGATTGCCGCATTGTCCCAGAGCAACTGTTATTGGCATACGAGATAATTAAACTCTTAAAATTTATTTGATAGATCGAGAACGAGGAAATTTTGACAGCTGTGGAGCGAGTGCTTGAAGAAATCGAGTTTTGGAAACAACGAGGAGTACGAAAAATGATCGATGACGGTAGTGAATGAAGGTAAATCTAGCCAGATTTGAACAAGAGGATAGCGACGGAACCGAGGTAAAAGTAGATGAAGTTTTTCGTTTCGTGAGTCACATAAGAGCCAAAGTTGCGGCCAACAATACAGTGCCAGGTTGGACTGAATCTTATTAGAGAAGAATGTGTCATAGAACGCATTACCTGTAGCGCTTGTCGAATTCTTTCTTGATAAATGCGGCAATGTCTTTTTCGATGTTGTACTTGTCCAAAGCTTGGCTTGCGCATTCTACCACGTCAGCCTGCATATCCTCGGACATATCCGCATTTTTGATGACCGCTCTCTTCTCCGTCATTATCGATAAAGCGATTCAAGTCTCTGAAAGAGGAAGATTAGAGCCTTATCAATCGGTAGAACTAGGAGGCAGTGTTCCAACACAAATCACGATGAACTTCAAATATTCAAAAGTAAAGGAATCAGAATAATGGGTTTTCAGAAAAGTTGGGCAATTAAAAGGAGACTCATTAAAATTACTAATTGAGGGTTTACCCTACAGTCATTCTTTCAGTGATACCGCAAACAGACATTGAAAAATTCGCTACATCCCAGGAAAAGTTAAAACGTCCCTGCAAAGTTATAATTTTACATCGATTTTGAGCGGTATTAAAAGATCGGAATGGGAAAGAATGGGACGAAGTACGAGGCAGAATTGAAAAAGCGACAGGTTCAGAACAAATTTAGAAAGAAATCAATCGTTATTAACGATAGCTCGAGTACCCATTCATGTTGGAGTCCATTTTCCCGTTGGCACTTGCGCCGTTTTCACCGACAGCCTTCACAAAAATTAATTATAAATCCAGTAAGCCAGTCAATTACTCGCTAATAAATTGAATACCTTCAAAACATCATTCACTTCTCTTCGGAAAACAGAGAGTCCGTGCGTGAAACGATCGCGGTTTTTCGAATGAAGATTCTTGTCAATACCTTCCATCAAATGTTCAAAGCACTTAAAATCAGTGAACGGGGACATCATCGCAAATCGGGATACCTGGGACAGTCCCTGAAGCTTGTCGGGGCTTTGGGTTGAGCAAAGGCTTTCTTGCACCTTGCCAAAGTTGTCAAAATTAATCAGGATAAGGCCTAGCAGTGGTCTTGACATGCTCCATTGATTTTTGCAATCCTACAACGCGCTATTAGTGACACTGAGAGAAGAAATAAAAGCAAACCTGGAACATGATTATATTTAAAATATTAATAAGCGGCTGCTGCATCAGTTCTGGGTGTTTTTCGAGAATTCCTAAAAGCTTCTGTCCAGCAGCTAGCTCCCAGTTCTGTGAAAGAGCGGCCTTGTTTCGTCTGTTCCATATTCTCCTTGAGGAAAGCGTCAAATCTAGTCGATAAGTACTGACACTTACCAAACGAATGAAACAACATTATCAAGTGTAGTACAACAGTTTGTGCAGACGGCAGTGTCCCACGCGGCAAGTCCGTGCGTAATTGATTGCATGATAGAGTAGAGTACTTCTTCCGGTAGCTGTGCGAATAATGTCATGTGATCCTGAGTGATAACTTCCATAAGACTGTAATATGAAGTGTTGAGCTTGGGGTAGTCAGCAAGTTGGCTTGGAGTGATGGACACGAGCAGTTTAACAAACGTCTTGAAATTGGTTGATCGAGAGGATGAGAAATGTCAATTACCTCGAAAGCATTTTCTAATGCGTTGTCATTGTAAAGCTTGAAAATTCCGAAGTTGACCATATTTGAGCTGAGAGCAGAACGCAGTAGCTTGAAGCAGAGGCAAACACCTTTCAATTTATGGCTGTAAATTAGCGAGTCAGGAATCTCTCCGATGCCAAGGATGGCTTGACCGTAAGTGACGAGCATGTTGGAAGCTTCGCGGAAAAGCAACACACCGTTTGGTGATGAAACTTCGAATTGTAATCGTTGAGATCTGTTTTGAAGAAGCTCAACCATACCTAGTAAGAATAAATCACTGCGATAAACGAGATATTCTTACATTTCAAAATGGGCGTAGTCACGTCTGGATCGTGGTACCAAATTTTCAAGGCTTTTCCTAAGATTTGAATATTCGCTGGAAAGTACCACTCGAATAACATGAGATACGAAGTTTTGTTGTTGAATGCGATGGCGGCTCCATTTAGATCTCGGGCAACGCCGATGACCAACTGTTTCAGCTGAGGCTGAACAAAGTATCAACGTCTATCGCATCAAGACTTGATGATCAAGTTGTACATACCGAATGCGAATTGTTAGGCCCACAACTCGAGTCATTGAGCCCATTTCGGAGAATATCAAAAGCTTCCTGGACTGGACGCATGAAGTTAGAAAAGATCTCTTCGTCCTCTCCTAATTCCACCATCAGCAAGCGACCGAGAGCCGAATAAAAGCTCGTTCTACTCTAAAAATATTTTAATTACTTGAATCATCAATCGAACCCTAACCTTGAGGCGCTTGACTTGTGACTTATTGTCAAACCCATCTTGTATTCTCAGGAAAGGGAAATCTTGGTGATTGTGAAGGAGCTGCTTGACAGAGTCGAGTTTTATCAGCTTTCGAACAGTGGCGTATCCAACAGCAAGATCGGACAATAATTGAAGCGTTTTTCGCTAAAAATGTGATTGATTGAAGATAAACCAATATTCCTACCAAAATTTTTTCGCTCTCGCCCCAATATTTCAAGTTGATGATGATTTTCTTTACAAGCACATCAAGAATATCCGACTCATCATTCAAGCTGCACACCTCAGACAGTCTCATATACGCTTTTGACGACTTGTGGACTTGATCTCCGACGTAGATTTTTCTAAACTGATCGAAAAACTGCAACATCGCCAGCTCAATGGCTTCAGATCTTCCTTTGCCGTTTTCAAGTCCATTGTTGATGACATCCATGAGCATTAGAATCTTTATACTGAGATCACCATCCAAAGCATCATGCTCATCCGAGCTCGTGATGCTTATTCGCCCGCCAACAGCAGCACCGATAATGAAAACTAACCAACCGATCTGGAACTCGATGATTTTCTTCTCCTGCTCGTTTACTTGACCATTGAGAACCCGCGAATACTCCTGCCCAACTTGGTCGAAGAAATTCTTTAGCAACGTCGTCGTTGATTCATACTCGCATCTGCAGATGGTGGAGATCTGGTCGAGCTGTTGTGTCAACGAGTTTTGGTCGTCGAGAGGATTGTCCATCCCATCGCAAATGACCAAGCGGGCACATTCAAGTCTTGACTGCACGTAAGACTTCGTTACTTCTGGCGTGTACTTGTCGAGCTCATGAGCTTTTGCATTTCGGATGTATGGTATCGAGGCGGTTAGTTTCTGCCAGAGACCGAGGAGGTAGTGCAAACTGTTTGTAGAGAATTGAAAGCAATTTAGCGATTGGACAGTGAATTCAGCAATCAAGCGGATGGCCTCAGAATAGTCGTCTAAGTTTGGTTGATATTAAACTCAAGAAAATTCAAGAAGAAATACCTAAAGAAGTAAGCTCCCCAAGCTGATAATTAGCTTTGAGACGGCCTAATAGCCTACAGAATTCGTGATACACTTCAGGATTCGACAAGCTGTTTCCGTTATTCAACACGGATGTGATTCCCCTCATCAAAGTCGTCAAATATTGATGACGTTCTAGGATGATCAGTTAGTTGATAATAGCCGACAAATATGACGTAAAAGATCCCGGACATGGACACTTACCTTCCGCATTGAATAAGCTTCGGCGAACAGACGCCATCTGAACCATCGATGCAAGAAGAAGGCGACAGTTTTCCGCGGGGAGAATTTTATAAAGATCGAAGAAGAGCTGCATCGCGCTGTCCTTTTCAACAAAGAACTGGCGCCAACTTGTAGGAATTTGAACAGTTGTCTGAGAATGACATTAGCTCTTACAATCTAAACTTGACATTTACCTGATCATCGGCAGACTCATCTTGGCATGTTCCGATGAAGTCGTAGTTGAGGCACGCCATAGCGAGTCTGAGTAGCCCGTCGATGAGTTGCACTTGCTTTGAGTCGTTGACATTGAAGCTGTTTGTCTCTAGCCCAGTTCGCAGCAATCGAATAGCAGTTTTAAAACAGTCAAGAAGTGTATTATCTCGGAACGATGCCGCTGTTTTGCGCTGCTTTGTCAAAGGCCTATGATGATGTGATTAAACAAAAATCGGATCGTTTATCAATAATCATATGCATAAAACATTTGATGGCGTTGGTTCAAAATCATATTGATTTTACAGGGGGCATTACCTCGCATTATCTGCGTAACCAGCTTTGTCGACTTCAACGATCAATAATTCATATAAGGAGACCCCAATTATACATTTGTCCAAACTTGCTTGTTCAAGGTCATTTTTTGTCTACGTGGAAAATGAATATAGTTAGAGGATTTGACCAGTTCCTTTCTGGAATTTCTCAACATCTTCGACAACATTTCTGAACGGCCAGTCCCCGTCATACGAGTCGAGCCAGCCTAACTTCGTGATTTTGGCATACAGTTGTATAAGATTCTTCACCACAAAAGACTCAAGATTACGATTGAAGAGATAGTTTAGGACATAGTTCTTTATATCGATTCGCTTCTGTATCTCTAGCGTTGTGCTCGGACGAGAAACAAGCTTTACTAGCGTCGTGGTCGCGCAGGATTGTGAGTAGGGCGTTGTGCCACGCTCCAACAACATCTGACATTTTTCGAGGCCTTGGGGATCGTCCACCAAGTTTAAAATCGTCTAATCAACATGTAAATCCTAACTACTCAGAAACGGGTTTACTTGTTCTGCATTTTTGCGCTCGTTAGTGTCTGTAGCAGTGTATATTTTTGAAGCTGCATCCTCGAGAACTTGTAAGTCCGACATAAATACGAGCGATACGATTCAAATAATCTGAAAACGAGATCGAGTCGTTGGGGTAGAAAAATTAAATGTTTATTGTAAAAATAGCATATGGTGGGTGTGAGAGTAAACAGAAGGAACTGAGTTTACTCGTCGTTCTTTAACTGCCGCCAATCTTGTTGGTATTCTCTGAGTTCCATCACTTCGGGTCGCTGTCGGACGGAAATTCTAAGGAATCATTAATTTTGCTAGAAAAATTACTGAATAAACTAACCCTCTCCACCAAGATTGAATCATAATAGCGGCCTTATCTTCTGAAATACGCATTGAAAGCGGCAAAATCGGACGAGGATGCGTCTTGTCCCATTCTGACACAAATGGAATGTCGCTAGAATAATTTTTTTCGACCAAAGATCGACCTTCAAATCTACCTCAGTTTGACATGCTCCTGTCCCTGTCGCTTCGGATTGTTATTGTAAAGAAACTCTGTTAGAAAATCGCACGGATTGTATTTGTTTTTCCTCTTGTACTTGAATACATCGTTATCTTCGGCTGTATCAATCATTTTAGTCAAGGCTTCACGAAGGATTGGCATCATTTGAGTTCGAATATACTTAACGCTCGAGCACTTTTTTCTATTAAGAAGTTTGATGAACCGCAAAAAAGGTGGACTTACAGATCATCGGTCAGTTCTTCATCAGGTCCCACATTTTGAACTGGTACTTTTGGCGAAGGATCTTCTTCTGGAAGGTGTTCTCTATACTCTTGAAATTCTGTGCAAATGTTCTCCCATAACGTTCCCATATTTCAATCTAAACGCAAGCAATTGTAAGATTTGCAAGGGATAATTTTGTGAAAGTATAAAAATAATATCTCAGTGAAAAAATGATGAAAATAACAAAAAAATCTTTTGAATGTTTCGAAGTGCTTCTAGTAGTGTTTGACGGCAGTAAACCCATGTCGTGGAGCGGTTGATGGTCTTTGCTGCTCTGGTTCTCGTTTCGTTTTGCTAATTATCGATTTAATCCCAAGCTGAAAATAGTCAGCTGCTTACCTTCCAACGGGCTTCCATGGCTCGTTAGGCTTTCGCGGCTCTCTGACGCGTCTGGGCGCTCCGTCCCGCGGATCATGCTTGTAAGTGACTGGTCCCTTCGATGGCTTCGGTGCCACTCGGCCGCGCGTACCAGCCATCGATCCAGTGAATTCGCTTGAATTTCTAACCTTGAGACGAGTGCTACCACTGGCGAAATCGTCGAGGAGCTAACAGTGTCGAGATAAACGTTTGAGGCGACTGCGGCTGCGCGAGGCTGGGGAGCGATCGAGTTCACAATTGAGTTCTGCCTTGAGCCAGATGAGTTTGAAAGAGGATATCCTCCAGCACTAGAAATAAATTCAATTAGTCGTCATTCAGAATTCTCGATTCTTACGTTCTCTGCTGATTGGAACCTCCAAACTCGAGATTTTCTATTGACGGATGTCCATCAACATGCGGCTTTTGTAGAACACTCATCGCCTCCATGTTCAACGCGCAAATACCTCTCATCAGTGCTTTGCTGAGATTTTCCTCGACGTTGCCGTGTTTTTTCTCCATTTTCTCTAGTATCTCGTCGCGCGTTTTTACTTCCTGCTCGAGTTTATTTATTTGACAAGTAAGATCGTCTTTGAGCTTTATTTGGATTCATACTTTTTGATTTCGGATAATTCTAGTGCGTTAAAATGTGATCCCATTCCTTGATGCAAATTTCAGTCGCTCGCTCTTTGCAGACTTTTTCGACCTTGGCTTTCCACTTGGATTTAATAGAGTTCTTCCACAAATTAATATATTTTCGCAGCGTATTTCGACGATGAAGCTCCTCCACCATTTTGAGCCGCTTTTTCTCCTCCCTTCGGAGCTCGCACTGCTGCCTCCAATGTGCTAGAACTTCTGCGATGGTTCGCTCCTCCATTTTACGAATCACTGAACAGGAAAATTATTCCGATTCGATCAATGAGTGAATCAAGGCTTACCGATTCTGCTGAGATTATCGACAATTTTGTTGCGAGTTTTCAATTCGTCCTCGAGCTTTTGAACTTGATCCTGCAACGCGATGACTTTTTCGTAAAGCTCGAACTGCTGATGATGATGTTGCGAGTGGAGAGACTGTAGTCGAGCTTTGTGTTCGATCTCCAGCTGAGATTGAGAGCGTTTGTATTCTGCGTCGAGGGATTGTTGCAGCTCTGGAATGACTTTTTCGAAGACATCGGCGATGAAACTCGGTGCACCGGACGGAATCAGTGGTTGGAGCCGAGATGTGATGTCTTCTGACTCCAGTGTATCTTCAAAATACGTTAAAATATGACAATTATTATCAAACTAACTTCTTGTAAAAACTCTTTCTTGATTTTCGCTTCCGGAGGGGTAGGGTTGTCCAAATGATGTCCTGGAGTTCTCCAAGGACTCGTAATCATACTCAGTCGTGCTCTCTTCGTTTTCGTCTGTCATTCTTGGTTCGTCTCTTACAATCGTATCTGGCGTGTCTGGTGCGTCTCCTTGCGAACTTTGATCAGAAATGTCTTCAAGTGAGTCCTGCGAGAGCGCCAGTTCGACTAGGAAGCTATCTTGGCCATCTGCGATCGCTGAAAATCGATCTATTTTTCATAAACGGTCGAGAAACAAAACAAAAGCCTCAAATTTTGCGAACAACTTGTTTTAGCGAAAATTTGCGTTTAATTAAATTAAGAAAAAACTGAAGCCCTTCAATTAGACAGGAATGCCCGGGGCGAAATCCTGCTTCTTATCAACCCTTTTTCAACGTACCTTGATGTGTATCACGTGGTCCAGCGACAGGTTGTGGGACCGGTCGAGGTTGGGCCTCGATGGAATAAGTCGCCTCGTCTACCAGATGCTCTTCTTCCTTATCTGACATTTTGCTCCTGTCCGATTTGAACTAGAAAGACGAGGGTGGTCAATTGAGGTAGTTCAATTTTTTATTCTGAGTGTAAGACACAAGCGGAGTTTGTTTGTTGAAGTTTTCAATGATAACTTGGTTGAAGATAAAGGAAAATAAGTTGATCTAATAAACACATTCTAGAAAGTACAGGAGAATCGGTTTTCGTGTCATCTCGGCGACAAATGCAGGTAAATCGGAGGTTGTTTATTCTTTATTCATTGTTCTGGCCTTTTCCGACGTACTGAAAAGTGATGTCCTAGCGATGGTTTAAAACTGAGAGCTTACGTTTAGATAGATGAAAATGACTTTTGCGGAGCAAAATCGGGACCTCAATATTTTTTGTGCTCATCTTGTAGCGCAGGTTCTGAGGAGTCGAATGGTATGATTTTTATGTGTCGATGTTTTGAAAAACGTCAGATTCTAGCGCCTAAAGTACCTGAAAATGACAAGTGATGACGCCATGTATCTCCAAAAATCTTCGAAAAAAGTATGGAGATATGGGTATCATTCGAAAGCCCAGCCAAAACTGAGGTTGCGCACCTGGTGCGCAAAAGAAAACGGCAAAAAAAATTTTTTACTAAAAAGTTCACCCTAGAAAATATTTTTTTCTGTTGAGAATTTTCGGCAGCAAACCGGGTGCGCAACCACAGTTTGAGCTGGGCTTTCCAATGATACCAAAATCTCCATATTTTTTTGAAAATTTTCGGAGATAGAGGGCGTCAAAGGATTTTTTCTTGAGGGGAGCCTATGACGTCATTTATGATGACTCAGACCCTCAAAACTATATGAATCGACTCCTCGGGAGTTGCTCTTTCAGATGAGCACAAGAAAGATGGGGGTAGAATTTTGCTCCGAAAAAGTGATTTTCATGTATCTTTAAGACATTTCGTGTGAACATATCTTCCGTCTTCTTTCTGGGGTCTTCTTCAAGATCGGAATCAATAATCGTCTTCTCATGCAACATCCATTCCACTACTTCCAGTTTAGGCTCGGGACCGAAATTTCCTCCGCCAATCCACTGAATCGCCAGCGTTCCGTTTCTGTAAACAAATACAGTCGGCAAGTTTTTATCCGGGTAGTTGGGGACACATTGCTAAAACTGTTAAGGCGGGGGAATTTCTTTCTTGTTCTACCTTTGCAACTCCACGGACAAATTTGACATGCTTGTACTTTTGCGCGAGATGGACGAAGTGGTTGTTGAGGATATTCGAAAGCATAACTCCCTTGTCGTAAAGATGAACAATCACCCAAATATCTTCGCCAGCCTGATTGACTTCCTGGGTCCAACTTTGAGCGGTAATTTCTTTCACCTCGCCGAATTTATCTGAATATGCACCGTCAAATTTCAAAGAAAGAAAGAATTATAGTCACCTTTTGAAGCCTTGAGTTTCAGCGCAGCGATGCGACTTTCTCTCATTTGCTGCATAATTTTCTCCTCGTCTTCGTCGAGCTCGTCGTCAAGGAGAGCATCAAGATCATCAACAGTAGTTCCATAATCTTTAGCTTCAAGTTCTTCTGGATCGGGATCCTCAATCTCTGGCTCGACTGGCTTGGGAGGGAGAATTCCCTTCCGTCGGAGAATATCGTTCCATTCGGTATCTTCGTTTGGATCTTGCATTCTAAGAAACTGAAAAAATCAAATGGAGAATCTCTCAAATAGAACTTGTGCGTGAAAAAGAGAGTGATTCAGTGAGTTAACGAGTGAAAGCGCCTTTGGGCAAACTTAATCATAAAATAAAGAAAATCGTCACTCGCCTGTTGAATAAGCACCAGATGACGGTTAGTTTGATTTAGCAAGTGGGCTCAATCTCAAGCTGCGTCTCAGCCCGCCTCGGTTTTCAATGTTTGGTAAATGATCTTTCACGCCGAAGTGATTGGAAGTCATAGCTTATTTAGCAGGAATTTCACAAATTTCCAAAACCAGAAATGCGAAAGAATAGAACGGAGTTGTTTTTTTATCACTTTATTGTTATTTTTAATATTTTCAAGCGATTTTGAATTGGAAAGGGATGAAGAAGTGCAAAACAGATATAAAATGGACCTTTGTTTTAAAAGACGGCCCTTATCTTAAATATTGATACCGGAATAGCAGTAGATTGTAACTGTATTAACTGTTTTAAACTTGAACCTTGATTTGAAAATAAACGAAAAGGTTTGAAGGAAACGGACGGGGACACGATTCTTTTTTGAAGCACATTGCAAGTTGATTCTTTTCTGTTTGACGTTCCTTTGTAAACTGAACTAAATGGTAAAAAAGAGAACTAGGACTTCAGATTTTTTAAGTGTGGAATTGATGGAGTAGCCCTTGCTTAGCATGAACTTCTAAGGTCTTTTCTTGCCGCGCTGGGTGAGCACTTCGAAGCGTTTGTAAGTGTAATTCAGGAAGACCCAGTCGCGATCCGAGGAGACGGAGGAATCGAGATTGTGATGCTCTCCACCAACGTCGATGGGTGCAAACTCGTCAAAATTGCTCGTATCTGTCAAGCCACGCACGTCTATCCGAATAGCCGCCGGTCGATCCCTAAAACAAAACAAGTCAAGCTTGATTTTACAAAGAAATGTTTTCAGCATAAATTGTAATCGGAGGATTCTTAGAAAATCACCGCAAAAGATGGTCTAACCTGATCGTATGCCAGTCAACGCCATTGAAAAAGCTGTGTTGCTTGATTTCATCGGTCGATTCTTGACCTAGTCTGTCCCTCGTATCACAGAGTAGCTTGCGTATCAGATCACACGCCTGTGGTGTGATCGGCGTTTCAACTGGAAACTCGAGGTAATCCTTAACGCCGCGGTAAATACAACTGACTACTAGCAATTGTTTATGCTCCTCACCTGCCAGGCTATTACTTTTCTATACGTGTCTACTGGCCTATCTGAGCAAAAAGGCGCGTATCCAATTAAACACTCGTACATGATGATTCCCAGGCTCCACCAGTCGCACGATTTTGTATAGCCAGTTGAACAATGAAAAACTTAAATATGTAAGGAACATACTGTTCGTTTATTCACGCTTTTCTACCTTCTGGAGCAATATAATCAGGCGTCCCAACCATCGAATAGGCTAGCTGTCGGCGGTTTTGCTATAGATAAAGCGTTATATTCTTATCCCCGTTTGGGATTACTGAAGGTTACCTGCCAATGATGTCTATTTCTTCTTGACCCGGTTCCCGGGCCAGGCGAATTGGCAAAATCAGAGGGATTAGCAGTGTTAGCAGTGATTTCTTTAAAATAGTCAGTCGTATGGGCTTTCTTGAGTCCTGTACATAGCCCAAAATCAGAGAGTTTGATATGGCCGCGTTCGTCGAGGAGAAGATTGTCGGGTTTGATATCGCGATGGATGAAGCCGAGCTGGTGCACTGACTCGATTGCAAGCAGCGTTTCGGCGATGTAGAATTGCGTTTGTTCATTTGTCAGATAATCGTGCCGCATCAGCAGTGTCATAAGATCCCTAAACCAATCGATCTGAGACAATTGAGAATCTGCTCCGATTGAGAAGATAAATGAAAAGCACGGACATAAAAATAAACGAATAAGGATAAAGACTCACCCACCGGGAAGAAATTCCATGATAAGATACAGATTTATTGAGTCCTGGAAGGAGTAAAACATTTTGACGACCCAAGGATTGTCGGCTTTTTCCAAAATATCGCGCTCAGCGCGGATGTGAGCCACTTGGTCTTTGGCGAGCATGTCCATTTTACGGAGAATCTTCATCGCATAAACATGCCCCGTATCTTTCTTCTGTACAAGACGAACCTAAAAACCCGTTTAGCACATTTGATTGACCACCATTTGATTGAGTACCTCGCCAAATGCACCTTGCCCAATTTTCTTCAATGGTTCAAAATCATCTTTGCCAAGACGAGTTCGCTTCAGTCGAAGGAATTCGGTCTCCTTTGCGGCGTGGATTTTTCGCTTTTTAGCTTTGTCCTCTTCCGGCAAATGTGCTGAAAAGAAGATAATGACATGATCTTTTTTCCGAAGTTTAAGATAATAGATCGGCCTTGATCGGAGCTTATAAAAATCATTTTCTACGATGAGGTACTAAAATGACAAAAGGCGATTCAAGTTCACCGATTCGAAGCCAAAATAATAAAAAATATTGATTTCTTGACTTACTAATTTCTCGTTCTTTGCTTTCCAGGCGCTCTTCCCGCTCATTCTGTTGGAATAGAAAGTTCTGGTAGAAGTTTTCGATCGTCAATCGAGCCTTTTCCGCTTTCTCTTTCGTGTGCTCGCTAAAAATCGTCATGGCCGGGTCATTGTGCGACTTGTGGTGTAAAACTGTGCTCTTTTACGGCGCTGATTTTTATGAATTTCATTGTTATGGATAGACATACAGCCTGTAGGATACAGAATATCCAGAGGAGAATAGTCATGTGATCGAAAATGGAGAGTTTGCTCAATTGACAATTGAAAAGGAATTTTCAGTGGCAAATATTTATCGAACAGAATACTAAATGACGATCAGTATCGAACCATAATTCATGACTACTGTAATATAAACGGGTAATATTTTAAAATAACGAAGGGTGTCATAAAAAGGGATGTACCTGTAAATATTTGAAAGTGGCGGAAGTGAGGAGCCACTTCCCTCACCACTGGACGACATCCATAAAGCGATTACAGTAATTCTCTCAACTTCGGTCCGTCATCGTCATTTCACCATCTCGAGTCAACTCAATCTGAAAAGTGCCACTCATTGTTTTCTTACTGTGGAAGGGATTTTTTCGTTGGCTGGCGAAAGATAGAGGGGAGAAGAAAAAAAATGCGCACAGGTCGACAACAGGGCGATCAATATTTGACAGCGTCAGCATCAGAGGGCCGCCTTCTTGGCTTTACGTTTCTTTACCTTACGATGAGATTGAAAAATAATTTTCCTGTCTGTGGACAATGAAACAGTCTGGCGAATGATGCATCGCGCAGAGGAGCTTTCATGCAAGTCTCACACGTACACGATCGCTTTTAGTGACTCAGAATCATGACAATGTCAATGTTGCACAGGAAAATTAACACTAAGTAAGTAAATATTCCTCTGAATATAAAGTTCCCCAAAAAAGAGAGTAAAAACGTCTCACAAAGATAAATCTCCTCTCCTTATCTACAGGTGCATTCGGATTCTCCTGTTCATAAAACTTCTTCAACAGATTGATGCAACGTTCTTGTGCTAGCGGACCAATCGATATAAATGGATCGCGAAAGAGCCCCATATCAGTTCGATTGTGTACTGAATACTGTCCTTGAGTGGGTATGCGGCGTGAAAATACTCATGTCAAATTTGTTCTCGTAAGCGAAGCAATTAAGCTCTGTAAATCCTTTGGGAAGGGCCTTTGTCAATAACGCAGGCGTTGCGTACTGTATCTATGCTTTAATACCTGATAAGACCGAGCCACATCCTCTTTCGCGGATTGTTCCCTTCTCTGTTTATATATGCAACTTTGACTTTAGTTTCTACTGTAAGGAAGAACCCTTTCCCGAATCTGTCATTACAGGCGCCGTAGACGACTCGTCCAAATTGACTGAAAAAAATTTTTGAAGAAATCTCGAATGAAGTACAGTGGCCTTGGAGCATTCAAATCAAACAGTTTTAATGGAGCCATAAACCCCAAGATAACATGTCTGCAGACGAGTGGGCCAATATTTATGACTTCTTCTTCTATTCATTTCACTTACCATATTCTCAAGGCACTCAGAGCATGTTCTCAATCATTCGCAAATAAATAAAAGGATACGGGATAAATAATTGATTGAATGACTTTGAACAATGTTCCTAGCGCACATAATACAGGGTTCGAGGGTAACATACAACGTCGATCTTCACGAATGGGAATTAAAAAATGTTAAATGTTTGGATTATTATTTTATTACTTCCCCTATCCTATGAAAAACAAAAGCAGGCGCCTTTCCTATCGAGGAACAAAATTCCTTCGCTTGTTCTATTGCTGAAAACTCTGCATGCTTGATTAAGGGATGCGCACTAGTTCAAATAAACGCGGATTAACCTTAATCGTATCATTATAATGCCAATAGACTGTTCGATCAGAATGATCAATATTTAACAAGCGAGTTACAAGAGCATTCCGCGATTACAGACGATTATTGTCTGTGCGCGTCCCATTCTTTGTCGCGTTTTTGTCTGCTTGCGGTTAGAAAAAAAAACGAAAGAATTGAGGATTATTCTAAGAATTATTTCTGACCGTTTCCTTCGTTGGAATTGTTGGAGCCCTTTCCGATCTCCTGATTTTCGTAAACAATGAGACATCCTACAGGCACTTCTCCTCTCCCAAACGCCTCTTTTGAGGATTAATTAAATACCGTCGTCTTTGATTCCGTGCATCCGGATGTATTAAAAACAGATCCCGTTCCTTCCGCATACAAAAATGTTTTCTCAAGCCAGTAAAAGTCATCCGAACTAGTGGCGTGTGCACTTGTCATTTTTTCACCAGTCGTATACGTCATGTGATGGTGATTTCTCGAACTCAGCGTTAGTTTCGCCGTGATCACTGTTTGTTTTGCGCTTTTGTGGGGTTCACTTAGGTCCGTTGCGCGTAACTCAGCTTTGAAATCAACGATTATTTTCAATAAATACGGATCCAGTTCCGTAATTGAACCCGTTCTCAAAAGATCCTTCAACTGCGTAACTCTTAAAAAGTGATTTTAGCTGATTAATTACCAATTAGTCAGTCAAAGAAGCTTTGAATCAGACTAAAGTCTTCTTAGATGAGGATCAATCAAAATTTACGGGTCTGAAGCGGAGGGTGAAGACAAGGAGGAAACACCGAAAACATGGGAGTTAATTATCAATAGTAACAACACCTGCATATTAAAAACTACAGCTAGCACCTTTGAGTCAACATGCAAACCTGCTGGAAAGATATTTCTCTTGCGCGTTCTTGATTTTCTTTTTTCCACTCTTTGTATTTCCAGTAAGTTTATCTCTTTGTTTTGTTAAATGGCTGAATTCCTCTTCTGGCAGCGGGACAAAAATGATTTTGCTGGATTGAAGAAAATTCAGATAATTCAAGAGAAAGAAGAGAAACTGGACAAATACAATCGCACATTCTCTTCGCGAGCTTATTTAACGAAAACGTTATTCTACGAGTTTGTTCAATCCCAGATTTCGCTTTCTAAGCTCCTTTTCTAATTGTTCAATTTCCTTCAGAAGCTCTGACACTGGGCTGAGTGCTTCGGCCTATTTTCATCTGAAGTGCTATTTCGAGAGCCCATTCCGTTTATTCGTGACATTCGCTCAAAATCACCATGGATTTTCACCGACGAGTGATAAAAAGAAGCACACAACAAGACAACTAAATAGCAAGGATTTCAGTAGACCACACTTTTACAATCAATATGGTCGGCTGGCTTGAGGTTTTGTGAGGAAAACGGGTTGTTTATTCAATTTGGAAAATATATGGGTGCTTGGTAATTGGAACTTATAGGAAGATAAGGGCAGTAAGTGAAGAAAAATAGAAAAATACTTTGTTGTTTCTGACGATCAACGAGTCATTAATCAGCTGGGTCGTTGATGCCAGCTTCAGTGATTGCAAAAGTTGCCTCAGACTCAGGCATGTCAGGAGAGTCATAAATCTTGGCAACGCGGAGCTCGCCACGTCCTTTGCGGAGCTAAAATTAAATGATTTATTGATAAACTACTGGCCTTGACATTTTACCATTATTCGAGTTTGAGAGGCGTGGGCAAGGATGTTGCCTCCAACGGGTTTCTTCGGGTCGATCTGGAAGGTCATTCCAGCGCCGGGATCAGCAGTCATTTGGTTGGTGATGTAGACGACTACGTTGTATTCTTCGCTAGAGTTTTTTGTTAGAACAATCGTCGGAGTTATAAAAGAAACCTGATCTTTTGAACCTTGCTGAGCATCTGAGCCAGCTTTTGTTGCCGCTCAGAGAGCTCTCCTCGTCCACTAAAGTCGACGCGAAAGAGGCCAATGATGGAATCAATCACGAGCAACTTGAATACTCCTGGCTCTGAGTAAAACTGCGCCGCGACGAGATCTAGGAGCTCCATTTGATGCTCGCTCGTGAATGCTCTCGCGTAGACGACATTTTGGAGAATGGCATCGGCGTCGAGGTTGAATCTAGCAGCGATAGGGCGGAGTCGGTCCGGTCGGAATGTATTTTCAGTGTCGATGTACGCGACCTTGCCTCCAGAATGACCAATGCCGGGCATTTGTGTAGTGACGCAAAGTGTATGCGCCAATTGCGTCTTTCCAGTTCGAAACTCGCCGAATACTTCGGTGATGGCCATGGACTCAATCCCACCACCAAGAATTCGATCAAGCTCGGTCGAGCCAGTCGAAATCTTGAAACAGGCTTTGCGTTTTTCAGCGAAGTCGTAGCCCGTGATAAAGTTATCGGCCTCTGAAACATAGAAAATCAGCATCAAAATGATTGAATGAATGAAATTTACCTAATTTGTTCGCAGCTTCTTTAATCTTGTCGACTTTGGCTTCAGAGATGCCTTTGATCTCGCAAAGACGCTTCTTGGTGATCATCTTCAATCCTCGCACGGTGCAAATTCCAGCCGACTTGATCTTGTTGATATCCGAGGCGTTGATGCCTTGCTGCTGGAGTGCGTCGATGTCCTGAATGACATGAAGAGATTCGACCTCCGAGAGACACTCTTCTTCCATCATTTTTGCGAAGTCTTAAAAACCAAAGTGAAATTTTTATCCCATAAATTAGTTATTTATAGCAGGACAAGTTGGCCAGTGCATGAGAATAAAACAGTCACAGTTGCTTACAGAAATAATTTTCCTACATAAAACCTATCACATGACTTCATTTAGTCAGTAAAGTAAACCAATCGATCAAAGACTTCCTGCTTTCCGATAAACACTTTCTTTTCGTCGACGTTGATGCTGAACTGCTCGCCGTCTTCGACTTGAACCTTTCCTTTCATAATTTCATTCAAGTTTGGAATTCGTCTACTAGCTTCGTAGCTATCGTACCGGTAAATTCGCACTTGGCTCGTTTCTAGAGAATAAGCGGTAAAAATAGATATGGGTCTGATAAAAACAACCTTTCTTTTGCTGCTTGGCGATGGTCTGTCTCAGTTGGGCAACTGAGTCGCCTTCTTTTACATTCATAAAGACTGAGAACTGTCCAGAACCAGGCTGGGCATTCACGCATTCAAAGTGAACTGATGGAACTTTGAAAAAATTGTATGTAGGGTGGCCAGGGTATGTGTTTTCTTGGATGACATTGTCGCCTTCCGATGAATATTTAATCTAAAAGTATATAAAGCGCGGGAACGTAAAATCGATTGCTTACGTCGATGCCAAGTTCAAGCGCGCTGGTCATGTAGCCCATGCTCTCATTTAAGACCTTCATCTCGTCAAAAGGACTTGTCAAATCCAGCGCTCGCTTTCCAATAGCCTCGTGCCGCTCCTTGACCATTTGGATGTAGGGCATGACTTTTTTCATGTACTTTTTGACGTCTGGCTCGGTCTTCATTCGAGCAGCGATCGCCTTGTTGTCAAAGAACTCGCCATTTTTCTCTAAGCCTTCTCTGAGTACGCCGAGGCAGACTCGTTGCCAGGCTGGGTATTCTTTCGCAACGTAAACCGTGCAGTTTGTTGGCGTTTCTGCTGGCGCCTTGCCCTTCTTTGGCTGGAGTCGGTCCTTGAGTTTGAGTCGGACGTCTCGAACCGTCTCGGCCAAGAACTCAGACGACTCGATCAGAATTGGATCGTATTCGAGAATCTCTGGGAACGGAGTTGAAACAGCAAAGCCCTTCTTTCCTGTAATCTCCCAGACTTCTTCGGCGATGTGAGGACAAATCGGGCAAATAAGGAGAGTTTGGACTTCGATGAATCGGTCGACCAGCTTGGCGTTCATTCCCTCGGCTCCACAGATCTCTCTGTACTTGTTCAGGACGCCCTGAAGAATGTAAAAGCCTTCCTTCATCGCCTCTTTGTAAAGCATCTTCGAGTAAGCAGCGTCAGTAAGTTTGACCGCACGGCGCATTTCGTGCTCAAAGACGCGGTCAATCAAGCGCTCGTCAGTAGGGCCGTCTTTTAGGATAAGCTGCGGCTTTTTGTTTGCAACATCGGTTACGAAGTCGATCCAGTTGTAGAGACGAAGGACAGCGCCATCAGCAGTCTTGTCGACAAAGTTGGCGTCTTCAACAGAGTCACCAGCGTCAGCAAGGGCCAATCGCATACCATCAGCGGAATACTTTTCGATAGCGTCGGTGAGAGTAAGGAAGTTGCCTGTTGACTTGGACATCTTCTCGCCGTTCAAGAGCAAGTGTCCGTTTGCTCGAACAGACTGCGGCCACTTGGTCTTGTCGTTTTCCCACATGGCCACGTGATTGTAGAGGAAGTACGTCAAGTGATTTTGAACAAGATCCTTTCCGGAGACACGGCAATCTACTGGGTACCAGTAGTTGAATTCGTTCTTCATTTTTTCAAGGACGTCAGACTTGATGGCAGTTGTTGGTTTCTGTCCGTTGAGGAAGATGTAGTCCCAAACTTCGGGAGTCATATCTTCAGCTTTGACACCGAATGGAGAGCCCGCTTGTCCGTTGAAGTTGGGCGAGTACTGGCCATCCTTGTAGGTTCCTCCTTGGAGAATATGCGCGACGGTGTAGTACGCCATGTAAATCGTCGAGTCTGAGAGCGATTCAATGAGCCAGTACTCGTCCCACGGCAGCCGCGTGCCCAGACCATACGTGCGAGAGCATGCGTGCTCGCGAAGCCAGTCGACTGTTTTGTTGAAATTATTGCGAACATCGGATGAATAGAGTTCCATGCCTTCGAGGCACTCCTCGATCTTCTTTCGCCACTCGGGCTCGCCATAGTCCAAGTACCACTGATCGCAAATGGCGACGACGCACTCGTCTCCCGCTCGGGAAATGATTTGTTTCTCGGGCTCGAGGTACTTGATTGCTTCCTTGGATGCGATCATATCGGCCTTGATTGCGTCCTTGCATTTCTGAATCTGGGTGCCAGCATATTTGCCAACGTTGAGGACGCCCTCGTAGAATCCTTTGAGGTAGACTTCTTCTTTTGCCTCCATAAGTTTGGCGCTGTCGTTTTGTGACTTGACCTTGTGTTTCTTGCATGCCTCGACGGCCGAGAGCGATCCGTAACCAGGAACTTCAATGATCGGAACAGGATCGAAAGGAAGGACCATTTCGTCGGTGATTCCATACTTTTGCCTCAATGGCTCTACACATGCATAAACTACTCGAGTAACTCAAAAATCAAACCTTTGTTTTTCAAATCAGTAAGAGCAGCAAAATCATCAGGAGCGTCCGATGGCACTGACGTTACAACACCAGTACCCTTGCCTTCTTTGATTGTGAGCATAGGAAGAGCATAGACATGATCGTAGTGAGAAAGTGGCGCCTTCAACTTTGCTCCCATCAAGTCGCGTCCTGAACATTTTTTCTAGAGACGCGGTTTTGACATAAAGAGTTGCGCATTAAAATCAACCCCCACATTTTCTAGAGCAGATTCCAAGACCAAGTTTACAAGACGAGGGATCATTATTAGGAGCGATGCTTCGACCAGAAGTCACAGAGAAAAAGTAGAAATCCTATCTTTAGCATTTAAAATTGAGCTTATTTTTCAGAAGCAGTCAACTTACGAGATCCCCTTCACCAAAGGCACCTGAAATTAAAATATCTGTGGAAGTTCAAGAAGCAACACAGGAATTTGCGCCGACTGAAAAGCCACTTTTGAGTACTCAATATGGATGGGAGGAACTTCAATATGAGAAAACGGCGGAAAGCGTTGAATCCGAAAAACCTAAAGAAGCGACGCGAAGACGTGCATTCAATCGAAATCAAAATCAATCTCTCAATCAATTCCAGTAGGTCTTATCCTCAGAAATTAGATTATAAGACGTCTTTATTAGGACTTTAACAGCGATTACAAAACAGAAGAAAAAGATGGGCGATGGGAATTTCAAACAGCGTCTTCTTAGCAACACTGCATTGAAACAACTCAAAATGGACGATCAAGGTACCCTGGGATAGTGATTTCAAAACTTATATGCATAAACTTAGCGACGACACCGAGAAAGAGATTCCAGAATGCAGTACGACGCGTCGTCAATGAAATTCGATTCACGAAGCTTTTCGGCCATGTGAAGAAAACTGAGCTGGAAAAGATTGCAAGAAATGCGAACCATGCGCTCTTTTTGAACAGAAAAGAGCAGTCGCAAAAGGTCGATATCGAAATGATGCTGAAGCTTGAGATAAAAGAAACTGCCCTGAGAGTGCTTGAAAAGACCGAGGTATTAGTTTTGAGTATTTGTTGATCGATTAGCTTTCTTTCAGTCCGCGTATAAGAAAATATTCTGGAATAGAATCTATCCATCGGATGAGTTCAAGGAATTTGTCCGGGAAGTCACCGAAAAGAAGAATCAATACCGCACCGAGCTAAATACTCAAGCTGTGGAAACGAAAGAGTACACCGGTGCATTCGGTCGACGAAAAACAAGAGTAACCGCGTTCGGTCACGACGATGACGAAGAGGATTTCACAGCTGATAGTTACTTGTCAGAAGAATTCACGCAAGACAGCAAAAAGAAAAAAGGTGCCTTTAACTTATTCGCGTCGAATTCTCGCAAATAACTCTTCTGCCATTTAATAAACGCACTCAATTTAAAATTACCTGGAATGAGACAAACGGGCTTGACCTCCTTGTCTAATTTCAAAAGCTCTTGGAATGCCATGTTTCTAGCAGCGCGTTGAGTACAGACGAATACGGAGCCATCACGGGCTTCAACGGCTACGTAACTAAAAAAGCATTATCGGATGAAAAATGTTCTTGATTTACGTGATATCAGGTGAAATCCAGCAGTTTGTCTGTCCATACATGGTTTCTGGCCTGAGAGTAGCGGCGACAAAGAAGACGTTTTTGCCAGCGAACTGTGGGACTTTTGAGTTGTCCATCAAGTCGACGAGCTTCATTTTGATGAGAGTGTATTCCTGAGGTCCGACACCTTCGCCCGAAGCTCGATCGTGATCCATACAGGGCTGATCTGTCTTGGGAGAGAAAATGGACGGTCGTTTACCGAAAGCAATCTTCTTCTTTGCTTTCAAATGCTTGAATTGCCATCGCACAAACGAGTCATAATAGGGATTTCGATCGGTAGTGATGAACGATCGTCGCCAATCTGTTTTGAGTCCCATCTTCTTCAAATCGTCCATCGCCATAGGAGGGAAATAATTGAGCCAGGTATCGTACTCGGCGAATTTGGCGATCTCGTCATCCTGAAAGCCGAGGGCCTGCATGATCTGCCATTGATACTTGGCGGATCCTTGTTTGGCAACAGCCTTTGACTTCTTTCCTTTCGACTTGTCGACGATCTTGATTTCCTTTACTTCTTCTTTGATTTCTTCCACAGCGGTTGGGAAGACGGGTGGGCAGCCAAAGTCTTGCATTTCACGCTTGATCTTGTCGGAAGCGGCTGCAATTGGCATTCCTGTGCAGTGAAAGCCGAATGGGAAGAAGGCGTTTCTGCCTTTCATTCGCTGGTAGCCAGTGTCGAACTCGCATTTTGTAATGGTGAAAGTGTGGCCAAGATGAAGTCGACCGTTCATGTATGGGTAGGGGAAACAGGTAAAGTGCTTTTCCTGGTTCCATTCGGCCGTGCCAGGCTTAGGAGCATTTGCCTCAAAGACTAAACGTGGCAGTTAGAGAAAATTCAATGGATTTCAAAAGAAAACCTTTAGATTCGTCCCATCTTTTCTGGTGCTTGGCTTCAAGCTGCTTGCAAGCCACAACCTTCTTCCTTTCCCCCATTCTAAACGCGCGCTCAAAAACAAAAGTACTCGACCCGGTACGAACCTTATCTTGGCTGTACGAAAAGAAAACAGTTGTTGTCTCACAAGCGACAAAAGGCGTTGGTGAGCCAGTCTAAGTCGTTATGTTTCAGTAAAAGAGGGAGTAAGGGGATTTCATTCGTGTTTCGTTCAATATCAGTTGCAGTTCAATATTCAAAAAAAGTACAGTTTTATGTATCGTCACTCTGGTTTTCCATCTAGCGCATTTTACCGCCTCGCTTCTTTTTTGATATCATCCTTTCTTTCCTGCCATCTTTTTCGCCCTTTCTCTTTACTCCAGCAACTCCGATATCTAAAGTCCGTTTAATAAAGTGCTCGTAAATACGATTTGAATCACATGATGAAATGTGATATCACATAGAAAAAAGATGATGAAATATAACAACGGCATACACTCACCAACCCATGGAGGTGTGTCAAAGCCAAAACTTTTTGCCACTTTCTTCAAATCCAACGTTTGCACTTCGAAGACATTCCTCAAGCTATGAGAGGCATATGCTCTCACGCAACTTTTGTATCCTTCTTTCGCCGACTAAAAATGCGTTACTGACTGAAAAATACAGTAGCAAAGGTGAAAAGTTATTGCGGAAAGATGCGAAAGTGATAGCAACTAATGTTGGATGCTTACTGGTATGTTATCGATGATAAAAAGGAAATGATTTATAATCACATCCTTTAGATACCCGCACATGTTTTATATGGCGGAAATGATTACCTGATTCAAGTAATAATTCGTTTTCAGCAGTTTTTCAAGCTGATTTTGGATGTTTGCCACCTTCGACTCTTGAATTGTAAATTCAGAGAGGGGAACTTTCGCTTTCTTCAAATAGAGCAGAAAGCCAATTTCTGCCGGTCTAAGAAAGAGAAGAGCATGGCCTTTGCTCTTGCTGTCTCCACGACAAGCTCGACCGACTCTGAAGATATTTTTCAGCAAAAGAAATGGAAAAGCTTGTGCTTACCGGTGGATGTATTCTTTGGGATCATCTGGGGGATCGTACTGGACAATCCAATCGACGGCTGGGATATCCAAACCTCGAGCAGCGACGTCAGTACAGAACATAATGCCTGTTTCAGCGTTACAGAACTGGAAGTAGGTCGAAGTTCGCTTCGACTGCTTCTGTTTTCCGTGAATTGAGAGGACAGGGATATCGATGTAGTTGAAGAGCTAATAAAAGAAATAGTGAAGAAGAGGAAGATCTCTATTACCTCATAGTGGAATTTGACGCTCATGCAAGAGGAGAAAAAGACCATGATCTTCTTCTTCTTGTTTTTCTTCAGGAAGGTGTATAGAATTCGTATCCTCGCGTCGCCTTCTGACATAACATATCCTTGTTCGAGCATTTCAGAGGTCGCCGTGGATTTGTCATCATCAACGCCAATGTAGACGGGAACTTTCTTTAGAGAAATTCTAGCCAAGTCTTCGATTTTCTTCGTTTGAGTGGCACTAAACGCAATTTTTATTCATTTTCTAAAGGTGAAACTAACCTGAAAAGCATCGTCTGTCGTTTTTTGGGAATGAGCTTGACAATCGACTTCATTTCTTCCTCGAATCCGACTTCGAGAATTCGATCGGCCTCATCAATACAGAAACACATCAGATTCTTGACCATAAAGTTGGCAGTGTTCTGAAGATGATCAAGAAGACGACCAGGGGTGGCGACAAGGATGTTGATTCCGTTCTGCAGCTTCTTGGCTTCGGCCTTTCTGTCTGAGCCACCCATGATGAGACCAAATGTTTGCGAGTGGTTCTCCATCAATTCTTTCAAGACACCGAAGGTCTGCATCGCCAATTCACGAGTGGGGGAAAGGATAATCGCGCCGGTTCCATTTCGATTCATGAATTTTAACTGGAAACTATTAGGTATCACTATTAGAGATAAACTTTTACCTTTGTGATAAGCTCTACAATGGGCACCAAAAAGGCCAAAGTTTTTCCAGAACCAGTCTTTGCAGCTGCGAGAACATCTTTGCCAGTGAGGAGATGAGGGATCGAGCGGGCTTGAATAGGCATCATGTTTGAGTAACCCATTCCTTTCGTGATAGCCTCAAGAGTCTTCTCGGAGACCTTTTCTGATAACGAGTCCCAAGATGTATCCACTTCTTTGTTCAGATCAATTTTCCTGACCTTCAGGCCACCGTGAGTATCTCTTTGAAAGAAATAAAATAAATTCAGAAGGGTTAACAAACCTGATGTACTCATCGTCATCATTCGAAGGTGCAGAAAGACCAACACTTTCGAGCGGCTCTTCTTGGCCGATTTCGACTTCATTCTGTTCATTTTCGGCTTCAGAAGTTTCTTCTTCCTCTGACTCCTCCTTTGGGGGCTCTACCTTTGGCTGAGCCTTCTTCTTTGGCTTTTTCTCGGGAAGAACCTCATGTTTTTCTTCTGATGATTCACCGAGTAATTTAGCCTGAAATCAACGATGAGAACAAAGCAGGTGTGAAAAAGATATGAGATAATACCAAAATATCAATAGCGATAAACGCATTTTTACAAATCAACAAATACTTCAATCAAGCCGATAATAGCTACTCATTTTTAGATTGTTATTTTCACATGACTCATTCCAAATTAGACTCATATGAAATCAACAAGGAGTTTACCTGGAGAAGCTTCTTTCGATTCTTCTTTAGCTGCCTTCGCGTTGCCGCATCCATTTCTGAAAGTTTTGAGTTGTAGACAAATTCTATAACGGCGTCAGGAATTAAATTCGTTAACAAAAAGGAAAACGAACCACGAATTCGCTGCTTGTTGAGAATATGACCATCAACGTTAGGGTATACTTGAACAGACAGCAAGAGGCTTTTCTTATGAAATAATCGACTAACGAACTTATTTTACATAAGACACGGAAAGTTAACTATTGACAGTAAAAAATTTAGATGAATATGAGATATGATGAATTCATGAAAATATATTGCCAACAGCTACTGTAAATATAGTAATTCAAAAAAGGAGTTGACGTGTGTTATAAATTTATTCGCTGGGAATAACTCGTCCCATTAATGTTCGGAAAAATAAAATGATTTTAAGACGGACTTGATTTTCTTGAGAGATAAAGCTTTATTTCTGAATTTGATAGGCGAAATTATGAAAAAATATAAAACGAAATACTCCACTTAGGGCTTGACGGGCAAAAAATTTAATTGCTCAAGTTGACGTCTAATTGATGTCTCAAACAGATTTGCTGAATCCACAAGGATGATTCTTCATTCGAGCTTTCAAAAATTGAGAATTGGCAGTCGAGGATTCGAAGCAAAGTGAAGGTATATTTATTCTAGCCAAGGAAAATGGAAAGGCCAAAAGGTCGATGCCAAGATTTGATAAAAATGGGTGCTGCGAAAATTGCTAGAAGGAAAAATATACTATCATCGACTGTAATTGAAATGAGGTTAGGCAGCGGGGTTACAGCGATATTCTTTTTCTGTTTTAGTGAGTATGACTCGCGCCAGTTATGATTCTTATATCATGATGAAAACGGTATAATGTGTATTTCTTGTTGCGAAATAAAACTCCAAATAGATATGTGAATTTAATAATAATCGTATATCCGTCTTTCTCATGACTCAAAAATATATGCCGGCTAAGTGCGAGTGCTAACAAATTCAGGGTCTAAACGAAAGACAGAATGGGTAGCGTTGTAGTACACTGTAATATGTATTTACTGTATAAGCTGTTTGGTTGAACTCGGACGGAAATCTTCTTTAGCCTAGATTAGGTAACATAATTTCAGGGACAAGGATATGGTTATGTAATGAGTTACAGGGAGAGTGGCTGTGCGCTAACTAAAAAACGTTAAAAAGAGAAAGGTTAGAGAAAAAAAATGGTGGAGGCAAGCATTGGTCAGAAATCAACATTTACGACAAGGGGAGATGAGTGGTAAAAGTGAAAAAGACAGTTTGTGTTGTGAAATTTTTTCCAGAACATTTTTTAGTTGTTGATTTCGTTTTACAAAGCAGTGTTTCAATAAAAAGAATTTACAATATTTCGATAGAAAGGAGGATCAGTTTTTTTAATCGATTTATTTCTGTAGGGACGACCAGGGACGTCAGATGGGATGGGAATTCGAATAATTTTTTATACTTCGTCGAAAAACGACACCGGAAGGGGAGTTTAAGTTGGCGTTAATGGATATTTTGTTTTGACCATCATTTCCATGGAGCATGGCGTTCTTTCATCAGTAGTTTTGCCTCTTGTCAACAGGCTGAAAATAAGTTGTCCCATTGTGCTGCATCAAGGAGTTGAGCGCATTCGGTCCCATGGTGGAGACGGCCGGATTCATCGCAGAATTCACCGTGGAAACATTCATCCCGGAGAAGCCCGCGCTCGTCTGAGCTTGAAGCTGTTGCGTAAGCGAAGCGTCGTAGTTTGGTATCGATCCCTGAAGATTTTTAGTGAAGGCGAAGTTAGGAGAAGATGAAGGGTACCTGTTGTTGATAGAAATTTCCAAGATTTAGCTGTCGATTATACTGTTCCTGCTGCAGATTCCTGACCATATCCTGAAATAAATACGGTAATCGATTTTGCCGTAACAACAACAAGAATCGAAATCGACGGGCGTATGTCGCAATCACAAGAGTAAAGCGTATGTTTACTTTCGTATTTTTTCACGGAAGGGGAAAGCAAAATAAATCTTATTTGAAAAAGATGATTTGTGAGTGACAGTATCACGAACCTGCATGGCGTCCTGCCCGATACCCGACGCCAATTGTTGCTGGTTCTGGTGCAGTAACTGCTGATATTGCTGTTGGTAGGCGAGCATCTGTTCGTTCGTCCTAAAATTATCATTTGATAACAGAATCAAAATACAGTCACTTACATATTATTACGCCTGTTGTCGACCTGTTGAACTCGCTCAGGGAAGCTAGTAGGGGGAGCTCCTTGTTGGAACATGTCCGTTCCCTGATAAGAGATTTGTTTATCAAGAGATAGAATCCAAGTACTCTACCTGTGGCATACTTGGCGTGAGTTGACTCTTAATCTGCATAATCAGCTCCTTTGCCCGTTGTGAGGACACATTGAAATGTTTGCCTAGAGAGCAACTTTTGGCAACTGTTGAATATATCTATAGTAACGTACCGAGCACATCTCTAAATTCATCGGCCTGTGCAAGCGGTTCGTCGAAGGTTTGAGCGAGTTCGTGCTGGGGTGGTGATTGAGAACCTCGCTCATTCCAGTGCTTGGGCCGCGTGCGGTTAGAGTATCGCTTCGGGCCTTTGTCATCTAAAGATGCGTCAATAACTGAACATAGCATGGAATAACATACCTCGGGAATCCTTTCTAGAGTCCATCTCGCGTCTTCTACGATCAGGTCTTCTATCATCCTGGAATAGAAAAGCTGTCAAAAAATGACTCTACAAAATTTAGCAAACCTTTCTTTGTGTCTCGTACATGCCCTGTTTCTCAAGGATGTCGCGAACATTTGCTAGCTCGACTTGGAGGGAGACCTTGTTGTTGCTCATGTCATTGTTCTGGAGACCGTCTTTCTGGTTCTTGCGTCTTCGTGGTGGTGGAGGACGGGAGTGGTTGAAGTCTTCATCAGAGAGATCTACACAACGATATTTACTCAAGTGAAACGTATTCATAAATTCAAAATATAGATAAAATTAACTTGAGAGTAGCATAAAAAGACCCGTAATAACCTGATGAGTATCGGCGAGTGCGCATTGGCGGAGCTGGATCCTCAACACGCTTCCTTGGCGGCGAAGAGCGTCGTCGGCGAGTGTCGTACTGCTCGTCGGAATCACGCTGATCCCGGCCGAACTGCTCGACGCGTCGTCGCTGGTCCTGTTTGGAATCACGGCGGCGAGAGTCTCGAGGCTAGACAAATACCGATAAAGTTTAAATATTTTAGTAAGCGATAAACTCAAGGTAAAGCTCATAAATCGCGTCATCGTAAATAAATTCATTTATATATCCGAATCAGAATAAAAGAACAACGTATAATAGTGGATAGGTCGATGATAAACCAAGTTATAAAACATGTTCAGCTGGCTTCTTAAGTTTTATCGGTTTTAAAATACAATGTAATAAAGTTGACGGCGTTTAGCAAACGTGACCTTAGCTGAGAGTAAATCTGTTTACCTAAAGTGAATTTAAATGGACTTTGTATCCACCGAAGCTATGTTAATATCTACTGTTCATGGTCGCTAATGGAAATGTTTGCTGTTGAGTTTAGCGACGGGATATCAAGAGTAAACAACTGCATAAAGTTGAAAGTTGCATGAGCTCGCACCCTGAGATACCGCGATATATTTGCTGCTATATTTGCCTTGCATGATAAGAACAAATATACTCACAGGAAGGGACAAAGGTGATTTTATAATATTCAATATTTATTGGTGGGATAATGTGTTGGTGAAAGAACAAAACAAGGAAAGATGGGAGCGTGTAAATGTATATGTATTTGGCCTAAGAATCAAAAGTGGGTAGAGTGGAATGAATAATGTTTGGGCATGATGACATTTACCTCACTAATAAATTAAATGAAGAATATATCGTTCAATAAAACTCTAATATTTACTTTACATGAAGGCACGTCAAAGACAGGCGGCAACTGAGGTCTGGCGGGGAATCAACTTTACAAGGGAGATCTAATTGGGAAATCAAGGCTCGACCTTAACGCTCTCGTCGCCAGTAGTAATCGTGGCTCCGAAGGGTTTGACGAGTGGGCTGGGCGAAAAAGCATGTGGTGTGAAAAGAGGGTTCTGAGAAATAGTTGGAGAGCTGGCAGCAAGATTCATGTGGCCGGGAAACATGCTGCTGACTGGAGGATTCTGGAGGACAGATTCAGCCGGTTGAGAGGGAGCAGAAGTGGCAGACTCAGCTTGTGTGGGAGAAGGAGGAGCTTCGGTGATGGTCGCAGGCTGAAGTTCGGGCATCTGAGGAATCGGCATTGCTGCAGAAATCGACGGCATACCAGGCACTGAAGTAGGCGCAGTCGTTGATGCTGGAAGCGACATCTGAATAAATTTATTAGCTTGAGGTTATTTATGATTGTTGGACTGACGTAATAAAAAATACCATTATTTATTAATAATCAAATATAATTACCTTAGCCATGGTCAGCGCCGCTGAAAGATCCTGGTGTTTGCCAAGGCCGGGAGCGTTGAAGTTGACTCCGTTGATGTTGAAGCCGTTGTTAGGGCGGAATCGGACGCGGTGCTCGGAGTTGGCAGATTTTTCGATCGAATCTGACTCTGCTGAATAGCAATGGTTCGGCGGAAAAGTTGCTGGGGGATAGAACCAAAGTAGAACTTGGTCTCAAGTTCTAGCGCACCAAGTCGTCGCTGATCGAGAGTGTGAAGACGGTTCATCGCCAGCTCGTCAGAGTCGAAGTAAAGCAGAGCGCCCCGGCGGATGAAGGCGGTGACAGACAATCTGTTAGCTTGAGCCTCTTCCCGAAGATTGATGAGTCGACGACGATTTTCTTGCGAGATGAGCATCAGATCACCTGGTACCGGGGTAGGTTCGTCGTTTATTGGCGCTTGATTCATCTGACGAACATGTGGCTGAGGTCGAGCATTTTGTTGTTGTCCATTCAGAGCAGGGCTATTCAGCATCTGTGTGGCGAGATACTGCTGCAAAAAGGGTAGACCGTTGAGCCCTGGAATTGTTGGGAAGGCGCCGGGAATTTTCGGACTCGTAGAGATCTCTTCAGTACCTGAAGTCTCCATTTTTTCTTCGTCTTTTGGAAATGGCTCGGTGCTTCCCTTGCTTTCTTCGTCTTCTTTTCGAACTGGTGAGGAGGAGCAAATGCCGCTAGAATCCGCTGATTTCGAACTTTCTTTTGCGTCAGGATTCTCGAAAAACAGTGAGCATTGAATCCCAGCATCGTTGACGACGATTGACCACTGTGGGACGGACATGTCATCCAAATTCTGGTTGTTGAGGGCTGCCCAAAAGGCTTGAGGGACCATTGTCTGTGCGTGGACCATTTCGTTCTCTTTCGTTTATCTCTTTTCGGCGAAAAAAATCTCGCAGTTTGGTTGTGCGGTTGATATTTTTAGATTTGTGATAGTAAAAATATAACTCGTTTCAATATTTGGTAAATTCTTGCTCGACAACGCTTTAAGGGTGGCTGTCGTAGGGTGGCGCGCCACCTAGCTCGATAAAATTTTTCTTTTTAAAAAGTTATCTTGCAGGTGGCAAAAAATTCGGCCGATTGAGGGGCGCTGCGGAGATCTAGATTTTTTGATCGGTTGACCAGAAAATAAGTAAACTTTACAACCCCTCCGCTGTGATAAAAAATTGACCAGCCTTCCCCGATCCGGGCCATAAACCAAATAAAAGCTCAAAAATTATAATTTACACGTAATCGTCTGGAAACTCTAAAAAGCTAATAAAATTGATGATTACAACTCGGAAAAGGATGACTTGGTATTCTATTTTTTAAAACCCAGAAACACTAGCACCATAAAAAGAAATTTTGATTTAAAGTTCACTAACCAAGGATAATCTCATCAAAGATGATCCAAGCATAGGATAAAAGTTGGTTCGATTTCTTTCAAAAAATTTCACCTGGAATGTGATCATAATCCTGAATAAGTAAGAATACATGTGTATTCAACAATATATAAAGTTGAAAATGTATCAGTGAATATCTGCTGAACCGTTCAGCTAAAGTGCAACTAAGTCCTATTTCGTACGATACTGATTTGCAGCTTGATACTCGATTGTAAAGTCAACGAAGACGTGGTCATGGAATTCCGTCAAATATAAAATTTAATGGATGAGATCGAGATATGACATTTTATTTTATTCACTTGGTCTTTATGTAACATTTATGTGGATAACTTTTAATAAAAGCTTGGCTGGGATTCCTCTTGAGAGAATTATACTTTCCGTAAATAACGCTATCATGAAAGATGTGCAAACACAACCCGTTTGGAAGAGGGTTAGCGAAAATCAACTCATGGAAAAGTTGCAACTACTTGAGCTTATTTATCTTGAAAGAAAGCAAATCTAAACAATTAAATTGACTTTCAATATTTTACTTTCGGGCGAGTTGCCACAGATTTACGTTTGAAATGAATTTGCGAACGACAAACAGAAATATTTATCGATCACTTTCCTGAATACGCCGCATTTACTTCCTGCTTTGATTCCTGTCACTGCGAAAATAAAGACTAATTCTGTAACGAACGAAGTTTAACCAAGCCTATCTCGGCGATAAAATTCTTAGGCTTTCGAAATAACGCAACGACCCTGTCGAAACGATGTCAACTGCTATCATAAAACTTGTGTTAGTAAAGTAAACGCAAACGCAGCCAGACTGAAGTACAGAAGGACCCCGCCAGTGTAAAATTATTATCTGGCCTAAAAATCTTTTGCCGTTGTCGTAAATTTCTTATAAACGGCCGTTACACATGAAATCGCGCGGCGCGATACCATCTGCCGCAAAATAACATAAAAACGGGTTAAAAAATCAGATGGTAAGCAGGCCGATTACTATCGCTAACAATAAAAAATTCAGGAAAACACGCAAGCGCGCGACCTGCTTGTCTGCGATGCATCAAAAGCTCATGCTAAACTACTGCTCTATAATTGATCATCACTCGTTACGCTGTTGAATTTTCCATTTTTTCGGATAAGAAAACGAATTCATAATGAATGGTAAGCGATGAATTATGAAATTGTCTTTATTTTTTACCTGCTGTTGTCTATCATCATTATCTCGTTTTGGCATGGGCTCTCGATTCTTGCGCTGGCGGTTGTTGGAAGGTTTCTCCTCTATGATTTCGATAATTTAGTGAAAAGAGTTGGTCAATAATTACCTCGTTGTTTTTGAACGTCCTTTCTTGATCGCTCGTTCTTGTTGTTGCCAACATCACTATTGCCACGGTCTCTTTGCTCTCGACGGTTGTTTCTTGGCTTCTGTTCTTGTCGTTGATTCTGGCTATCGTAGCCGTTCTCAATCGTAACAACCATTCGTGGAGAGTTAGCCCGCTTGCCCTTTCCTCGGCCATTGGCAATTTCCTTCCGCTCGTGACTATCCCGGTTGTCTCGGCTTTCCCGATGATCGCGGTTGTCTCGAGTGTCTCGGTTTTCCCGATTTTCGCGAGTGTCCCGGTTATTTCGAGGCTTTTGCTCTCGGCCCTTGCCCTCGCGTTTGGGCTTCTGCTCTCTTGGTTTCTGGGAATTGGCACCTTTCAGATCCGGGAAGTCCTCGTTGTTCTTGAGTTGTGGTGGATCTCGACCCTTGTTATTTCGAGGTTCTCGTTGTTGATTTCGAGAGTTTTGGTTGCGACCGCCACCGCGTTTTGGACCACTTGGATTTCGACGCTGAGGTCGGTTACGCTTGCCGGGAGCATTTTCATCGCTATCTTGAAGATGCTTGGATAAGTCAGCGTCGGCCGGAAGCGATCGGATGTCAAAGCCGTAGCGCTCCACAAGTTCATCGAGAGTGCGCGGCTGCTGGAGATCCTCTTCAAACTTGTCGTGCGACCACTTATCGTCCAAATTTGCTCGGCGCTCGGCCTTCTTCCTCGCGCGCTCTTCGCGTTCTCGCTCCTGCGCTTTGAGCGGATCTTCCTCGGCCTTCTCCGCCCAGCTTTCTTTGTCCTCGGCTTCTTCCGGCTCGGACTCAACTTCGGGAGTAGCTTCCTTTTCCATTTCGATGTCCATCTTTGGCCCGGAAGGAGCGTTTTCGTATTCTTGGTCGATTCGATCGTCGTGGAGGAAAAACAATCCCTAGAAAGAAAATATTGATCAGAATTACAATTTTCAAAAACCTTTCTAGGAATAAACGCCGGGTGTTTTTCGTCCTCGTCTTCATTCGATCGTTCCTCCTTGGCTTCATCACCTTCGTCCTCTTTATTGGACCCCGCCGACCTAAATAATAGCCAGTAATAAAATCAGACGCGCTAAATGATCGCTTACATGTTTTCATCTTCAGCATGCGTTTGGGGTGGCTGATCATCTTCCATATTAACGTCCTGAAGTCGAGAAGCAACGCCGTCGATGTCATCTTGGTCGCGTTCGTCCTCGACCTTAGCTTCCTCTCCCTTCTCTTCGACCTGTGGAACCTCTTCTTTTGCTTCAGAGGTTTCTTCATTCTTTTCTTCCACCTTGGCCGGAGGAGACTGTTCGGTTACTGGAGGAGCTTCCTCTGGCTTCTCCGCTTCAGTCTTTTCGACCTCTTTGGTCTCTACCTTTTCATCGTCTTTTGATTCAACCTTTACATCATCTTTCTGCGCTTCGGCTTCTTTTATCTCTTCAGAAGCTTCTGGCGCACTTTTGTAGTCCTCTTCGTCTTCACTCTGAAGAACATGAGTTTGTTAACTTCTCTTTTAGAGTCAAGTTTTTATACCTCAGTAGCAGAGACAAGCCCTGGCTTTTCTTCTTCTTCCTCATCATCAGTAGCCGCCTGACGAACTTTTGGGACGTCATCTTCCCCTTCGGAAAGATCCTCTTCATTTCTTCGTCTTCGAGCAGCCATATTCGTTATTGGAATATGAGCTCACTGGTTTAGTTAGAAGTTCGAGTGCCTTGAAGAATTTATGATTCGATTTCGAGTTTTTGCTGGCTTGCTAAGCAGATCAATTCAGATCTAAAAAGATTTATAAGTAAGATTCTGCTACATTATTTATTTATCCTTGTTGTTTTCTATATGCAAAGGAAAAAATAAGAATGTTTTTATTTTGATTTTTTCTTGCGCTTAAATGATGAAATAGTACGTCGGTGATGGGATTGAACTCATAACTTGTATTTTTCTTTGTTCAAGTTGGGAAAAAGAGAGAGAAACAGAAATTCAAGGCAAAGTTGTTGAAAGATAGGAGCGGGATAGATAAAGGATAAATAGAATAAAATAGATAAAGTAAAGGCAATCAGTAGGAGTTGAAAAATATGTAGTCTGCATACGGAGGAATAATAACTTAGGGGTCAGCAAGTGGGCGAATGAGGTACGACATCTCCCAGAGCTTGTCGTCGTCTTGGAGCGACTGGAATCCGCAGAACCGCCTGAAAGAAAGACTTTAATAAAAGTTCGTAATTATGAAAAACAGGTGACTGGTGTGACAATTCGTGTTTGCCCATGCGTAAATATGGGCTTTCAAATTATCATGAAGTCGATTTCAGGATTTAACGGAGTTTTACGCCATAAAATTCAATGGTGCTTTTTATTGGTTTAACTTCGTTGATTGTTTGAAATGTGAATTTATTACCTGTCAATATCTGCGGACTTTTGGAAGTCGTATTTGGACTCTCTGAAACGACGCGTCTGCTCTAACAGTTTGTGGATTCTCATTACTCTGTCGAAATTAACCATTCCATCCTTCATAGGTTTTTCTCGCAAATGAACCTTTATCATAAATATTAACTCAATTATAATGGCCCTCGAACCTGGTAAAGATCTTGTCTAACGATTCCAATATAGGGAACACATGGCAGTTCTGAATCTTTTAGGACTGGGCGATAGTTGACAAAGTTTTTGTCGACAGAGGTAATTTTTTGAAATTCTTGGATTTTTTCTTGAATCGATGATTTCCAATGAAGCCGGGTGACTGCTTTTGATGAAACGCCAGCAACCACTGCGAAGTACGAGTTGAAATTGTTGTGTTTGCGTAAGTGAGACAGAATTTTGAAAAACTAGAAAAAAGTAAGAATGAGATTTGAGCATTTTTACAAACATTGTTTAGGATCCGCTCCCGCAGATCAGTTGCTTCTTTTCCAGGGGCATTTTGCGATAGAATGAGCCCTTGGGTCCAATAAGAAACAGAGTTGAAGTGATCAACGGCAGCTGAGAAGTTGGGAGTCTTCTGAGAGTCTTGAGTTTCGGACATGGCAGCCAAGACGAATTCTGAAGGCTCGATGCTTCGGTAAAAGTCGGCGTCGAGTATGCAAAGATGCTGGGCGAATATTTCAGATCTAAACTTAGTGAAAATTTGAAAGGGAAGGTTGAACTGACGTGTAATCTAGGAATTTGCTTCCGTCAAGCCTGAGCTTCTCTGTTAGCGCCTCGTACTCATTGTCGACCAGAGCGCCCATCGAAAGTGGTCTTTGAACCGATCTTGATTTCTTGATAACTACTCTTTGGGCACTATCGCGAAGTTGCTTCGCGTAGTTGAGGAAGTTCTTCTCCCTGTGGGTCATCATCCAAAAGATTTCATCGTCAAGTTTTTGTTTTATATTGTCGTTGAGCTCAGTGTATACAAGTTGGTCTACTACGCGAATAAGGATTTGTACTGGAATGCCACTTGATGATGCGCAAGTATCTGCTTGTCGTATTCGTTTCAGAAGTTCGTCGATTAGCTTTTCAAGCGCGAGGAAAGTTCGGAAGCTGGACAGAAAGGCTTCAATAAAATCGCTTTTGACGTGTTGGGATAGCACTAAAATACTGTTCTCTTCCTTGATTTCAATTGGATTTCACCTTTTTCGACCATTTGATCAGGAGTGCCGAGCATGGAAGAGGGATCATTGAGTTCATTGTAGCCGGAATCACGTTGATTTTTAGCCGGCGAGCGTTTTTCTGGGATTTCGGGCGGAATAAGTGAAACATCGGAGTTTTGTTCAGGTTTTTCATTGAGGTAGGAATCACGCGAGTCGGAGCTCACCATTGAGTAGCGATTTTTCTGGGGAGTGAAAACGTTCAAGCCACCGAGTGGCTTGTTCTTTTTGGAGGAAGAATGGGCGGAAGTCCTTTTTCGGGAAGAATTGGGGGACCGTCGACGACAACATCGATGCCGCCGACAAAGCGACCAGAGGATCCGCTAAATCAGGCGTTACTAAAAAAATAGATATCTGAAAGTTACCTTGTAGAAAGTAAATCACCATACGAATTACTCGATAATGGACGGGAATAATTGCTTCCAAGGGGACTTGAAGTTCCCATGGTCGCGAATTGATCATTCGAGTATCTAACATCGATGTTCGACCTATCAGACTCGAGTTGAATGTCCGCAGAGTTCAGACTGAGAAAAGTAATTCCCTCTGAAATATCAGACTGGTTGGAGCGCTGTCTGCCAACAACAGATCTGCTTCTTCCAGTGACTGGCCTTCTTTTTACACTTCCATTACTAGGACGTTCCATGGATGGAGGGCGAATAGAAGACGTTGAGCTTATAAGCTCTTTTGTCTTCCTTGATATTGTACGAAAAGATCTTCTGATATTACTACGCCTCAGACCACGAGCACGTGGTATTTCCCCGCTTCCTAGATATTCAAGATTTTCTATAGAAGCATGGAGCGATTTTCTGAAGGCATTTGAAGGAGACATCTAGAGAGTAAGTAAAATAATGGTCGTGAAAATTGTCCTACCGGTTGAAGAGTTTCTGGGAATGTTAAACGCGCGTAGTCGATTATATTTCGCAGCACTTTCTGAAGCTTGAGCACCATTTCTTGAGTCATTTGAGTGTCATCGTGACTGATTTCTGAGGAACTATCGGAAAGCTTGACCAGGGCGGCGAGATAATTGCGTGCCTCTTGTTGTCTGCTTTCGAAAAAGTCAGTCCACTGGTCATTGTTACTGATTTCAGGATGGCGGCCGACGATGACGACGATGTCGTCGAGCATTTTCTGGACCGTGTCGATGATCAACGTCACTACTTGCGGGATCAGCTCTTTTTGATTCTTCTCGATAAGTTTGTTCATGTACTTGGCCGATTTCTCGATTTCGAGCAGATGATCGCTTATTTGAACCAACGATTGGACATGATCGACTGAGGTGCCACCCACTTGCCGTAGTGGCTCCGAAATTTCAATCTTTCGCTTCGAGCCCGATCCGCCATCGCTTGGTGTTGGGCGAAACAGGCCGCCGAATTTCTTCGTCCAGCCGGTCATCCCGGAAGAAATCGATTTTTTCATCCTCTTTTCATTTTGAGCATGAGCTCACTCATGTCACTGTCCTAAATAGGTGCAGTTTAGTGAAAGGTTTTTAATATCATCGAGTCGATAAGGTGGATTTAATTAATTTCTTGTCAATTACAATACACTGTCAATAGAATGAAGTTTCAGGCATCCTTCCTATACAAATAACTTAAATAATAGGTCAGAATAATGGTGACTTTTAGAGAAAATATAATTTTCATAGATACATAGAGATATAAAAAGACATGTGAAGAACTGGAATCAAGAAATCGAGAAGCAAGTGCTGGAGATCTGGTTAGGTGATAATTGGTTCTAACAGTTCCGGTTAAATTACTGTACTGTAGCATTTTTCATATACACAAGGGCAAATTTGTACTGTATATGATTCAAGTAAAACATGTGAAAGCATTGAAATAGTCTAAAGTAAAACAAGGCCAAGTTTCTTCTTCTCAAGCTCGGGACATCGCCAGTTATAGAGGTAGTAGTTCAGATTACCGTCTCCTTCGCCGAATTTAAGGGGCTAAAAGTCTTGAGAAACTTGTCAATTGCGACTTTCTCACCTTCAAGAACTGATCATTTTCCATGAGGTCGAGCGCATTGAAGACGTCAAACTTTTGGTTGTTGGCAATGACGAGCATGTCGCTCATGAGATCTTTGAGACGATCAGACACGTTGTAGAAGCAGTAGGCGGCGTTGAGAGTGGAATGGTTTTTGTTGTTGACCACGGTGCTTGGAAGGGAGTAGAAGGAACCAAAGTCGGTGAGCTCTCCGTCGGAATTTTCAACCACATAAGAGGAAATGACGCCCTCTCGGGGCAGGAACCAATGTTCGAATTCTTCTTCGGAGTAGATAGGTGTCAAGTCGAATTTCTACGCAAGGGAATGTGAAACGAGAAGGAACGAAGCGAGTTTACCTGAAGATATCCGCCAAGAAGTGCGCGAGCTTTCTCGCAGTCCTTCTTTTCCATTTTTCGAAGACCTGGGAGCGATGTTTGCGCAGGCAATTTCATAAGTCTGATTAGTCGATTCATTGTCTACATAAAAAGTGGTTGAAATTCTTTCAAATTTATCAATTCTACCTGGTTGCGACCAAGGGCTGAAAACTGAATCTCAACGAGCTTCTTTGGATTGAGCGATCTATGATGATAACGAGCAGTGCTCACTGGCTTGGGAATGACGACGCCTGCAGTGTAACATGCTTGGAAGATATTTCTTTTGTTCACGCGGCGAGTAATCTCACGGATTAGAGTGGGCGCAAGGCGCTTTGATCTGAAAAGATTATTTCAGCTCTATTCTCTTCTGGGCGCGGCCTTGAGCAAATCCTAGACATCGAGGAGCTTTACCTGAGTTTCTTGTGGACACATAAGAAGTTAATCTCGACCATTTCAGTGGCGACGGTCTTTGTTCGAATTGTGGCAGGAATAGCAGAAATAAATCCCACCATTTTCTTCGTCGTGGAAGCTCGGACGGCGCAAAGCCAGTCTGTGTGCCATCCCGGTGGGCTTAGAGCCCATTTTAAGAACTCGGGGGAGTAATCAAAGCGGAACATATTGTCGTCATCTTCTACGTAGTTCTCGTTTAAAAGTGTGTAAAGCTCTGTCAACTGCGCTGGATCCGTTATCTAAAAGAAAGTCAATGAGGTTACTTTTTGATTTGTGGAATTTACATCGACATCGTCCCATTCAAAATTCTTGGGGAGTGAATAGGGCTCCTGGCGTACGTTGTCCCTGGAAGCCTCAATAGCGCCAAGGTCCTCGTCGGAAATTGTCTGAATATATATCACGTTGTTGGTGACTTGCTATCTGCGAATAAGGAGACTTGGGACAAAAGGGTCTCTTGAATAGTTCGTTTATTGGCGTATGGCGAACTGAAGTAGCAGAATGTGATTTGGGAGCGGTTAAATACGGAAAAGGAGTGAGTCATGTGTAACGAGGCGGGAAAGTGGGAATGTACGGGAAGTGTTACATGTCAGTAATGATGGATCAGGCAATAAACAAGATAGGCAAGACACTACATAATCCCTCCCTTCTGAAAAGAAGTGGGGATCGGTAAAATTTTTGTAAAATGTGCACGTGATAGTAATACAGATAGTGATCAAAAGTGCAGATAATGGCAGATAGCGTCGATTGGGGCTGATTGGGCGCGGCGATGAGGTCGATTGCGCAGATGGGGCCGATAGCGCGGCGCGGCAGATGCAATCAATCAGGTCGGGGTGGCCAAGGTCATCGAGGTCGGTCAGGTGGCATGGCGCAATTGTGCATGGCGCTAATCAATCAGCCGGTTGGTGTCGTAATTATGCCAATACGTGGCGCAAAAGTGACAGATGCATATAAAAACGGGCGAAAAAGTGGGAAATTATCAAAACTTGAGTGAAACGAAAAAAAATCAAAATGTCTACGAGAGATTATGATACAATAAGAGAACCGGTTGTTGCTGAATTGAAAATCACCGGAATCATGCGCCATCTTTTGGACGAACTGAAAGTTTCGAAGCCTAAATTCCTCAAAGAGATTATTGAAGACCGGAAACGAATCGACAAAGTCTGGAAAGGCTGGAAACGGCGTCGTAATGGTAAGTTTTATGAAAAAATTATTTTCCTAGTTCTAGAAATTTTTTGAAAAAATGTAAAATTTACGAATTCTAGAAAATTTTTGAAATTTCAAAATTTTAATTTATATTTTAGCTGAGTACAGGCGAAATTTCTACGAATGTCCGGAATATGGCGAATATCGAAAGCAGAGCGCGGCTATCCTCAAGGCTTTGCTCGAAGATGGGCTAGATTGTCAAAATTGGCTCCCGATGTACCTGAGTCATCAGCTCGCAGCAATGTGCCACTGGCTGCCTACGAATACTACATGGACCTTCAACGCGAAAAAGAAAGTGAACATGCAGACCGGAGCCGGAACTCAGAAAAAGCGATACAGCGAGCTCAAACTGGGAATACGTCTCGTATGATTCGGCGGCGGCGTCGGAAAGAAAACGCGAAAAAGAAGACGGGCCGAGGTGAGAAAAAGAAATGATTTTTCTTAGCTGTAACTCCGAATCAGAAAATAAAATTTTTATTTCAAAATGAAGCCTAGTCGATTTTCTTAGCAATAAAATGTTCAATAAAAGTAACTTGGAAGCTAATGCAAGCGAAAATTTTTTCAACCCAATGGGTCAGTTAGTGGTAATTCGGTGTCGGCGATGCCTAAGCCCGTTCTCCACTTGAATCTAACCCGGGATGGAGAGTTTTAGTGCGCAAAAGTTTTCATAGGAATAAAAATAGACTCGAAAAGGAAGTTGGGAGTCACGGGGCAAAGATGATTTGTTAACATAGGTTAGTTAGAGGTAATTTGGTGTCGGCAAGGCCTAAGCCCATTCTCCTCTTTACTCTAACCTCTAACAAACCAGCTGCGTCCCATTTCTCTCCAATTGGCCTACAATTGATCCATAAAATCGGCGGCTTCTAAGTACAGTGGTTACCCATCTTAAGAGGCCCTAACTTAAGAGGACTTTTGCGTCAATTTGGCTAATTTTGTCATCCTAAAAAGTTCCAACTTAAGAGGACTTTCTTGATGATTTTTATTAAATTTCGGGAAATATCTTGGCAAACAGTGAGTCATTAAGCATTTTTTTTTACAGTAAAGAAACTCGAAATCTTTGACTGCTTTTCTGGCCATTTTGAAGACGATGGCTTTGCAATGTCGGCTTCATCTGAACCTGGAATTTGAGGTTCTTCCTCAATATCCATCGGGGTCGCAGCTTGTGTATCATCGATCTGAAGCGCCAGGAAATGCTCGATCAATTCTTCTTCGTCTTCTTTCTCCAAGATACTTTCGAAAACGTCCAAGCCCTCGACGTCTTCAACATTCTCCTCGTATTCTTCTTCTTTAATCAGTCCAGTATTGATCCAATTTCGCTTGAAGATTGCTGGATTCATGTAAGTGAAGATTTCGTTGGCTTTTCTCACGAGCTCTTCCTCTGTGATATTAAGATGATCGTGATCGACGATAAAATCATCGAGGTAGTAGCAGATTTTTAAATTGTGGAAGAAGCTTGTAAGCCGGACAGTTATCGATATACATCAAATAACGCTGCGATGGATTTTTTTCTTTCAAAAACGCCGAAAGACGAGTCAGCTCCAGAATAAATATCGCTCTTGTACACCAGGCGGAGGAATTCCAGTATAGTCGAAAATCTTAAAATTAACTTCAGTAATGCTGCTTAGCTTCGACATTAGTGAGAAAAGAATTTTAAAATATGTATTCCTAAATTGACTCGAAATGTTCCAACTTAAGAGGACTTTCTCTCAGCCCTTGTCATCTCAAAAGGCCTCTTAAGATGGATACCAACTGTAAACAGCTGATTCGGGGCGGGTGTTTTTAGGTCGGGTTTCCTCAATAAAGCTAACGCGTCGGTCAGCCTTTTTCTTTACTTGTTTCTTGTCCCCTTGGGTAGGCCGAACATTTTTACGAGTCCGGCAAAAATAGAATAAGGCGGAATAAAAGAAGCCACTAAGTTTAATTTTCATTAATCCTAGAGCAAGTAACAAGGCTAATAGTGACGCGAGCATTATAATTAGAAGGGTCGGAACTTCTTTGCGGCCGATAGACAGTTTATCGTCCGATGCTGACAACTCACTTAGTGAGTCGTTTAGCGCGAGAAGCGAAAGCGCAGGGCGAGAACGCGAAAGGTTGAGCTCAGTAGAAATAAAAGTCGGTTGCACTATGGAAGAGGTATAGCTCCTTTCCCCTCCTAAAGGAACGGTGACCGATAGACCCGAATTTGTGCAAGTAAGCAGACCTTCTTGGGATACTAAAATTGTGGCCTTATTAAATTCCGTAAAATTAGGATTGTCCTCCTTAGTCATAAAATTTCCTTCATTTATAGCGACCATGAAATGGTCGCCTAATTGCTCGATATTACAAAAAGTTGGAGGTGGTAACTCAATTTTCTCGCAATAGTCTGAAGTACCATTCAAAAGGTTGAGGAGGCAATTATTGTTCCGAATCTCGAGACTATTAAATGGGCAAAATTTGTTACTACAAGGTTGATGAATAGAAAATATTTGATCATCATTCAAAAGCGCGAAGGGTGGGAGAACAAGTTTGAAGAACTTGTCTTTCTCGAAAAATCCCAAATTAACTACTTTAATTAGCCGCGAGTTTTTGAGCGCTGCTAGTTCCTTCGGGACTAGGAGGTTTATTTTCACAGCCACGAGCCGCTTTTCGTAATCATAGCTTGAATCAATATAAGAAAATTGAAAAAGTTGATCAGCCAGAGAGCGATGGCAAAATTCGGCTGAATTATCTAATTCGAGACATATATTAAATAGCTCATTATGAAATTCGGCAGTACGAGGCCAGCTACCAGTACTTAGGCTAAGGACCTCGGACTCGATTCGGTCTAGTGAGCGTGTAATGTGATTTAAAATCTTTTCAGTCGTTAAAAGTGAGCATGTTTCTGAGCGTAAGTTATCTATCTCACTTATTAAGTGATTACGGGAAGACAAAAATTCCTCTTTAAGTGTATCATAACTTCGCGAAAGTCGGTCGACTGAGGATTTTAATTTGTTGTCACTCCAAGTTTCGAAAATTGCACCGAGAAATGGCACTGCGTTAGATAAAGTATTAGTAGCGAGATTTTGTACAAAAGATGTTGTAAAAGCAGATTTAAGATCATTGGAAAAAGAGCGTTTAGCGAGGACATTAGGGCTTGTTAAAAATAGGCTATGTAGCTTACGGTGGAAAAGTAGTTCAGCTGCGGCAATCGTCTTCTTGGCGAGTTGGGGTTGGAGTAGCTTTTGATCGGTGTTTCTGATTTTGATGCAGTCGGAGTTCGTTATCGCGGCAACGATCTGGTCATCGGAAGTGAAATGGTGGGATCGAACGTAGGTCACGGGTACATGGTTCGCGGTTATATCTCGGAGGCCAAGAGGCTCTATTCCAATACCGATTTTATCGTAAAAGCTCTGCGTTGAAATCGGGAGGAAAATGTTGAAGAAAAGCAACGTTTTCAGAGTCATTTTCGAGCTCGTTTGACTCTTCTGGCTGGGCGTCGTCGCTTATGTCCGGCTCCGGCGCGGTTGGCTGGTCAGGGATCGGCCTGAGTAACCTCAGATGTCGTGTATAGGTGACACCTGATTGGGGGTCCTTAATCACGTAGCTTGTCGGGGAGTAATTTCGGACGATGACGAATGGGCCCGCCCATTGCCGGGACAATTTTCCTTCGCGTATGTCTGGTTTGAACATCAGGACTTTTGAACCGCGTTTAAGTTCAATTTTCTTGTTTTTGTCCTTTTTCAAGCCGGCTTCATATCGCTCATAGTTCAATTTAAGGAGCGCAGGGTGAAGCTCGGAGATGTAGGTGTTGAGAGCTTTGATAAATCCTTCAGGATTTTCATCGGGTTGAGAATGGCGAATGTCAACAAGGGGTGCGAACATGCTCCTGCCGAAAAGGCATTCGGAGGGAGAAAGCCCGTCCAAGTTGACTTTGGGGAGGTTATTGATTGTAAAGCGGACATAAGGCCAGAGGTCGCTCCACTGTTTTCGTTTTGCGTTGAGGATCTTCATTTTTGAAGTGATTTCGCGGTGTTGGCGTTCCAATTTGCCATTGCTTCGGCTATTGTAAGCACTGGTTCGATTGAGCTGGATATATATATCAACACCGATTGAAAAAGTGGGCCAAACTCTCGGCCATTGTCGGCGAGCAGTCGACCAGTGATCCCATGGCGGAGTATTAGTTCCGTCATTGCTTGGGCAACAAGTCGGTCTGATTTCGAGCTAAGCGGAATTCCATCGACGAATGAAGTTAGGTGGCAAATCGTTGTTAACAAATAACGTTTGTTGTTTGAGCACGTGCCGCCAAGGTCGTAAAGATCAACAGCTGTGAATTGGAACGGCGTTTCTGGAAAATGTCGTTTTTCAATCATCGCAGGTCGTAAAGCCGGTTGAACTTTTGATCGGAGGCATTCAATGCAGCGGCGGTTGACAGCGGCGGTTTTTTCTTTCAAGTTGGGGATGTAAACTTGTTTTGCCACAAGGGTCATCAGCGCGAAGGTGCCAGGATGACCATACAGTGAATGAGCATAAGAGATAAACTCACTTCCGTATGGTTCAACTAGCACAGGTCGATTGTTGGACCTTTCTTTTGAGTAAAGGACTTCATTTATGATGGCGAATTTCGGCGTCATTTTGTTTATGATGCCATTTTGTAGCTTGTGGATCATATTTCTACACCAAGAGTCTTCTCGTTGTAAATCAGAAAGTTGTTGATTGGAAAGGGAGACTTCGCCAAAGTTGATAATCGTATTTGGGTCAGTTTCAGGTCGAGTAGCTTTAGGGCCACCCAACAAGGTACGGAGGTACATGTCGCGGTGAGTGTCCTTGTTATTGAGTGATTCGTCATTTGGGAAGTGGAGCATTGAAAACACGCGGTCAGGAATTTCCGTGCTTTTCAATTCTTTTTCCATTTGAATGAAGGATGAGACAGGGAGCCGGGATAGGTAGTCAGCGGTGAACATCACAGGGTCGGAACCAGGAGCATGCTTTATTTGAAAATCGAATTCGTTCAAATAGTACATGATATTCGTGAGTCGTAAATCGAGCTTTTTGCGTAGATGTTCTCGATACAGGAACGTCAATGATTTATGATCGCTGATGATCGTAAATTTTCTACCGATAAGGTAGAATTCGAAATGTTTGATCCCGGACGCGAGGGCAATGAGTTCTCGTTGGCGGGTCGGGCGTCTGAGATCTGGTCCTTTCAGGGCTTTGGAGTGGTAGCCGATAACTTGCATTTCGTCTCCATCCAATTGATACAGACAGCTTCCGATGCCCACGCCGCTCGCATCATTAGTTAAGAATAATGGCAGTCGAGGGTTGTGATGGTGAAGTTTGTCGATGCCGGAAATAGCAGCTTTGACCTCGTTGAATGCTTCCTCCGCTGAGTCGGGCCAATGAAAGCGTTCGTACTCCTTTGAGAGGAGGCGATGTAAAGGCGCCATTTTCGCAGAAAGGTGCGGGCAGTATTTGAGGTTATAGTTAACGCAGCCAAGAAAGCGTTTCAATGCGGTGCGGGAATCAGGGCGTGGAAACATTTCGATGGACGTCAAATGTTTATCCAGCGGCCTCACACCTTGAAAGTCGATTTTGTGCCCGAGAAATTCGAGTTGATTGTCCATTAAAGAGACTTTCTTCGCGCTCAGGAGTAGTCCATGTTTGATGCACGTGTCGAATAAAAACTCGAGATTTTCCATGTGGGCTTCAAAGGAGTCATCAATTACGAGGAGATCATCCAAGTACAACAGAAATGAGTCGTTATCTCCAAAGAGCTCGGACATGACTCGACTAAAGGCGGCAGGGGCAGTTGACACACCATAAAGCATTCTGTTCGATTGATAATGCTTCTTGTTGTGCGAGAAAGCCAATTTATGAGCGTCTTTTTCAGCTAATCTTAGTTGCCAATAGCCCCGATGGAAATCGAATTGGCTAATAAAACACTCATTGCTTCCGGTCAATTTTTCTCCAATACGGCTAAACGTTTCGGACATGTGGGGCAACGGAAAACGGTCGGGTTTGAGCTTCGAGTTCAGATTTCGGGCATCCAAGGAGATCCGTATGCTTCCGTCCGGTTTTCGGAGTATCAGGAGCGGAATATTGTTTCCGGATTGGGTCGGTCCTATCATTCCAAGGCTTTTCCAATTGTCAAATTGACTATCCACTTTGTCTTTTAGACCATAGGGGACTGGTCGTGGAGGCAAGTAGCTGGTTTCGGATTCGTCTTGCATTTCAAGTGTGTACCGGAAGTAGCCACATTTGCCTAAATCATCCGAGCTCATGTTGAAAGCAAGACGATACGCTTGAGTTAGTTCTTTGGCTTCAGCCAGTCGTTCACCCTCAAGCGCGCCATATGACTTAATTGGCGGTTCGAAACCTATTCGTTCAGCTTGAGCGGCGCGTCGTGCTTGAAATTCTTCAATTTCCGCGGCTTCTGTCTCGAGGTCAGCCACTTTGATGATGCCATTGAGGTATTCACAGTTGATGGCTTCAGCTTTGCAAACTGGTTTCCGGCGGGAAAGGGTGATTCTTCGATGAGTCGAATTTTTACGATCGCAAAGATTTCGGACGAGTTTTTCTGCACACTCGATTGCACTTGGAGGCCATGTAATGGGTCCTTTAGCGGTTCAATTACAATTTCCGGAGCTAACAACTTTCCATTTGGACGGAGAGGAATACGCTTCACTGAGTACGGTTCAAGAATTGTATTTTCAGACGGGTAACACGGGACAGAAAAGTTGTTTCGGTTGACGGTTGGGAGAGAGTGTCCATTGATGACAACAGTGTTCGAGTTTTCAGGAATTGTAAGAGAGCGGATGATGTCCATTCCGATGATCAAAGGCGAGGAGAGGTTTTCGATAACGACGGCGTTAGTAGAGCATGAAAAGTTTTTGGCGAGAAGAATGTCGAGGTCGACAGTAGAAGTTGAGTTCATTTCTTGGGAGTTAGCGGCGATGATTTTTGATTTACACGGATGGGTGACGCAGTTTTGGAGAAGCGCGTGTCCCGCTTGGACACAGGTTTTTGAGCAGCCAGAATCAATCAACGCGGGAATATATACATTGTTGATTTTTGCGCGGACGAATTTGAGAGATGATGGAGCGTTGAAAGCATACTGGCAGTAGAATGTTTGAATAGTTTCTGTATCAGCTTCAGAAGCGCTGCAGCTGATTTCGCATCCTCATTCGGACTTTTGGAAGTGCTTCGCAACTTCTTCCGGGGGCGAACCGTGATTCCAGTTGCAGTTGCTTCGGTTGCAATTTCCTTTGCGAAGTTTGAGGAGGCAGTACCCAGCAGCTTTTTGAGCATCTAGAATGTTTTGCTCTTTCTGCTTGCTGTGTTGTTTGTTTCCGTTTGAAGTAGCAGCTGGCTTCTCGGCCAATGTTTTCATGATTGAGTTCATTTGATTCGCGTTCTGCTCCATTAGTTTCATCATCATATTGATGACAGAGTCGAATTTGTCGTCTGATTTCGCAGGTTGGGGAGCAGGAGTCGGAGCAGGAGTTCGACCGTGACGATGAGAAATAGCCATTACTTCGAATGGGTTACTTGAGCTGGGAAATCCAAGAGCTCTTTCAATCGTGGCGGCTCGCTCAACGATATTGGAGAAATTGAGATTGTGCTCTTCCATTTCCAGGGCAGTGCGAAGTGAGCCTTCGAGGCCTTGAATGAATGTGGTGACAATGTGTTCGCGGTCATTTTCTGACAGCACGGCTTGTTTATTGTAGGCGCGGCGATAGGCTTGAGTGAGCGACGCAAAGGCAACTCCGATTCGTTCACCACTTTGTCGTCGAAAGTTGCGGAACTTCGCTTTGTAGTAGTTTCGGTCGAATCCAATCGTCGAGATGATTTTACGCTTGAAGAGAGTCCAGTCAGATTCTTCGTGCGGTTCAAGTGTAGATTGAGCGGAAAGACCAATGCTTGAGTTCATCAGGCCAGCTTTTGCGAGCTGTATCCAAGTTTCTTCATTGTCGATGTTGTTTGCTTTGGCGTAGTTTTCCACGGCGACCAGGAAATTTTCAGCGCCAAGGTTTTCATCATACTTCAGTTTTTGCTGAAATTTGTATGAGCCATGTGCTGATTTCTTTTCCATTGCAAGGGCTATTCGTTCCAGGCGATTGACTGTGTGCGGGAGATCAGATCCAATTTTGGAGGAGGCGGCGTGATTATCATTGTAGTTGTACGAGTGGGCGGAGCGATTTGAAGTTGTGTCCAGGGGCGGCAGGGTGTTGTGAAAGTTTTGCGCATCCGGTGAGTTGTGATGACTTTGCTTTGGCGGTGAATCTTGAGCTTCAAAGTCTGTCGGGTCGAGGGCACTTGCGTTGTCATCATCGTTGACAACTCTGTTTTGTTCTAGTTCCTGTAATAAACGTACGGTATCATTCATAAAACGAGGAGCGACTAGAACAAGTTCATATTGTTGTTCAGGATCGTCGATTCTGTTTTTGAGGAGAGTCACTTGACCGTTTCGGCGTTCAAAGAAGAAGCGGCGGTCTGTGTTCGACAGCATGTCGGGAATCGATTCATTGAGCAGGAGTAGCACGGTGTCTTTCGTCATTCCATTCGGCACGAAGTTTTTGTATCTCTTGCAGATTAGGTAGAGTTCGAATTTGTCCAGGTGCTCGACGGTTTTGGAGTATTTATCTGGTTGAGCGGTCATCTTCGGGGGAATTTCGGGGGGTGTTTGGGTCATATACGTAGGTTCGGGGGTAGATTAGGTGTTACTTCAGGCACCAAATTATGTTGGTGACTTGCTATCTGCGAATAAGGAGACTTGGGACAAAAGGGTCTCTTGAATAGTTCGTTTATTGGCGTATGGCGAACTGAAGTAGCAGAATGTGATTTGGGAGCGGTTAAATACGGAAAAGGAGTGAGTCATGTGTAACGAGGCGGGAAAGTGGGAATGTACGGGAAGTGTTACATGTCAGTAATGATGGATCAGGCAATAAACAAGATAGGCAAGACACTACAACGTGAGTTTGAAAAGAATTAATTGATTAATTACCTCTTTCATCTTAGGCACCGGTTGCGTATCCCAGAACGCCCACATTGTCTTGGGCATTTCGACGCCTTGACTCTTTGCTAAGTTGAGCATTTGGAGCTGTTGGGAGAGGAATGCCTGCCGAGCGTCCGGAGTTCCTAGATCCGGTGGAGTGGCTCCGCTCGCCGCCGCTAAAAATCAATACTCAACCCATCAAGAGTTCGAGATAATAGATCACCTTTTTCTTTCGCTTCCGCGGCTAACTTCGCAACCTGGGCGGCGATATCTGCATCCGATTGACCGTTTGTCATTCTTAAAGCGGTAATATTAGATGATGAAGTGGAAGTTCAGTCAATTCACTTGGCGTATATTCAAATTAATGCGCGCTTGCTTTAGATATTCTAACACAGCTGGATTCTCGACTACAGTCAGCTTATTTTCATAATTCTCGTTGAGTTTTACTGCTCGTTCAAGGTCAAGAACGCGTGGCACAGCATGAAGAGCTTGACGGTCCTTCCCATCCATTATAAAGACATCGCCGTGCTCTTGAAAAAAATTTTGTAAGAAAAAGAACGATGAATAAATTATTCAGAATAATCCAACTTACCGAGGAGTATCTCATGGCAGGGGTCTTCGCGTGTCCCTTTCCCAAGAAGAAACACAGCCGGAAGGCCAAGACTGACGGAAACAATAGGATGGTGGCAATACTCCGAATCATCGCTATGAATGCCAATCGTACCAATATTTGCGGGGTAATAATTACAGATCGAAGCTTCAGCATTCAACATCGGCGTGATTTGAAATGATTTCGAAATTTCCTCCGCCAGAGTTTTCAGTAATTCCGGAACACTTCCACGGCTTTCAGCTTCCTTGCCGTATTCTCTCGAGTCCCAATTATGATGATAGCCGAGAGTAGTCCATCTCAATGCCTTGAGGCCGCTTTTGGTAAGGTTTCTTTCTTCAATGAACTTGTCCAAATAAGGGCTGACATCTTGTCCCAGCTTTGACAAATTGGACTTTGCGTCGGATCGCCGGGGAAACTCAAAGAGCGCTGCTTTCGCCAGTTTCGCAATAAAGGCATCTGACAAATACTGTTTCGCGAGGAAAGCGCCGGAGGACATCTCATAAACCCTGTATTCTGCTTTGGAAATTGCGCTCGCGATCGATTCACGGGTACTTTACAAGGGGATATCAAAAGCAAAATGGTGTTAAAAAAGGAAAACGAGCATTTCATGGTGGCGGTTCAAGATCCCTGACAAAGTGAATCCGTTTTGTAAAGAGTGGAAGTCCGGTTCTTCTTTTTTCTGCTTGAAATAGCGGAAGCGCTCGCGAATAGACATTAATTTCTTTTTATTTTCCGCACAGTCATTTGATTCATTTTCATTCGTTCGTTTCATTCTACAGAAATGAATCGCTATTTCGTTTGGCGTTTTTAGTTTTTACACTGTCTCAGAGAAATGTTTATTCTTGACTGCCGAAGATAGGCATCAAGGCGACTATTATCTGAAGCCGAAAGAGGCTCAACTCCAGTAGTATCTTCAAATGATAGAATTCTAGGAACAGCATGGAACGCGCTTCTGTCTGGTCCATCCAAGATGCACAAGTCTCCATGTTCTTTACAAATATTAAAGGGGATCGGAAGCGCGTTAATTTACCTAAGAAAACTTCGTAACCTTCTTCATCCCTTTCTCCTTTTCCAATTTGAAAGAGCCCTGGGCACCCGAGCGAGATCGTCATAATTGGGGCAATTTGGTAGTCTTAATTTTAATGTGGATTTATCTTCACCTAAGTCAGCTCACCAATATCATCTCTGTGGATACCAATCGACGAGTTATTCGCTGGATAAAAATTGATTATACTCGCATCCAGGCGAAAATCAAAGCCAAGGACACGGCCTATCGTTTCGCCCACTTCTTCAAGTAGTTTTGGGATGGATGAAGCTCCCTCGATTGAGCCAGGAACAGTCTCGAGCCAGTTATGATGTCGACCAAGAGTCACCCAGCGAAGCTCCTTGAGTGGATGTTTCTTCAGTTAGGATTCGGCATTTTTATTCACACGGATTTTTCTAGACTCAAGTGGATCCGAGACCTTGCTTCAAGATGTCATCAGCTGACCAGTTGACAATCTTGTCGGTCAATGTTCGTCCGACGTTGATTAGATTGTTTCTTCCGACTTCGGTTTTAGTGTACTCAAATAGCGCTTCTTCGCCAAGTCTTTGAAGAAGCTTCTTTGAAAACAGGTTTTTACAAATGAGAAGTCCACTTTTCGTTTGAAGAACTTTTACTCCGCTGGAGTTGATCATCCAGGAATCTACATTCGTATCGATTATTTTCTGCTGAAAATCAGGGGCGTTCAACTTCGAGAAATCCGGTTTGATGTCTTTTCTTTTGAAGTATTTGAAGCGAGCATGGAGCGAGTCAGCTGGCGCATTTTCCAAGTCGCAGTTTTTTCCCGCCATGCAGACTCCACTTCGCTTTTCTGTGTTTTTACTGTTTCCAGTATTGTAATACAGTCGTTCGGGATCAAGCGCAGTTATCATTCTGAACATTCAAAATGTAACACGTGATGGAGAACATATTTCACAATGAGGTCTCGTTCAAAAAGATAAACCTGTCTTAACTGTAACCATGGTACACTTTCTTTGTTTTTATAGTTGATATCAGGTTCTGATATCGAAAATCAAAATGGCTGTTGTGAGAAATAATAGATAGACTTTGAGCTATGAAAGTTTTTTTTATAATTCAAAAGTGAACAGAGGATGGGCAGCTCAAACGACTCAAATGTTCTCCTTCGTAACACATGTATCCAGTCGTTTCAGAGATAGGAACATTTTTTTCAATCAGAAGATATAGGCGAGGATCGAAATCAATTGATGCTATTTTTTTAAATAACTTATAAGAAATTGGCTTCTTGTTATTGACTCAGTTGTGGATAAGTTGCGTCGCCCTTGTTTAATACGACCTCTTTTATTGCCGTGACGAGTTCCAAAAAGTCTTTCCGCGAGCTTTGAGTGTTCTAAAATAAGATAAAGATGTGTTTTTGAAGAAGATAAAATACCTGAAGAGTTTGGAAAAGATCTCTAAATTTAACGGTATTAAACTGCTCCGTGAGTCCAATACTTTCAGGCGCCTGTCCTGTCAGTCTCGTAAATTCAGCTATTGTTATATGAGGATGAGCGACGAAGAATCGTTGGCAAATATCGCTATCTGAAGGTGCCAGTACGCCTCCTTGCTCTTGGCTGCTTTGTCTGAACATTTCTTTGACCTCGCGCTCGCCGCGACGCTTTTTCTTGCTCCACATCTCGTGGCAGTCTTGGTGCTTCGGCAGATTGGGAGGGACGACCTTGGTCTTGTCGAATCCGGTCAGCCAACCGTGCTTGAGCGAGTCGGCCGTTGAAATTCGTTTTTTAGGATCGAGCGTTAACATCTCGTCCAAAAGGTCTGAATCATCGGTTAAAAATTGTTTACATTGAAACGAGCCATACTTAAGGCTAGTTGTGGAATCATCGTGTACTCCTCCCTCAGGCGTCTCCTGTAGTTCTTCTTGGGCTTTATAGTATGAAAAAATCTAAGATCGATGACTTCTGGCCACGTCATTGGATTTGGCGTTCCGCAGACGCGAGCAATAGCTTCCAGCTGAAGTGACTCTCTGTCCGCTTGAAACAGAGGCTTTTTCGTAAAGAGCTCTCCCAACACGCATCCACAGGACCAGACATCGACGGCGGGTGTATAGCGCTCTTCTCCGAGAAGAAGTTCAGGTGCACGATACCATAACGTGATGACTCTTTTTAAAAAGTTTTAGCCGAGAAAAAGAATATGGGCTCGAACCTGTTGGTGTAACGCCTTTGGTCTCTCGGGTCCATGAAACGAGCAAGACCGAAATCGGCGAGCTTTATTTCACCCTTGTTGTTTAACAGAATATTTGAACACTTGATGTCGCGATGCAGGAAATTATTGTTGTGGCAGTAGCTTAGGGCATCAAGCAATTGAAACATAAAAAGCTTCACGTGTTCTTCTGTTAAATCGACCAATCCAGAGTCAAGAACGCCCATCAAGTCGTGGTCCATGTAATCAAAGACGAGATAGAACGCGCCCTATGATGAATCGTTGGCTTATGAAGAAAGAAACTCGACTTTACCTTCCACTTTCTATAATCAGCAGCATCAAGCTTGTCAGTAACGATCTCTCGAAGTTTAATAATATTTTCATGATTGTCCAATTGGCGCAAGATTTTAATTTCACGAACTGTTGTCACTGGGAAGCCTTCTTTCTCCTTCTCCAGACGGACTTTTTTCAGCGCATAGATCTGGTTTGATCGTTTGTCTTTCGCTTTGTAAACCATGCCAAAAGTTCCTTCGCCGATAATGTCCATGATCTTGAGTTCGACTTTAGTAAAGGAACAGATAGAAACGCTACCTCATAGTTTTCAACGAATAAACTTCCCCAGTCTTGCACATTGGCGACTTGATGCCATCGTTTGCCGCACAATCTCGGCTTGCGGATTTCTGGAACTGGCGCCACAACGGGCGTTGATGGAGCAGTCGTAGGCGCTTTGGGTAGGGGTAAATCGTGCACTAGAGAGATCGGCCCTTTCGCGAGCGATTTCCTCCTTTCGTTTGGTTTCGGCAGTTTTTGGTCGACATTATTTTGCGCTTCGCTGGAAAGTCGTGGAGTCGGCAAAGCTGGGCTAGAAAAAGGTTCAAGATTGAGTTAGTTTTGCGAAACTTACGTTTCTTCAGTTGTGTCTGGATTATACTCTGGGATCTCGGCAGCAATTTGATATTCGACAGAATCATTTTTATTTACACCGTCCGACTCTGGAATATCATTCTGCAAACTCGCTTTGGACTTGTCATTACTTGCACCGTTCTCTTCAGACTGACCATTTTCGGAAACTTTTCCATTTTTGACCGTTTCCTGAGAAGATTCCTCCTGGGATGACTTTGTGATAGGTTTGTCCTGAGAATCAAGCTGTTTTTCTAGGAGATCGTCAACTTCGGTCTCTTGTTCTGCTCTATTGGCGTCTAGTTCGTCATCCGACTGGCTGTCTCTTGAACGGCGCTTTTCTTTTTTATGTTTTTTCTTCTTTTCTTTTTTCTCCTTTTTCTTTTTATCTTTCTTCTTTTTCTTTTTCCGCTCTCGGTCTGAGAAATCGTCGGAGTCCGATAGTTCTCTTCTTAGCTGTCTCCGGAATTCATCTGCCTTTGATTTGTCTTAAAAACTGTTAGACATTGTTTTGTCGAAGGTAATTTTACTTGAATGATTGAATTGATCGTGAATGGAGTCATATCGACGAGGAGAAGAAGATCTTCTCTTCTTCTTGCGTCGAGGAGGGGAGCGAGAACGCGAGTGCGATCCTCTGCGTTCTAGAACTACACCAGACCTTCGATGACGCGACCTATCGTCGTAGCCGCGCTCATCTTCCCGATAGCGGTCGTCATCGCGATACCGTCGATCTCTACTCAATTTGTTTATTTTTCTGCTTTACGAAAGCCTCAACCTTGATCGGCGCCTGTCTCTGCTTCTGTCCCGATCTCGATGATCCCGATCGTCATCGTCAATGACCCTCGTCAGAAGCGGTTTCTTCCTTGCCGACGAGGGGCTTTTCGGAACCTCCCGCCTTATTGAAACTACGCGCCTGTCTGAGCTCCCCTTTCTCGTGCGCTGAAAGAAATTGTACTGTGTACATTACTCTGCAGTGATTACAGTGATAACTACCCGCTGCGGCGAAGAGTCGGAGTCAGAGTATGGAACGGGACCCATTTGCACGGCGGCACTTGTCAAAGCATTTTATCAGTGTTTGAGGAAGTCTCTTAAGCTAGTCAAGTTTATTCTTTGCTGAGAAGGAACTCTGGACATTTATTATTGCTTTTATATACAGGATTATTATTATTTCAAGTTGTCTATTGTGCAAGAATGATGAGAATGATTTAGTACAGTCGGAAATGTTAGTCTTCATCTTCCTCCTCATCGTCATCTTCTTCCATCATCTGTCGTGCTCGAGCCATTGCTTCCTTCATGTTGTAATGATTCGCGCGAAGGCTTTTAAACTTGTTCTAAAGAAAACTATTATGCGAGGATTAGATAATTCAATACCTTTTTCTCGAGCTCAGCAGGTGTCAGGTCATCATCGCTGTCCGGATCTTGCATGACTTTTGGCAGCTTACCATCGTTGAGACGACTCATCAGGTCGTCTTCGTTTAGCATGTCACTTGTAACGGGATTTTCAGGGTCATGGTAGGGAGTCTTGGGCTCATCAATTTTCATATGGCTTTCGAAAGGAACTTGACATTTTTCAAGGAACAGTCGCTATTTACCCGTAATCTTTGTCAGCTGGGTGATAAGTTGCTCTAACATTCTCCTCGTCGTAGACTGCGTTCCCTTTTGGCGTAGACTTTGCGCCAGGCTTTTTCAATATCGATTTTTTCGCAGGCGGGAGGCTGCTTGTTGAAGCTCTTGACGAAGTGGAAAGCTCGTCGACTTCCATGATCTTAAAAAAACCGTTGAAAATAAATTTTATAAAAAGTGAATATATATAAGTGCAGGCAAAAGAAACTATCAGTGATACACAGTTGAATGCAAAAGTGAAAGTGCCTCTTTCATGGGCAAAAAAAGACTAGTGAATAATTTCGTAGAACCGATGCTCTGTGTCTTTTATTCAGTAGTTTGTGAGATGAAATTACCGGCACCAGAAAATAAGTCTGCTTGAACGAAGGTCAGGGAAAGAAGAAAAGTATCAATTAAATAGATTAAAGCATTGTCTCCTGATGAGCGCGGATTTGAATTGAAAAAATTAATATAGTGCTAATGGAGATGCCCAACAGGAAAAATGCTGCCAAATGCAATCAAAAAACACCTTGAAAAAAAAGGAAGAGGAAAATGAATTAGTTTCAATGGATGAATGTATCTATTAGTATTATGAATGCTTTGCGGAAATCTTTGCGCGGAACTGCAAAATAAAATTAGGACTCGGATTTCTTTGTGCCGCGCAGTAGTGGGACTTCTGGGAGGGAGCGATTAACGTCGGTAATCAAGGGAAACATCTGCTTGTCGTTTATGAAGCTCTCCAGGATCGCTTTTGAGATGTTGGCTGAATGAATCATTAATTCAATCAGAGAAATTGCAGAGAGAAGAAATTGAACTTACAGCCTTTATTTTTAGTTCGCCACTGTTCATCTCTTTTCGCAACCCGTAGATGCAGCCGATCCATGAGAACATCCTGTCCCAATCCCGGAATTCGACCAGCTTTTGTCAAAAACGGCGTTGCCTCCCCAATCGATTCCTTCAAAAAAAATGAGCCACTTTTTATCATCCAAACTAACCTTTCTATGTCCGAATGCGTCCGGCGTCTCTGTAGCTTTTTTCTTTCCCGTGACTCGTAAAACGCTCTTTCTGTTGTCAGATAAAATGCTGCTCATTCTTTCGGATCTTCGCTTCCGCGGCCGCTTTGCCGGTGGAACACGAGGAATCGTCACTCGTCCTGTTTCATCTTTTGCCTCTTCAGAACCTTTCTCAACCTCCTTTTCAATCTCTTTGGATCCGCTTTCGCTCGCCATTCTACAGTGATTAAAAGTTGATGAGCGGGGTTACAAAAAGAAAATTTTATTGAGACTTCTAATTTGGCAGACTCGTCAATAGTTGTAGAAAAAATAAAAACTCAAGTAACGGAGTGTAGGAATGTGGCGATTTGAAAAGAAAAAAAAGTTAGTTCTGAATCGGGCGACGCTCGTGAAGGGCTGTTCGCACTTCCCAAGCGAGTGCTCTTCGCTTCTTTGTTGTTGGAACGACGTAATCTGTCGTGATCTTGCGACGGGGCAACACTGGTTCTGGGTCTTTCTGGGACATGATCTTCCTTACAGCCTGTCTCTCCTAGCAATCATTTGGCAAAAATGATCTATAAAAGTCCAAACCTTATTCCACTCCCCCGTTGGTAATTTGAATTTTCCCCAATCGTCTCGATACTTCTGGAAGAGCTCTACCGGCCCATCTTTCCGGCCCGTTTTGAAGTGAGGCTTGAGAAAAGCAGGCGCGTTCGAGCCTCTTTCGCCGTCCCAGTATCCATCGTTCCTTGGAGCAGGCGGTGCGGTCTGCGGCCTTGCGTAAATTGGAGTATGGTCTTGATTATCATCAAATCGCACTTTTGATATCTAATATACAGCTATAAAAGCTGCTAACAAGTGAGTTCCAACCTTTTTAATCGCTGTTTGTGGCCTGCTGGGTTCGATTTCACTGTTCTGTCTTCTGATATTAATTTTGAGTCGATCTAGTCTATCTCGTAACTCGGAGTCGATTGTGGAAATGCTCATCAATGATTGAGTATCGTAATTATTCGTATTATCCCGTTCAATGGAGACGATAGAGTCGTTCGGTCGCACCGATTCGATTACAGAGACGAAGCTTTCGCCATCGTTGCTTTTTCGGAGAACTTTTCTGGTTATTTTTGAAACCGGCGCTGTTCGGAAAAACGACTCTGAAATCGACGAACTTGATGTTGAAACAATGCTGCTTGCGTCGGAGTCCGAGTGTTGACCGGCGCGATGCTGGTTTGGATGAATTTTTGGTAGCGAGATGTATTCCGTAGCATCGGTTATATCCAAGAACGAGTCGCCTGTTGTCTTGGGAAGTGTTATTTTACGATTATTGAAAAGCGGAAATACCTGTAAATCATAATCTAAAGGCTTTGGGTCGGCTGAATTATCGTCTGCTAAAAAGAAACTTCTCACGTGTATCTTATTCATAAACTCACCCGACAAAAGCCTTGAAATATCAGAATGAAACTGCTCTAGCCTCTCCTCCCCCACGTCACCATATCCGAGAGCGGCCAGCTGCGCCTTTATTTCTTCTAGTGAAAAACTTGCTGAGTCATTCGATACCATTCTAGAGCAGGAGACACTCATCATCTTTGATTTAAATGAAGCCAATAACTTTATTGAAAACAAACTCAGGTAAAATCTCTTGGATTCGGGACGGAATGTAGCGGAACACTTGCCTAACACGAAATATATTCAATTTACAACAAAAAACGGGACATGACTATCTTTGATGCATGTTCTGTCGATGTCTGTTAGAATAATTGAAATTTATTTCATTGCACAGCTGAACTATACGAATAGAAGCTTGGAAGAATTTTTGCTAAGTAGATAGATGCTGCTTTTTATGGGATAGAACACATGTAAATTGACTCCTTCAAGGAAGTCTTGTTGATTAGTAACTGCTTTTTTGCCGTTTATATTTTTGAATTCCGTTACTTTAGTTTATTTGTTAGCAATTAAACTTTACGGTGTGTAAACATGGGGGTGAATGATGGCTGTAGAAAATATACACAGAGTGATGAAGTGAAACAGTGAGTAGTGAAATTATTAAGAATTAAACTCACTTCCCTGTTGTCACACACAAAGATATACAAAAAATAGAAAAAGGAACAAATGAATTTGAAAAACGAAGATCTTAGTGTACGGCAATGGGAAAGCGTGTATTGTATTGGTGAAAAATGGAACTTTTAAGAAGTGTGCTTGTTGAGGTACAGGTCGAAGAGTTTTCTGTTTGTACCAGAAACGCCAGCAAGGTAGGGCTCGACGATGTCTCTGCGTGCAGTGTAGATATGTACAAGACAGTAGACGACTGCTTTGCGAACAGCTGGGGTCTCATTTGTCCACTTGAGGAATAAGACTTTGAAATCATAGAAGAGTACTTACTTGTGAAATTAAATTATTGAAAAACTGCATGGACGCTTGTTTTGCTTCAATAGTAGAAGCGTTGGCATTGCTCAACTCAATTTTTTGACCTCGACGACTTGTCTAGCTATGTCGATAGAGTCGCGGTTGATTGGATTAACATCGGCGACGCCAGGCGCGAGTATTCCAAAGCACTTCCAAATGGACACGGTACACAGAAGACCAGTAGCTGCTGCCGTCAATGATCGAGGAAGAGAGTCTGCTTGTTTGACACCAGCAGTTGACTCCACATCGACTTTGATGAGGATTATCTGAAAGAAGACCATCAAAATGTTAATGAAGGCTCATTTTACCTTCTTTACACAAGCCTCAACAGCTTCCGGAGTGAGTGCCGATCCTTTGTTCTGCGCCAAATCTTTTATACAGTGAACGGAGACCAGCCTATCCTGCGTTGAGTTATCTTTATTTTCAGCAACTTCCACCAAATGCGTCAAAGTCTGAATGACATGGTAAACATCCTTTAATTCATTACTTTTTGTATTACCCTGTTGATAAGCTTATCATCAATCGACGAGCTATCCTCCCTCAGGATGTCCCGAAGCGTATTTAGACCTGCTTTCAAACTATCAGGGTCGCCTCTTTGCAGTAAATGCAACGCCTCTAGTATCGGATTTGGCTTGGTAGCAGAGCCTGGTCGGTTGAGAAGATCAGTTGGCTCGAGAATTCCATGCTGAACGGTGCTGTCCAAATCCAACAGTGCCTATTTTTTCGTTAGAATGTGAAAATATAGAGCAGGGAAAAATGATAATTGGCTGATAAGTGAAGACATGTTCAAATTCGAGTAATCTAATCAAATTCCACTCCAATCTTGTAAGTGATTACCTGATGATGACTTGGAAACTATCAAAAAATAATAATTTTATAATTATAAATTCAAATCAAGATTTCTTGATTTGAATTTATGCCAGCATAAATAAACTTGTAAGTACCTGTTCGGCTTTCAGAAATTCAGAATCATCATCCATTTCTCCTGAAAAGTTCATCATGGTAATTTGCTCGCTGATGTTTCGGATTTCATCCTTCACCGATGATGGAGCTGGAGAAGCTCGAGCCGAAGTTCTCTCCGGAGTTGAATATCGCTCTGTCGTCCTACTGTAGTGATTTGATCCAAGTGATCCGTAGCTACTCTTTCGCTCATATGACTTGCGGTCTGATGAGCTCGTTGATGGCAGTGAGGAAGGCTGACTAGAAGGAAATGTCGATTGAGTGAGAGGAGATTGCTCCCGGAGGACTTTTGTAGCACCGTCTTGGAAAGTTTTTGGCAAGTCATTGAGCGCAGCTGAAAACTAGAAAGCGCTAGAAGAAGCATTCTAAGTGTATAAAAAACCTGGGCGGGATTTAATGCGAATAGAGCTTGAATAGCTGCTGCAGCTTCTCGCCTCACTTCCATAGATTTTTGCTCACATGACCAGCCGACTAGTTTTGACATCACCAAACGAGTCTCTGAGCAGTTTTCTAACATGGTACTATCAAGGTAGCTGATAAGTTCACGTAGAAAACGAAGAGTAGCAGCTTTTTGACCGTACTAAAAATTTTTGAAATCAAGGAAGAGTACGCGAAGTCTTACTGTTGGCTGAGTCACGCCAGGATCAACGAGGAATTTGCGGAGACGCGAGTAAATAAGCTCCTTCGGGAACTCACTCTTTATCGAATCCAGTACTTCTAGAGCTGCATGACGATCTTGGCCGAGTAGCGAGCCGAGACGCTTTAGGATTCCTACGAAAAAAATTACCAACGATCGCTATTTTAGATGATTACCTAGTAGAAGTACGTAAAGCCACTCTTTTACAGGCTCTTCCCTAGCATGTGCACTCAGAATTTTTGGAATGACTCGGAAAACATGCGAAATGATTTTATCCGAGCCAGCTGATCCATTGATCATTTTCTGCATGATGTCAACGAGTCGTCTCATATCTGTCTTGTTCAAACTCAATCGCTGCTCGCACATCGTTTCTATCGTTGCCAGTGCTTGTTTTCTATCTGCGTTCGTTGTCGCTCCTTTCAATTAAAGTCAGCATGTGATTTTTTGCTTTGTATTACCTATCAATTGAGAAATAGCGTGTGATGGATTGATATCAGATTGGACACCGAGTAAATTTGATAGAAGACGTTGTCCAGCAGCACCCGATGGTAACATTTTTCTGTAAGAAAGCTTGTTAGTATTCTGGTTAGTAAGAGATGAAAAATCACTTTTGAGATATTTTCGATTTAGTTCAAGAACTCGTTCTTGATGCCCAAAGTGATGCAAGGGGCGAAATTTTCTCCTTTGACTTGATGAATAAGAAAGAGAACCGAGGGATCCCGATCGAGTATTTCGCCTAACTCTGTTTTATGTGGGAAAAGATGAGAGGATCAACGTTTTACCTGTCATAATAAATACTGTCAGGGCTGCCCTCGCGAGATCCAGCACGTGATCCTTGGCGAGATCCAGTCCTAGAGGCGCTTCTGGAGCCATGTCTGGGGATGCGACTTGGCGTACGTCTGGTAGTACTGCCTGTCAGAGAGTGAGGTGGTGAGTTTGATCGTGATCCTGGCTGTGAAGTTGTTCGACCCGGCGTTCCGAGGCTTTTTTGGGAGTATCTGGATTGAACGTGTTTGTATTTGTTCGACGGTGTTGATGGCTATTCACGATTTGAGAGGAGTTCAATGGCTTTTACTACCTTGGTATATGGATTCATTGTGGAGAATTTGGCATTGACAGGACCGAGGTCAGAGCGAGTTCGACTACCGAGCGTTGGAGTCTTTGGAGTTCTTGCCCCTGATCGAGAGCCAAGGCTTGATGCAATCCTGTTCAGTGATCCTCTTGAGGAAGCAACAGAGCCGGTAGAAGCGATCGAGTCTTGGCTAAAATTTAATATGAATTACAAGGAACTTATTATTTTTCTTTAACTAATCACCATCTATATTAATTATAAAATATAGATAAGACGCTCATCATTTGCGCCCGACATATTCTGTGTGCTTATGTTCAACCTTGTGCGAAATCAAAGAAGCTAGTAGCTAAATATATTACTTGCCCATAAAGACTTGACAGAATGGCACTAAGATGTTAGTAGATGTTAGTCAAGTTAAGTTATTGCAGGTCAAGTTTACCTATCGCTTCGTTTTAAGCCAGCTGAATTAAGAAGCTTCTGAACATTGGACGGCATTGATGATTTTATTAAGCTCGCTTCGGCAGGAAATTTATCGTTGAAATAGTGGAACAAGTCTCTTGAATACTGTCGAACACCAGAGTCAGGATCCTGTAGCGATTTGCAAATAGCTGTGCGCAATTCTTCTAAAACTAAACGAAGGTTGAAAATTAGTCGGTTGAATTAAAGGCAAACCTTTTTTGAGCTCATCCACTGACCAATCTTTGGACTTAACCATTAGACAAAGCATCAAAGTGCACTTTTTTCTAACAACGACGCTTTTTGAGTCCCGGACTTGCTCCGTAATGTGAGGAACGAGCTTGTGGTACGGGCAATCTCGGATTATAACGTGACAGCAGGCGACTGCGGAACTCGCCATGATCTTCGCCGAGTTCGGGATGAGTTTCAGCAAGTTTGGCATGATGAGATTTACAAGGCTGCCAAAGTTTACAGTGCTCAGATTTTGCGCCATTGATCCAATTGTCACGCACGCTTCTCGCGTCACCTGCGATCTGAGATCGTTCAGCGCAGTGTTCAGACTTGGAGCGAGTTTTCTTAATTCCGTTCCCGCGAAACCAGCTAAAATTCGTTCCATTCCGAGAAGACGCAACATCCGAAGCTCTTTGATTCGCACTTCCCAGTCCGTTGAGTTTGCCGTTAGATTGGATGTGATAGAATTTATAATGCTGTCGATTCCTCGAGGAGAGAAGTCCAACTTGTTCGGGTCAGGAAGACCTTCGTTGTACTCCCTTTCTAGCTCGGCAATACCGACTTCGCCTGCAGCGAGCTTCTCACTGTCGCCACTTGCGTTTGGCCTCAATCTGGTAAGCGTCGATGAACCAACTCGTCGACCGGAAGCGCTCGGAGTTCGAGATCCAGGCCGGCTCGACGGTCTCGATGGCGTTTTATTACTACTTATGATGGCTGGATCGATGATCACTTCATCCATCTTCGCGATGATATTGTAGAGTCGCTTTGGATTCCTTTTTGTCAGGTCACACTTGAGTCGATTTCCGAAGCATCTGTAGCCCGCACAGATAGCTTCTATTCCGGCCTCTCTCACGTCGACTTGTCTATCGTCGTCGATGAGCCGGAGTAAGTCGCCGACTAATTTTGAGAAGCCAACTTCTTTTGCCTAAAAAAACGACATGACAATTGAGTGATGTAAATAAAGGTTTACCTTGCTAGGGAATTTGTCTAATGTGTGCCGTAGAAGATGGCATCCTCCCTCGCGCACTCGCCACACTTTATGACCCCAGGCTTGTTTGAGAATACGCTCCATCGCAAGCGCTTCCGGTCCATCATAAGCCGCTTGAAAGATGTTGAGAAACATCTGGATAGCTGGATCCTGAATCTGCTGGTCGCCCATTTTCGCGATCAGCTGAACGTCGCATTTTGTCAGGAGCGCGCGGAACTTTGTCCCCATGTAGCCGACAACGATGGATAGGAGGTCGATTCCCTGGAGGGAGACACGGTGGTTACTCGAACCGATCCAATTTGTCGCTATATCTGATACGCACTAAAAGGCCAATTTTAGAAAGACCGATCATTGATTATTGCCTCAGAACTTACTCTAGTCTCCTCATTATCTGGCAGACGACCTTGGCGGACATTGAGGCCAGTTTGTGATATTTCATCAACCAACGACTGGCCTTTCTCAACTCTGAGACTGACTGTATTCAGCCTCAGAAGCTTCTCTAGTAATTGATCCGAGTCCATTATCTAAACTTATCTCGGGATAAAAAATTCGAAAAAAAAATCCACAAAAAACTGGCACTCCGACTGGCACAAACTGCTTCTTTGGCCAATTTCAAGGCTAAACGAGTTCAAATCTGCGATCAAAATCAAAATCATCGGTTGCTCGAGTTCACAACAACAACGACACAAATTGAAAATTTTGATATTATCGGAGCACCAGTTTTGGACACGAATATTAACGAAACTGTTTTCTGTTATTACATGTGCGTCTACTCAGTCAATGAACAGTAAATATCTGAACTCATGAACACCTGGAGTAATCAAAGACAGAATCATCTAGAAAAAGATAAAAATTTAGGGCAAAAAGACGAAATTTGAAAAAAAAAGAAAGAGAATGCGTTTTCTCTGGCGCCAAAAAATGGTCTGGCGAAAAATGAACAAATTACTTTCCCTGGATGAGTTCTGTCTAAGTTCAGTATTATTGCAGTTTTGGGGAAAAGCTCGAAATTACATGGGGTACGCGTGAGTGAAAAGGCGCTCGCAGCCTTCGACTTCGCCAATGTAATCTTCCATTTGCAAGTCATCGAGGCGACCTGAACGCGATCGATTGTGAACCTGGAAAAAAGACAACTCACCTGAGAGGACATCTCCTCCGAGAGTTCGAAGAGATCGGCCGGGGACCTTGGGGCGGACAGACTGAAGCCGCTCCATTTTCAAGCCCATGGCAAAACCGCGTCCCTAGAGGTCAAATGTTATCATTCTTTTTCCTTTCTCTAATGTTATCAAATCCTACTTGCTTTCAACTTACTCCAACTTGAAGAGCACGATTGAACATGGCAGCATCTTCCATTTCCGCCAAGGTCTTTGGCGCCTGCTGAAGAGGATGGAGAGCCTTACCGGCAGTGTTCTGTCCTGGAAGAGTGAGCTCCAGGGAGTTCAAAGTGTTGGAAGGGAGAATCTGCTGCTTAGACATTCTAAATATTAACCAGTTTTTTAACCGTGCGTAATTAGTTTTAAATAGGTAATTTACATATTTTGGTAATTAAAACTTTTGGCGGTAATAGAATTTAGGCACATTATCGAGTGGAATATTAAATTTTTCCCTAATTTCTTCCTCAAAAGTTCTGTCTTCTTCCAGCTCCGCGCTGTAATCAATCACGCTGTCGAGATCGTCGAAGCCCATCTCTAAGCTGTTTCCTTTTCCATCTCTACTCGGATCAATCGAACCCGTCAAATTCTTCTTGATCGGCAAACTGACCGGCTAAAAAGCGTAAAATGCAGAAGTATTTCAACTGAATTGCAATTTTCAAAGCACCTTCAATGACAAGGTTCATTGGGCAAAAAACGCGCGAACTTGCGCCCCCAGGGCATTCGAGCCAATCAAATTGAGGCGCGCTTTCTGAATAGGCCCCCCGCTTACCAGCTGTGATTCGCGGCATGTTCGCTCAGCCTGCAGATCTTGCCAGTCCATATTTTCAAAGTTCTTCAACGAGAAATTGCCATAATTCATAACGAGATCTAAAAATGACGTTGATTTTTTCCAGTTTTCAACCTTTTTCACTCACCTAATGTTTCCAAAAGACCGTTTTCCTCCAATGTATCTAGAATGTACTCTCTGTGGCTTCTGGTGTCATCCCCTTTATTGCTTTCCCAAGCAGAATGACTCAGCATCGTATCCTGAAACTTGTCATTCAGCACATCTGGAATATCGTCCTTCATGATATTCTTCTGTGACAGCGGGCCGATCACATTTATGAGACTCCGGCCATGCTTCAAATATTTGACATCTCTGAAGGATTTATTAATTTTTCTCTTCTCATTTTATTAGCTCTCTCTTACCTATAATTGAAGGGAATCGTCGCTGCTCGAGCTTCTGTGATCTGCGTTCTTTCGTAGAGCGAAAAGTTCAGCGTTCGGTCGGACTGACCTTGGCTGTGCGTGGAATTGAGCCCATCGACCCAGACGAGGCCATGTGGCATGTAAATATTTTTCACGATTCCGAATCGTCTAGAAATCGAGTTTTCAGATAGCAGAGAATCGGGAGCACCTGTAGTCCGGGTGAGATGGATTGACGACCTTGACCACATCGCCTGGAAACAACGCCCATTTCTTCGGATCAATAAGATCCAGGCTCGCCCAGTTGTCCTTCCACCATTTGGTCATTTTTCTTATCGCTCTGGTCATGTTCTCGTCGTACTGACCGATCACATCCGAGCTATCGCCGAGTTGAACGAGTTTGTAATGATCCGTCGGAGAGCCCTCGTTGTATTTTGGAATGTATAGTGGCACCGTCTGTCCCTGTGGCGTATAAGTTCCGCCATATGCGGGTCTTCCACGCGGCTGTTGCGCCAGATCAACTTCCTTTACTGTCTATGCAAGCGTCGTAAAAATCGATTAATTGGGACATAATTGCTTACAGATGCTCGATTGTAGGTCTCCTCCAGCGCCCCGGATCGCGAGAAATGCGCGTTCGGCGCGACCGGGGCTACCCGCGGTGGTTGAAGATGCTTCCCAGCCTTGTCAGATCCGTAAATGACCCGATCGAGGGGTTTTGTTTTGTAAACACCGCGCTTTCGTAGTCTTAGCGCGGCACCGCTCAGCCTCATTCTTTGAGTTTTATGTATTAAAAATGGGTCAAAAGCAGGAGCCACTATATTTTTTTGTGAACAACAATCACTTATCTGATGGATAATGATGGTACTGTAATACGGAATATGAACGATTAAATGTCAATAACAAGTTTTAAGTACTTCTCTTGGTGTATGTTGAGCTTGGAAAAGTCTTGAAAGTCTAGCTTCATACGAATGAACTTAGAGTTAACATGGTTAATAATATGGTAGGAATCGGGAGTTTAAGAATACGCAAACTTGGCAAAATACCACATGTATCAATACAAAAGATAGAAAGGTAGAGTGGATTTCAATTGAACTAAGGATAAATATATTCTGGATGCATTACTGTCCTCGCAAAGTCGACCGTGGACGCAGGTCTCCAGCTGATTTTCGATCATCGGGCAAATGCAAAATTTCCAACATAAATGAATATAAAAAGGAGACTATATTTTGAATGATTGCACATAAGATTGGAGAGAACTCATTTTTATTTTTTCTTTGAAGAGGAGAAAGAAGGATGGGTAAAATAATAAAAGATAATGAACACGACGTCACGAATAAGTTATATTTTTTTATCGAAGTGCATGTTAAGTTATATATACAAGAATAAGAAGAAGCAAGTGTTTCCGAATTCGTCTTTGAACTAAGAGAAGCTGCTGTAAGATGGTGAGTAATTGCCTAGCGTGTCCATTGCAAAAAATAGGTTCAGTCAAGAAAAAAAACTTAGAATTGTCCAGGCATTCCACCGAATTGGTTTGGCATGCCACCCATGCCCATGCCGTTTTGCATACCAGGCTGTCCCATACCGCCCATGCCAGGTTGACCGAATGGATTCTGAAAAGGTTATCAAAAATATCACTCGAGAAGGACTTTTACCGGTGCTCCTGCCATGCCGGGCATATGTGCAGAGTTCGCCAACATGAGCTGAGGCGCCATGATCATCGGCTGCTCGGGCTCTTCGGCTTTTTCGACCTCTTTCGTCGTCCTATTCTTTTCTGCATTTTCCAGGGTTTCGATTCGGAGGGTCATTTCACGAAGAGTCTATTATCAAGATAAGCATAAAAATGAGCGTCATTTGTTACCTGGATAAAGTAAGGCATGGCAAAGTCCTGGATTCCGTTTCTCCACGATTGTTCGAGAACAACGTCGGGTCGCATGAGGTCGTAACAGGTGTAAAGGCAGGCAGCATAACAATCATGTCGACCCTAGATTTTGTTAGATTTCGATAGAAACAATGAAAACTGACCTTTTTGAGGAACCAGTTGGCGAGTTCTTCCACAAGTTCGGTATCACGGCTCTCGGCAGCGTACTCCATTGCGTCTTTGAAAAGATCGTCCTTCTTGCAAAGCTCGACAGATTGCTGCCATCTACAGGAATATCGGTAAGAAATGTTGACAAAAAGAAATCAACCTGTTGTTCTTCTTGTAAAGGTAAGCAGCTATACGTCTGAATTCGAGGAGTTCGTGCTTTTCAAGTCGAAGAGCAAGGCCAATAGCATCAAAGGCATCATAGGAGTCGATGGAAGTTCGGAGAGCCTTATTTCAGTTAGTTTAGTCAGTAAGTACGCGCTTACCTGGTGATCTTCTTCTTCGATGAAAAGGTCGGACAATGCCTCGTTGACGGCCTTGTTGTTGATACCTTGGGAAGCTCGGAGGTAAGGCTTGACAAGAGCAAGCTGGTTCATCTAAGAAATATTTTTGAGATTTTGTTGTATATTGGAAATTATACCTTTTTAAAGAAGCAAACAGTTCGGGTGTGGTCGATTCGTGGGCTAAGAGCATTGAGCAAGTCGTTGATAAGAAGAGGCTTGAAGTCGATGTAGAACTGGAGAGCCTTGTAGTAAAGCTCGATGTTGGCGACCTTGGTGATGATGTCCTTGAAGAGTCCCTCTTTCCATGCGACAGTTGGGTGCTTCATCATTGTCAAGATGGCGTTGTCGTACTCCTCGTACTTGTCGTAGAGGAAAACAAGCTCGGCCCACAAGTGTGCAGTCTCGGCAGCTCGGAGGACCTTGGGAATATTGACACGAGACCAGAAGAGCTCGAGGTGCTCCTTCATCTTCTCAGGCTTGTACTTGGAGTAAAGAATAGCAAGCTCGGTAAACATGCCCATGTGAGCACGTTCGAGTCCGAGGGCGCCTTCGAGCATGGTGATGAGCTCCTCAAAGAATCCACGATCCTGGTAGTAGCTGATAAGATCATCGAGTTCGTCAGCATGGACAACGATGTTGAGGCCACAGAGTTGAGCAAGTCGGAACTCGCCATTTTCGACGCAAGAAAAGCAGACTTCCTTCCATGTTCGGGTTGAATTGGCCTTCTTGGCAGCCTCGACAGCAGCCTGATACTCTCCAAGTTTGACGAGAGTAGAAGCAAGTCTAGCGAAGTTGGAAATGCTGGCGTATAGGACCTTGGCAGCCTGGTACATCTCTTGATCATAGCATCGATCACCGATCTGCTGGACATTAGCGTTGTTGGAAGTGGCGATGAACTCTTCAAGCTCAGCGAGTCTATTCGTCTTTGCGAACGCGTAGCAGAGCTCGGTTTCAACGTAAGCTTCTCGGGTCTGAAATGACAGTTAGACTCTTTCATAGTGAGATAAGGGAATCTTTAAAGATTCTATTTTTCTTCAATCTAGTTTCCCACTAATAAACTAGATCTCAATTATCACTCAAACTTCAATGCATGCAAAAATCAGATTTAACGCTTACTGTATATGATTCTGCCAAATCCTGAAACAATAAAGAGGGATAAAAGTCTAATAAGTTACCTTCTTTCGGGCCATCTGAAGGAACTTCACAAGATCATCAAATTCAGAGTTTCGATGAGCAGCATCAACGACTTCCATGTAAGCAGAAGGATCATCAGCCTTGATGAAGGAGTCGATGGCTTCTTTTACGAGGTTCTCAACGAGTTGAGCTTTACCGAGGAGGCTCCAAACTTCAGGAGTTGAAATGCGTTCGGCGAATTCGTAAGCTCGATCGAGATTCTTGACATTGTTGATCAAGACTTCCATGGCAGAAGTCGTGGCGTCGAACTTCTTGAAGATAGCGAATGCTTCCTCATAGAGCTCATTGTTGATACAGATTTCAGCAATATCTGGGGCATCGTAGTTGTCAAGTCGAGAGATGTAGTCCATAACGCGGGTAGTGTCAGCCTTGACAGCAGTGAGGATGAGCAAGTTCTGCAAGTTTCGATGGTCGGAGAAGACGGAGTTTTCGAGAACGACCTTTTCCAAAAGCTCGATCAGCTCGTTTGGCAAGTCAGCTTCCATGAAGCTCTTGACAGTCACGGAGATCTCATCAGGATCCTGAGCCTCACCGAGAGCGGTCTGGACGACTTGATCGATGACAGATCGTCTGTGTGGGTTATCGTCAACAAGGACCTTTCCCCAGAGCTCGGGATCTTTTCTTCGGACAAGGTAACGCGCTTCGTTCTTGAACAATGAGTTTTCGTTGCAGACCTTGATGAGTTCATCGTCGCACATTCCACGCTCGTACGCAACGCATGCGAGATGAGGATCTCGCTTTTCGCAGTATTTACCGACAACAGCGGAGTCATAGAAGGGGTTCTCGCGGAGGAATCGCTCAGGGTTGTTGTTGGCATCAATGTAGATCTTGGCCAAAGCATTGTGAGTGGCGGGTTCTTGGCAGCCTTCAGCAATTCGCGACTCAAGCCATGGGAGGAGAAGCTTCAAGCGGTTTCGTTGCTCGACTTCGGCGACAAGGTCATCAGTAGAAAACTGACCTCGGACAACCATGATGAGGCTCTTGATCACATCTGGCTCGCAATCGACATCCAAAAGGCCACCAATGACCTGAGGGAGTCGAGATGGGTTAACTTTCTGGACGTAGATCTCGATGTACTTCTGGAGATTATTTCTGTAAAGATGGAGAACCAAGTCGTGGACGAAGTCGAATCGATCGCAGACGATGATCAAAGGAAGTTGGTCAGACATTTTCTGCTCTTTCAAGAAGTTCTTGACTTTTTCAGGCTCGTAGCAGTTAGATTCTCGGCAGATTCGCTCGACTTCCTTGATTTGGTTGGTCTTGACGGCGGCTTCAATGAATTTGAAATGGACTTCGGGGTCCTGGCTGAAGTTGACCACGGCTCCGAGGAAGTAGAAAAGACCTTCGTAAGACTTGAATGATTCAAAGATGGCAATGAGCTTATCAGCGCCGAGCTGTTCGTGGTATTTTCCGGCAACCTTGACAACAAGTGACAAGTTAACGCGAATGTTGGCAGTGAGCATCGCCTTCAAGCACTCGAGAGAGTCTTCGACAGAGAGATTTCCGAAGTACTGGACGAGCCAGTCGGGCTGGAGAAGATGGGTGTGAATGATTGCTCGCTTGATATCGTAGAGATCAGTGTAGTGCTCAAGAGCTCGCTGAAGAAGGCCAGCCTTTTCGCAAAGTTGGGCAATGTAAGGTCGATCGTAGTGAGAGAAAACTTGGTTACCAAGAATAGCGTCAGCGACTTGCTGAGTTCCACCCATCAGGTTCATTTCAAGAAGCTTCGTCTGGAGGTGTCCTTCTGAGGGTCGGTTGTTCTTGAGACCATCCAAGAGGAAAGCAGTGCACTGTTGGACAAGTCGGAATTCAGAGAAAACGTCAACGATCTGCGAAATATCAGCCAAAGGCTCATCATCAGCGACGAGGGATTGAGCGAACTTGGTGCCCTGATCAGGATTCATACGCATGATATGTCGCAGAAGGAAGATGTAATCGGGCGTGAAGCCAACTTTCTGGGAATATTGAACAATCTTGTCGAATTGGCCAGTTTCAGCGAAGCAGCTGACGACTTTGTTAGGTGCGTTGGCTCGGAGGTAAATGGAGAGCCCGAGAGTGGCGTCGGTCGGCTTTACAAGGTCACCAAGTTCTTCGGAGCATTCGAGTTTGTCTTCCTTTAGCCATTTTTCAATGAGCTGCTTTCGGCCCTGGGCAAGGACCGGTCGGCAGAGTTCCATTGTTTCGACTTTGTTAAGCTTGCCAGCATCCAAGAGAATACCGAAATATTGAAGAAGTGGTGAGGTCTGTCCTGGCTGAGTTGGAACTTGTTGAAATTGCTGGATAACTTGAGTAGTTCTGAGAACACCACGAGGGGCTTTGGCGGCCACTTTGGCGGCGTCAGTGTACGCCCCTTGTTGAAAGAGAAGCTGGAACTTTTTGATGAAGAGATCATCAGCGCCGCCAAGGTCACATCGAGTAGCAATTTTCAAAGCCAAGTCATGGTTGTTCAGCTGACCCTGGCAGTATTGAACGATGTTAGACTCATCGATAGTAACGGCAAGGACTTGTCCCTTTCGGTTGACTCCCATCATACCACCAGTCGACTCTTGAGGTACGGTAACGAAGATGGTATCGCTTGAGATTCTGTTCATGAAGATGCAGATTCCGGTCTCGACATCGTACATGTGGATGTATCCATATTTTGTGACAAGGTAGATAACACCGTGCTTCTTCGACACTTGCATAGCGACTGGGAAGTCATTGGCAGCTTCAGCTGGGAAGAAAACATCAGCTTGTCGCTTGGCGAAGGGTTGGTTTCCTGCTGCAGGTGAGCCAACTTCGATGATGTGAAGCTTGCCTCCAGCGGGGCCACGAACAGAGAAACAGAAAAGATTGGATTCTGCGTTGTTTCCTTCGGCTTTGAATTGAGTGAAAGCAGCCGCGTGACCTTCGATGGGTTGACTAACTTTACGATCGACCTAAATAAGGGCATTAACATTTTTCTTCCAGGTAAAAATCAAAGACTTACTGAGTACAGCTGCATTGCTCCTTTGACTGCACCACCAACGGCACTGATTCCAACGAGCAAGAGCCATTTCAGATCTGCGGAAGCTCTGTAGTTGATGATCTGGCAGCCTTGAAGGGAGCCATGTCTGTCGAACACTTTAACTGGCGCGGATTCGCCTTCGATTGACCAGTGATAACACGCTTGATCTGTGGCAAGACCGACAATACTCGGCGTGATCCACTTCCAAAAGACGACCTCTTCTGTCATATTATGTGCTTTCATTTTTGCTTTGAGTTCCATATTAAAAATTTGAAGAGTTTTGCCGGCTTTGAGAGCGATGATTTTACTAACGGGGTTCATGATGGCATTATCTGCCGTGATGGGACGTCGGATTGGATTCTGTGGATCTGCCATGTCGATAATGACGACTTGACTTTGATCTCCAACCTTTACTTTTGGTAAAACAGAGAGTAAGTAATCAAAATCAAACCTGTTCGCGGACGCAAATGAACTTTTCGGACTCCATGGTGAGATTCGTGAACCCGACATTGGCCGCATTTATCCCGATGTTTATTAAATTCAAGTTCTCTTCGAACTTTATCGGCAAGTTCGCCGCCATCCCGTTGGCTTTCTCTGAACACAAAGCGCGTTAGATTCTGGTCTCTGGCCTAAATTAGTCCACAAAGTAGCAGAAACTGATATTTTTGTTGTTAGTATGTGGGCAGGAAACGCGACAAAACAGGCGGCAAAAATGATCTCGGACTGAATAAAGGTGCGAACTTCAAATCGTACGCGGCGGAGAAAAGTAAACGAAAACGCCAAAACGCCATTTTGAGTCGACAATCAGCATGCCATCAGCTTCACCTGCATTACTCTCGTAGATTTCATAAACAAAACAGTCGACGAAGCTCCTGATTGATCAATCGAGGATTTCCAGGCGGGAATTCGGCCAGTTCAGCCTTTGCGATTGTATTCAAAGATTCCGTTAGGGTCTAAAAGGGTTAGGTCGAAGAGATGAGTGGTTAAATAGAACCTGAGGATAGCAGTACTCCAAATAATTGCATTCCTTCAGTGCACTTGCGAGCTCTAACTGGTGGTTATCCATGAGAGTTTCATTTATCACTGAAACAAAATGATAACAGATTAGTCTACTGAGTCAGTAATTTACTGAGTCTCGATCTTATCAACTAACCGACCAGAAGCCTGCGGCGGTTCTCCAACGCTTCCAAGCAGCTTCCCGCGCCTGCATGAGAAATAATCAAATCCGCATTCTCGTAAAGCTTCTTCCAGGGATTCCCCCGCATATAGTCAAACGATTCAATTTCGATGGGCACATTGGGCACTTTCGGCGCCTAGGAATAAAAAGCAATCAAGCGTTATGTTGAGTATTTCGACTTACCGGGCCAGCGCCATGTTGAATGTAAACTTTTTCATAACCCAGTTGAGCTAGAATTCTTTTTATTCGACCGGCTGGTCAAAGTCCGGTACCTGAGTGGCTCGTTCTCTGAAACAGCAGCAATGAGCTCTCTGAACTCGGTCGTCCCGACAGTGACTAACGCGTATGATCCCATTCTAAATTCATTGCATTGTTTATATTTGCGTATTTGCTCATAACGTCCGTTCGCAACTATGCGTGTAACGCAATCAGCGGCAATAAAGTTTTATCGTCACAGAACACTGTCTTGAATACTTTGTTCATGAAGTCTGGGTCCACCGAGAGCATCGCTGCCAGACTTGGATTGAAGTTGATCTCTAACAAGTACGGCCGAGCTGAGCCGTCGTCACTTTTTTCCAATACAAAGTCGGCGGCGTAAAAACCTCTGAATAAATCGATTTTGAGCATATTTCAGAGAGAGAGAGAGAGGCGCGTTTTTTACCTAGACTGGGGATAGTGCGAAATAACACAAGGAGGATTGTAGTCCTTAGAAATTGCAGCAATGAGAACATCCCTCAGAATCCTCGTAGATTGAGCACGAACAGCAGCATGGATATTCTTTCCTGGCGCAAGCTCATTCATCATTGGCGCAAAGTCCTTTTCAAAGAACATTCTCTCTGAGTAATCTCCATCCGTATCATCGTTGGATAACAGTCCCCCATTGTCGTACAGTTTCTCCAAATCAAAGTCCTTGGGACAAAAGAGCCCACGCACAATGTCGACGACATATGCTTCGATTGGCTGTATCGATTTGATAAAGAAATGATAGCGATAATGGAAGGCGCGGCGATTGATGGTGAATTGGTTGGTGATGAATTTCTGGACGACGAGGGGTTGGTTCAGTTCTCGATGGCGGAGAATTTCGATCAAGGAACTGGTCACGATCGTCTTGTCCGCGCGCTGCCCATTCCAAGACTTCATGATCCAAGTGTTTTCGAGTCCTTCTCTTTCTCTGCGTTTGAATTCGGCGATGAAATTGGAAGCTTCAGAGAGCAAATCGTACGTAGGAGAATACCAGTGGACTGATGTCTCTCCGTCTTTGCGCTTTCGCTTCGCCATTTCAGTAAGGTCGACTTTTACGGTCATCAAATACTCGAACGGGAACGAGTTGACAATTTGATGTGGGGCCTGGTCAAACTGCTCCTGAAAGTCGTGCACCGGTTTTTGAAGCCAGAGAATGTCTGCGTTGCTTCGATCGGGCACCAACTCAAACAGCTCGTCCGTTAAGTGTTTTTGCACCTGAGCCGTTTCCGCGTAAACTTTGATGTTTTTCGCTGGGGGTTGGATTTCCGGAATCATGTGCGATTCCAAACTGGGAAGCGTCATTTTCAACTTGTCGGCGATTTTCTCGAAGAATTCATCCAGTTTCTTTGGAGCGGCAGGAGAGGCGTCCAATTTCGCCTGAACCCAAGGATACAGTCGAATTACACGGTCGTCCGTCTTCGATGAGCCTGACGCATAATCCCTTGTGACCTCTTCGTATGGACGGAGACTTCGCTTAGGGAACATAATTGAAATGGAGTAGCCGTAGAACTGGCAGAAGAAAGGAATGACCACGAAATTGGGATCCCCATGATGGCGGATTCGCGAGCCGAACTCATCCAGCAAGTACCAAAATGCTGCGTTTTCGCCATCGATACAGATGTTGTAAACTTGACCCCAAGACCAGATCTCATCAAGAATTTCGTCCTATAATTTTGAAATAGGCTCGGAAACCTGTGTTCAAAACCTGAGTCAGGGTCCAGAAAGATCTGAAGCCGCTTTGCGGCTTTGTTAAAGAAAAAGCCGCCGCGCTGCTTTCATTAAAGATCTTTCTGGACCCTTACTAGGGTTTTCTACACAGGTTCCTGTTTCTCAAAATTTATGATTGACGATTTTAAATTTCTGTAAGCAAAAATTGTATTCTGAAGAAAATTTACCTTTTCCAAATTTTCCTTTTCGAAAATCCCCTCAAGCCGTTGCTTCAAATTCTCGTGTTCCTGTAATTGCTTCGCAGCCTCTGCCCTATCTCTCCAAGTCCAACAATGATCGATAAGCCAGATAGACTCTGGGCTTTGACAATCAATACCTTCTTCATTTCGTACAACAACCTTGTATTTTCTTATGATTGATTTACAAACATGTTTCTATCACTAGATATGCCACGGCATCTGCCACGAGAAGATGACTCGCTTGGCCAAGAATTTACGACTTTTCACAAAGAAAAATTTTCGACACTGAGGGACTCTGATTGGGACAATTTTACAAGTGGCTTTGACCGGGGCAAAAGACCGTGAAGTGGGATATTGAATTTTCTCAATGATAATGAATTTTTATTTACTATTCAAATAGGGGGTCCCAATCTAAACGCGAAAATTCATTTAGGAAGACCCAATTTTAACGGATTTTTGCATCGTTTAATTATTTATAAAATGCGTTAAAATGGGGACATTCTTTATGAATTTTCGAGTCAAAATAAGACCCCATATTTGATTAGGAAATAAAATTGATTATTCTTGAGAAATTGAATTCTTGAGACATTCTAAATGGCAACCTCCGAAAAAAAAAACATTGTAAATCTTTTTCCTATTACGCGGGATACCCTTATCCCCCTCCGAATTCTCGGCAAGTCCGAAATCTTCTCCAGCGTCAAATCTCTGTTCAATAATTTTTTCATACAACTTTTTCCAGAATCTCTTAGGAACCGCGCTGCTCTTCAAACTTGCTTCGTGGTATTTTTCAAAATTCTCATAATTAATTTCCATTCTGAAAATGAAAGATTTGCCATCTTAGCAAAATACGATCGAAAAATTAAAAAGCATTTTTTGAAAGACTCTTTTTTTTCTGTAGGAATTCTAGAGCCGCTAAAAGTCAACAAATTGGCCGGCAGAAAGAGAGAGAAAGCTCTCGAATGACGTCATAGAAGGTCGCTGATTCATGAGATTTGAGCGGAATTAGTCATTTTACAACTCCCGCCAATTCAGCCCATGAAAAGCAAAGATTTTTTATTTTTTTGATTTTTCAAGAAACCATAAAGGATTTTCTTGTCCAAAAACTTAGATATTTTAATTGGCTTTACGGCTTTTCCTGACAATTTTTTCTTTAGAGAATTCTAGAGATGAAAGAAGAAACTTCAGAAAACACGCCAAAGAGAACAGAACTTCCAAGAAAACGACAGAAAGACCATCTGAAGAAAGGAGAGAACCTGTAAAAGATGCTGGAGGCATGAATTTCCCGTCTCGAAAGTCGATTGTGCGTGGGCGAGGCACCTCCGCACGGTGGCGCAGCGCTCGATGCGAGCAATCACCCGGCTCTGCAGGTCACGTCCAGAGAAACTCTTCGCTTCTGAGTTTCAGTGATAAAAAACGAAGAAATCGTGCGATTTTTTGAAATGCTAAGAGTAAGAGATTCCTGCTCCAACGTATTTCCCGTCGATAGAGGCTGTAAGAATCGGTCGAAATGTCGAAGAAGATGACGAAGATGTACTCCCAATTTCGGACTGAAAAGGTAAGAAAAGTGATTTTTAAACTGGATTTGAGCGTTTTCGGGGGCTTTTCTTTAGATTTAGAGCTAATAGCGTTGTTCAGTGATGATTGCCGATTCTAAAAATGTCGATATGGCGTCGATTTCAGCACCAGAACACCACCAGAAAACGCGAAAATCGAGCTAAGTGTCTCAAAATTGCGTGGCTCTTCTCAGCGCAATGGGGGCGCGCCACTGTCGCCCACGCACTCTGCCGCCTCCCGTTTCAAATCGCCGAAGCAGCCCAAGACGCACCACGAGCGGGCCACCCTCGCGAACTTTAACCGCCTGAAACCGACTGTTCCCGACCGAATTCGAGATTGAGAGTTTTACCAGAGGAAACCTAAGGGTCTAACGCACCTGGCAATACTAATTTGAGCCCGATTGATGGAGTGAAAATTGTCGAGATGAGCGAAGATTTATCGAGCAACAGCGATGAGAATCGACTATCTGACGATTCCGGAGAGGAACACATCCCTTCTGAACAAGGTTAGTAATGGTTTCAACCCTCTGAACAGCCTCTATCCCCAAATCCTAAAAAGACCCCTAAAATCCGCCAAAAACCCGGAAAATAGCCTGGAAAGCAATTCTCCAGGCTTTCCAATTACAAAACCCTTAAATCGTCTGTTTTTCATCCCTTATTTATTTCAATTACCCATCAACACTTTCTGACTGCTCAAAACAACACAGATACTGATTTTTACTAATAAAAAGGGTCGAAAAACCTTCTTTTCTGGAATTTCCAGAAAGTTGGAGAATCTCCAGATGGAGATTCTCGTCATATGTATTTTTCTACAGTTTTCAGAGAATTTAACCATTCGATTTGGTTAAATCTTGTTATCTGGCTAACGAAAACGGTCATTTACAGTAAGAGCAGGGCAGATATCCGGAAAAATACTTGATTTTGTGGCTCAAGTCGGTTCGGAAATTGCTGAAAGCAATTCCAGGAGGGTAGTTGTTGGTAGTTACAAAGTTTTCATAGGTCCATGTAGTCGGAAAAGATAAGTTACCGGTTTCATAGCGAGAAGAACTTTGAAATATTAGACAGTTTTCCGGTTTTCATAAATGTTTATGATAAATCTCATATTAACTACCCTTTTAGATTTTCTTTGCAATGATGATTTTTAGTAACCTAGGAGTGAGTGGTAGTTCAAAAGAAAACCTTTGCTTCTGTTCCAGCTTGAATTTGAGCTCGGCGGCCTGTGAAGAAATCCTCAGTGAGAGTCCAAAAGATTTTTAATGAATTGCTGCTTCGCGGTTATAAAAAAAACGCTAAACAGCTATTCAATAAAGATCTTCGGGTCTCTGACTCAGGTTTCTTACAGGTTGCCGAGCCCAGGCTAGAATATGGCGGAAGAATGGGTTTTAATATTGTTAAAAATCATAGAAGATCTTAGAATCAAGGATTTCTCTTTTTATTTGTTGGACTAGAATAATTAAAATTATGAATCTGGTTTGTTTTGAAAATGAGAAAGTACCACTTATAATTATTATCTCGATTGATTTACAATAAAGCCCTGGGTCTCGAATCCGTGGCGTTTTTTTGGAGCAGGGTTTGCTCTCGGGCGCTCGCGGCTCCGCGCCCCGGGGCAAGTGCGAAAAAAGCTCCACGAGGCTGGAGCAGGGCGGAGCTCCAGCGGCTGGAGCATGATCCGGCAACCGGAGCAGCGTTGACCGAGAAGGCGCAGCGCAGGCGTTCAAAAAGTGACAGCGCGCGCAACAACACTGAACAACTTTTATGCGCATCAATTGCACTTTTAGTATCTTTTCATATATAATTCATATTGGAATTATTATATTAGATGATAATATTTATAAAGTAGTGAAAAAATATGAAAAAAGAATATGATTATGATTCATAATTTATGAATATTTATTATAAATATGCTAATAAAACCTATTTTATCCATTATATTGATTTTAATATTTCTGCAAAGAAAAAATACTCTGGAAAGATTCTACCGCGATAGTCTTCGCGTTAACTAATCGTCCCGGATTTATCCCGGAAATCCCTATGATTTTGCATTGAACCACTTGGTTTTGTCACCTTCTGCTGAAAGGTTCGAACCTAACATGGGGCGCAATGTCAACAGAGTTCGAGTGCATGGAAAGGCACTAGTTCCGGGCGCGCTTTTCGCGCGATTTCCTGCCGCGCAGTCACTTCCAGTCAACAACCGGACAATTTCGGGAGGTTCTTCTTTACGCATAGTCCCAAGAATTTGACAGGTGCTTGAGAGATATCTGTTTCTGGACATATCGAAAAATTAGAGATTTCTAAGCTTATTTAAAATATTTTTCGAGATTAAATTATGAATCAGAGCCACATTTTTAGTTATTTTATGATGTTTTTGACTGGGATTATGTCGAAATTAGCAAAGAAGCATAGGACGATTTTGGTGCGAAGGGCCGCGCCGCGCGCCGTTTTTCTGATAGAATCCCTACGGATATATATTAAAAATATTTAAAAGAATCAACAATTTTTAATAAAATTGATTTATGAGATACTAATCTATCAATTGTTTCTTCAAGTGTTTGTAATGAGGTCGCGCAAATATATCCCTTGACCATCGAGAAAATAGAGCGCGCTAATGCTTTTTGGGCTTCCCGCGCAGCGCGTAAAGGCGCTTTCCCCCTCGTCACTTTTCCTGCTCCAGCGCCCGGAGCAGCCGTTTTCCTGCCCCAAGCGCGTGGAGTTTTTGGCGCCCGAGAGCAAACCGTGCTCCAAAAAAACGCCACGGATTCGAGACCCAGATAAAGCCTATAAATTTGTTTTCAGAGTCGGGTACCGACAGCGATTCTGGGGAGAAAACAAGTGAGAGCAACAATGATAGTAGTTCCAGCTCAGATTTCGCGCCAGCGAAAAAGAAAAAGAAGCGTGATTCCAACCGTTCTGAACGAGACATGGTCATGAAAGTTATTCAAAATAACCCGGATGATTTTGGTGTGCGTAGATCAGCTCGGCCCGTGAAAAAATACTCGGAAGGCGACTCAGATGATGCTTCGTCTGATGACAACTACGCACCTGTGCAGAGATACACTCAGCGCGCCGCTGCGAGAGCAGTCAAAGAAGTCGATTACGGGATCAGCTCTGAAGACTCCGACGAAGAAGACACCAAGAAAGTTACTCGTGTCGAAGTCGACGGTGATAAAATTGAAAAAGTCCTCGATTCCCGCGACGGTCCCGTTGGCTTTACCGGTGATCAGACGATTGCATACAACGAGGACGAGCAGAAAAAAGTGTACCTCGCTGAATACGATGGTGAAACTGAGAAACAATATCTCATCAAATGGCAAGGTGAGATCCCCTCTACTACTTACTGTTTTATTTAATTTTATGTCTATGAAAATCCTGAAAATTATTAATTTTTACTCAAACCATAACGTTACATAATAGGCTGGTCGCACTTACACAACACTTGGGAAAGCGAGAAGTCCATAAAGAATCAAGGAGTCCTGGGCGTCAGGAAACTTGAAAACTTTATCCGCAAAGAACGCGAAAGTGAAAAATGGTTGAAATATGCTTCGAAAGAAGAAATCGAGTTCTACCACGTTCAAAACGAAATGGAACGCGACGTTTTTCAACAACACGTCCATGCCGAGCGCATTATTACCAAAAGGACCGTCGAAAATGAAGATGGTTTCGAAAAGACTGAATTCATGATCAAATGGAAAGGTCTTCCCTACAGGTAAATACTTGTCTTCTTTCAAGAATACAGTTGTGCAACCAAATGGTTTTGAACATATTACTTATAAAATCTTTTAGTGACGCAACATGGGAAGCGGATAATCTCGTCGAAGGACGATTCCAGGAACGCCTAGCCGAGTACGAGCATCGACTTCTTCATCAAAAATTTCCCTCTGCCAATAATTCCTTCATGAAACGACCCAAGTTCCATAGATACAAAGAACAACCTCACTTCCTTCCCGAAAGTTTGAGTCTTCGAGACTATCAAATAGACGGTGTCAATTGGTTGATGCATGCATGGTGTAAGGGCAACTCTTGTATTCTTGCTGATGAGATGGGACTTGGAAAAACTATCCAAACTGTCAGTTTTGTATCAGCGCTTTTTCACGATCATGATCGGGCTGGTCCATTTTTATGCGTTGTGCCGCTCTCCACTCTTGGTATGTCTTAGAACCTGCTTCGCGATCAATAAAGAAAATATTTTAGCCGCTTGGCAACACGAATTCCAAAAGTGGGGGCCGGCACTCAACACCATCTCATTTGTAGGCGATGCAACTAGCAGGCAGGTTCTCTTCGAAAACGAGTGGGGCACGAATAAAAGCTTGGCTTCAATGTTCTCTTGACTACATACGAGATAGCTCTCAGAGAGACGCAGCTTCTGAACTCGGTCCGATGGAGCGTGCTTGCCATTGACGAGGCACATCGTTTGAAAAACGACGAGGCAATGCTCTACCAAGCCCTCAATGATTTGAAGACAGAGCATCGTCTGCTCATCACTGGTACTCCATTGCAGAATTCCTTGCGCGAGCTTTGGTGCCTCCTTGATTTCGCCAACCCGGATCAGATGGGACCTTGGGCTGAGTTCGAGGCGAAACACGAAGAGGACCAAGCCCGTGGGTTCACTGGTCTTCACAAAGAGCTTCAGCCCTTCCTCTTCCGACGTGTCAAGAAGGATGTTGAAAAGTCGTTGCCCGGCAAAATCGAGCAGATTTTACGAGTCGGTCTTTCGAAGAAACAAAAGAAATACTACAAATTCATTCTCACGAAAAACTTCAAAGAGCTTCAAAAAGGTGTTCATGGCTCGAAATCATCGTTCACGAACATAATGATTGAATTGAAAAAGTGCTCGAATCATGCATGGCTGGTGAAAGATCCTGATGACCTGGACGAGTTTGATCAGAAGAGTACCGAAGAGAAAATCGATCGAATTCTCAAAGGCTCTGGCAAAATGATGTTGTTAGACAAACTGCTTCGTAGGCTGAAGGAAAATGGAAGTCGCGTATTGATTTTTTCTCAAATGGTGATGATGCTGGATGTGATTGGAGACTACATGGCTCTACGCCGGTACCAGTTTCAACGCCTCGATGGCAGCATCCGAGGTGATCTTCGCCAAAGGTCGATGGAACATTTTAACGCCACAGACTCGGAAGACTTTGCTTTTCTCTTGTCGACTCGTGCCGGTGGACTTGGAATCAATCTTGCGACTGCCGATACAGTTATCATCTTTGATTCCGACTGGAATCCACAGAATGACTTACAAGCACAAGCTCGAGCCCACCGAATCGGCCAGAAGAAGACAGTGAAGATCTATCGTTTTGTTTCGGCGATGTCTGTCGAGGAAGATGTCATCGAAAGAGCAAAGAAGAAAATGGTCCTTGATCATCTCGTCATTCAGCGAATGGACACTTCTGGAAGAACTGTCTTGTCGAAAAAATCCGATGCAAGTAAAAGCATTCCCTTCGATAAACAGGAGATCACCCAGATCTTGAAATTCGGCGCAGAAGAACTCTTCAAAGAGGAAGATGATGCTGAGCCCGAGTGCGACATCGATTTGATTCTTCAGCGCGCTGAGACGACGGAAACCGAGGCTTCCGGGAACGCGCAAACGAATGAACTCATGTCTGGTTTCAAGGTCGCGGACTTCCAGTTCGACGAAGATAAACTTTGGGACGACATTATTCCGGAGCATGAGCGAATTCGTCAGGCAGAGGAAGAAATCGCCGCACTTGGTGAACGTAGGGCGAAGTATAAAAGCAAGAACACGAATGATGACAACGAGGACTTCGAAGCGGATGATGCGAGTGAAGGCAGCAATGAGAGTAACTCAAAATCCCATCGACTTCCGAATTGGAGGGAGCTCAATCTCACTCACACTAAAGCGTTCCTCAAGAGCATCAAAAAGTGAGTCATAATTCCTAATGATTTTTCTGACATTTGTTTCAATAGGTGGGGTTACGAGAAAAAAGAAAAAGTCATGGAAGAGAATCCTAAATTCCCGCAGAACTTTAATTATGATGGAGCTGTGATGGAACTCGTCGAGTCTTTGATTCAATGCGACAACCAAAACAGCAAGAGCAAGGGCAAAGGGCAGAACTTGAAGCTGGGAGAGCAGCCAGTCCCCGTCAAGGTCACCTTAGCGAGGATTCGTGCGCTATCCGCTCTTCACAAATTACCCGAACCTATCGATGTCGTACCGTTGCCGAGAAAAGTGAGGCCGGTCACAAACTGGACTTGTCACTGGGTTGAGGATGATGATCGACAACTGTTGAAAGGAGTCAAGCGTTACGGCGTCGGCGAATGGGAGAAAATCAAGGCTGACGACGAATTCAAGCTTGCTCATAAAATCCTGCCGCCATCAGAAGATGCATCGCCTCAAAGCCGCCAGTTAGTCACGCGCTTTGATTACGTGATGAGCCACTTTGTCCGCGAACAGGAGCAGAAGTCGTCCAGCAGCAGTATGTCAAAGTCGCAATATCCGACAAAGAAGCGAAAATCTGTGGCTGGCCGCGATCATTCTTCGCGACGAGAATCGCGAATGGAGATGGACGAAAACGACCCTCCAAAGAGTGATAAAAAACGAAAGTCTTCTCTGCAGTCAAATGGCAAGCCGGAGAAAGAGAAGAAAAAGTCGGAAAAGGCGCCTCTCCTGGATAAAGACATAAAGCTCAAAGTTCTTGCAGAAGAGTTAGATCCAGCGTGGTTCGACAAGTGCAAGGTGAGAATCAATGAATTCTTGATGTTCTTGATGAAATATTCCAGAATTAACAAAAATGTCTAACTTTTAATTTAGAGCGCCATGAAGCCCCACAAGACCGCCCGCCACGCGCTGAAAGCTCTCCATTCCGCGGGCAACAGCGAAAGCCGCATCAAGAAAGTAATCGGCGACATCGGCGTCGCCATCCGCAAAATCAGCGATCAACAAGGTGCCGAGCGCGCGCTGTGGAAGCACGCTCTTTGGCGCTTTGTCTCGCAATTTTCACACGCGACGGCGGAAACGCTCGTCCGCTGCTACGACAGTATCGCTCACAAAGCTCCTAAATTGCCGAAAATCGTCGACCGGACGGAAAAGGGGAAAGTTCAAACAAAAGACAGAAAAGACAAGAGCTCCAGTCGCGAGGAAAAGCCAAAGAAGCCAAAGCCGAAAGACTGGAAAGAGCGCAGCTACCTAAAGAAGCCAAAACCTGACAAGCCTCCTTCGAGTTCTCCTCCAAAAACATAGTTTTCGCTCCACACGCTTTTTCTGTCTTTTGAAAGTTCAACCTCTTTTTCCGTAAATATTTATTTTCCGCTACGATGATACTTTTTCAAATACTGCCCGCACGTTTCTTTAACAACGATTGATACGATTTGCAATTATAAATAAAGACTATTTGAAGTTGCAAAAGGCTCATTTCTGTTTATTGCAGCTTGATTATTCGCGTTTGCTAATTTTCAGTGGTGGAAGAGCTGTTGATCAGCTTTTCGTGGAGCTCGGGATTGCGAGACATTTCGAAGTATCGGTTGATCTCGTCTTTGGTCAGGATCCCTTCGGAAATGATCATTTCGGTCATCTGCTCTCGGGCGCAAGAGATGAAGCTGTGGGTTAGGAACCACGCAAATCCCCGGCCAGGATATTTCTGAACCGCATTTTTACTTTTTTCATTTTTTTTTGAATTCAACGAAGACAAGAAGTCTATTTAGAGGAAACTTACTTCAGCAACGCTTCCCGCCGTAAATTCAAGAACAGGTGCTCTAATCAGACCAAAGTTTTCATAACCCCAGTGGTCAGCTTCCAATTGCTTTTTCTCGATTTCATAAAAGTCCTCCTTGCTCAATTTTTTCGAGAAGAAATGGCACACTTGCGTCTTTTTGAAGGAACCATCGGGTTGTTGAGTTTGGCGAAGATGGGCGGACACCCAGTGCTCTTTTCCAACTGGGAATCTTGCTGAATTTAGTTTGTATATTTTTCGATGCTAGTTGAATTTACCGTTGTCCAGAGCCATTTCCTCCCGGAGTTCTCGGTTCAGGCCTTCAAGGATGTTTTCGCCAGCGTCGATCAGTCCTCCTGGAAATCCCAAGAGGCCGTCGAAGCGGAGTTGCATCATCAACAGAGCCTTGATAGGAGTGTCCCTGAGCGTTTTTGTTTCTGGTTCGCACCAAAACGCGCAGTGAGCGGCCCTCACTACGTCTGTAATTTCATCAGCTTCTTCCCAAGAAACTTTTGTCCATTTCTCCATTTTCTTTTCACAGTAACTATCTCGGATACAAAATTGTTTTAAAATGATAATTTGGAGTTCTAGAAATAACTATTGTTGCGTCAGGGGCTTATTAATTGATCAGACTGACTCACTCCCCCCAGCAAGATCATTATTTACATTTTACGAGTCATCATTTTCCGTTCAATCTTCCGTAAAACTCCTTTACAGGCGCTCATACAACTAATCGTTTTAGAATGGAAGCGTGGATACGAAATAATCCGCAACATGATGGGGAGTTACGAGGCCTTATGAATACTTTGAAAGGTATTAAGCTCTCCATTTCAAGATTTGACTTGAGTATTCAGGGTTTATCATTGGACATGGCGACAAAAATCCTGCTACTTTTGGCAAGCTCTGTGGGCAGTACAAAACCATGTTGGATGAGGAGATCAAGGATGTCATCAGTCCGATGCGTTTATCTATCGCGCACATTCAGTACTTTCTCATCGGCGAAGGATTGGCCAGTCTTGCAAAGAATATTCAAAACCAATATGTGTTTGTTCCAGTGAGGAATGCTGAGACGAGGAATATTCTGGATATGAAGGTAAGAGACAAATATGAATATGTTGTAACCCGTCTTTCAGAGTCGGGATAAAACAACGAAAACGCGAAAAATGCCCTACCAATACATCAGCGGGAATCCTTTTCCCGCTCCAAATGTGGGTGGGGCTTCTGGTCGACCATCAGCATTCGCATCCCAACCGCAGCCAGAAAGACCAATGTCGACAACATCGACCGCGTCCCGAAAATCGATGTACTCCTCGAAATCCGGATCAAAACCAATGCAGAAAACACCGTACATAAGAAAATCTGAGTATCAAAGTGGTGGCGGAGGGGTATTCAATCCGTTAACTGGAAAAGTTGAATACCCGTCATCGACACCAGCTCCTTCCGCCGCTACAGCTACCCGTCCAACTGGTATGGGAAGAGGGCTAGTTCGTGCTTCTGAGATATCGCATCCTCAAGAATCTAAACCGCAGCCTGCTCGAGTACCTCCAAGACCAACTGCTCAAGAAGTTCAACCACAAGCGCGAGTGCCACCAGCACCAACGCGTCGCCCTCCTCCAAGTGAGCCGGTAAAACCTCCTACACAGACCGTCAGGCGACCGTTGCAAACATCTCGCGTTCCACCCATGCATCCTGGTCTCGCTGAAAAGCAAAAAGCCAAGATTGTCAAACCTAATGACCAAGGCGATTCAACTGCCTCCAGCGACGCCCCAAGACATTATGGGGACCCCGATGATGCTCTTGCGAAGTTTAGGAAGAAGCTTACATACATCATTTCGAGGCATCCTTTGGGATTGTCATTCAACGAACTCGCCTCATGCTTCAGGAATAAACACTCCGAGCAGCTCAAGTCATTTCTTACTCGTCTCAATTCTCAAATCCCATATCCGATTGAAATTCTGCGCAAATACTCGGAGCGATTGAACATCTTTGTTGGAGACGAAGATATCATCTATCCACAAGAGTATTCCCCGCAAGAATGGAAGAAAACCGTGTTTGAGCAAATTAGCGATCTCCTTGGGGAACAAGAAGAGCCAGAAGATATTCTGAAGGTCGAAGAAGACTACAGGAATCGCTTCCCAGTCGACTACAAGGACTACCATTTCTACAGTTTTTACGAATTCATTATGCACCTTGGTGACATCGCGCTCATAGAAATTGATGAGGACCTCAACGAGCGAATCGGCAAAAACTATCTTTCGATGAAGGAAACTCTTGTTAAATGCGTTATGCAGCTCGTTTACCGAACCGAAAAAGAGGGAAAGGACTTGCAAATTTCAAGCCTGCGAAGAAAATTCCGACTGGAGTTCAGTTGGGATATTCCAATGAGCTGTTTCTCGGAAGAGTACGAAGAGGAGCTCGATATCGAGCGTCTGGCGTATCTTCTGGTCAATCATAATAACAAGAAGAATGTCATGCGAATCGACAATGGATTATTGAAATTGAAGTCGAAGGCGGATCTACGCGCTGGCCTTGCGAACTTGAAAGCAGCTGCTCCTCTCAAAACACGATTCGCGCCCTTTTTAAAGCCTTCTGTGAAAGACAAATTCTACGTGACTCTGAATGGCGAAGTGAACAGCTGTGACGAGATCTGGGTGATGAGACAAGCTGACCTGAACAAACTCACGAACCTTGTCCAGGAGCTAAGCGAAGTCTGCAAAGGCTACAAAAGAGCAGGGAAAAACGCGATCGAGAACGAGATTTTACCAGGTTGCGCCGTGGCTGTCTTCGATGGAGACTACTGGTTGCGTGGCGAGGTTGTGGAATACGCTGATGATCATGAGTGCCCTTATGTGGTTCGATACGTCGATTTCGGTACCATTGAATGTTTCGGCAAAGAAAATATTCAATGGCTCGATGAAAAATTCATCAAACTTCGACGATTGTCATTCCCGATCAGCATTCTCAGCGATGTGAATCCAGATGTCATCTCCAAAGACGAAATAGACGAGATCAACGAGCAAAGAATCTTGCAAGACCTGGTTGGAAACCTCGATTCATTGAAAGCGGGCTTTCTGTTTGAATGCACGAGCGCGGATGCAAGCGGATTTCAAGGATTCAAGGGGCGAATCAAAGTCAAAACTGAAACTGCCCAATGCGACTTGTTGTCAAAAGTTCACCATTATTATAAAAAGAGGAATTCCGAAGAAAGATCTGAGAGCGAGGAAACCATCCGCACTTCTGACAATTTTCCTTCGATCAATAAGCTAGAACCTCCTTCGCCTGAGAGTAATATTTCACTGTCTTCGTTGCAGCTTACGGACTCTTCAGAAGAGGAAGACAACATTCAGCCGAAGGAAACACGAGCTCACGACACGAGTGATGATGAGACAAAGGAGGGTGAATTCTTGTGCGAGTTTATCTACCCGCCTGAAGATGCAACAGAAGTGGCGAATGTCTACATTGCAGAGCATGTTACTGTAAGTTTGAAAATTGCTTTCGATTATTTATCTTTCCTCTAGTTTGTCAACATCGATGGTCAACTTGCACAGATGATGAATGTGGTGCTAATAAGCGACGAAGATAAACTCGCCGTTTCCTTCGAAAGCCTCAGCAGTATCTTTATCAAACTACTCGCCGGAGTCAATCGTGTTCGCGGACGTGTTTGGCTCAAGAAAGTCACGGCAAAGGGCGTCGTTAACATCAATGTAGAGTCAATCAAGGAGAAAATGGGAGTCAGAATCAGTGACGAAGAGCAGGAGCAACTTTCCAAGCAGCTCGATGTTTGGGGGCTGAAAGGCGCACATCCAGAGAACGAGGTCGACGAGTCCGCTAAAGATTATGCCTTCATTCTTTGGGACGATCTGTGGAGGGTAAGTGAATGACTTCCGGTTACAGAACGAAACTTGTATCTCTCTTTAGGCTTTCTGCAAAGCAAGAACCTCAGAAAACGTCCCGCCTTTCATCACGAAAACGAGCACAGTCTTCGAAGCCATCCACAGAATGCGAACTGATTTCTTCGACGGAGACGTTTAATTATCACTATCAGCGCCTACCTGCACTATTTTCACTGATCACACTGTTCTCGCTCATATTTAATTGCTATCACTATTGCTTCACATTATTGAAAATACAATTTGGAAATTTTCACGGAATTTTCTTCCTTGATTGACTCTTTCAGAGAAGATCTTGGTGTGGTTGTATAATCAGTTTTGATCATTATGTTTTCTTTAATCATAAAGAGCTGATAAGGAAAGCAGGGATTAATAACACGGTGTATTGAAAGTTACGCAAGAATTATGGTTTTGAAAAAAAAAAACTGCAGCGGGATATTTTGGTAGTAGAGGAGCTTACTTTCAGTTTGTTAGCCGTGCGGCGCGTCCATTTTCGCTTTGTAAGGTTTTTCTCTGTTTGCCACAATGCCGCTTACGATACTAGGCACTTCCGGTGGTAGTGCTCTCGATTCCGGCGCCACCGCGTCGCTACTTCTTTTTTCGGTGCCATTGCTAGCGCGTAAATTACACTTTGATCGAGGGGGCTGCTAGAAATGGGGCCCGGAAATTCCTCAAAATCGCCGCAAAACTGAGCCGCGTAAACGTGCAACTTTCGCCTGCATATTAACTTCTATCGCGGGATTTTCGAATTCAGCGGGCTCGCGTCGGGGTGTTCGTATCTACATCTGCAAAGGAACTCTCCAAAGTGTGTGTGGAATGCCGATAATCAGCTATCAGTGGTGACCGTTTCACGCCGAGCGCTGATAATGGCCCCGCTTATCACGCTTTCGCTACTCCGCTCAAAAAGTACACAAACCTCATCTCCGCCGAGGACAGATTATCGCCACTTTCGGAAAGGTTGAATTTTTTCAAATGTCGATCAAGATAGAGGTTTTACTGTTTACTTTCTCTACCAAAGTCGTTCCTGGCAGAATCGGTACTTGCGAAATCGTCAACTGCCCACAAACCCCTACTAATCAAGTGCGATCTATTGTTATCGCCATAGTGGCCCTATGGAGCCGTTCTTCATCTGAACGCGCTGCCTATTTCCTTCGCACCACCGCGATAACACGCCACAAAATGAGCCAAACAACACAAACGCCGAACTCTGCTATCGTGTATTATCTTATGGAGATTTCATGGTTCGGCAGGACTGCTGTGAAGTATCGCTTGCGATGCCTCTCTGATAGGAGGCGATGCGAGTGCGTCTGTGCACTTCGCGCATCGATTTCTGAAGAATGTGGATTCGCCGAAGCTGCACCACCACCAGCCCCATCAGCAGAACTACGCCGACCAGCAAAGTCCTGTTTCGACTTATTTCAATAAATTAACTTCATGAATCATGATTTTCTTGAAATAAGTCCGTTCCGATCGTCCAGTAAAATGTTGTACTCGAACTCACGTGAGCCTGTTCTCCTGGAAATACATTGAATCCGAGTCCTTCAAAAGCATACGAATGAAGCTGGCAATTATCGCCTGAGAACCCAAATGAACACTGAAATATAAAAATCGCTATTCTATTAAATTTTCTTACCAGGCACATATTTCTGCTTTGGTATTCAATGCATTTCCCATTATTCAAGCAGTCGAGGTTGCAGTTGTCCATGAAGTTGTACGCTGGGCTCGACAGCCTGTGTAGAAAACCTGTTTTTTAACCGCAAGAAAGACAGCTTAACTTTAAATTCTAGCGAAGCCGCTTCGCGGCTTCGTTTTTATAAAAGCCGCTACGCGGCTTTTCATTTTAGCTCTTTAGAGCCTGACTCGGGTTTTCAACACAGGTTGTCGAGCCCAGGTTATACGTGTCGTCAATGTGCATTTTCTTATTATGAAATTCTCGGCGAAAATATTGTCAAGTTTTATAATTATCAGGCGATTAATTTGTATTCCTGAGAAGAATACAAACTGGCAGCTGGAAGCTCTCATCCGACGTTCTAATATAAACTTCCAGTCAATTATCAGCAGCCAAAATCGATAGTTCACCGAAACCGTATGTTGTCATTTTTAAGAATTAGTGTTAGTGAATGCAGATTTTCAACGATGTCTGTGCTTTATCTGTCGCGCGTCGGCACTCAGCATTCGTGTGTGTGGTTGCTGCTATCTCGCGCTAAAATTGGTGCCAATAAAGCGTTTTATCTGGCTCACGCTTTGAAAATTTACGAGCACTAGAACGTTATCAAGTAACTGTTATCGTAAGGACTTGATACTGTAAAATCGCGCCAAGGGAGACTTTGAGCAGAGTAGACTTTTCTGATGATGACCGGAAGGAGAACGCTCAAAGTCGGTGGGCGGACGGTGCCAGTTTGCCGCCTGTCAGCGGAATGGCGCGAGCAGGGCGTAATTATGCGGCCGAGGGACCGGATGTGCTCCACCGCGGTGTAGTTTTTGATACTTTCCAAGCTCATCCTAGCGCCATTCTGTCGCACTCAGTGTAATTTCCCACTTCCCTGCTCCCCTGCTCGAGGTTCGAGAAATTCTCCTTTTATAATTTGCGACAATTGAGAGATTATATTCAAATCAGTTCTCAATGAGGTTCTTTTTGATACTTGGAGGGTTGAGGTTCGCGCCACGTCGTCGCCCTACCGGAAATACTCTCCTGCAATAATAACTGCCGAACAAGCTGCGTAAATATTTTACAAATCGAAGGGATGACCTCCAGGATTGATCACCCTCGACTTCCGGTATCGCCACATTCCCCGCCGAATACGACGCGACTACTTCATCAAAAACATTCTCGCATCCATCTTTTCAGAATAATATCGACCTTAAGGCCAGTAATTCAATCCTACAGTAATTGCTTCTCGCTTATAAAGTGTTTATAAAGACACAACTAGTATTTTTGTTTGAATATTTTCCTTGGCAGGGCCTTAATCGGCGTGATGAATTTTTCTTCTTCCTAAATAGTTTATCACATCCGATGTGTTCCTTTTGAGGATTTTGGCATTTGGTGGTTTAGGCGTCAGGCGCCAAATTGGCACCTCCTCCGCCGCCGGAAGCCGGAAATATCAGAGGCTGTTTGTAAATTATCGACCGCGCTTGGCGATTGTAATCCAGGTCTTCGCGGGTACGTTTGTCTCCTTCAATGTGGTTTTGCAAAACAATGGATCGAACGGAAGTGGTGATCGAAACCACAACAGTTAAAGAATTGACGCAGAAACAAGCTTTATATCAATATTGGCATACAACAAGAGCAGAAAAGAGAGCACCTTCCGGTTTGGAAAAGTTACAAGCCTTTATTTGTCAAGATTACAGCGTCAGTTTGAATTCGGGTGAATTCATATTACCGCGCCGGCGCTTTTATTTGTTTACGCGAGATTCTCTATTTAGATGAGTTAATATTTTTAAAAAGGGTCGAAAAGGTCCCTTTCCAGCCCTTGATCCCAACGCAAATGTTTGACTTTTGCGACAGGGGTCGGAAATCTCTCGCATTTTGACAATGAGCGATAAGATGTCTTGCCGAGAAAGAGCACCTGTTTTCACAGTTATCGGTTCCCTGTTTAACACTGATAAAATTAAGATAAGGCGACGGCAATTTTCAGCACCAGGTCGTGCAGCACCTTCCTCGCCACCACCTAAGTTACACAAAGGAAACGATAAGTGGCTCAGCCGGGCCCGAATCTGACATTTCGCCGACAGCAGGGTCGAAATATCGTTTTATAAGGGTGTGCTTATCACAAACGCTCTCCCGCCGAGCTACCAATGCTGATAACACGCACTCTCGCGTGCCGCGTATTGTGATCGAGGGAGGGATCGATTTATCACACTCTCCTTTTTGATTCTTGAAATTTCGAAGGGCGATTTTTGTCGACTATCTCGAAGAGCGTCAAGATGCTTGAAGTGTAGAATTTCAAACGTTATCAGTGGCTCTTCTAATTATCCTCGGACATCTTGTCGGGCCAAGTGAAGTGATTAGCCCAGGCTTGCAATGCAATTAGCACCATTATCGTTAATTGAAAGAGGGGCGAAAGTTTTACCTAAGCGCTGGTCGGAAAATTGATTCTGGCGGTTGTTACTTCCGGCGACAGCTTCGACAGCCCAAGCCGTGTCAGCAGAAACCACGGAAAGGGCATAAAGGAATCTAATAGAAAGAAGAATCGATAGAATGCTTCTAATGAGCAGTTGGCGCTACGTGTTTCACTCTTTGTTTTCAACCCTATGCTGCGACAATTTGCAATTAGCCAAGTGCCGATATCATGTAAAATTTCATCCCAAGCGGGTCATGTTGGCGCCTAAAAGAGCTCTTGGTGGGAAGTGCTTAGAATACGTGCTTTGCTAAACACTTCAAATTTTTCCACAATGAAGTACAAGTTATAATCAGCTTGTAATCATAATCGATCAAAACAAAACTTCTCGCGGCGATCGCTTTTCAGGAATTCGGGTGGAGGGACTTGTCAGGATTTGCACTGATGGTGTGCAGGATTGTGTACCACTCAGTGGTACTGGATCGGACCGGTGGGTTGGCGCCTTGTGGGCGCCCGCGCCACTTCCGCTGTCGCACCGCAATTCGGCCAATTCGTCACTGGCGCAATTATTTATTCTGAAGCTGACATGCACACAAAGCGGCAGCTTCCGGTGTAGTCCTCTCAAAGTCACGACTTCCTCTTTTTAAGTTTTGGCGGACAGCTTGCTAAAATCGCGGACGTCGAGCTTGGTTTACTGCCGCCCGGACGCCACGGAAGCACCAGAGAACAAGGCGGAGAAATTTCAACAGCCTTGAAGCTCGCGCCAATTGATTTGCTCATTAGCATAAAAGGCACTTGATTGCTTCGTAAAATTTGGACCAAAGATGTTGTGATATAAACAGATTAGTTTGGAGTCTGATCGCCGTAAGAGACTGCTGCTTTGGGGATGAGAGACTGGGTCCTTCCGGTAATTGAGTCTTGTTGCTCCAGAGCCACCCCAGTATAATGTTCTGATTATTTTGGCACTTGGTGATTCTGGTGGCACCTTTGTGTGGCCCCAGGTCGCCTAAGCGTAGCTCAGCCGAAAAAATTGTCGAATTACTTCCGGTGGAGACTGCGCGGCGTCGGGGGTCAATCTTAGCAGCAGCTCCACCACCAGTAAATGCACCAACTGCTGCAGCGTTCGCCCTCCCGACTTCCGGCCGCCGTCCACCGCCAGACATGTTCTAATTGTCAACTGAGCACGCAGTACTTGTAGATCATCCTCTGAAAACCAGCGGCTCAGGGACACCTGCCATCGGCACCGTCTTTTTCCGAGTATTATTGACGATTATTAATCGCATATCGCATTAAAAAACGAGAAAAAGGCCCTGTTTTTTTGTTACCGCAACAGTAGATCGTCATTGATCTGTTATTCATCGTCAGTGGAAGGGATTATAACCAAAATATTTTTTATCAATGAAAAATGTGAAGTTAGGCGGAATCGGTACTCAGCACGCTAACACGCGATTGGTTCTGGAGGTGTGAAAATTCACACCATGGTGGCGCACTTCGCGGCACAGCGCGGCAGCAGGAAGTATACACCAAGTGAATTCTTTGTGCACGCTAATATGAAAACATCTTTTGAATTAATTACATGCTGTGATTGCAATCAAGTTTACTAATTAACACGATTAGAAAATAGAAAGAAATTTTCAGTCAATACATGATTTTTAACACCATGCGTTCGGAATCGCACCCTTTTTTGATTCTACGGGAGCATTTTTTCCGAAATTTCTGATTTTCGGATGAATATACAATCGTGAAGAATGTTGGACTTGACTTCCGTTGCATGGACTTCATTCCGCTTCCGATTTCCGCCGACAAAAGCTCTCCTTTCGATCAGATTACTGCTAGCCCGATGAAAGTTGACTTTGGCCTCTCTGGCTCCGGACTGGTTGGTAGTCCCAGCACCTTGATCCTCGCGAGTGTACTTGCGATGGATCGGCTTCTCTTCTGCACCAGCACCACCAGCGTAGATCGCGGGCGCTAGGGGAGGTGGTGGAGGAGCTGCGTAAAGCGTTAGATCTTAAAGGTGGCGAGCGCGGGCGTCAGGATTGCCGCACCAGCACCACCACCACCATCATCATATCAGACACATATTGTCCAACTTCCGAATCGCACCTGCACAGTACGCAACACCTGATAAAAACAGAAACTTGAACAATACTTTCACACTTGATAAGAGAGCAATAGAAACGTAAGAGATGTTCTAATGCTGCCATTCGAGGACGAAAACAAAATGAGTGGGATATTGAGTGGTTCTTATCATGGGATGAGTCCTTCGGGAGTCAACCCTATTAATGAACACCTCTTCTCGAATATTTTTTCACGGCTTCCTCACCCTCAAATGCCTCAAATTCCCAAGAAAAAAGAAGAAAAGAAGGTAAGAATTACGATCAATTGTAAAATATCTATCGTTTAAATGGTGCTAGAATTTCTCTATTGAGTTGGATAAAAACGTGAACTAGAATCTTAAATCCGTTATCTGATGGAAAGTTATTTCCTCTAAGCACCGCCCATCGCTAATGATTTTTTCTTTAGCCCGATAACGACGATGATGACGGGCCAGATAATCCAAAAGTCACTCTTGAAAATATGGAATTGTGGGATAGCTTTCATCAATTTGGCACGGAAATGGTCATCACAAAAACTGGAAGGTAAGATTGCTTCAAATCCGGGGTTGAACGAAAATTATCGTCGATGATGCAAATTGTTTTTTTTTTCTTTTTTTGACTTGGAAATCAGATCACTAAAGCCGATAACTGGTTCAACGGGTCTTTGTGTAAGACATTTTTGTCCTGCCATTTAGGTGGCTGATGCGGTCAGGGAGCGGAAGTGAAAGCGCCCGTCCGTTTCATTTTTAGCGCGTTGGAGGCGCCATGGTGGTGGAGCTGTCAATTGTCACGGCTGCGAGCTTCCGGCCTCGCGGCTTTAAACAAAACCAATTCCCGCTAAACTAGATGCTTTGTTTAACCTGGCCAGAGACGCATGTTAGAAGGCTATCTAAACTTGCTTTTGAAATTGGGACGTTTCTATTTGACCCAAGTAGCGATTAGGGATTCACGTGATTCTGCTGAAGAGGGAATGTTTTGCGTGTTAAAGCGGATGTGGCGGGATCTGGAAGGCGACGAATTGTGCGTTGTGGCGGCGCCAGGCCGAACCGAAAGCCGGAAGTCGCGGAGCATTAGCCGCGCCACCGGTACTTTATAATGTTCGTCCCTAGCGATCGTAATTTCCCGCTGCCAAATTGATGGGAAATATTTACTCCAACCGCAAAGGAGCCGCCCAAGCTCGCCACATCGCAGACGCCAAGGCAACACCACGAGAAACACCTTAGCCATATCAATGGTGATATACATCCACGTGATCAAGTCCATGGCGCTCTCTTCTGCCCTGGCGCCTTGAGTTTGGGTCTTAGCGACATTCCGCCAAGCGCGGTAAATTTATTATTCTATCCCCTGCCTCCTCTGTCTGATAGCGACTCGGGCGTCATTTCTGGCGGCGTCGGGAAGCGCTAGAATCAACAGTCCGATGCAAAGTCCTTTCCGATCTTTCCGCCTCGGCCACATAAAGCCCGTCGCGAAAGCGATAACACCACCGCCACCAGCACGGCTAAGCCATAAAAGTACTTCTCCACAAACATCAAAATCGCGTTGATGATAACACTCGCAATCACTATATCGCGACGATAGAACGTGGACTCATTCCAAGAACGCGCAACCTTCTATTTGATAAATCAAAGAGTGTTGTTGCTACAAGCCAAAATTGATAAAGAAATTTCTATCGCCCCTTTTCACACTAGAAATGGTGCGAAATCTCTCGCCTCCTCTGATTGGCTTGGTGGTGCTCCTCACTCCACCAAGTCCGCGCGCAGCACCACCGCGTGATTTTTCACACCTTAGGTGGCGCCCTTCTGAATCTAAGCCACTCAATGTATCTAGTGGCCATTCACGGGCGGCGTGTTATCACCAACAACATTTGCTGATGCGATAGGCATCTCCAAATTGACTTTCGTTTTCTGCGCCTTTGTCTTACTAAGTGGCGAAATGTCGGGGCGGAAGTGGCTAACGCGCCGCGAAATTGGTGCCACTTCCGCAAGTGGCGAAGTTTGGTGCCGTTTCTCGCGCTCCAACACGTCTGGAACTGGCGATTCTGGCGCCAGCGGCGACACGTTGGAAAATCGACATTTTTGCACCACGAAAATGCACCACCACATCCGCGCCAAATCACATTTACGCGCGCGCCCTTATCACCGGTCATCGCGCTCGGTTGGCGAGTCTTGCTTGGTGATAAGAACGGACATTGTGCGTCGAAAAATCTAAAATTGAGCGCTAAAGGGCGTTTTATGCAATGGGAGGCTCATAGTCGGCTTTAGTGATCTAGAACGGATTAACTTCTAAAAGAATTTCATGAAATTTGATCTGAAAACGTTGCTCAATTCAATTTCTAGGAGGATGTTCCCATCTTACAAGACGAAAGTATCCGGCCTCAACCCAAAAGCCAAGTACTGCATGCTAATGGATATCGCCGCCGCCGACGAGCCGAGGTACGTTCGCAAAACATCAACAATTGAAAATCGAAAAATTTCAAAATCTGACGATTCTTCCGCGTAACTGATTGTTTCAGCCTCTCCCGACGTTACAAATATCACAATACACGGTGGATGGTGGCGGGCAAAGCTGATCCTGAGCTTCCAAAGCGCATGTATGTGCACCCAGACTCGCCGGCTACCGGAGAGCAGTGGATGAACAGGCCATGCATTTCCTTTCATAAGCTCAAGCTGACCAACAACATCACTGATCCACACGGACATGTAAGTTTTCTGGCGTTTTTGATGTCAAGATTACCCATTTTCGCTCAAAATTATGAAAAAAATCATAAAAAAAGAGGCATATTTTGAAATTTGACGGTCGATTTAAAGGATTGAAACCAAAGCCCCAGATAGCCTTGACTAACATTCTCCAGCAGTACGATTCTGCTAAACTGCGAGATTAGTAAGGACGGCGCCGCGGCGGATTTCTCCGGCGCTTGTGTGGTGGTGCAGGTTTCCACACAATTTCAAATTGCTGAAATGCGCAAAAGAGTTATTGACAGTCCGGAAGTGACGGCTCCGAAGGCTCAGGGCGCGTTTTTGATGCTTAAAAGGCTCACCTGTTCTATTTCCTTTTTTGGTGGTGCCGACCGGGCTGGCGCCAGCGCTACCTGCCGCGCCCGTTTTTGTTAAAAACGGCGCCACCATCACCACCAGTGACACCACTCCCCATGGTGTCAAACTTGGCGGCCAAAACACACTACTTCCGGATTCGTAATAAACGCGCTGATCGTAACAATCACAAACGCAACCACGCTTTATCGTAGAAACAAATTATTACGTGTCGCATCGCGCGTCTCAAGGCGCAAGAGTTCTGTTCCAAAGGCTCACGTAAAAATGAAAAATGATCGTAACTCAGTGGGGCTAGAAAAAAGAGCGTAAACTCGTATCTCACTTTTGTCACTACTACCACGACATGAATATTGAATAGGAGCTGCTTTGTTACTTCTAAGGCAGCAATCGGCCATATCTTTGTCGGCACGGGCAACCGCAGCTCTGACCGGAAGTGGTCTCTCGAAACGAAAATCCAAAAAGCCGATCGCGAAACTGTATCGCGTATAATGTGCGCGAAGGGGCGCCGTCCCGACGTCGCAACACTCTGGACAGAAGTGGAACCTTAGCCCCATGCGATCACACTTTTTTCTATTGTATTACAGTACAACGCGTCTTTATCTGTCCGGCTTCGATTAAAGTGGCCGTCAATTTTCATGCCCAGAAATTTTGATCAGTTAAGACACCCGACTAGACGCCGTTTAGGCGGTGTAACCTTAACAAACCCAATCATTACACGCCATATTTACATGCCAACATTTCAATTCAATCTTCTAACACATATCTTTAGACAATCCTCAACTCGATGCACAAGTATCAGCCTCGCTTTCACATCGTCAGATGCAACGACCTGAGCCGAATCCACATGACAACCTTCCGAACGTACATTTTCAAGGAGACCCAATTCATCGCCGTGACTGCCTACCAGAATGAAAAGATCACACAACTCAAGATTGACCACAACCCTTTTGCGAAAGGTTTTCGCGATGCGGGAGCAGGAAAACGTGAAAAGAGGTAATTCATTGCGAAATAATTACATTTTCTAACTCTTTTTTCAGACGCCTCCCGCTTGATTCAACTGGATCAGAGCAGTCGAATGGTTCCGATTCTCCACCAGCCAAGGCTCATTGCGGGCCAGACAGGGCAGTGATGACGACTCAGGCAGTCTCACCCAGTTCAGCTGCTGCCGGTCTCGGATTACTCAACAATCCTCACCACATGTTCCCTCACATGATGCACCATTCGCATCCATTGATGCCACATGCTCCTGTTCCGCATTATCCGCCAGCATCGTGGGCCAATTTGACAACACCTACATCATTGCCAACGTTACCAATCCCAACAAAATCGACGAGCCCGTCTCAAATCGTCCCGTCAGTTTCATTGCCTAAACCAGAAAGTCCAAAGCCTACTTCTGTCGAGGAAGAAAAGGTCGAGCCAGAAAACGATGACAGCACCGTGCCAAGAGCAGAGAGTGGAGACGAGGCTGTAAAAACCGAGGCGGAAGAGAGAAAAGATGTTAAAACTGAGTCTCCAGCAGCGACGCCGACCCCCGTTGAAATCAAGGAGGAAGAGGCGGACAAAGAAAGCAAACGAAGCTCGTCCCGTGTGCCATCCCCAGTGGTGGCTACCACACCCCAGCCAGTTGTCTCGACGCCATTGGTTCATCCAGCTCTTCATGGTATTAGCTCGTTGCTGAACAATGGGCTTGGGCACACAGCTTCCGTCCTTCAACAACAAATTCTTGCCGCGCAAACTCAACTCGCGCAGCAACACCAAGCCGCCCAAGCGCAGATCGCTCAACTTCAATCCGCACTCGCCTTGGCCCAGCAGAGTTCTCTTCTGCAAAACAACCTGCTCAACCAAATTCCAGCGAGCATTTCCGGACCAAACGCAGCGGCCCAGGCGCAGGCAGCGTCAATCCTCGCCACTGCACAAGCCCAAGCACTTCAACAGAAACAGGCTCAAGCACAAACTGCCCTCCAAAATCCGCTGCTGACGTCGCTAGGATTGGCCGGTCTCGCGAAGCCGACGCCACCGCCCGCCCAAGTCGCGGCTGAGAAGATTTACCGAGACGCTATGGTCAGTAGAGGTCTTCAACTGCCTAACCCCGACGTTCTGAAACAACTCTCTCTGCTCAGGCAGCAGCAGCAACAATAACCACAATGCAGTGTTCAAATATTATTTTATCTTGCTCAGAATAAATGTATTATTAAATCATTCACTACATTTTTCTTCGCCTCAGTACGGCAGAAATCTCACTTGACGCGCTTTTGCTACAATTTCTTCGATCTTCGGATCTTGCATCAATCTCTCCACGACTTTGACCCCAGTTGGACTGAAAGCTTATGGAAAATTCTAGCGAAGGAGGAAACTTACCAGTTCTCCTTGAAATATCCATGTACGTTAACTCTTGGATCATCAACAAAGATCCACAAGTTGAGAAGCATAAGATCTGCCACTGATCGTTTACCGCCGATGACCATGTCGGTCACATGAGCATATTTGAGGATTTTCTCGATTTGAATGAATGCTTCCACTGCTCCAGCTTTTACGGCCTTGTAAAACACTCGTCCTTGTTCAGTCAAATCTTCAAAAAAAAGTCAAATCTTTTTACAGAACCGGAAATAACCAACCGTCCTGGTCAACAGCTGCTTTAGCTACATAGCCCGGTTTGAGCATTTTCATCCAAGCCTCTTCGATACTTTCATAGACCATGTCCGCCTTGAGACTTTCGACGCCCTTGAGCTTCTTGAACGTCGTCTGCTTCAGGCAAAAAGCGATAATTGCCTTCGTCTGAGAAAATGACACGCCGTCAACTTTCAAGACTGGAAGCTGGCCAAGAGGAAACTCGTCTTTCTGCGACGCGAACTTCTCCGAGCGCCATTCCAACCGGGTGTCTTCGAACTCAATTCTGAATCGATTTCAGTTCGTCGAAGAACATCTGCGCGTCTTACCCACTAAGCTCTAGAAGAGTCCGAATGACGAAAACTCGACCGTGGCAGGAAAAGTAGATAAGCTCTATTTTGGCCATTTCACACAGAAATCTCTCGTTTTTTTTTTATTTTTGTTTGAGAAAGACAAATCCGACCAATTGGCTACTGGCAGTAATGTTTTATGCAAAATTTTATATCAGCCTTTTCAAATCGGTTAATAAAAAGCGTCTGATGGAGGTGTTGATGAAAATTGCTTTGATTGGCTACGCTTCTGTGAGAAAATAGTTAATTTTAGGTTTCTTTATTTCATATTTTTTTAAAAGAGAAATCAGTAAAAATTGGTATAATTATTCTGTCAATAACTCTTGTTCCGTATTTTTCTACTGCGATACTTTTCACACTCCAAAATTATGACTTCTTTGAATTATGATAGCTTTTTCTCATTTTTTATCCCCTTTTTATCTCAAATTTCGCTGTCCAGAACCCTGTGCGTTGGGCCATTTGACGAGCTTGTCGAACTTGGCATCGCGCTCGTTAGTGTAGTACCCGATGTGTGTTATTCACACTCCTTCATCGCTCAATTTGTGTGTTTGCTGCTTCTGCCGCTGCTTGCGCGTTTGCCAAGCCTGCAATGATCGACTGCGCCCTGCTCACTCAAGCGCTACTGTATCTTCTCTCTTCCTCAAAGAAAAAGATTCAAAGTCGCTGTTCTCGTTGTTTGATTTTCAACGAGTTCGCTTAATTCTTCGATTTCTCTTCAGATTTTCTCCGTCGCGAAGCCGCTTGCGGCTTCGAAATAAGTGAAAAAAGCCGCGCGCGGGTTTTCTTTTATTCATAACATGGATTTTTCATGGAAAAATTAAAAATTTTCATTAATTATTCTTTCGAATTTTTAGCGAAGAAACCAACCATTATCGATGTTACTAACTGCTTTGGCGGCATTTCAGTGTGTGCTATGGCGTCGTTGCGCGTGTGTTGCGACTGGATCGTTGAACGTGCCGTGTGCTGTGAAGTGGAGTGGAGTGTTGTCAGTCGCGAGGGTCAGTCGCCGAGCGTCGCGGGCCGCCCACTCGCGTGCGCCCTGTGTGTGCTGCCGTTGCGTTGCTAACCCCACTAGCGCTGGCTTCTCCTTCGCCTTCGCTAGTTGTGTGTGTGTGCGCGGGTTAGCGCCGTCGCCGTTGCCGTGGAGTGATTCGCCCCTCTCGTGCGCTGCGGCCTCCGACGGTGTGAATGGCTGCGCAGCTGCCGCCGCTGCCCTCCGCGCTCACCAGTGCGCCAAAGGGCACGAAGCGAACCAGATCTGCGCAGAGCGAGGAGAGACCTACAACAAAGCCCACTCAACCCAGGGAAACAACGCGAAGGAATAAAAGCAACGCGCAGCCACACACACGCGCGCGCGCCGAGCCAGAGGAAAGAGAGAAATATCGAGAATTAGTAGGTGAGTGAGCTTCCTGCTTTTTCACCCGTATCGCCCCAGATTTTGCGTTTTTCCTCCGATTGTGATCAATTTTGATCAATCGCGTTTCTTATTCGAGAAAAATGAAGCCGCTGTCTTCTCTCTAGAATTATAACAGCGGAGATTATCCCTTTCAGATCGCTGATTTTCCTTAGAATTTCCCTTTTTGATCGAGAAAAACTTGATTTTCTTCAGATTGAATCGCGTCTAAAATGGAAATCAAAGACACTGATGATGGCGTGAAAACAGAGTCTCACGAAGAGGAAGAGTCGATGGAGCTGATCGAAGAAGATGAGGACGAGTTATTCAGAGAAGAAGAAGAAGATGACGACACGCCGTTGTTTAAAATAGTCGATGAATACACATCTGGCGCGGTCACTATTGACGAGCTCGCCGAGACATATGAGCGCGACGTAAAATCGATTTTCGAGCTGCTTTCTGGGGCTAATCTTCCTGAGGACTACTCCACGAGAAAAGAGGGCAACTGCAAGGTGTTCCCTCTTGAGAAGCAGCGCATTCTCGTCTTTCAAGGAATGGATAAATACTCACATGAAATAGGAATTTAAATTTGAAGCCATAAAACACGATACTCTCTGAAGCTACGAGCCTGACAGATATACACGTCGCCGCGCTCCTCGTCTGTTGATAGATGGGCGCATGCTCTTAGCTTGTGTGTTAGCTTCGAGCGTATTTATCCACGATCAGTTTTGAAATGTTGGTTCGACGGGGAAACGGCGCATCGCTATTTGGATACGAAGATGATATTGGCCCGGGCTGTGGAGATACGCGATGCACTCAAGCTTCGCCTTCTTCCGATCTCGGAAGGGACAATCCGTGGTTTTCTCGACGTCTACAACATTCGTCTCTCGGAGCAGACAAAGTTGCCGGACAAATCAGCGGGCAAACATGTCCTCGAATCCGCCGTAATCGAGTGGTACAAGGTCGAGTCCGAGAAACGCGTCATCTCCAGTCAAAACATCATGGACAAAGCCTACGAAATAATCGAAGAAAAGGGCCTCAATTACACCGTGACGAAATCGCTGCTATCTACGCTTTCCAAGAAGCACGGTATCAAGCTTTCGGAGCAGCCAAGGTTGAATAATTACGCCTCTGTGAAAGATAAGGTGGCCGAGTGGTACCGCACCGCCTCCAAAACGAAGCTCATCTCACACCAGAGAATCGTCGAAAAAGCGAGAGAAGTGGCGAAAGAACTCGGCGTTGACAGAAGTTTCAACAAGTACTGGGCGGCTAACTTTTGCAAATCGTACGGCTTCGAGTTCAACGACCAGAGCATGGCGGTGAAAGGAAAAGAATTGCGCTCGAAGCTCAAGGAATGGTACGAAGAGACATCAATGACAGAAGTTGTCACCTACAATACTTTGATGGATGCAGCGAAAATGATAAACAAAGAGCTGGAAGCCGAGGTCGATATTACAAAAGGCTGGGTGAGCAGTTTCGTCAAGATCAACGATATTCGCCTCTCAGAGCAAGACTCACTCAAGGTAACGCGAAAAGAAACGCGAATCAATCACGAATTAACTGTTCTGTTTGTAGAGTGTGCCGAAAGTCTACGAGAGATTAAACGATTGGTACGAAATTGAATCGCAATTCCGTGAACTTGGAGCGAAAGAGATCCAAGAGCGAGTTCTCTTCCTTGCCGACAAGTATGGCCTCGCGAGAGATCGAGTTCACGATCACTTTGTCGCCGGCTGGCAGCGCAAATTCAACATTAATCTTCTCCAGTCTCCTGCTAAAATAAATCGAATCAGAGAGCGCGACGCATTTGATGTCGAAATCGAAGAGTGGTTCAATAAAGAAATTATTCATCGTATGGTATCTACCGCGGAAGTCAAGAAGTTCGGCGAGCAGCTGATTGCTGAGGGAAAGTATCAGGACAGTTTGGTCAAGGTAAGCATCAACTCATCCTTCGTTAGTTCAAGAATTTCGTCTAGGATAAATTCTGGCATGAGCAACTGTTCAAAAGACGAGGTATCTCCATCGCGTCACAGCCGCATTACACGCGCAAAACGCCGTCAAAGCGAAAGGCAGAGCCCATGTCACCCAAAAAGGAAATCGATAATAGCGGCTACTCAAACTCACCACCCAAGTTGGATGCGATCGCCACTGTAACTGACTATAATGACGAGCCGGAGGATCTTTCAATGCCAAAGACAAAGATTCAAAAGTTGCTCAAAGAAGAGAGTATTCATTCCTCGTCGTCGCCGTTTTCAATGTCGCCAAGCTCTTCCCCTTCCGTCACTTCACGAGTTTCCACGCCGCCCATGTCCGGCAATCCGCCATGGATGGACGAAGTCTGGGAATGGTACTCGACGGAGACGAAGAAGCGAATTCTCGTCCGCTCCGATGTCCACAACAAAGGAGTCAGCCTCAACATTGGCACCGAAATTTCCAAGTCTTGGGTCAAGGTAATCGTTCTTCTTTCTCGTTTGGTTTCTTACTTTTTCTCTTTCAGAACTGGTGTCGAAAGTACAAGGTGAATTTCTTGGACCAGCAAGTCTTCCAGGACATCGCGATTATCGAACAGAAAGCGCTCGATTGGCTTCTCAAGAGCGAAAGACCAACTCTCGGGCGCGACGATGGAACGGGAATTGAAGATATCTTGCGAAAGGGTGAGTTTCAGCTTGTCAATTAGCTCTTTATAATATATTGATTGTAAAATGATCGTTTTCAGGAGCAGCAGAGCGTGGCATCTCCGACGATTTTATTACCAAAAAGTACTTGGAGCGGTTGATCAAGCGAAAGAGCGTTACCAAACCTAAAGCCTTCATGCAGAAGAAGTTCGGCACGATGACGCCCGAGGATGAGGATGAATCGGCATCCTTTAGCAACTTCTTCTCGCAGAACTTCACTAGTTCGGGTTTTACAGATATCACCGAAACGGTCGAGCACAAGCCCGCAGAGATCACACCTGTCAAAGAAAATGTCAAATTGGAAAAGGAAGAAAATGGAATGGATCAGCAGTCGATGTTCGTGATGCCAATGGACGTCGACGAAGTAAATGAACTTGAGTCTGACAAGAAAGAAGGGTCTACTTCGAAGGATTCGGAACTAAGGAACGTTAGAGACGATTGATTTTGAATTGATAGGAAATGTGTCTGATGATTAGACTCTGATTGGTAAGTGGGAAAGCTCGCTCTAACGCTCAAAAGTCCTACTATACTGAAAGATGTATTGGAAACTGTAAAGAGCTCAGGTGTCAACCTAACCGAGGAGCAATTGCTGAATTTCATTCGAAACGGAGGACTACAAACTGAAGTTAATTAATTCTAAATTTAATGCTGGCTATTTGTACAGTTATCTTCAAACACAATAAATTGTACATTTAATATCCTGTCTCTCTCAATTTTCTAGAGCACGTTTGCCTTTCGAACTTGTTTATTTCATAAAAATCAGTTGAAAACTCGTGAATTTTTAAGAGTTCGAACTTCAGCATGACAGAAAGACAAATCCGAACTTGTGCAGATGAAGCATGCCAAAATGAAAGAACGGAAATGAAAAGTATCATTGAATCGGGAGAATATCTGCAGCGCATTTTTCACTTCTCTGAGTATGAAAAGGCGATCGAGTGCGTTAGGAAAGTGTGAAAAATAAGAGCTTCATTTTTATAAAGCTGATTTATTTATTCGCATAAAAGAGTGCTCGAGAACGAGAATAAATTCTTCCTTCAACGATTCGAAGAAGAAAAGAAAAAGCATAAGGAGGAGGTGCAAAAGTGTGTTGCTCAAGTAAAGTTGTCCGAAGAAAATCGAGAGGCCGAGAAGAAACGATACAAGAAGAAAATCGCGTCGTTGCAAGAAGAGTTGAAGAAGTTTCAAGAGACTGCCCAAAAGAATGTTGTTCCAGTCCCCGCCTTGGAGGAGAATGAAGGGGATGAGAACGAGAATGAATACGAAGAAGACGAGCAAGATCCAGAAGAAGATAATGAAGACTTCTATTGTGCCGCCACGACTTCAGCAGCCATTCCACTTGTAGCAGGTTTCAGGGAAGGTTCTATTGAACTCTCTACTAGAGTTTGTTTTCGCCAAATGTAATTTCTTCGAAAATAAAACCTTTGAAAGTCGGGAACGAGATGGAGGGCCATGCATTCACAGCGACGATGGACAGCACCCAGACTTCGAATTCAGTGATGACGCTGACTTTGACTCAGACGAATGGGAGGAGGATCCAAACTCGAAGCCCAAGATCGTCATGCGTCGACGAACTGCCGATAGCAAGAAAAACACGCCAAGGCGAAGAAAAACAAGAAAAATTAAAATCCATCGTGCTGTTTTTTATTTTCTCACTCTCTTATTATTTTTGCTGCTAAAGTGGTCAAGGAAGCCGCTTGTATCCCGTCTGCACATTTTCACTACGACTAGCATTTATAGTATAAATTTTATACAAGTCAAAATAAACTCAACAAAATCGCCGATTCCTTCAGTCCCTAATTTTCAGCAAATGTCGGAGACTACTGAAAATGTCGATCAAGCAAGTGACATCTGCGACAATCCAGCTTGCCAAAGAGAACTTGCCGATTACAAGAAGAAATTCTACGAGGAGCCAAATTACGAAAAGCTGATTTACGGATTCAGCAAGATGGAAGATATCATTTCTTACATTACGCAAGTTCGAAAATAATTAGATCGCTAATCATTATGAAAGTATTGAGTTTTTTTCGAACTTTTAAAAGTCGCCTTCAAGAACGAAACAAGGAAATTCAGCAAAAGACGGAGCTTTTCAAGAGCATCGCGGACGACAGAATCGCAGATCTGAAAGAAATGCTCTCCGAGGCAGAAGAAGAACGAGCGGCGAGAAAACGCCAGTATAAGAAAAGAATCGAAGGCCTCGAGTTAATGCTTCAAGGAAAAGTCGGCGAGGCTAGGAAGATCAGAAACTCCCTCGACAAAGGAAGAGCTTGAACATTTTACTATGAATATTTATTGATTACCATCAATCGTTTTGCAGCTCCTCTCTAGAAAAGAAAGAAAAACAGGAGGCAAAGAAAGTCCCCAAGAAGGCTGAGCGCGTCTCCTCCCGAATCAACAAAAACCAAACTGCTTAGACGCTGTTTTACCCAATGCCCTCATTTACTGCCTGGCACAGTTAACTAATAAAGTTCAAAAAGAAGATTTCAGCGAAAAATATTTATGTGACAACATGTGCATTTCTGTATTTTCAAACAGGCTAGGTACAGACGCCGTATGTTACATTTCTTTTCCGCACGTCCCAGGATATCGGTTCGTCCTTGTTCCACGAGAACTTCATATTATGCTTGAACTTTTCGACTATCTGCACTTCTTTGAAATTATTGTTGCAGCAGATCGCGGTACACTAGGACTGACATCGAAATCTAACCCCTCAAAATGAAGACTACCTTTCCGAGATTCTTTTTTCGTTGATTTCTTCTATATCTGCCCTTTTTATGGCGTGATTTTTTCTTTGAAGATTTTTCAATTGTCGTTCTTTTTGAGGTTTTCTTCTTGTCCCTTGGAAGCTTGCAGAGTCTTCCGCGGTTTTGATTGAGTAATGATACAGAACTAGCGCCTCCATTAGCCGAACTGAAACTTTTTCTCGCGGAAATTCTTGATTGTCCTCTTACCAGATGTCTAACGGCAACATGTAGACAAGTATCCTGTCGGGTATACTTTTGATATCTGGCTGGGGCCCATTCATGTTCACGGTTATTTTCTGTAGTGAAGGTTTTTCTTTGTATTTGGAGTAGAGATTTGATGCTATTTTGCTGAAGTCTTCTATGCTTTTTACACAATATTTCCACGTACAGCTCCCTGACGGACCCATACATCTGCAGCTTTCGCGTCTGAAAGTTGGTCTAACCTGAAGTCATGAGGATTTAAACTTGCCTTGATCTGAAGACAAGTCGTTCGCCAACTTTTTGATTTTTGCGAGCGAGAGTATAGTCGAGTGAAGAATCAGTCCTTATTTGGAATGCTTCTGCTCGTTGCTTCGCGTATTCCACGCATTTATCGATACAGTTTGTCGAAGCCACTGTATCTTCGTGGATGTAAAAGTCCTAATAAAATTTGTGAAGTCGAGATAAAGTTTAAGCTATTGAATCACTCAAGGGTACACCTCCCCCTCGTTCAAGCCTCGTTATTTCTAGTATTTACTAACTGACACGGATAGTAAATCAGCGTCAGATTCCAACACTACGGAAGGTCACCTCCTGTAAATATCGTAAATCGCGAATTTCTAATAACGCCATTGATTTATTTCGGGGCGAATTCCGGTTGGAATCATGGAGGACTGCTCAATCATAAAGCATTACCACGTACCTTATAATAGTTTTTTGATGTTTTTCTTTGGCATCCATGAACGACGTTGATTTGTCCTTTGATGCAAGCTTTTGTTATTTCATAAGTGATTCCTGCTGCAATCATTGCATTAGCAAACGCGGTTTCTGGATAACCTAAAATGAAATTGTAAGAAACCGAAGTTTTCTATTAACGCGACATTTCCGGATAGATAGCGTAAGCCGGAAGTGTTTCCTTGTATTTGACGGAAACGATGGCATAGAAAAGTTACTCTATTCATCGCACAATGAACAAGTTGTGAGTTTAGCAGTGATTATAGAATCAAATGGGACAAAGGACATTCCCGCTGGTCTGGTCACCGACCGAAAACTCACTCTTTGACATGATTGAAGTCCAGTCGTGGTTTTTCAGCGTCTTCTGCGCTTGCTCGATAAGCCCAGTACAGTTCCATGTGTTTTTGATAAGCAGCCTTTTACACTCTTCCTCGGCTCTTCTCAATCCGATCAGGGAGTACTTGAACGCCGCTGGATGGTGGAAGCAGTCCTGGCGTTGAGCATTTGTCAGTTTGTCGAGCTCCTGCTGATGATAGCAAATCTCCTTTTCAATCGTCCTCGACATTTTTTGTCCGACAACTGATGTGACCATCAGCGTCAAAAGTAATCGCCAGATTGTAATTCTGAAAAGACAGATCGAAAAAATTTTGACCTCGAAGACATAATCCGGACGGTCGTGGGGAGCATTACTGTTACTGACTGTCAGAATCGGATTAACTTGCAATAGCAGTTTTTCACATAATGAACTAACGATTGACTGGGGCCATGCTTTCACTTTAAGGAATCAATGAAATTGTCAAACAAACGCTTTGTCACATTTTGATACGCATGTTTAATAGTAGGGATAGTTCTTATTGTCAGTTTCCACAATCAGAGTTGGCCACTCTCTGTTGACTCTCTGTCTCTCATCACGCTTTTTGCCATCATTTCGCTTAGCATGACATGAGAAAAGTATTTGCTAATGATGAAAACCGATGGATAAAAACAATTATCTTGATAGAACGGAAGCTTCTTTAGGAAGAATCCATTGATGATAACTGAAGTGACTCCCATGGATCCAGAAGATCACAGTCGTCAGAACAAGACCTATCTTAGTGGAGCCGGTTTATCACAGTAAAATAAAAATGAAAGACAAAAAAGAAATAGTTGATATCATAACCCTAACCCATTGGTAGTAGGTTTTCATTCGAGCTGCCCTTAACCCTAAACCTAACCAAGGGGGTTACGCCCCCGGGATCCCCCACCTAAGGCCTAAGGCAGGGGGCTTCGCCCCCCGGAACCCCCGTTAAGAGTTCCAACTTGGAACTTCCAAGTCCCTAACCCTAACCACTAGCCCAGATTCTAGAGATTTTGGATGGCTCGAATCATAGGCTCGAATGACAACCCCTCTCTACGGTCGATATTTGTGATGGATCGAGTTCAAGTCAAGCGAGGGCATGTTCAATGCACTACCCGTCCATATGCTGCCTATAAGAGGATAAGCATACAGTGACAAAGTCTACCTATCTCTTTCGGCAAAATAGAGAGATATTCTCCCCTAAAGCATGTCATCGACCCGCAAAGGGCAATAACCGGAGTTTTCATTGATAAACGCGCCGTTTTGTTAGAAATCGTCTCCCATGAAACGCTTATTGCAATTTTCAGTTTTGTCTTTTTTTGTTCAGCTGCAGACACTTTCAACTTGCCCTTTTTGGAATTCTGGGAGAATGGAAAGCAATAAATCTGAGTGATTTCAAATAGCAAAAGTTATCGTTTTAACGTTGTCGTTGAGCAAGCCAAGAAAGACTTCCATATGACATATTTGCCAGCTGCTTTCAGTTATGCACTTCAAAATGACTAGCGAATCTACTTCCCATATTCCATAGAAAAATGAGAAAACAACGAAAAATTCAATTAACAAAGTGTTTTCTCGCTGTTTTTCATCAATAAATTTCTCCACGAAAATACGGTACTTGTCCGGGCGAAAAAATAAGCGCCTTTTATGATGGGAAAAAAGCGATATTCAAGGGAAACCGGAACCACTCCTTCCCGCCTGGAATTTGCCTTTTTATTCACATAAATGTACCTCGGACTGATTCTTCTGTTGGACTTCAGTATCATCTGTGTGGCTCTTTCTTGACATTCATCCCTCTGCTATTCTCGACCTGTTTATCAAATGTTCTGAGTTGAAGTACTTTCAGATTCTCTCGTCCTGAAAAATCTTGTTTAAACTCAGCGACCAGGAGCGAAAGTGAAAAAAAAAGAGTAAAAACGCGTTTCATCAAGACTAGAGCTCTCTTTGATGTGGCGCTCTAGGGCGGCGCTAGTAATTGTAATACAATTCATACTGATGCTCAAAAATCTGGTCAAGTTCTGGTCGATACTGATAATGGCTCCTCCAGGTTGTATAAAAACCACACGGATTCGAAATAACTTTTTAAGGAGAGCGTACTTCTCTGTTTTACCGGATTACCTTCAAATGTCAGAACGAGCTTCGCAGTCCCTCGTTCCTAAAAATCACTGTTGACATGTCCTTGAGCTCAAGCTCTGAGCATTCGCGCAGGTGGATGTGGCTGACATCTGAGTAGTTTATGGCGATCAGCTGGCGAAGGCGATGTCAATTTTGAGCAAGAGTCAATATGCATCTCTTGTTCCGGCTGTATACCGTTCCGTGGCGCCGGATGCATGACAAGTTTACTGCTTTATTTCTCAATCTCTCTTAACTAACCAACTCTCCAAGAACTATATGGCCAGTTTTGATGAATCATCAAGTACGAGTTTCTCGATCTCGAAGATCAAAGAAAGTGATTGTTGAGTGGACGGCTAATGATTTAAACGATTGCAATTAAAATCTTGAATTTCAATTTTTATCCACTCATCGAGTTATTAGACAACCAGAGTCCATTTCCTACGACTTTGACGTCAACAAGTTTTCGCCTCTAATAAGACACTGATTTCCCCCTGGAGCCGGAAATAGCAGAATTCAGATCAGAAATAGAATTTGAAATATGGATCCCAGACACTAATGATTCGTTAATTTTCCTCTGCGATCAAGTAAATATTATGGCACTGAGCGCGCTTAATTCATATTTTTGCACCTGCTTCGGTGGTAATAATTGCTTCAGCGGTTAATGCCAAGCTGAGAAGCATAAAACTATCCTAATTACTCTTCCTTTGCCGACCCTGAGCCCGGTTTCCTGACAAAATGAGTCCAGTTCTACAAACTAAATTTATTGATTTTGAACAGATATCGGTATTTTGCTTTTGAACTACAGGAAGATGAAGAAATGTACAGACGATCGCTCTACTGGCAGATTGTTGGCCAAAGCGCGGCCCGCGGTGGTGGCGTGCGTGATCAAATGCGCTGATCACGACTTTTTCATCATAAAAAGGCTGATTATTGCTGGCCAAGGTTGCTGAAGAGGTCAGAACGGGCCGAGCTTTCGCGAGTTTTGAGCTGAAATACGAGTTATTTACCCCTTTCTCTGAGAAGGTTATTTACCTTATCAAAGGACTCAATTTTGTTGACAATTGAGTCGATTCTTGAAGCAATTTTAGAAACATGATGCTCGAGTCGATCGACACGACGGGAGAGAATCGTGAATTCATCGTTGGAGACAAACATCTAACGATTTTTAATAATATGCTTTCAGTTGTCAATTACCTTGTTAAGTTTTTCAAGCATCAGCTCGTTGGCAAGTGGATTCGAATCGGATGCGAATCCATGATTTTCTGGCTGGTGCATGTCGAAGCCAAGAGCTTCTCCAACTTCTTGTCGATCCTTGTTTCCGGGTTCAAAGGAGCGTTCAAAGAGCGAGAGTAATCTCAAGTGATCCACTTTTTGAACCGCGATCCTTAACATCATCGATCTCGTCGTTGATCTCCGCTGTCTGCTTGAGTAGGTCAGCGCGGAGCCTGTTTCGTTCCTCTTTGTTAAGAACCATGTCCCCATCTTTGTCATATTTGGCAAAGACTGCTTCAATCTCAGCGTCGGGCACGCCCCGAAGTTTAAGGTCAGAGCGCCACTCATCCCAGTCGACTTGATCATCATTGTTCGTGTCAGCTGAGTCCAGGGCATCTTGAATGTCCTTTTTTGAATGTTAAAAAAATGATGGATCAGTTTTATTAATTCATTTTTAAAACACGGGCCTTGAGTCGGTCTTTGCGAAGTTTGAGTTTTGTGAGCATGCCATTGTAGCCCTTTTTGATGAAAGCTCCAAGGTCGAATTCAGATTTTCGCGTGGCCAAGTCTTCCTTGACTTCGGAGTATGTATCGTTGATGATGGCCAAGAACATGTTGAGCAAGACGAAGAAAACGAAGAACACATAGCTTGTTTTTTATGTCAATCAAATAAACTTGGCCTTGCTTACGTAATGAAAAAGACGGGTCCGAGAATATTGTGGGCATTCTCCAACTGGTGAAAGTTGAAATCACCGAGGATGATTCTGAAGAGCGTGTAGACACACTTGTCGAACTTGCTAAAATCTTCGACTTGGCTTCCAAAAATCAAGAATCCCAGTTGAGTGTAAGCAAGGAAAACGATCAGAAACATGATCATAAATCCCCCAACATCCTTCGCCGAACGAGAAAGAGTTTCGGAAAGCTAGAAATTGATGAATGAGACGCAATTATGCTCAAAAATATGCGGTGCTTACTTGATTCATAGTTGTGTTAAAGCTGATGTATTTGAAAAGTTTAATCCAGGCGAGGAAAACCACAATCGCCATGACGTACATGTACTAGAAAAGGTCAATGAGCGCGAATTTTTGAAAAGAATTTAAATTTTAAAAACTTACGACTCCTTCCCAATACGCCAAAGATTGGAAGTCAGCATATGAGTCTTCTTGTTTCATGAGAGCATCGAGTTTGTTTTCGATCTCAGTATGTCGGTACAAACTGAAGATAAAAAATGAATCTTAAGGGGGTAGAAACAGCTTTTTCCGAAAAGGGCGATTTTTGACCGGCGCTACAGACAAGAGAATCTTAAATTTTCAAATTTTCTCTTCAGGTTTAGATAGATACATCTTAGATCTAAGAACATCTCTCTCGAAATTTGTTTTAGTCGTCAAATTTTTGAGCAAACGGGCTCAGAAGCAGCTCATCTCTCCGAAATTCTCGATTTTCGCAAATTTTTAAACACGTATATCTCGAGTCCCCTGATAGTTAAACAAATTTCATTCACATTTTTGTGAAGCTCAACCCTTTTCTAGGAACATTTATGAGGAAATTTCGTGAACATAAATAAATCTTATGTTTTCTTTTATCTAGCTGCAGTCCAAGATCGACAAAGCTGTTTCTACCCCCTTAACAATACGAGTCAAGCTCTTACTAGAATGAGAAAGCGCAGAGAGACAGGAATATGACGATGACGTCGACGATATTCCAGAATCCTTTGAAATAAGCGCCCTTGTGGATCTTGATTTCCAAAAATTCCTCGACGCAGTAGTATACGATGAAAGCAATGTAGATGATCTCCGTGGCGAGAATAAAGTAGTCATATCCTTCTTTGAGTTTGAGGAGCTTGACGGTGCTGAATTTCTGCGAAGTGATGACGCCACCAGTTGCAGGGAACTCAGCGACGAGCTTTACGACGCAAAATAGGTTGATGTTCGGGTTGTAAACGGTGAAGTCAATGAAGAGTGCGCGTGTTCCTCGGTCGATCCACAGATCTTTCTTCAGATCATGGAGAATCTCGGTTGTTTTCGTTTTATTTCTTATCATAGAAACGATGAATCTCTGGAGAAACCTTACCGTCCAAGGTCTTTTGTATATCCAGAAGCGGGATAGGTAAACCCGAGCTTGTCAGATTTGTAAGTTCGTCCTCCAAGCTCATCTTCGGATCGCCAGGCCCATGGACAATCAGAATTGTACTTCCCCGCAGCTTTCAAGAAGCATGCAAAAATTGACGCATTTAGCAATTAGTAGAAACTACGCACTATGCTTTCCCATGAATACTACTGGTAGGAGTAGTCGGCTAATACTTAATTGAATACAACACGAGTAGTTCACACGATATCAACGATAAATTCACAGTTGGCATGAGAATGCGCGGGAAATTAAAAATATGTGATCAACGGTAAATCTGCGTAAGCGTGCCATTCCTTGACAGTCTTGATCGAAAGCCCCAAACGGCTCCTTGTCCTCCGAGTTCTTGCCGTAATTCGAGTGGCAGGCCAAAATGTCATCTTTGAAATCTTGGTGAACAGTGCAAGAATCGTTTCGGACCTAACAGTTTTTATTACCGCAAAAATCATAAAAATAAGCACCTTTATCTGTCGAATTCGAGGAGCTCCGAGAAGCTTGTTCTCGAAAAAGATGTATCCAGTATCTTCTTCAGGAATGGCTTCTCCATTGTACCAGTGCTCCCAGTAGAGACCGTCGACGAGCGAGTTTTCAGCGTAATCCCAGAACTGATCCATTTGATTCATGCCTTCCCATGTCTGGGGACCGCTCGAGACGAACAGTCTTGAATTTTTAGTAACGTTGATTGTTGATAGAAATCTTACTTTTGGAGAACATTTGTGAAGAAAAAGTGTGTTGTCGAGGTGTTTCCGAGTGTCATGATGATGATGTTCACGAGAAAGATGACATAGAGGATCAACTCGCGAATCGTCGTCTTTGCATACTTATCGGGATTATCTGACAAGTCCTTTTCGGTGAGCCGTGTGGCCCAAAGACTTCGAAAGCCATTTCCAATTTTACCGAGGATAGATCTATCCTTTTCAAATTTTTCCTAGACAAAAAATTGGGTAATGTTAAAAGAAAAAATACTAACGATTCTCTGAGCATCTTTTTGTTTTTCTTTGATGATCGAGTCCGTCGAGTCTTCGCGTTTTACAGCGTCAAAGTCGTCGTATGCGCCATTTTCGACGCCAATGTGGCTTGGTTCACCATCGTCCGTGGCTTGGCTTGATCCCCCGGCGGATTGAGCACGACCCATGCAACGAGCACTTCTTTCCCCTTTAACCTGTTTTTTTACTCTAGGACGGAGGTCAAAATTTCAAACCTTTCTGCTTTACTCGATCTTGTTGAGGAAGTCTTGTGCGCCTGAAAATATATATTCACTCTCCGGAAAACGTTTGGATGCAGCCTTGAAATAGCCTTCATAAATGGAGGCATTTACATTACAAAGCGAAATTATGAAAAATTCATCGAACTCACGCTGCATGTCGACAATGGACATGGCGTCATTGGAAATTTTCAATTCAGGTGTTGAATATTCTGTTTCGGGTAATTTTGGTCGTTGCAGATACTGTCATTATTGCCGAAGAAGGCTTTTCCCTTGCTACGACCTCGTTACCTTTCTTGAATATATTGACATGAAATCTTCTCCAACTGGAGAAAAGCCACATTTCAATATTTACAGATAAAGATTAAATTTCCCTTTTTTCTTCGCCTTTTCACAGCCAGCTTCAGAATTTCAGTTGAGAAAAGAGTTTAATTCGAAAAACATGTCTTGGCATAAAATTTTTTGTTGCTGGGTGTCATGCGAAGACCCAACAGAAGCAAAGCAGCCAAACAGAGGACAGAATAACAAGTCCTTCAAAACGACAGTCGTTGCTGAAGTAATGGACGAAGCATTCGATCATCAGCATGACGTTAAAAAGTATATTGGTCAAGTCGAAGGATATGCATTCAAGACTGCAGCAGATATCATTCAATCCCAGCATCAACTCATTGAGAATCTAAAGCGAGAGCGCGAAAATACTGCCTCCCCTTCTGCTCCAACTATGTCGACCCTCAATCGAACATTTGAGGCGGATTTTGAGGAAGTCAACCCGTCAAGACAGGAATTCATCGCCTCTGAAACTCGTTGCGAGCTGATAGACCTCCTCAGCTGCAAGAAATTACTCAGATTAGTCGGTCCTACTCATATTTTTTAACGAAACTTCTCCACTAATTTCTTATTGCTTACAATAAATTTGATTACAAATGAAAACCTCACTCTGCTTTCCCTCTTCCAACATGGTCATGGATTTTAAGGGCAAATATTTGTGGATAACAGACTGCTTTCCTTTTTTTACTTGCGTGAAATTTAAACAAGGGCCTCATAAACCAAAATGATTGACCTTTTTTGTTGCTATTTTTCATTCGGAGATCCTTCAAAAACAGATTCTTCTCAAAAGTACAGAGGAACTGATAACCATGCCTTGAATACTCAGGTTGTTGCGAATGTTGTGGACGAGCAATTGAAGCATGCTGATAATTTGAAAACGTATATCGCTCAAATTGAAGAATATGCTTTCGTGACTGCTGCAGATATTATTCAATCACAGCATCAACTGAATAGCGATCTAAAACGACAGCTCGAGAGATCAGGTTCGTCTCCTTCTGCTCCATCAATGTCGACCTTTGACAGGGTCAACCATTCAAGAGAAGAGTTCATCACTTCCGGAAACGCGCTGATGAGTTCTGGCAGACCTCCACAGTTGCAACAACTCACTCAGATTAGTTTGTCGTATTCCTAAAACTGCAGATTTCTTCTTATTTATTTCTGATTACAGTTCCTTAATTTACTGCTGATTGCCATCAATAAATTAAATTGCCGATGAATGTAGGGGTTGGATACTGAGAAAATGAATTTTTAATTATTTTGGTCCCCTGGGCCACTGCTGCCCCTGGACTTATCTCATCAAAAAAGCAAGTATGTGAAGGATGAGAGATTTCTGGATTTTACTAGTCTTGCATTTTTACTTTGCGAATTGTGATGATAATTGCTATGTTTTGATTTCCGGTGGCAAAATTGACAGGTAATGGCGAAATAATGAAAATAGATACAAACAAAAACATCTAGTGAGTTTACAGATGAATCGTTTAAAGTCCTGCTACAGAATAATTCTCATCATGGAAACATAGATATCCGCATAGAAAGAGAGCCATATGAGTCGCTTCCTTCCAGAAGAGCTGGGCATAAGCTCACTCTTTGGCACAATATTCCAATGCTCACTGGTGGGGAAATTTATTCGGCCCAGCGTGAGTTGAACAGTTCGGAATGTTACCTGAAAGACTTTCAAAATATAATCCTCGAGAAAGAAGCTCAAGACCCAGCAGCAGGCGAAGAAGTAAGCGTTTGGCAACTGTTACCAGAAATGAAAGAGGGCCCTCGACAGTATCATACTATGGTCGTCTTTAGAAACAGTCCGTATTCTGGAACAGCTTGGGTCTGTGGCGGAGAGCTTTGGAAGAAAGCAAAGGCTTCGGGAAAGATGATGTTGGACGTCGTTTCTAGCTGCGAATGCTTCAACAGATATTACATGAAATGGATGCCGTGCCCGACAATGCTCTTTGAAAGAAAATTCGCAACGAGCGCGGCGACCTACTTTGGTATTTATATGATCGGCGGCGAAGACAAAAAGGGCAGAATCTTGAGCGCTGTTGAATACGTCGAGCCGCTGGGAGGAGGGAAATGGACGCGCAAAACCAGCCTGCCTGTGCAAGTAAAGGGGCAGCTGCTGTCTGTATTCATGATGAGCTGTTTGTATTCGGCGGCTTTGACGGGGAAAAATCAATTGCAAGTGTCTTCTATTTGAACCGGACTAATTGGGTGGACTTTGGTAATTTGCTCTCGCGACGTTCGGGACATACAGTGACAGCGATGCAATCAACTGTGCTGATCTACGGCGGGGAGGATGATGGACAAATCAAATCTGCTGAAGTGTTCAATATAGATTCGAAGACCACAGGAATGGATAAATATTTCTTGATTCTGCAAAAATCAACAATTCAAAATGGTATCCCGGAAAAGAATACATAAAACTTCCCGGATACAAAAGTCTTCGCTACCACGCTGCGGCGGGTCTAGGCAAAAGTCAATATAAAATAGGCTTTCTATTATTTTTATGATAATAGAATCCTTTTGAAATTGATTTTGAGGGAGGTGCGAAGTGGAGGGCTACTTTAATTCGTGCTGCATAATTAGGGCTTCCGTATAAAAAAATTGTTTCTGATTCCGTTCATTGTTTCCTTAAATAATTATGGGAGGGATAAATCAATATAAGAAAAGGTTTTTAGGGGCAAAAGAAATAAAAAAAAATAATGTTTGATATCAAAATTATATAAATAAAAATGGTGATTTTTCATTTGTGCGTTGTCACTTGTCGATTTTTTTTATTTTTTGATATGTTATAGAGAAACATCAAAAACATAATATTTCATAAAAAAAATTTTGACTGGCCATTTATATCATCAGAAATAGTAACTTTTAGTAGAAAAATAACAAAGTTATTGTTAAAAAGTCCTCCGGAGGACTTTTGCTGGAAGAAACTATTTAGAAGAAGACATAGAATTAAATTTTTCAAAAATATATAATATTTCAATATTTAACGCAAAACCATAATTTGCAAATAAACAAGGACAAATTGAATTTTAATAATCATGGGTGTGGGTGGGGTTGGGGACATAACTGAGATTGATCAACTCAGAGTTCCAGGCCTTTGTCAAGCCCCTTAAATTTAAAAATCATGGAACGGGGCTGAAACGGCCCGAAGGGCCGTCAAGCCCCTTAAATTTAAAAATCATGGAACGGGGCTGAAACGGCCCGAAGGGCCGTCAAGCCCCTTAAATTTAAAAATCATGGAACGGGGCTGAAACGGCCCGAAGGGCCGTCAAGCCCCTTAAATTTAAAAATCATGGAACGGGGCTGAAACGGCCCGAAGGGCCGTCAAGCCCCTTAAATTTAAAAATCATGGAACGGGGCTGAAACGGCCCGAAGGGCCGTCAAGCCCCTTAAATTTAAAATCATGGAACGGGGCTGAAACGGCCCGAAGGGCCGTCAAGCCCCTTAAATTTAAAAATCATGGAACGGGGCTGAAACGGCCCGAAGGGCCGTCAAGCCCCTTAAATTTAAAAATCATGGAACGGGGCTGAAACGGCCCGAAGGGCCGTCAAGCCCCTTAAATTTAAAAATCATGGAACGGGGCTGAAACGGCCCGAAGGGCCGTCAAGCCCCTTAAATTTAAAAATCATGGAACGGGGCTGAAACGGCCCGAAGGGCCGTCAAGCCCCTTAAATTTAAAAATCATGGAACGGGGCTGAAACGGCCCGAAGGGCCGTCAAGCCCCTTAAATTTAAAAATCATGGAACGGGGCTGAAACGGCCCGAAGGGCCGTCAAGCCCCTTAAATTTAAAATCATGGAACGGGGCTGAAACGGCCCGAAGGGCCGTCAAGCCCCTTAAATTTAAAAATCATGGAACGGGGCTGAAACGGCCCGAAGGGCCGTCAAGCCCCTTAAATTTAAAAATCATGGAACGGGGCTGAAACGGCCCGAAGGGCCGTCAAGCCCTTAAATTTAAAAATCATGGAACGGGGCTGAAACGGCCCGAAGGGCCGTCAAGCCCTTAAATTTAAAAATCATGGAACGGGGCTGAAACGGCCCGAAGGGCCGTCAAGCCCCTTAAATTTAAAAATCATGGAACGGGGCTGAAACGGCCCGAAGGGCCGTCAAGCCCCTTAAATTTAAAAATCATGGAACGGGGCTGAAACGGCCCGAAGGGCCGTCAAGCCCCTTAAATTTAAAAATCATGGAACGGGGCTGAAACGGCCCGAAGGGCCGTCAAGCCCCTTAAATTTAAAAATCATGGAACGGGGCTGAAACGGCCCGAAGGGCCGTCAAGCCCTTAAATTTAAAAATCATGGAACGGGGCTGAAACGGCCCGAAGGGCCGTCAAGCCCCTTAAATTTAAAAATCATGGAACGGGGCTGAAACGGCCCGAAGGGCCGTCAAGCCCTTAAATTTAAAAATCATGGAACGGGGCTGAAACGGCCCGAAGGGCCGTCAAGCCCCTTAAATTTAAAAATCATGGAACGGGGCTGAAACGGCCCGAAGGGCCGTCAAGCCCCTTAAATTTAAAAATCATGGAACGGGGCTGAAACGGCCCGAAGGGCCGTCAAGCCCCTTAAATTTAAAAATCATGGAACGGGGCTGAAACGGCCCGAAGGGCCGTCAAGCCCCTTAAATTTAAAAATCATGGAACGGGGCTGAAACGGCCCGAAGGGCCGTCAAGCCCCTTAAATTTAAAAATCATGGAACGGGGCTGAAACGGCCCGAAGGGCCGTCAAGCCCTTAAATTTAAAAATCATGGAACGGGGCTGAAACGGCCCGAAGGGCCGTCAAGCCCCTTAAATTTAAAATCATGGAACGGGGCTGAAACGGCCCGAAGGGCCGTCAAGCCCTTAAATTTAAAAATCATGGAACGGGGCTGAAACGGCCCGAAGGGCCGTCAAGCCCTTAAATTTAAAAATCATGGAACGGGGCTGAAACGGCCCGAAGGGCCGTCAAGCCCCTTAAATTTAAAAATCATGGAACGGGGCTGAAACGGCCCGAAGGGCCGTCAAGCCCCTTAAATTTAAAAATCATGGAACGGGGCTGAAACGGCCCGAAGGGCCGTCAAGCCCCTTAAATTTAAAAATCATGGAACGGGGCTGAAACGGCCCGAAGGGCCGTCAAGCCCCTTAAATTTAAAAATCATGGAACGGGGCTGAAACGGCCCGAAGGGCCGTCAAGCCCCTTAAATTTAAAAATCATGGAACGGGGCTGAAACGGCCCGAAGGGCCGTCAAGCCCTTAAATTTAAAATCATGGAACGGGGCTGAAACGGCCCGAAGGGCCGTCAAGCCCCTTAAATTTAAAAATCATGGAACGGGGCTGAAACGGCCCGAAGGGCCGTCAAGCCCCTTAAATTTAAAAATCATGGAACGGGGCTGAAACGGCCCGAAGGGCCGTCAAGCCCCTTAAATTTAAAATCATGGAACGGGGCTGAAACGGCCCGAAGGGCCGTCAAGCCCCTTAAATTTAAAAATCATGGAACGGGGCTGAAACGGCCCGAAGGGCCGTCAAGCCCCTTAAATTTAAAAATCATGGAACGGGGCTGAAACGGCCCGAAGGGCCGTCAAGCCCCTTAAATTTAAAAATCATGGAACGGGGCTGAAACCACCAAAAGTCCTCCGGAGATCTCCAAGAAGTCCTCCGGAGGTCACATGATAGCATTATGTTTTTATAAATATACATTATTATTGATTTGTTAAATTATTTTTAATTTTTCCATGTCTTCTTCATAAATGCTTCTTCCAGCAAAAGTCCTCCGGAGGACTTTTTTAAAACAATAAAATCTTAATATCAAGATAAAATCTTATTTTAGATGTTTTATTGCATATGCAATAAATTTTTTTTAAGAAATCTAGGTTTTTGAGTATGCCCTTTCACATATCTAAAAATTAAAAAAATCGACAAGGGACGAGACGAGAAAATCAGTTTTGTCATTTTAACAATCACGTGCGTGGATAAAATTTTTTTTTTCACGATGAAAATTTTTTTCCACTGAAAAATACATTCCCTCCCCGAATTTCAAACAATTCGGTCAGCCCAGTTAAAATTTTGTTTTTATACGGAAGCCCTATGCATAATTAATGCTCTCTTTTGTGGCTTGCTGCTAATCATCCTCTTGACCTCTTCTATCTATATTGGGTTTTGGCGGAGTGATCTGTGGGTTCCACTATTGCAAGAGGTTTGTCGACAAAAAATGACGATAATAAAAAAAAATAAGCACAACGCGGAATGCAGAAGACACGAGGAAGAAGAAAAAATGCTCGGCTGATTTTTACCAAACACTTGTAAATACAGATTTTGTATATTGTTTTTTTATTGCACCTGATTCTGAACAATCTTCAAGTTTTTAATTTTCGTCAGAATAGCATTCGTTGCTTCGCTATCTACCAGCCCGGTCGGAGTGAGGCCAATGTCCGTGCCGTCGAGGGCAAAACGCGAGGCAGACTTCGTAATTCTCTCAACAGAGCTGTGATGTTCATGGCGAGCGGAGTCGATAATGTCGGATGTGAGAGCAAGCCCTTGAGGAAGCAGATTCAGCAGCACTGGGATATCGTCGTCGAGACATTTTCGCAGTCGCATGTATGCGTCGCGCGCTTCTTGCAGATCCTGGTTCGACTGATGCAGTTTTATTTGCTTTTGGCGGTTGTTTCCTGCTTTGGCCGCCAGACGCTCGTGCTTGGCTTTCTTTTCCATGTACTGTTGCTCGTGGTATTCACTATAAAAAAAGTTCATTCATGAGAAGCGTTAGATTGATACCATCTAGCCATCGTACTTTCGATTTTCTTGTACAAAGTGTCGATTCTTGAATTCGGCTGAATAACACACTCCCTTTCTTGCGATAAAGTTAAATACTCAGGTGAACTTGATCTGAATCCTTTTTATCCCATTTCCTTAGAGTTTTGTCATAAGCCCTCGTCGCAACAGTAATTGCGTCAAAAGCCTGCTTCATGTTCTGCATCTTGGACTCGTTTTTATTGAGAGCGCAAATGGCTACGATGTTTGACATCGTCTTGTCGAGAGCGCGACAGTTCTCGATTTCGCGTTCGCTGTTCGCAGTCATTTGGCGGTTTTGAGCTCTTAAATCCGGGCGCAAAACGGTTTTTCTTGTTTTCAATCGCATTTATTTAACCCTAAGCGTCTCGGTCAGAGCACCCCCTGTGCGGCTCGCGGGGGAATTTTTTTCACCCGCCCATCTAGAACAATGTTGTGCATTATTTTACGCTTCTTCGAAGCAAAATGCGCTGACTCTCGTGTTATCACAGTCTGGGAGACAGAAAATCTTCAATTTTTGGTGTTTTTTAGTCGAGCTAGAGATTGTTATGTAATAATTTTCATGTTCTCGAGTCGAAAACACACCAACTTCACGCGCGTTCATTCGATTCTCTAGACAAATTTCATGTTCTCGAGACAAAAAATGGTCATTTTCTACTGTTTTTTACGATTTACTCGATGATGAAAAATACTAACATATCATTTTTATGTTTTTAGCAGATAGGAAATCTGACGTAGATTCTTATTCTTTTTGAATTTTCTGATTCAGACAAAAATTGGCCGAGAAATTTGCAAAAAAGAGGCGCGGGGGAAAAAAGTTCCCCCGCGAGGCGCATACGGTTAAGTATCGTATTTGCGACAGATTTCCTGAGACGTTTGAGAGTCTTCAGATGCTCTTCTGGGATTAGTTTTGTCGCTCTATAATTCCAGACTTAGAAACTCTTGCTCATTCGACTAATTCAAACCTGCTCATTTTCAGTAAAAACGGTTGTTTTTGAAAAATAAAAGTTCGAAAATTGCCAAATATCTCTTTTTATTTGCTTCTCGGCGCCAATCAAATCCGACACTTTTCAAGTTGGTGAAACTTTGATCGCAGCAATCCTGACTCTTGAAATTCAAGTTGAATATGCATCTAGTTGACCATTCAGGCATGAAACAAATGGAAAACTTCTCAATACGGCTGCAATGGAAAGTTTTATCGGAGAAATGAATTGGGGAAGAATATTTATTTACAGAAACAGATGAACTGGGTTCGGAACAGACAGGGCACAGACAGAATTTGAATCAGTTGATTTCACTTTTTCTTATCATTATCATTATTTGCATTTGAATCCTTTGGATCTTTTTTCGTCAGTTTTACTCCAGTGACAATCGTGGCATTTCCATTCTTTGTGACTGAAGGTTTGTGGGTGGGGATGTCCTCTGGTGGATTTTCGACTGTGTTCAAATTGACAACTTTGCTGTCTCGAGGGGGCACTTCTACTTGTTGCAGGAGCTTCTCGATTTCGAGCTTTTTCTGGTCGACGTTGAGGTTGAAGCTGGGCAAGGGAAGCATGAATTCTCGGCCACGGTGGTCTTTGATCAGAAGGTTTCCGAAGAAGAGTGCATTTGGCTGCGGGAGCATCGTTGAAGACGTAAACTAAAATTACTGTAGGTCTCAAGCTGGAAACTACAAAATACCTTGAAGATGGGATTTTCAGGCGTGAGCGTAATACTGCCAATATTTCTCTTTCTTCTGAGATTTGGAGAGCCAGGAATAAAGTCAGAGCCAACATTCAGCCCAGGTCCAGTCTCGATTTGTTGGTTAGTGTCGTCGCCTTGCCATGTGAAATTGTGGCGTTTTATTTTGTAGTAGACTCCTTCAAACTGGCTGAGGAGCTCGATACGCAGGTGGTATTTCCAGCAGAATTGGGGGACGATTTGAGCTAGGATCGACAAGTCCCACCCGACACCCGATCGAAAACCGACGTTTTTGTCGGGTTTTTGTTGGATTCTGCCGACCCTACAAAAACCCGACGCTGAAATTCTGGCGAACCTACAAAATCGGGTTTTTCTAGGGTCATTTATCGGATTTTTGTAGGGTATTTTCGTCGGGTTTCTCCTTGGATCTACTCATCAGTTTGATTAAAGATAGTACCCGAAATTCTGTTAGCCAAAAATTCTGTCTAGTTTCGCCGATTTGGATTCATTTTACTTGATTCAACTGTAGTGTTGTGAAAACCCGACAAGAACCCGACAAAGACCCGATAAAAACCCGAAAAACACCCTACAAAAACCCGAAAAATACCATACAAAAATCCGATAAAAACCCGACAAAAACCCGACGAAAACCCGACGAAAACCCGATCGGAAAAGTCAGACTTCAAGGAAATCCGACGAAAACCCGATCCGGATTTCGGGGGTATTTGTCGATCCTAGGATTTGAGTCTTTGAATTGTAAGCCTAAAATGGTTGATTAATAAAATCAAGGAAGAAAAAATAGCGTACCAAAAACACGGGTGAAATCGATACTTTGATCCCTTCAGGCCAGCATGTGCGTTCAAACGTACTCAAAGTCTCGTAATTAAAGTAATCGTTCTTCCATTTAAGTAAGTTGCCGGTTTCCTAAAGCCAATTGTTTTATAGATAAATTAATTTTTAAAGACCTTGGCTTCGCCGTCGAAATCGTAGATAAACTTTTTGTACCAATAGTTGTCGAAGTCGAAGGCGTCTTTGCTCCTCAATGGGAGTCCGTTTTGGTCGTATCCTTCAAAAGGGTTGTTGACGAATGGACGGATCTCGCGGGGGTCGACGATGTCGAAGCCATCAACGTTGCGAAGATTGAGCATCGCGTCTTTGAAGATATCCTGCACGAGATGGGTTTCGTGAGTTGGGATGTCGCGTTGGTCGACAAGCGCCATGTATTTCACCTGGGAATAGAGAGATAAGGGAAAGGGGGAAGGCTCACCTCGTCGTTCAAAACGTAGTCTTGGGATTTCTCATCGTAGGTATAGCGCGAATGGGGGATTTCAAAGAGCACTAGTCCGCGATAATTCAACTTGTCATGCAAGAAATGCTGCCCAACGCTGTAAGAGTTCGAAGCTTCAGTTTTCTTCCCGAGTTGAACGAATGTCGTCTGTTTCTTGAACGAGTTGAATCGCCGCCCAACTCGACAAAGCATTCTGAAATGGCGAAAGAGGATAATTTTTAATAAAATGGAAGATTATTTTAATTTTTGGCAGCTATCTTTGCAGACGATTGAATCTTCTTTTCTTTTCGTTCTTTCTTGAGTCTTTCGAATTTCTCTCTCTGGAAGATTTTTCTGTTCTTTTCCTTCAGCGAGTTTTTGAACATTTTCTTGCTCTGGCCTTTTTCGATCATCTGTATCAGCGACTTCTCTTTGGACATTCTTGCTTGATCGTGTCGGCCCATCATTTTGTTCCGAAAGTCGACGGCGCTCTGGCAGCGAGAATCGATCTTGTCAACGAACCTGCTGGGCATCGCATGAATCCCACGATCATCCGGAAACGCGGTCAACTTTTTCTTCGCCGGTCCTAAAGAAGAATTGAGTAGAATGCTCTCTCAAATTATTCTTACGTTTCTTAGATGCCCATTTTATCTTTCGCTTTCGAGTATTTTCCGATTTCTCAAGGGCTTCGAATATCGCCGGGTTGAGCTCTTCTGAAATGTGGATTCCTTCATCTTCTGGTGTCGATATTTCATCGTTGTCACTCTTCTGAAAGATAGAGTAAAACGGAATTGCTAGAAAATACTCACCGTGCAGCTGTCAGCGATATTTTCAGCTTCTTCGCCGTCAGATTTGATGGCATCGTTCGTTTCGTCACTTTCTTGAGCTTCTTTGACATTTACTGGCGTGCCTTCCGTATTCTCCAAATCTTCTGCTTCAGTTTCTTTATCTTGAGCTTTCTGTGAATAACTGTTAGATAAAAGATTTAAAACCCTAACGAACCTTCTCTAATTCCTGATTCTCAGTCGAATCTATCTTCTTTTCTTCAGTACTTTTCTTCTCAACATTCTCAACAGGAGATTCTGCTTCACCTGTTTCTTCAGAAACGTTTGGTTCTACCGCTTCTTCTTCAGTCACGTCAGGTTCTTGTTCCGAGTCGATAATAATCGCCGAAGGTTTAAGGTTGACTTTGATAATCGGACTGCTGGCATTGCTGCTTATCGTTTCGTCGGGTTTCTCTTTTTCTTCTGTCTCCTCGTCTTCCTCAACAATCGCTTCTGGGAGAGAAGGCAGTTTCTGCGCCTCCTGCTCTTGATCGTTTTCGACACTTTGGTTAGACAGCCGTCTCGATCGCCGAACACTTGGGGTCGATGTCATTGTCTCAGGAAGTGTTTCTTCTGGCTCTTCTTGAACCGATTCCAGATTCTTCAACAGCTTTCGTCGGACTGGCTTGCTCTCGGCGTCGGATGCTTCGCCGTCTGAACTTTGTCCGGAAATGCGCCTCGATCTTCGTGGAGTCATCACTGCTGGTGTGTCGTTTCTTTTCGTTGGCGTCGCTGCTTTCTGCGGCGTTTCAGAAATAGTTTTGTTTGCTTCAAAGTCGTACAAGGAAGAGTCCAGCCCTGACTCGCTCATCGTCGTTTCTAGCAACTAAAAATGGAAATAAAAGGGGTATTTTTCGAGCTCAAAATGTACCTGCTTGAGATGTGCCTTTCTCATCTTGGATTCAAACTGAACCCCTCTCGATTTCAATTCATCTTTGAGATCTACAACTCTCAAGTCGTCGATTCCCTTCACCATCTTGCGGAAAATTTTCTTAAGAAAAACGAGTTGAAACTAATTATTTGTGGAAATTTTGATGGTCACATGAGAAATTGAAAAAGCTAAAGTTGTGAGGTGGCAGTTTGAAAAAGTTGGGAGGTGAGTAAAAATATACAACAACGAAAAAAATACTCTGCAATATTTCCAGCAAAAAGATTCTGAATCATCAGTTTTCTACTGGCTCACTTTTGATCATTGCGAGCTGGGTTGAAGAATCCACTGAACAAGATGGATGAAAACAAATCGAATAGCTAATCCTTACGGAGTGCTTCTTCAAATGCATCTTGCTCGTAGGGAACGTAGATGCCACTTTTCATGCCCGAAGATTTCACCACGCTCTTGTATCGTCTTTTTGCATCCTTGTTCTTTTGGCACGAGATGATGTGGCTCTTCAAAAGTCCTTCCGAAGCTCTTTCACTTTTCTTCACCTAAAAAGAGTTCAAATTTTCATTTTCTTTGGTACCCCGGCCTGGCAAACTGTGTAGAAAACCTGCGTCAGGGTTTCTACACAAGTTACCGGGCCCAGCTTTAGCACAAACCTCAATATGGTAAGTACACCAAGGATTTGGACAGAGAAGTTGCTTAGGTGGTCGTCCATTATCTTCGTATACCGGAGCAGATTTTCGACGAACAGGAGTTTTCCGTCGAGCGGAAGTATTTGAAAGTCCTGACTGATAGTTCGAGGAGCCAGAGGAATCTCCAGATGATGCTCTTGAATGAGGCCGTGAGGATGGCCCTTCTTCGTACGAATCTTCTTGTGTGACATTTGAAAATCGGTTTTCCAGGGGAATTCGCCAGAGAGTACCGCAGCTTTCGCATTCCACATCTCCTGAGAAAGAAAAAAATGAATAAAAAAGACAATTTATTTCGTCATTTTTTTAAATAAACTTACGTCCAAATGAGTCCAAATAATGCTTCAAAATGAAGCAAACTCCACAGTTCGACATTTTCGCTTACTTTTCTCTCAATAAAAAATGCGTTTCTCTAATTCGCCGAAAAAAGAAGAATAAAAGTCGAAAAGTTTCGTTCAAGACGTCTTTCTCGTGACGTCACGGTTGGATAATGACTCAAACCGCGGACGAGAGAGTTCGATTTTTTCCTCCGAGAAGAATTAAAAAAAGAGTTCAAAATAGCTTTTGCAGAGAAATGAAATGAAAAAATGGCCAATGAAGAAGATCAGCTGACTTTATTTTTCTCTGCCTATCAGACTAATTTATTTTTGTCTTAGAATAATCAACTGTATTCGAAATATTTTAGAATGAGTCTTGAAGAGCTGTATTCGCTGTACGAGAAGAATGTGAACGAACCGAATCGAAAGAAGACCCTCACTGCCATCTCAAACCATCCGAACGCCAACCTCCTTGCTGAGCTCATTTTCAAACGAATGGATAGAACCGATTATGTGTCCGCGAAGAATCAGCTTCTTCCGATCGAGAATGACGAACATGGCCCGTTCGATAATTTGCTTGGGGAACATCAATGCGACTGGATCCTAGAATTAATGGCTCGGGAAGATTATGTGATCAACTTGATAAAAGAAGAATTTCAGGTCAAATACGATCGTGAGCCCAGTTCATTGAGCGACATCGTCAAGATTGCTTGCCAGCGAGAAATGATGGTGAAATCCCCTGTTCCGAAAGCAGTTTTCGAAACAAAAGATTGCCATTGTGACATAGGGAGTAGCTGGATTGTGACTTATCGAAGAATTAATGGTGTGGACGAGCAACAGAGAGTTGGGACCTTCCCATACATATACAAGATTTTGCGCGCACCTGAAATTCGTCTGGAGAGGCTACGTCTTCCAATCGGTTACCCGAGAAACGTCCATTGCCTTCTCTTCGAGCCGTTCCTCATCATTTTTGACAGAAAGAAAAGGATTGATGTTTTCAATCTACTTAAACCGAACGAGCAACCAAAAAGCATCACTGGAGAAGGCGAATTAATAGAACCAAAAGGGTATTACAAAGCTGATCTTCGTCGTAATGGGAAGATTCTGGACAATGTCATCTTCCCGATCGTGCGAAGAGAAGATGGAAGAACCATTTGTGTCGACTTTGCGCTCATCTCAAGATCATCTGTAGACGTTATTTTGCACGAAACGATCAAACTGCCTGAAAAGACTGGATACGCTGAGCAGCCTGAGCTGAAAATTTTAGACCGGGACAATTTTCTTCTTCGTATCGATCTCAGAGACGATGAAGACATGGATGGACTTCGTGGATGCGTTGCTTTTCTCATTATAACATCCAAGAAGAAGATAATAAGCTACTCTCTCCCCTATCTTTCAGGATTTCCTGAATTTGCAATGATCGATGGGCGTCTTGGAATGATCGTTTGGTCGTCACCATTCGACGACTATAATGAGGACAACACTCTTATAAATTTTGCGGCCTTTGCATTCTTGTCGGAGAACAGTGGACTCGAAGTTATTTGCTTTTTCAAATATCATTACGGCAGAATTTCAATACGACAAGATAGGATTATGCAACTCAACGTTGGGGAGAGTAAAGATACGATAGTTTTTGTTGAGCCCCTCATCAATCACTTGGAGAAGACGGGTCAAGCGAGGCCTTCTCTGACTAAAGCAGTAAATGGTCACCAAGTTACAAGGCCCATTGTTGAGATAGGTAATAATCATCACCACCAGGTTCTTATTTATATTTATGAAATTTTTAGAAAGTCTGCTTTATGAGAAACTTGCAGCAGAGACGGTGACAACAGCATGTCGTAGCATCACCTCGTCATGTATTGGTCGCGCTGTTCTTAAATCATGGGATATGACGAGCGACCAGATGGAGATCCAAATTTACGTCTAAGAAAATAGTTCTGGAAAGCTTACTCTTTTTCACCATAGAAATAATGACCCCTTTTTATCGTTCCCTGCTCACGTCGAACACCTGCTATTTTTCACTTCCAATTATTCACAATTTTGCCTCTCTTTTATCTGCCGTCGTCTATCAGTTTCGACTGCCACAAATAAAAACTAAAAGAAAAAAATGCTTCTCATAAGTTCTACAAGAATGGAGCATGGCGGAGATATTTATTTGTTAATTCACGAGTGACAAATTTACACTGTATGGAACCATTTTAGAATGGAATCGAGCGAGATAGTCAGCTAGTTCTCAAAAAAGATCTTCGAGATGAAGAATTCAATCCGTAGAATTCACCTACTCGTTCGAAAGAATTTTGTCGTACTGTTAAAGCGGCCCAAGACTGTTTGTTTCCAATTCCTCGTTCCAGGTATACCGAGAAAAGCGCATTATAGTGAACGTTTCAACTTATTCTAGCCCTCCTTGCATCTCTCCTGCAAATCGGTCGTTACAATGTCGAGCGCGATCTTACCTTCATCAACAAAACTACAGTCTGGCCTTCCTTCCCTCTTGAGCCTATGTACGCAAACTATCTCAAGAAGAACGAGATGCAGAAATTTTTCATTCCTTATACTGCCCAAAAGAATTCGTCTCAGATTTCATTCATTACGAATAAGCTGGCCGAGATGCTGAATCGTGCACTACCGGAAAAATCATTTTTTGGATTGTTTGGAAAAACAACGAATCCGTTTAAATTCGAGCCAGTTTTCTTTGAAAGCGAAAAGGATCTAACGCACTTCACGACAAACGAAGTCCAAGACGAGCAAGAAGTATTTCTTGCGATAAATTTCCACGAAGTTTCGGCGAAGATGCTCAATTACACTATTCGGCCGCTCGCATCACCCCGCGCCGAACTGAATGGTGAAAAAGTGCACGGGCAGATTGGATGGATGACAAACCTGCTCTATCCTTATCGATCAGATATTAAACGAAAGCCAATGCTGAATTCTATCAAAGATCCGAAATTTGGAAATCGACCGAATTACTTCAAAGAAGGGATAGTTTCAACGCAGCATTTTATCGACCTCTTGTGGATGGAAACTTTCAACACGAATTTCACCGCTTCTGATGTTTCTCTTACTCTCCAGCGATTTCCCTACCCGCCGTTTGTGAAAGACGATTTCATTATCGCGATCGAGCAGAATCTCCCGTTCGTTCTTCTTCTTTCATTTTCCTATCTGACCCAGCAAATTGGAAAGCAAATCGCGATAGACAAAGAAACAAGGATCAAGGAATACATGTTGATGATCGGACTGGATCGCTCCCTCCTCTGGATGTCCTACTTCGTCTTCTTCTTTTTGCAATTCATCGTTATTTGTTTTCTCGTGACAATGGCTATCTGTACTCCCTTGAGTCAAAACGGAGCGATCATCAACTATTCCTCCTTTTCCGTCATCTTTGCCTTCCTACTTCTCTACTGCGTCAGCCTCATCGGCGTTGGCTCTCTCGTTTCGACCATTTTCGACTCTTCAAGCTCCACCTCCGCCGCATGTGGAATCGTTATCATGCTTTTCTACATTCCGTTCGGCTTTATTCAGAACAATATCGATGGAATATCTCAATTTGTCAAACTTTCCCTTACCATTTCTCCTCCTGTTGCGATGGCGCTCGGCTGCTCGGTTATTTCGGCCTGGGAGTCCTCTGCCTCTGGCGTTCACTGGAACAATATTTTCCATCCAGTGTCGATCGCTGATTCGATGACTCTTGGTCATATCTTTGCCGCGATGATCCTCGATACAATTATTCTCCTCCTTATAGCCTTTTATGTCGACCAAGTTCGCCCTGGAACTTGGGGAATCTCCAGACCCTGGTACTTTCCTTTTCAATTCTTGATCAAATCTACTTCTCCTGTCGGCAAACGCGAGAAACAAGTTGAAAATGCATTTGTTGAGCCACTGCCGAAATCAGCGGAGATTGGATTTATGCTATCTAATGTCAACAAAATCTTTCCTTCAAAAAGAACTGGTCGTCGAATGGCTCTCAATAACATGAACTTCATCGCACCAAGCAATCAAATAACTGTTTTGCTCGGGAAAAATGGAGCTGGAAAGTCGACGACGATGAATTTACTTTCAGGCATGCTTGAGCCGACATCTGGAACTTGTCGTGTTGGAGAATATGACATCGTTACCCAGACTCAACAAGCGAGAAAGTTCCTTGGCCTCTGTCCGCAGTTCAATATCTTGATCAAGGAATTGACCGTTCGGCAGCATCTCGAACTCTTTGGTCAGATAAAAGGAGCTTCGTTAGAGGAACTGAAGAAAGAAATAGAAACTTTGATCGACGAAATTCAGTTGCGAGAAAAGATAGACACGCGTGCTGGAAATCTCTCAGGCGGGATGCAGAGAAAGCTTTCGTTGGGAATCGCGATTGTTGGAGGATCAAAGTACATCATCTTGGATGAGCCAAGTTCAGGCGTTGATGTTCGGGCTAGGTCGGAGCTTTGGGACATCATGAGCAAGTATGGACGTGATAGAACTCTCTTGGTTTCGACTCATTACATGGACGAAGCAGAGGCTATTGGTCATCGAATCGTCATGATCAATGAAGGAGAGCTGACCTGCGATGGCACTATATCCTTTATAAAAGATAAATTCAACGAAGGATACTATCTGAATGTGTCTCTTGCTACAGCTGATTCAAAAATCGACGATTACTTACTTGGCAAAGGAATAAATCGGCTGCATTCAAATGATCAATCACTTGAGCGACAATATCGCATCCCTCATCAGTTTCCGAGCATGTCAGGCTTCCTTGAAGAATTTGAGGGACAAGCATCTGCGCTGAAAATGGAATCTTTTGGACTTTCTATCATGACAATGGAAGAAATATTCCTTCAACTGTCGAAGGAGAAAAATGACGATCAAGTAATCAACATAAGCTTAGATGAAAAAGAAGCATCAGACGAGTGGGATGACTGGCAAAAACCAATAAAGCTGGAAACAGGAAGAACTCTTCTCAAAGGCCAATTCTTGGGCGCGTTTCATAAGTGCAGACTTTACGCACTAAGAAATCGAAAAATTATTCTTATGCAGCTCCTGACACCAGCTGTTTTGCTTCTGCTTTCGCTAATACAGATTCAAGTTATCCCGGAGATCGGAGGCTCTCCGAACCTTGATTTGAGCATGAATCAATATGCTGAGAATGGACAGAGTCTCTCAACCCCTGTTCACAATCTGGAAGCTAAATATTTCAACCTTCTTCGGCCGAGTGAAGTTGTACTTGTTGGTAACCTGACAGAATGGATTCCAAATGAGTTGACGAAGATGAGAATCGAATTCAACAACAAATATATTTTCGGCTTGGAGAAAGATCAAAGCAGCTACAACGCCTTCTTCAACGCTCAAGCTTACCATGCCGCTGGAACTGCTGTTCTTTACTCCGATAGAATTGTTGCTAGCGAAGTTCTCCCTGGGTCAACGATTGTGACGAGCAATTTTCCTCTTCCGAAGCATTCATCTTCACCTGCGGAAAAGAAGCGGATAAATGTCTCGATGCAGGGAGCCATCATCGTGTTCAATACAACTTTTGGAATCATGATCATGTTTGCAGCTTTTGCCATGTTGCCAGTAAAAGAGCGAAAAGTTGGAGTCGCGACTTTACAACGAACGTCTGGAGCTTCGATTTCCACACTTTGGTTTGCTCAGTATTGCTGGGACATCCTCAACACTTTGCCGAGTTTCGTGCTGCTTTATTTCATGTTCCTTTCGATGAAGAGCTTGAAGGGTATTCAGTTACTGCTCGATTACTCTTCTGGGCTGTTCTCTTTGTCATCGATGTTCATACTTGTTCAACTGCCAGTAGTTTACTGCCTCAGGTGAGCGAATCTCTTATACCATTTGGTTAATCAAACCTTTCTTTTTAGCTTCTTGTTTACAGAACCAGCCTCAGCGTTATCCTACATTTCATCAATCAATTTAGTCCTATCAATGGCACCTTTTATCACAACGAGTAAGCTTCGTCATATTTATCCATCTTAAAAATTTTTAGTTATCCTCCGAGTTCCCGCTTTCGGACTCATGGACACCTCCTGGCTTCTCAACAAAATCTTCCTTATTCTACCTCAGTACAACTTCGCGCAAGGTGTCTTCGATTTGTACTACAATGCGAACGTATTGAACTTTTGCACCAAGAATCGAAAGAATGAGCTTCTCTGCGAAACAACCGGAATCAAATTTCAAAGGTTTGCGAGTAGAATAAGGGCGTTTTCTAATCTCATTTTCAGGAACATTTGGTCATTGAATGAAATTGGCATCGGAAGATACCTCCTCGCCATGTTTATCCAGTTGATTCTTGCGTTTGCGATTCTCTTCCTGATCGAATACTTGCGAGCAAATCACCTTTTAGAAATATGCACCAATTTTTTCAAATCACGTCGACGTTCCTCTCCTAAAGTTCCAAGGAATAATGAAAATCCTCTTTTGCCTATCCACTCGAAGAAACACCCCTTACTGTTACAAACTTGCACAAAACTTACAAAGACTTCACGGCAGTAAATGACATCTCCTTCGATGTTCAACTCGGCGAATGCGTCGCACTTCTGGGCCCAAACGGCGCTGGAAAGACGACAACATTCAAGATGATAACTGGCGAGATTCCTATAACAGGAGGAACTGCAGCTATTTCTGGCTTTGACGTCGGGAAGAATAGACTAGGTTTGAATAGAGCTTCATCAAGAATTCACGAATTTTTCAGACGCTCTTCGAAAATTTGGGTACTGTCCTCAATTTGATGCTCTTCTTGATGTTCTTACCGGCCGTGAGCACCTTACTCTGTACTCACGTCTTCGAGGAATCCCCGAAGAAAAGATTGAAGAAGCCTCGAAAGTCTTACTTCGTCTCCTTGGAATTGAAAAGTACGCTGACCAAAAAGTACTTGGCTACTCGGGCGGGACGAAGAGAAAACTCTCGGTCGGCATCGCAATGATCGGTGGGCCACCTTTGCTTATCCTCGACGAGCCAAGCTGTGGACTTGATCCTAGTGCTCGGCACAAACTATGGACTGTAATCAAACGAGCGCGAAATGCGAACATCGCCATCTTATTGACCTCCCACTCGATGGAAGAATGTGCCGCCCTTTGCAATCGTTTAGGAACCGTTCTTTATCTTCCTAGTTAAAGTTCTGAAAAAATAGATTTTGAACGGCAATAGCAATAATTGTGTCAGGAAATCTGAAAGCGATTGGAACACAACAAAAACTAAAATCAGAATTTTCAAATTCCTCCGAAGTGATGCTCCAATTTGATATCGAAAAATACAACGTCTACGAAACGAAGATATTTCTACGAAAAGCATTCAAGTCTATTTGTGACATCGAATTGGTCCCACATGGAATGGTTAGTTTCAAGTCCGGCTCTAGAATTGTTATTGTTCGATATTGATAACATCCCGCCGTGTCCCCGTTTTTGATCATCTTTCTTTAGAATACGATTCGTTGTAGCTGCCCAAAGAGCGTTAAAATGTCCTCCTTGTTTTCAGTCTTAGAAAAACTCAAATCAGAAGAAAAAATCACTGGTTTTACTGTCAATCAAGCCACACTTGAGCAGATTTTTATGCAGCTAACGCGAACCGCATGATTTAGTAGCACATTTTTACCTTTTACATGTTCTTTATTTCTCATTTAAACTACCATTTATTACAGAAAACATAGGGATGTGATAAGAAAAATCGCCAATCTCTAGGCTTTCGTAATCCCCAAATTTTGTTTCTAGGGGGATACTAAGTTTGATCTGGGCTTTCCAAAAAAAATAAAATTTTTGAAAAATTTAAGGGTCTAGCCCCCAAAAACTCATTTTTTCGTCAAAAATCTTGGTTTTTTGGCCAGCGAGGGACGGGAATCAATATTTTTTCGGTTTTTATTCCACCAGCATCTTTTTCAGGACCTTCGACAACCCCAGTGAGTGCATCCCCGAAAAAAAGTAAAATTTGCTTAAGAAAATTTTCGACCGAAAAAAATCAAAAATTTTCAATTTTTTCAAAAAACATTTTTTCATTATTAGACACTAATAATATAGGGTCGGGCATTAACTAAACTAAATAATTATTAGCGTTGCCAAGTAAAAAAATCGACTTCTATCCAAAATGAAGACCATAATTAGTCAATAAACCAGAATAATTTAAATTTTTATAACGATGGGTGTGGGTGGGGTTGGGGACATAACTGAGATTGATCAACTCAGTGTTCCGAGCCTTTGTCAAGCCCCTTAAATTTAAAAATCAAGGAACGGGGCTGAGACGGCCCGAAGGGCCGTCAAGCCCTTAAATTTAAAAATCAAGGAACGGGGCTGAGACGGCCCGAAGGGCCGTCAAGCCCCTTAAATTTAAAAATCAAGGAACGGGGCTGAGACGGCCCGAAGGGCCGTCAAGCCCTTAAATTTAAAAATCAAGGAACGGGGCTGAGACGGCCCGAAGGGCCGTCAAGCCCCTTAAATTTAAAAATCAAGGAACGGGGCTGAGACGGCCCGAAGGGCCGTCAAGCCCTTAAATTTAAAAATCAAGGAACGGGGCTGAGACGGCCCGAAGGGCCGTCAAGCCCCTTAAATTTAAAAATCAAGGAACGGGGCTGAGACGGCCCGAAGGGCCGTCAAGCCCTTAAATTTAAAAATCAAGGAACGGGGCTGAGACGGCCCGAAGGGCCGTCAAGCCCCTTAAATTTAAAAATCAAGGAACGGGGCTGAGACGGCCCGAAGGGCCGTCAAGCCCCTTAAATTTAAAAATCAAGGAACGGGGCTGAGACGGCCCGAAGGGCCGTCAAGCCCCTTAAATTTAAAAATCAAGGAACGGGGCTGAGACGGCCCGAAGGGCCGTCAAGCCCCTTAAATTTAAAAATCAAGGAACGGGGCTGAGACGGCCCGAAGGGCCGTCAAGCCCCTTAAATTTAAAAATCAAGGAACGGGGCTGAGACGGCCCGAAGGGCCGTCAAGCCCTTAAATTTAAAAATCAAGGAACGGGGCTGAGACGGCCCGAAGGGCCGTCAAGCCCCTTAAATTTAAAAATCAAGGAACGGGGCTGAGACGGCCCGAAGGGCCGTCAAGCCCTTAAATTTAAAAATCAAGGAACGGGGCTGAGACGGCCCGAAGGGCCGTCAAGCCCTTAAATTTAAAAATCAAGGAACGGGGCTGAGACGGCCCGAAGGGCCGTCAAGCCCCTTAAATTTAAAAATCAAGGAACGGGGCTGAGACGGCCCGAAGGGCCGTCAAGCCCCTTAAATTTAAAAATCAAGGAACGGGGCTGAGACGGCCCGAAGGGCCGTCAAGCCCCTTAAATTTAAAAATCAAGGAACGGGGCTGAGACGGCCCGAAGGGCCGTCAAGCCCTTAAATTTAAAAATCAAGGAACGGGGCTGAGACGGCCCGAAGGGCCGTCAAGCCCCTTAAATTTAAAAATCAAGGAACGGGGCTGAGACGGCCCGAAGGGCCGTCAAGCCCTTAAATTTAAAAATCAAGGAACGGGGCTGAGACGGCCCGAAGGGCCGTCAAGCCCCTAAATTTAAAAATCAAGAAACGGGGCTGAGACGGCCCGAAGGGCCGTCAAGCCCCTTAAATTTAAAAATCAAGGAACGGGGCTGAGACGGCCCGAAGGGCCGTCAAGCCCCTTAAATTTAAAAATCAAGGAACGGGGCTGAGACGGCCCGAAGGGCCGTCAAGCCCCTTAAATTTAAAAATCAAGGAACGGGGCTGAGACGGCCCGAAGGGCCGTCAAGCCCCTTAAATTTAAAAATCAAGGAACGGGGCTGAGACGGCCCGAAGGGCCGTCAAGCCCCTTAAATTTAAAAATCAAGGAACGGGGCTGAGACGGCCCGAAGGGCCGTCAAGCCCTTAAATTTAAAAATCAAGGAACGGGGCTGAGACGGCCCGAAGGGCCGTCAAGCCCTTAAATTTAAAAATCAAGGAACGGGGCTGAGACGGCCCGAAGGGCCGTCAAGCCCCTTAAATTTAAAAATCAAGGAACGGGGCTGAGACGGCCCGAAGGGCCGTCAAGCCCCTTAAATTTAAAAATCAAGGAACGGGGCTGAGACGGCCCGAAGGGCCGTCAAGCCCCTTAAATTTAAAAATCAAGGAACGGGGCTGAGACGGCCCGAAGGGCCGTCAAGCCCCTTAAATTTAAAAATCAAGGAACGGGGCTGAGACGGCCCGAAGGGCCGTCAAGCCCCTTAAATTTAAAAATCAAGGAACGGGGCTGAGACGGCCCGAAGGGCCGTCAAGCCCTTAAATTTAAAAATCAAGGAACGGGGCTGAGACGGCCCGAAGGGCCGTCAAGCCCCTTAAATTTAAAAATCAAGGAACGGGGCTGAGACGGCCCGAAGGGCCGTCAAGCCCCTTAAATTTAAAAATCAAGGAACGGGGCTGAGACGGCCCGAAGGGCCGTCAAGCCCCTTAAATTTAAAAATCAAGGAACGGGGCTGAGACGGCCCGAAGGGCCGTCAAGCCCCTTAAATTTAAAAATCAAGGAACGGGGCTGAGACGGCCCGAAGGGCCGTCAAGCCCTTAAATTTAAAAATCAAGGAACGGGGCTGAGACGGCCCGAAGGGCCGTCAAGCCCCTTAAATTTAAAAATCAAGGAACGGGGCTGAGACGGCCCGAAGGGCCGTCAAGCCCTTAAATTTAAAATCAAGGAACGGGACTGAGACGGCCCGAAGGGCCGTCAAGCCCTTAAATTTAAAAATCAAGGAACGGGGCTGAGACGGCCCGAAGGGCCGTCAAGCCCCTTAAATTTAAAAATCAAGGAACGGGGCTGAGACGGCCCGAAGGGCCGTCAAGCCCCTTAAATTTAAAAATCAAGGAACGGGGCTGAGACGGCCCGAAGGGCCGTCAAGCCCTTAAATTTAAAAATCAAGGAACGGGACTGAGACGGCCCGAAGGGCCGTCAAGCCCTTAAATTTAAAAATCAAGGAACGGGGCTGAGACGGCCCGAAGGGCCGTCAAGCCCCTTAAATTTAAAAATCAAGGAACGGGGCTGAGACGGCCCGAAGGGCCGTCAAGCCCCTTAAATTTAAAAATCAAGGAACGGGGCTGAGACGGCCCGAAGGGCCGTCAAGCCCTTAAATTTAAAAATCAAGGAACGGGGCTGAGACGGCCCGAAGGGCCGTCAAGCCCTTAAATTTAAAAATCAAGGAACGGGGCTGAGACGGCCCGAAGGGCCGTCAAGCCCCTTAAATTTAAAAATCAAGGAACGGGGCTGAGACGGCCCGAAGTGATATATTCGAAAAAATGAAAATAAAAGATTTTGAAAAAAAAGTGAAAAATTTCAAATTTTCAAAAAAAAAAAATTTCTGTAGTGAAAATTTTTTTTACGCCGGGATGCACTCACTGGGGTTAGAAAATGTGGCGAAGAAGATGCTGTCGCTGAAAAAAGGCCAAAAAAATTGTCCAAATTTCCTCGCTGGCCAAAAAACCGATTTTGGCCATTTTTCGGATTTTCAAATTGAAAAATCTCAGCGATGCCCTTAGGTAATCGATTTTTTTTTGGCCGTCATGTTTTTCGGGGTCCCAAAGAACCTAGAAAAATAGTCGGAGGTACCCCCTTAAGGTATTTCTAGGGGTCGATTTTCTTATCACAGCCCTAAGAAAACACTTAAAAATCAATACCTGTAAACTACAATTAGGACTGCCCAAACTATAGCCGTGGATCACTACTAGCGTACTGAACTTTCTTCAAGTCCAATTATAATTGTACAAGGTGTAATAAAATTGACTATATATTTAAATAACTGTGTACTCGAAATTATTAGCAGGCAAATGTTGATTAACTACAGTATTATTATTCATGATTAATTGAATTCTAAGTATAAGAGTAAAAGATCGTCTCAAGAAGGTAGCCGTCGAATGTGGTCGGTTTCCTGGGGGCAGTGGGGATAACCCCTGATCGGTTTATTTTACACCAAATCAGGGCGCTAACTATTTCTCACTGCCTTCTGGTAACCGCCAGAAAAGTAAGTCGGCGTCCGTCGAATTTCACGAGGCCAGGTAAGTAGTGGGCTCAGGCCTTGAGGCGTGTCAAACTTGCCACAGGGCCTAAACTTGTCCCCACTGCCAGTCTGGCGCTCGTGGTTTCATTTTTCCAAAAAATGATAAAAGTGATTATTTTTTGAAAACAGCCCCTTATATACCCTCATCCCTAAAAACATCACGTGACTGTCACGTGAGTGTTCTAGAGACGAATTTTTCACCGAAAAAAGTCAAAAACACCCACCGCGGGGGACGATGGACAATTTTCGCGGAGATGAAAAACAAGGGTTCTAGAACTTTTTTGATGTTTTTTGAATGTTCTATCGTCCGATTTTCAAAGAGTTTTATCGGTTTTACTCGTAAAACCGTTGAATTTAGCGTTGATAACGAAGTTCTTTCGACGATTATTTTTAAAATTTTGTGTTGATGCTAATTTTGGTTGTTAAAAAACGGGGTTCGGTGATTTTAGACGGTTGAAAATTTGTTTATTGTCCGAAAACAATCGGAAATCGGAGATGGGGGCTGTTTCTCTCTCTTTTATGCGAGTCTCTTTATCCCTGTTTTGTCTCTCTCTCGGCGGGGTTCTCTCTTGTCGAGCTTTTGGAGCAGATTTGAGCAGGAAAGAGCGTCCTGATTCCAAATTTTATTGATCAGGGCGCTAACTTGCGTTCACTGCCTCAACCTTTCCCAAGACATTTGCAGACGTGACCGCGTCTCAAAAATGAACCTGTTCCTTTAGACATTCGCGGGTTTGAATTTTAGTAATCGAAATTTAAGACGCTCTAATGTTCAAATTTTGACGAAGTAATTTGAATACGAAGTGACGTATTGATAAGGGGCTCTTTGGTTGGGTTTGAAGAGGTTATGCAAAAACGCTGAGAATCAAATTTATCAATCTCACTTAGCTGCGGCTCTTGATTTTTGTAGAAGGTCTCTCTTTTTCTTCGTAAAAAGTGAATGGTGAAATTGGTTGTTGAAATTTGCTGATTGCTAATTTGATGATTGATGGACGGAAGGGAAGGGCATTATATGGGGGGATATGGGTTTCGCGCACGCCCTCTATGGCCGTCCACTGTCAGTCAGCCGGTGGGCACCCTTTTTTGCCGCCAGGAAAGAACCACTGGCAAATTGGGAGATTCCTACTGGTTTAATCCCGGGAAATATACATAAAAATCAATTGATACTCAAAATACTTTCTTTGAACCAGCAAAACTACCACTTTCGAATTTCAAAATTTTGGGGAGAGGCTCTCGGAGAGCTCTTTCATAAAGCAAATAACTACAGTAGCAGATGTTCACCCTGGTCACTCTCGAAAAGTTATTTGGAATGTTGCTTGATAAAAATTTAATTTTACGGCCACGTCGGCCCCTGTCGAAATACAAATTTTAAGATCTAAAAGGGATTTCTCTGGAATTTCAAGAAAAAAAAGCTGGGGAGGGGGTTTCGCCTAACCAGTGAAACAAACAAATTTAGAAAATTTTCTAGAGAAAAAATGGAAAAATTGAAACTCGCTAGATCAAGCCCTGAATTTTATTGAACAGCGACGATAGATAACTCTAAATGCTCAAGTTATGACAGAGGCTGTCCAGACTTGTTAGCTGCGACCACTCAAGCTATGTTCTAGCTAAATTGGACATGAGCGACGATCAATTGGGTGGTACGCAAAGTTTATGGCCGTAATAGCATTAGTGCGCCGATCCAAACTCGTCTCCAATAAATTATTTCCGAAAACTGAACAGTTGGCCTCCCACCTGCTCCTATTTTTAGCTCAGAATTTTACGCTCGAACATTTTTGCTTTTTGAAAAAGAATCATCAAAATCTCATTTAAGAAATTCTAGTTCCACTGAAAGGTGATTCAGAACACTTGTAATTTTGGCTCTTTTTGTGTAGCATGAAGATTTGGGCTTGGCAACCTGTGTAGAAATCCTGAGTCAGCCTCCTGAAAGCGGAAAAAAAGATTAGACGGCCAAGTTTTACTCAGTCTTCTTGTGGGCTCGAAAACCTGTGTAGAAAACCTGAGTCAGGCTCTGAAAATCTCAAATAAAAAGCGGCATAGCGGCTTTTTTAAAAACGAAGCCGCTTAAGCGGCTTCCAGAAATTACCTTAACAATCAATTGCGAAGCCGCTTTTCATTTGAGATTTTTTCAGAGCCTGACTTAGGTTTTCTTCATTGGTTGCCGAGCCCAGAAGAAGACTGGGTAAAACTTCGCCGTCTAATCTTTATTTCCGCTTTCGGGAAACCTCCAGTTTGATGCTCCAATAGTCGATCTTATCATAGAGCAAGTTTTCTATTTGCGATCGGCTTCATCTTTCCAGGTCCAACAAACACGCGCCCTTCCTGAATCGAGCCACTAATGAGGAATCAACCCACTGCTAAAATAAACATAAACTGCATCCCTTTTTTATGTAATCAGCTGTCGCCCCGATTTTCGTGTAACTCATACTGTGTCGATAAGAGTTTGAAGATTTCATGGTATCGGGTGTAATCGGCTTCGATTTCATTGTTATCGCCAACTGATGTTTGAAAAAAACGGCGCGCCGCCACGCTGGGGGAGGTCAGACAAACTTGTGATCAATCAAAAATCATATGACACCAAGATGATGCTGGGTCAAGGAACCTGAGCCACGGACAACTTGAGGTGCAAAGAAACAGTACTTATTCTTTCGCAAGTTTTATTGAGTTTTAGATAATATATTCTGTTGCAAAAGTTTCTTTTTCGATCATATCGGAATTTTCAAACAGCGCTTTCTCCACTCATACCCTAACCCTAACCCCAAACCCTAACCAGAAACCCTAACCCTAACCTTAACCCTATCAAAGCCTAATTTATCCGGTCCCTTAGGAGTCACAATTTTATTTGATAGTAAATATAACTTAGAAAAAGCTCTAGGGCAACCATTTGTTAACTCGGGGATACCCTTAAATTTTCACAGTTAAATCGTCAAATAGCTACATATAGATACATTCACGGTCAAGGAATCTGCCAAAGTTCTTCTTGATGTGAAAAAAGAGTACTGAAGTCATTTTTAATATGATTTTTATTGCGATAGTGTTGGTGGCAGAAGGGCTGTTTTTTTTTGAAATGATCCATGCTTCTCTGAGTCCGGCAATCATCGGCAGATTCGTTTTTTTTCTTCTTGAGGCGCATCATATATCTGTTGAGCCTTTTTGGTATCTTACCTGTGCCAGTTTTTTTTATTTTTTAAAACGCCCCGTGAGGTATACCAACAAACAAATTTTGTCAAAGTATTGTTAATTCAAAATGTTTACTGTTTTTGGGCTCAGAATTGATTGATCATCATAATTGTGATGGCACTGGTTTTTTTTAAATTAAAAATATTCGCGAATGAAAGCTGTACAATTTTGGTTTCAACCGACCATACTGAGTTTTATGGTCAAATCGACAAGTCAAATGGCGTCAAAAATCTAAAGCGAGACGCTGGCAACGTCCGGGCTTTCGGCTCCTGATCCTTCTCCGCCGTCGCCGCCGTCGCCACCGTCGCATTTGTTGTGGCATTTCTTGCAGAGGAACTTCTTGTGGAGCCACTTGTTACCGGCGGGTTGGACTTTGCCAGACGATGATTGATGCATCCATTTGAAGCTGTTGCCTTTGCCCTTTGTGCAGACGAGGTTGAGAGCTTCGAATTTGTCGCCGCCTCGGACGGGAGTTGCGCCGGGACTAGAAATTAACATGACGATGAGAAACTCTTCCATAAGCAGCCCATTTTAGAAGCTGGGAGAAAAGCCATCTGCGCGCGCGATTATGCAGCGTCGCGCGTAGCGCATTGTTCATCCTCGCCAATTTCATTAATTTTACATGCGCAGATTCCTGCAACTCAGTGTTGCGCAGGTGTTTTCTCTTACCCGCATTGGACGGATGTGCCGTCGTCGTTCCACACAGTGTACGCGTCGAAGCGCAGGCCTTCTTCTTCCCACTGCTTCTTTGTTGGAATTTGTGGCCTATCGCCGCAGATAGCATCTGGGTCCGAAGCGGTGATGACTGGCACGGGGCACTTCTTCTTTTTGCTGATTTTTCGGTATTGTTCGAGAGCGTCTGATTTGAAGAAAACGGCGATGCCCTCTATGTTGCTCGATCGAGTCTTAAAAAATCGTTTTCTCTTTCAATGGAGAGGTTGTTTTCTTACCCAGATGTAGTGCTTTCCTGGTGGTCGATTTCCCTTTCCGACTTTGAAGTGGCAAGTGTACTCCTCGTCGTCTTCGAAGCCAGAGCAGGAGTAGTCCGAACCGTCGTAAACGCAGTGAGTAGGGCACTGTCGAGTTACCTAAACAGATCAGCTCGATTAAGCTCGCCTAAAACAACCACTTGGCGGTGGAGGAAGGTCACCATTTCGGATTAACCGGAGACTCTTGATAACCCCCGCGCGCGATTAGAATCCCTCAAGATTGAACCTTTTTCAATCAAGATTATGACTACTTGTAGCAAAATATTCCCGCAGGTACTTACAATTTCTGCCTCGCTGTAGGGGTTGTCAAGGCCGACGCCTTTGGTAAGACCGACGAATCTGGCGAACTCATCGTCCGCGATCGTATGCAAGCCTTGTGGATGAGCACCTTGTTCCGGCCAAATGCAACCATTCAAGTGGACGTTAGCTCCGTCGACGTGCTGGTTTGCACCTCCGTTTCCGTTTCCGTTATTGGCTGTGGCAAAGGCGGGAATGAAAAAAGCAAGCTTCATTTTTTTTTGTTTCTTCTGTATTGTTTTTGTAGCTAGAATATTTTGATTACAATGTATAGTACTTGGATTGGCAGCGGCTTTGGTGCTGCAAAACTGTTGTCAAGAGCGAGCGTCAGGTTGATGACGACGCGTGTTTTTCTTGATTAATTGAGCACTTCGGACATAAGTGACTCGCGCTCTTTCGAAAAGCGAAAATACAGGCGATGTAAGAGGCTGTCAAAAAACTCGAAAATTTACAGATTTCAACCCAAAAATCACCCCCCAAAAGGACCTCAATCAATTACCGCTCATTCCAAATTTAAAAAAATTACAAAAAATATTTTGGATTTTTTTGAATTAAATAACTATCGTGGGTTTTCGAGGAAGAACGTGAAAATCTTAAATTTCATTAAATTTCATCTGGGACTAGAATGACGTCAAATTAAGGAGGTGTTAAATCCCGTTCACCTTTTCACAAATTTAAGATTTCACGGACATATACATTTCCCTCCTTTCTTGATTTGCAGGAAGCATTTTTATGCTCTGCATTAAAAAGGTTAAGAAATATAACGGTGAAGAGGATTAGAGCTCTTTTATTACGCTAGATGCTCCAGTTTTGAAATAAGACTTGAAATAGGCCTTATTTCACGTGTTTTTGAATCAGTACATTCATCGTGCTTTTCTCTTTGAATGGTAAAAAAAAAATTAAAAAAATAAATTATTAAAATTATTAAATTTAGTTTTAAATAATTTAATTTATTAAAAATGCTGAAATTCTAATTTATTAAATTATAATTATTTTTATTATTTATTTAAATTTTATTTAATAAATTAGAAATAGCTCTTTTGATTTGCCGAAATTCGAGTCGAAATTATTGTCAAGAACTCAGAGTTATTAATAATTAATTTTAATTTGCAAAGATGAAATATTCTCTTCTATGATTTCTTTTGATTTTCAACCCTAACCCTAACCCTAACTTGCTTTTTTTAAAAAATCATTCATCAAAGACCCTTTTATTAATTCAATCGAAATTTCAAAAAAAGAAAATTTTTATTTTTGTTATATTTTTTATAAAAAAAGTAAATTTTATCATTAAATTTTTCTTCTCGTTTCTCTTGGTTTCGCTTACCTAAAATTAAGTGCTGAAATTCGCCACTAGAAAAAGTGCGTGTTCTTCTGTGCTTTCGAAAATTTCGAAGTGAGCGTTCTTGATCATGAAAATTTTGAGCATGATGATCCGCCGCCAGGTGGAGTACGCGAGGAAGAAACGCGGCGCTGAGCGCTATCACCGAGTCGCGCCCAGCGCGCTAGAATAATGCCTGATCAGCGAGAAAGCGCGTGATGTTTTACCACTTTCAATTTACTGTCGTAATTTTACTAGTACCATAAAAGGATGTTTACAATATTTCAAGCTGGGCAGCCTGTGTAAAAAGCCTGAGTCAGGGTTTGAATATGTAAAATGAAAAGCCGCGTAGCGGCTTTTTTAAGACCGAAGCCGCATAGCGGCTTCGCGAAATTACTATTGCAATTTTTTTTTTAAATTCGTTTAAGAAAAAGCCGCTACGCGGCTTCGTTTAGGAAAAAGCGCGGCTTTTCATTAAAGATCTATTAGACCCTGACTCAGGCCTTCTACACAGGTTGTTAAACTCAGGGTCAAATTAAAGCCAATTATTCTTTATAGTTTAAAAATAAATCCATCATCATCCTACGTCTAGTCATTTTTGGGACAAGAAACGAGAGTAATAACCGGTTGCGGCTCTCAAAAGAACAACTCAACAATTATCGAAAGCTAGTTATTGTCAAGAATGCACGTTTTCAGAAATTTAATGAATATTTTTTTTAGATTATCCGGCCCTAAAATTTCAGTTCATTCTAAAATTCAGAGTTTAAAATTTCTAAACCGAGCCTGAACCGAAAAAACTCGTCCGTAAACACGTTTTTTTTTCGGATGAAAATGAACCAAAAAACCCATAAATTTCCACCTCCTACAAGAGGATCCATTTCTTCGGATTAAATCCCATGTTACATAAACCTCAAAAAGCAGCGTCCGAAAACCGAGGCGGGCGAGAAGCTGCGAAAGTGGCGAAATTTAAAATTTGTGGCGGAATTAATCACAAATCCACTTGAATGTGCTCGGCTGTGTAATTTGGCTCATCTCAGCCTCAAGATCAACACACGGCCAGCGTATTCCAAAAGGCGCGAGGCTGGAGCAACGAGTGGTCCTTCACTGAAACGTAAATCATTTTCCCGCCTTAGCACTTTCTAATTCGCGGAGCTCCGCCGTGCCCCAGACGTGCCCAAGAATTTCCGAAAAATGATCTGTTTATTCTTTCTAACGCAATTTCTAATTCATCATCAAGGTCATTTTTGAATAGATATTTCAAAAAAATACTGGATACGAATTTTTGAACCGCTATTTAAGTTCAATAAAATAAGGATATCCCCATTTTAACGGGCAATTTTCTCTGGGATGTCACCATTTTAACGGATTTTTAATTCTTCGATGGGCTCTATTGAAAGGAAAATCGAAGCTTTGAGCGTAGCGGCTTCTCATAAATCTTTTTTCAGACCCTGACTCAGGCTTTCTACACAGGTTGTCGAGCCCAGCTTGTTAGGGTTAGGGTTAGAGTTTGCCCTACTTTATCTTCATAATAATGTAGATCCTCAGTCCTTGGGCCTAACTGAGCTGTCCGAGATATCCGCCGACCGGTTGGTCAGGCTATTGCTTTAGAAAAAAATGAAAGCCTTACATAAGCCACGTTTGATCCTAAGACGCGGCTCGAAGGACAATACATCTCTCTCTGAGCTGGAAATTATTGCTTTGCCTTGCAATTGTTACGCCATTTTCTTCAAGCGCTTATTTTTAGAAGAAAACGATTTTTTGTTTTTCATTTTACGAAACGCGTTTTTATGACTCATGAGTGTATAATTGGTAGAATACGTCAGGCAGACATTTAAACCCACATCCGAAGGAAGTATCAGATGATAAACGAGCTTAAATTTTACAAAAGCTATCTCCGAAAAAGCGAAACTCACCGGTTGCAGTTTAGTGTTAATTCTTCAGAATACTTGGATCTCAGATCGAAACGTCAGATTTTATAATGAATTGCCTTGCGGGCATAGCCCAAAAGGCGCCGTTTTTATCGCAAATAAATGTCCTGAACGTGAGCTTTCCAAAAAGGTATTATACGACACCCTATCTTAACGACCAAAAATTGTAAAAATTTTATAATTTCCGCCGATCAGCAAAAATGCACTAATTTTTTCCACTTTCAAATGCAATTTGTGGGAAAATGGGTTGAGATAGAGTTAATACTCATAAGGAGTTTTTAGGTCAGAATTTCATGGGGAAGCAGAATATATGGTCAAAAACCGATTCTGAGACTTGACCCTGTGCGCGTACCATACCCTTAAGCAGTGTTTTTTTTTCGTGAACAGGAAACTCTAAGTTGACAGATTTCGAGGGTTGAACATTTTCGGTTTCAGATATTTTCCGTTAGAAACTTGAACAAAATAAGGGGGAAGTCGTTTCTACGGGTAATTTTTCTCTCTAACCCTAACCTCTACGAAATCCGCAAAAAAACAACAATGCGCCCCGTTAACCAAAAAATATGCAGAATAGTTCCCTGCACTTTGTCACGCTGAAATTAGGGAATTCCTGAGGTGTGAAAATCATAAATTCTACGCAGCTGTACTCTGTCTTGACTCACTCTTGGAATTAGCGAATTGCCACGAAGACAGTAATTTTCGCAGAAGTTTGAAAAAAAAGAAGCAACAACAAAAATTTTTCAAGGAAAAAGTTTCCAGCCAAAGATTTCGAGAAGTTTGAGCCCTCAATTTGAGCACTTGGATTTAAGAGCCCAAGTGAAACATTTTCAAGAGCTGATTAATGGACTTGAAAAATATCAGAAATGCAAAACTGGTTCTCTTATTCGACATATACTTTGAATATGAATTCTGAACTCTCAGGGTAAAATTTTTAAAAGCACGTCGATAGAAGATAGCACTTAAATGAGCCGACCACTGGGCCCTCCAACTTGGGCAAGATTAAATTCGGCTTCGAGGTTCAATTTTCTTATCAGGAGCGTACATTCATTTTATTCGGAAAACCGAGATTTTCAGCGTGAAACCTAGGTTCGGCAACCTATGCAGAAAACCTGAGTCAGGCTCTGAAGAGTCCAAATGAAAAGACGCGTAGCGGCTTTTTTAAAAGCAAAGCCGCGAAGCGGCTTCAACCTAATACCTTTCAATCAATATCAAAATTCTCTTTTTTAAGGCTTTTCAGAATCTGACTCAGGTTTTCTGATGAAAAGTCTTAATAAAATGAATCTTGATATTGATTGAAGGGTAATAAGTTGAAGCCGCTTCGCGGCTTTTCATTTGAGCTTTTCAGAACCTGACTCAGGTTTTCTACACAGGTTGGTACCGAGTCCAGCGGTAAATAAAATCACAGCAGCAATTTCTTTTCTACCAAAGAAGAAAACATCTCATCAGAAATAAAAAACGGTTGCTTTAGAAAAAGAAAAGAGCTGCTCCCACATTGTCGCTCAATGAAAAGTCCGAGTTGCTCTGAGAAAGGGAGATTCAAAGTCGATTACGGAAGTCGGCATTTCCGGCCCCGCTCATCTCTCCATCGGTCGTGCCATTTTTACGACTCTCTGAGGTCATCATCATTCTGATTTGAGCTTAGCCCTCTTGAGGCCTCTTTTTGACTCATTTAGATTGAGATAAAGAAGCTCTTTTTTGTTCAATTAGAGCTCCGAAAGTCCGGTAAGAGTAATATGCGATAAGAAATTCCAGTAGAATGTGAATGTGTGAATGAATATTTCTAGCGCTTTTTTCCTGTAATTGGGAAAAACGTAACGAGACAGAAAAAAAACGTCATCGCTGGCGAAAAAGTTTCTATGGCAACCTGGGCGCTCCTCGTAACGCTCCAGTTCAAATCGTAGAAATCAAATAATAATTTGACTCATTGTCACTTGAAGGGTTCCTTTCTTCAGGAAAAGGAGTGACCAAAGGTGTGGCTCAACGAGAGTCATCGAGGAGAATTTCCGAATGCGAATTCAAGCAGCGAATTCGTAGCAGCGAGAAATCAAACATTGCCCTTTTTATTTGCCCTTTTTTTATAAAGAGCAAATTGTAAAAACAGACAGAAGAATAGAGATAATCCACGAGAGACGTGAAAACGGAAATCAGAATTTTCAGAAGACAGAAAATAGATTTTTATAAGAAGAGAGAAGAATGAGAAACTCGAAAATGATGAGGACGATAAGGAGGGCAACGAGGAGTATGAAATCTTCAAAAGAAAAAGTTGAAACGGTGAGAAATTATTCACCCGTAAAAGTCTTTCTACTAAAAATAAGGGTGTCTCCATTTTAACGAGCGAGTTCCTTTAGGATATCCCCATTTTAACGGATTTCATTTTCGTCAAAAGAAACCCGATTTTAAAGGATTTTTGACAAACAAGCCTGTAACTCAAAAATCCTTTAAAATGAGGTTTCTTTCGAAAAATAAATGAAATCCGTTAAAATGGGGACATCGTAAAATAATTCACTCGTTAAAATGAAGATCACCTATTTTTACCAAAAATATGGGAGTCTTCATTTTAACGAGTGAATTCCCCGTGGATGTCCAAATCTTAACGGATTTGATTTTCCTCAAAAAAAAAACCTGATTTTGACGGATTTTTGACAAGCACGCCTGTAACTCTAGAATCCGTTAAAATAATATTTCTTTCGAGGAAAATGAAATCCGTTAAAATGGGGACACCCTACATGAATTCAACCGTTAAAATGAATACCTAACCCTAACCCTAACCCATTGCATGTAGAATTGACCTATTTTCTGACAATCTTATATTGCGAAATTTCGCGGAACATGACATTTCTCTGAAATGCCGGCTGAACGACAAAAAATTCTTGAAGCGATGTAATGATGGCCTTAGAAGATTTTTTTGCATCATTCTTCGGTGGCTTCACGCGCCGCCTCGATGACAAAAAAAGACAGAAATCACAGCAGAAATCTGAGAATAAAAAAAGTTGATGAGTTTCTTGGAAAAAATTTTGGCACTTGCATAACCCTGTTGTGTTTGTCAAACGGTGGATTTCTAATGATAACTTGGGTATGGGAACACTTGTTTCCGTCTGTCCTTCGCCACGTTTTGAGCAAGGCCAGTGCTGTCAGCGGAAGTCTGTCGCCGACCACCAGCTCGATTGATTACTCAATTGAAAAATGACCGAGCGGTCTAATTGCTAAAAAATAAAAAAGCCAGGAAATGCAGAATACTGATGCGTTTTTCGTCACTAAATTTTCTCTCAAAAATTTCTTCCAGTTTAATTCTGATTCATCCCTCTTGTGTTTCTCTTGGCCTGGTGCCGATTATTTCTTGAGCAAATAAAACGTGCACAAAAGTTTTGTTTTAAAAATGAATTCGGCGCGGGACTCAAAGGCAACGTTCCTAACCGAGTTAGTCATCCTTCGGTTCTTTTTTTACTGTATTTTTCGCATAAGAGAGCCCCCAACCCAAGATTTGAGAGGGTTCAACTGTTCCATTCACTTTCGATTTAGGACGGCAGCGGTTCGGCAACGTCTTCTTCCCAGAGCTTGACCCGGCAGCTGAGCACGTCGAACCCGGAGCTAAACTGCAAGGACTCAAATCACCGCCGCACGAATTCATACCCAACGCGCTCCTCAAGACCCACGCCACCAGCTAGGGACCCTCGCCACCACCAAATGCCCAGAAATTTACATAAAGAATCGCTCGACAACGAAAGTACGCAATTTAAAGACGCAAAGGATTACGTGGAAAGAAGCACGCAAACAGAGAATACGTTGGTTCTGCCCAAGGTGAGGATTTAAAAATAAAGAAGTCACCTTTTTAGCGGACAAATTTCTCCTTTAAGGAGGGGGTCGACGAGAATCGGGATTTCCGTGACCAAAAATGCGGGAAAACCTGATCAGATAGGCAAAATCTGAATTTACTGGCAAAAAGAAAAGGGCTGAAAAAATTTAACGGCGAGAAGTAGAAAAAATTTTGGCCAGAAAAAATCGGTCAAAAATGCCGTCAAAGTAGGGGCATTTTTGCGAAAATGCACCAAAAATAGTCATTTTTTTTACATTTTTCTTAATTTTACCCCCTAAATCATATTTTTATCGAATGATTTTAGGCTCAACAGATTCAGGAGGATCTGAGGATTCCAAAAATATCAGATTCATACACAGACCATGTGTATACGCGAAATTACGATCACCTCTGAAAAAATTCTCGTCGACCCCCCCCCCTTAAAGACCCTTTTTAACGGATTTTTTTTCCTCAAAAGGTTCCCGATTTTAACGGACGGCGGAAAAATCCGTTAAAATATGGTCTCTTTGAGGAAAAATAAATTCGTTTAAAAAAGGTTCCCGAGAATTTGTCCGTTGAAAAGGGTACCCCCTTATTTTGGGGAGGTGTTAAGAACCGACAAATAATTCGACAATTTTTGCGTGCAAATTTTCAACGAACCAGAAGGCTGGATTCGGCTTACCGGGCAATTAGCAGTCGAGAAGCCGCCCACGCAAAATTTGTCTAACTTTTTTTGTCGGATCTTGACGCCATCCCCTTATTTTGTACCGAAAAATAGTAGAATTTCAATTTCCCTTTTAGCCGATGTTTTCAAAGAAGGAACTAAAGATGCCCTACTTTTGCTGCTTGTACTTGCTAATCGGGTTCAACTGCTGCGCTTTTGCTCACAGGATATCCCAAACGACCGGTTGGTTTAATTTTCAAAACCATTTTTCTAACGCCCTTTTAGTTATTCATCTAATTGCGGATGCTGTTTTCGGGCTAGCAGTTGCCGTTTTTCTTCGCAGATTCGTCGGATTGAATCTTTTTAAAATTCAAGACAAAGTTACAGAAAGAGCTATTTTGACCATGGTTACTCAGGTATTTCTTTTTCTGGCGAAACTAAGAAGACAATTTTTTTGTAGATACGCATCGCGTATTATTTCATCGCGGGTGGGTTGGTCTACGACTGGAGTTTATTCCTGTTTGTCCTGTCTGTCTGCATTCTCTTTCTCGACTATGTGCCAAAATCGTGGCAGAAAATTGTGCTCCCCTTCGAGCTCAAAACGGAATGATTACTTGAAGTTCAATCGATGGAATCGCAATAATAGGAATTATTTATTTTCATTTACTCTTTCTTCTGTTCAATTACTGTTCATACTATTCTTCTTCGCAATTTTGCTGTACCTTTTCTTCAACGCTCACCAAAATATCTTCAAACCTGGGCTCCGCAATCTGTGTAGAAAACCTGAGTCAGGGCCCTGTGCTAGGATATCTAAGGGGCTAAGGGGGTATAAATGTATTTTTGGCGAAGCCGCTTCGCGGCTTCGTATAAAAAAAAGCCGCTTCGCGGCTTTTCGCTTTGCCTCTTTTGGAACCATGACTCAGGGTTTCGACACAGGTCGTTGAGCTCGTCTTCAAACTGTAATCACCAAATGACACGTGAAGGAAAAAAACCTACCAATTCTGAACTCCTTCTAACGATGATGATGCACGCTCACATTTTATAAAATCTTAAATTTAGTTCAAATAAATACTCATCTTCACACTCAAAGACTAAAACTGGAGTTTCAACTTTCTGAAGAAGGGAGCTGCTGAAGGGAGATTATTCCCTGAGTGGCTCTTGGAATCATGACGTTGGTGTGAGGAAAGAGGATTTCTTTTCCGTTCTTGTTCTTTAAGACTTGAAACTCGGCAACCTGTGTAGAAAACCTGAGTCAGGGTTTCAAAAGAGTAAAATGAAAAGCCGCGTAGCGGCTTTTTCCTATTTCGAAGCCGCAAAGCGGCTTCGCCAAGGTTACCAACTCAATGCTTTGCGGCTTCAGTAAAAAAAAGCCGCTACGCGGCTTTTCAGTTTACTCTTTTAGAACCCTGAATCAGGTTTTCTTCTGAGATTGCCGAGCTACGCCTGAAAGTAAGGCCCTTTTTTCGCCGCATTTTGTCATTTTCAAAGAACAGGAATAAACCCTAAGAAACTTTGAACAAGTGAAAAGTAAGATTTTCATCTGGGAGATTGAGTAAAACCGATTAGTACTCAAACATTTTCGGGCGGTTTAGACGAACGTCAGCAACCTTTTTTTCGACCGTAGTTTTTTCTTGTTTTCCTGCCTCATCAAAAAAGTCCAACAAAAAGTGCTCCTGCCACAAAGTCCAAACAGAGGCAAAGTTAGACCTCGCATTTTCAGTGGTTCTTTTCTGGTTTATCTCGTCGGGGAAAAGCTGAGACTCGCGACAGCGTGTTCAAACAGCCTTGGACAGATGCAAAAATATTCGATAAATTGGAAAACACTTTCGAATGATAAAAAATTACGCCTGACATCAGTGCTACAAGGGTGCTTATTTTTGAAAAGCAAATGCAGATGGAGTAATGCTGAATTACTGCGAGTTGATAATAAAAACATCGCCGGGCTAGGGAGCCTCTGAGTCAGGGTCCTCAAAGCAAGGCTCAGCAACCTGTGTAGAAAACCCTGAGTCAGGGTCTGAAAGAGCTTTAATTACTAAAATGATAACTTTGGCGAAGCCGCTTCGCGGCTTTATTTAAGAAAAAGCCGCTGCTTGACTTTCTATTAAAGATCTTTCAGTTTTGGCTCGGCAACCTGTGTAGAAAAACCTGAGTCAGGGTCTGAAGGGTCTGATATTCAATGAAAAGCCGCGTAGCGGCTTTTTTAAACAACGAAGCCGCAAAGCGGCTTCGCGAAATAGGCATTACAATCTATTTTTAAATTTTGGCAAAGCTGCTAAAAAACTTTCGGACCCTGACTCAGGTTTTTTACACAGGTTGCCGAGCCCAGCTTGAAATATCTTTGATATAAGGTCGGGCAGCGGCTTTTTCTTTAATAAAGCCGCAATGCGCCTTCGCCAAAGTTATCATCTCAGTCATTAAAGCTCATTCAAAACCCTGACTCAGGTTTTTGAACAGGTTTCTGATCCAGGAAGTAAGGAAACGCAATTTCGTGAATTTTTCGCCTCCACGTTGAAAGATAACCTTGTGGAAACAATTATAAGCATCGGGAATGTTTAGTGAGGTGGCGCAGGAATTGGTGCCCATTAAAAACGCGTTTGGGAAGGCTTCCGCCCAGCTCGAAACCACTGCGCCGAAAATGGCGATCCTCCATCCTCTCACTCGTGCTTCGCCAAAAAAGTCAAAACCGCCACTTTAAAAAAGCAAGGTCACCAATCTCAGTCTGAGATTAATCTGGACGTGGGTGCTCACTTTGAAGCTTTCGTGAATTAGAGGGCGGACCACTTTAGAACACGAGATTTTAATAGAAAAAAAAAGCTCGTTGAACCAAATTTTAAGAAATGTGAGAACTAAAAGAAACTGAGGCTAATTCATAACAATTAAGGGAATTCACAGTACTTGTCAAAAATTGAGCTTCTTGAGTTCATAGACTATGAATCATAGTCGAAGGTTCAAACTAAGCTATTGAAAATAAAAATTTGCTAAAAAAATACCTAACTAAAAGCACCTTAACGAAACTTTGCTCAAATCGATGTTGACACCTTTACTTGCAGATTTCGATGCTTTTCTGTTAAGTAATTGGCGAACCCCTCTGTAATAGTTAAGATCTAGGACGGATTTATTTAATTAGCACATATGGGCTCCACTTTCATTCATAAGTTCGGAGTTATTCAAGCCTCAAATTGTGGAAATCGAAGATAGTACCCTTAAAAATATAGGCCTTGAAATGGATACATGAAAAGTTCTTCTGAGATTTTTTTCAACAAAAGCCACTTTTATTTTGATGCATCTTTTACGTATGCTCATTATCGCTAATTTTAAACGTACTCGTTTATTGAATTTCGAGACAAGTTTCTATCCCTTTCATCATAATTTCTCGCAAGCTGCGCATGTTTCGCAGCTTCAAAAGAGCCTCAAATGTACTCGGACACGTCCCAGAACAAATTTTTTTCAGAACGGTGACATAATTCCGGTTACTTTACTTTTCGACTGTAGTCATTCTAGGAACCGCCAAGTCATGTTTTCAAAATTTAGAATCTTGGTACTTATTTTCCAGCTTTTGGAAGGGTCTATTGTGCCACGTAAAAATTACAACCATGAAAATCAACTTTGTTTCTTCCCGAACAACTATCGGACAAAACCTGACATTTTCATCAATAAAAATTTAATCTACTTCCCTTGTTAACCTTCCAAGAGATAATTGAAAACGTAAACTTGTCAGATACTGCGTGTTTTCATGCATAAATCATCACTCGGAAGCAAAGTTGGGGCCTCCAACTGGGGCTTTGGATTTAGCATCTTCGTTCAATAACTCTTTAGTTGGCCCCTTATTGTTAATTGTACAGAAAAGAGATGTCCAAGAAAGAGACGCAAGAATGCGTTGGATCAAAAAAGAACGCAGCTGTCATGTATGAAAAATGAGTCACCTGTTGAAGGGGGTCCGACCGCATTCATGTAAACCACTTTTCATTAACGCTTCTTTCTAAAACCACAAGTAAGTCCTCTTTTCGTAGATTCTCGCCTACAGCTGAGACAGTGGCGCCAGTCTTGATTTCGACTTGTCATTTCTTAGCGATTCGCGAGTGCTTTTTGGAAAAAAATTCTTGAGATTTCGAACTGACGCGACCCAAAAGAAGCAGCCAAGAAGCTCGTGGAACGGGATAATCGCAGCTAAGTTCTAAAGAGTGTGAGTCATTTAGCCGAAATAGGGTGTCGGTTGTTGAAATTAGCTCCGCGCAAAAAAAAGTGTGAAAGAGATTAGAACAGGCCTGACCGAGGACCGAGGTGAAATCGTTTTTTAACGATCAGCGCGAGTCAGCAGCGCCAGATCAGATCCTGAAAATGACTGGAATAAAGGTAAACACAATCGCGACTCTTGGGAGAAAGACGGTAAATCATCGGAATTACGAAAAAATGCTGAGCAGGAGTCAAACATGAGGATGTCAAAAATCGTGCGCGTCAAAAATTAAATCAAAAGAGGAAGCTTCACCCGTGTTCATGAAACGCTCTAAGCTGATCGCCTGTCAAAATGATTGTCGAGCCATCCTCACAGCGATTGCTTATCAGATGCTGGCCCGGCTCAAATGCAATTACCCACTTTGCATGTCCCTTCTTTACAGAGGCTCACTTATCCTATCGCACGTGTGCAAAAGAAGAAAAGAAGAGACAATATCGAGGAATCAATTTTTCAAATTTGTTTTTGACAGTTTTTATTAGAGTTTTTTTTCGCAAGAATTTTTTTGTTGTCTGAACCATATTTTTTCTAACTGAACTTCTCAATCTTCGTTTCGATCTAACGACTGGGGCCCAGTCACAGGGCTTGGCAACCTGTGTAGAAACCTGACTCAGGGTCCTTCTTTCAGGTTTGGGGCTAACCCTAACGCTATCCCTATTCGGCTTTTCAGTCCTCCAGGACCCAGACTCAGGTTTTTACACAGGTTGCCGAACCCAATCTAGCGGGGTTGCTGGATGATGCGATTTGTCTGCATGATTCCATGAGGCTTCTGCTTCGAAGGCTGAAATTTTCGATAGTCATAAAGGCAAGGGATACGGAGGTTACCATGGGCTTGTGTTGCATGTGCTTCATCGCGGAAGTTGGAAAATCCTGCTTTTGGTCTTGAACGGCGCCGGAAATCACCCAGGTCGGGTTGAGTTCAACTCCGGACACGGTGGAAGCGGTCGGCTCGCAGGTTTCCCCGGAGCTTTTTCGACTTTTTCCTTAATTAATTAATCAACTGGCTAATGATCACTGAGCTAGTTACCTGGGATTCGCTTTCCACCGACAGTTTGCGCCCTGGCGTGGCCAGCAATTTGCTCGTTCTCGGCAAAATTGCTCATTTTCAACTTCATAAAAATTGCTTTCTCTAAAGTTTGGATTCTTTTCGAATGAAAACAAACGGGCGCGTTTGAAGATCGCAGTTGAAGATCTCTCAATCGCTGAACTCGCTATTCGCCGCTATTTTCGAGTTCAGCAACAAAAATTGACTCTACTCAATTCTGAATTGAATGGAAGAAAAGGGCGCATGGCTAGCGCGTGCTTCGATAAAAATCGAAGAAAAAATCGGTTTATCGAACGTCTGCCGTAATGCTACTAACCTGGGCTCGGCAACCTGTGTAGAAAAACTGAGTCAGGTTTTGAAAAGCTTAAATGAAAAGCCGCGTAGCTGCTTTCTCAAAAACGAAGCCGCGTAGCGGCTTCGCAACATCACCATTTCAGGCTATTTTTAACAACTGGCGAAGCCGCTTCGCGGCTTCGTTTTTTGAACAAGCCGCTACTCGGCATTTCAAAGCCTGACTCAGTTTTTCTACACAGGTTGCCGAGCCCAGTTACTAACCATTACTGATAATTATTGTGGCATCGTAACACAAATTCACGGGGAATGGCAACGATGCAAAATATTTCAAACTTTTAAAGAGCGTTTTCGATTGAGAATTCTCAGTTTTGTCTAGCCAGCTGAAACTCATCGTAGCCTAAGTTATGGCAAATTTGCACGTTTTTCGCGATAATCGTAAGTCGCGTCGTATTCGGACCTAATTATCCTCTTCTTCTTAGAATAATTTTCTCATCTGCCGTCGTTTTAGAAGAGTGCTTGCGCTAGTGTAACAAGTTCAAATTCTATCCATTTTTTGTGAAATCATTCGGTTCTCATAAGCTGTTCCACCATTATGCACGTGTTTTTTAGAGACGCATTCACTTCGTTTTTTCTGATAGAGGCACTTTTTCAGGCCACCTGGGCGTCTCTTTCAAGGGTGCAAAAATTTTAAGTTTTCAAGAAATACCAACCCTTTTTTTTAAGAAAAAATGATCATCACGGAATTCAAAAGAAATGATATATTTGATAGAAATCGTCACGTGATCGATGTATTCTTCAAATGATCGTAGAAATCGACTCATGATGGCTGGTAATTGTAGGCGCGTATGTCCGGTAGCACTCTTGCCGATTTTTCCGAAATTACGAAAATGATGAAAATGATGCGCCATAAGGCGGGAATGCCTTCATTTACGCCCCCCCCCGTGACCTTCCACTTACGAGGCGCCGAAATCAATTACGAGACTCACACTTAAACTACTTTGTATCTCTCGTTTTTTTCCTAACCAAAAAGTACACGTCATAATTTGATAAAGTTTATTTACAAGCAGGTGTCTTATAAAAGTTGTTAAAAATTTACAAAATATTTGAACAGGCTAAAAGGATCTGATGAGTCCAGGAAAAACGGCCAGAAAAGCGTCACTTTCACAGGGATGAAAATCAGTTGAAGAACTACAGTCAGAATTAGGGTTAGGGTTAGGCCTTAACCGTTAGGGTAAGGCAATTTCAGGGCGAGAAATTTGGTCATTTTCGGTTGGGAAATCTCGAAATTACCATTTTTTACCCAGAAAATTGCTAAATTGCCATTTTTCTGGCATTTTTAACAAAGGCCAAATGCCAAAAAATGATAAAAAATGCCAGAAAAAATGGCAATCTGGCAATTTTTTGGGTAAAAATGGCAATTTCGAAGTTTCCCGACCGAAAAAACACCTAAATTGTCGGTGCTGACTGTATTTCTAAATAACATACTGTAATTCACATAATGATTTTTTGAATGATTTTCAAATCGAATTTCATCCCTTTCCTAGCGACAAATTCACAAGCTCGAGTATTTCATCCACCAAATCCACGACAATCAAAACGCTGTCGAAAATAAAATAGGTCCAAAAACTTGCATCAAAATCAATGTCAAGCAAATGAGTCGTTTCCTTCATCAAAATTCTTGCTTCTCTCTGCAAGAGCTCGATCCATTCTCGAAGATTTCTGGTGATTGCCGTGATGAAGGAAAATTTAAACGGCCGGTTGGTGAAAATGTTGATCCAGGTGAGGACGTCTTTTGCCATTTTTCTGAGAATCGAGGACATTTGGAATGAAAAATTGCCAAGAATTGTGAAAATTCCAGAAGAAAAGCCAGTGTATTGAAATATAAACTCGTCCGCGAGCGGTCTTTTTTTGGTTCGAATTTCGAAAGAGAGATTATTTGAAATTTTATGAGAGCTAGAATTTCGTAAGATGAAGGATAAAACGTGTTTATGAAATATTTTGACGGGCGCAGAGGTTTGAAGGGGATTATTGTGGAACCACGTGACCTGCTTTGATAAACAATCCAAGGGTAGAGCAAATCCTCCCAGTCGTGTAGAAACCATTCGATGAAGAATTCCAATTCTCTGATCAAAAATACCATGTCCTGAAAAATGTAAGAGTTGATTTTGAAAGAGACGTACCATCGAAAACACGTGTAATATTTCCAAATTGACGGATTTGGAGAGCTCAATCCACGTCGGGTACAAATCCATCACTGACTCGATGAGATAAAGCGGCTTAAAGAAACACCCTTCGAGAAAGATTGTGATTTGAGAAGCCTTCGTCGCGTATTTTCGAACATTGTTGTCGAACTTTTCCAGCGACGGGGGTCCGCCGAAGATCGGCAAGCTCTCTAGCTTCGGAATTGGAAATTCTCTGTCCTGGGCTCGGCAACCTATGGAGAAAACCTGAGTCAGGGTCTGAATGAGCTAAGATGAAAAGCCGCGTAGCGGCTTTTTAAATTACGAAGCCGCAATTTTATAATAGATCGAAATGGTAAGTTGGTATTTAAAAAAGCCGCTATGCGGCTTTTCATCTTAGCTCTTTCAGACCCTGACTCAGGTTCTCTGCACAGGTTGCCGAGCCCATTCTCTGTTAACAACTGTTATTTCCACGGCGATATTTCTATTTATTATCGCTAGAAAAAGCAGTTGAAAGTAATTCATTCATCGGCAATTCTGAAAATATCGCGAAGCAGAGTCAAATCATTCCTTCGTCGTTTTGGCAGCCACACCTTGCCTCTCAAATATCGGACTCTCTTTATTAATAATCATGAATGACAAAGCAAGGATCTTGAAAATTTACGAATTTATTTGAATTTGAGATCAAAGATGCCTTCTTAGCTTTTCTAAGTGATTTTTTCTTAATTTTCATAATCTTTTTTTCATGACGAAAAAAGTTTAACAATTCTTGGTCTGAAATCGCGTAAACTAGACGACGTAGAAAGTGTCATTTTTAAGATTTCGCCTTGATCGTGTCTTAACTTGAATTAGCTCCGGGTCACTGAAGGAAACTTATTTCTAAGTCGGGCAGAGATTGACCCCAACTGATGCAAACGCCGCGGCGGAAATAGACGGTCTTTTCGAAACATTGCTTTTTGTAGAAAAAACGAAGCTTACTGTAATTCGAGGAGTACGTGTCCGGAAAGGCAGGGACGATTTGTACGCAGATAGAAGGGCGATCGATTATTGGGGCTAGCTTTCCTGATGGAACTTTGATGAAAATGACCTTCCGCATTTCCAACAGAGAGAAAAAGAGGGACAAACGTACCAGTTTTCGGTTCTTCCTGGAATTTCCACCTTTTTTTTTTGAATGACGCTCCGCAGACTTTCCATCTTTATTGTGAATTTTTATGGTCATAAATTTAGATAATTGGACAGAAGCTGATTTTGACCGCAATTGACTTTCCCAAAAGACTTTTTAACGATGTGTTTTATGATATTCGATCATGGTTATGCTTGGGCGTGCTCCTGAATGATGACGTTTCTCTCCAATTGTCCTCCTTTTGACAATTCACAGAAGCTCAAACGCACTTTTATTTGTAGTTTTCAAGAAAGAGAAAAAGATGAAGATTCTTGTTGGGTCCCTTCTTGGGATAGCAATAGGGGAATCAGAGCCGGCATGTCTGCCAAACTCGAGTTACAATGAATGTGGCACTGCTTGCCCGAGTGTCTGTGGAATCCCAGATGCAGATTTTTGTATAGAAGTCTGTGTCCCTGGGTGCTTTGTGAGTGTTATTTCGACAGTTGGCGATATTTAATGAGGTTCTAGTGTGATCGTGGGTTTATCCTCGATGAAAAAGACGGAGTTTGCATTTCTGAAGATGACTGTAACACGAATGGAACAGTCACCATTCCTCCACTTCCGGAGGAATGTCCAGGAGACCAGGTTTTTCAGACATCATGTTGCTCGACTCAGGGATGTTCCGAAGACTTTCCCGTTCTTTGCCACAGTATCCTCCCGGGAGGAACTTGCCCGCGAATGTGCGTCTGTCCAGATGACAAGCTTTGGGATGATAAGAACCAAATCTGCGTGGAAGAGTCTGAGTGCCCTAAAGAATGCCCGCCCGGACTTGAAATGAAAAAAGCTTGCTGCTCTCAACAAACATGTGACAACGATCCTGTTTTGTGCCTTGATCTCCGTAATCAATAATGAAATTTTAATGAAGCAAAATTAATTCAGCTCCTGGAGGCGAATGCCCCGAAATGTGTACTTGCCCGGATCAAAGTCAAACCTACGACAAAGAGTCTCAAACCTGCGTCTCCCGAGATGAGTGCCCAAAAACCTGCGGTGAAAATGAAGACTGGAACGATTGTGGAACTGCCTGTCCACCCGTCTGTGGCGAGCCAGCGCCAGCTTTTTGCATTGAAATGTGCATTTCCGGTAATTTGATGATTTTGATTCTCTTTATCTTCTATCATTAATCAAAAGAAAATAATCTGTCAAAATTTAATCTGAACGACGTTGATAAATGAGTAAATAATCGCCTAAAATTTTAATTTTCAAATTTAATTAATGCATCTTCCGAATCTAAAATAAATGCTGCTGATAGGATGTGAATGCGAAAAAGGCTTCATCAGGGATGGCAAAGGCGGCAACTGTATTCCAGAAGATAGTTGTCCAGCGGAAAGTGAACAGTCCTGCCCAAATAACGAGCATTTCGTCGACTGCGTCGAAGAGTGCGGTCCTCAGTGTTCCTTTCCTCGGCCCGTTTGCGATCAGCGCCCTCCCGGTGTTCCGTGCGATGGTGGCTGTACTTGCGATGATGGATTTTTGAGAGACGAGGCCGGAAACTGCCAGTCAGAAGACAAATGCCCGAGTGAGATTTGCCCTGAAAACGAGGTCTGGTCACCTTGTGATAGAACTTGCGAGGATACTTGTGAAAACCCGGATTTTTCGAAAGTTTGCAGGCCAATTGCTTGTGGAAAAGCTATGTGCACATGCGCTTATGGCTATGCGAGGAACGAGGGTGGACTTTGTATTTCAAAGAAGGTACTAAAGCTTCTTTATTCAGTTGTTGAAAATATTCTTCAAAGAAATGCGCCGCGTTAGCTGAGGAACAAGAAATGCTCGACTTTGAGGGAGAGGAATTCCCAGGTCTTGAAGAGTCGAAAAAATGTGATCCCTCAACTCTTCCCTTTGCCTCCCGCTACAACTTCAAAAAGAAACCAGTGAAGCCTGGCAAGAACATCAAACTGACATGCAAAGACGCGAAAAAGAACCCGAAAAAGACGAAATTCGTGAAATGCAAAGTCGCCAAAGATGAAAGCGGAAATAAACTTGGAGCGTATTTTGCGCTCAATGGCGATGTCCATGAATTTTATGATGATTGCCCGGCTGGTTGCTCCTTAGGTCAGTTTTTCAATGACCAAATGTTTGTTTAAGGGTAATGGTATACATCGGCGCGGCGCTGCTCGCTCGATCTGCGCTCCGCCAGAACCTATTTCTCACGAGGCCGTAAAATCTGAACGGATAAAGATTTTTCAAAATTTAAAAAGATTCTGAATTATCAAAGTCACTTCTTTTAACACAGCAAAACTGATAATGATTGTCAAAGAGGTACTATCTGAAAATTGCCAGTTTCCTTCAAATGACATTTTCTTCGACATTACTCATCCAAAATTTTTGAAAATTAGACTGTCTTGTAGAGAATCGTCAGCTCCTGTTTTTCAGATTTTTGTTTTAAGCTCTTCGGATTTTAATATGCGATCTTGAAGTCAGCGCTGTGAGGTCGTGGCGTGAGAAATAGACAGCGGAGAGGCGCGAGAAGAAGTAGCGCTCTTTACAAATTGCGATTTAAAATTAATGAAAGCCTTAAACAAAAATCTGAAAAACAGGATTTGTAGAGCTGACGATTCTCTACAAGACAGTCTAATTTTCAAAAATTTTGGATGAGTAATGTCGAAGAAAATGTCATTTGAAGGAAACTGGCAATTTTCAGATAGTTCCTCTTTGACAATCATTACGATTTTTGCTGTGTTTATAGAAGTGACTTTGATTATTCAGAATCTTTTGAAATTAAAAAAATCTTTATCCGTTCAGATTTTACGGCCCCGTGAGAAATAGGTTCTGGCGGAGCGCGGATCGAGCGAGCAGCGCCGCGCCGATGTATACCATTACCCTTAATATTTTTAGATCAAAAAGAGTCGTTGATCTTTTTGGCACCAGTTTGGAAACAAATTGCGACGAGTTCGGCCCAGGTACTGCTTCTTTTAGACGACCAGAAGTCCAGCGTATTTTCAGAGAGCAAGTGCAAGTTCTCTTGCATCTCAGGAAACGGAGACCGAATTGGGCCAAAGAACGCTGTCAAATGCGTTTGCAAAACGAAGAAAGGAAAAAGAGTTTGCGCATGGAAATTCAAAAAGAACGATGATTTCATCAAAGCGCAACTTGGAAATGATCCATCAAAGAAATGCGTTTGATTTTCTCAATTCTGTTGTTCGTTATTCGCAAAAATAAACTTGTATTCTCGCAAAAGACTTTTAAAAGAGCTGTTTACTTGTCTGACACGAACATTGCAACTTATCTCAATTAATGTAATAGTGATGCCTTCATTGCAATTGGAAAGTACGATGAAGAAAACGGCAATTGCAACTGCAATTTGTGTGCAACGTGCGAGAGGTGGTGGGACAGTCCGCCCTAAACTGAATAAACACTTTTGTTCGGAAGATTTCATAGCGTTTTTACGGAGGATTTGTTCTGAGACGTAACATATTTCATTAAAAAAATGCAAGTTTCAACGCATCCAAAAGGATTAACAAGAGAAGCTGTTGCGAAATGGCTGGAAGATTTTAAAAAGAAATTGAAAAGAACGACGAGCAGAGATGATTTGGATAGACTGATTTTGTCGGTGGAGAGATACGATTTTAAATTAGATTTTCATGCTAACTGGGAGGCGGTTATTTTTAAAAATGGAAAAGGAAAAGTTCTTGGTAGACAGACTTGGTTGTCAGAAGAATGGGAAATAACTTCATTTCAAAAAATGATCCTCGACAAAAATCCGCAACTCGAAGGTCGAATAATTAAACGCTCAGAACTAATAGAGGAAACCGGACAATGGATTATCGACGAATTTCTTCAGCAAAATTTAATTTCAGCCGGAGGAGAAGCGATTGTTCTTGAAGACAAATTTGGAGAATTGGAAGGGGCCGTTCGGGTTCAGGTTTTTGATTCGGCGCTTTTTACGGGGAAAACTGAAGAAATGGAATATGAAATTAATCTTTCGGAAGGTATTTTTTATTTTTTAAAATACAGTCGTTACGCACGGTTAGCGGACATTATAAACAAACGGACATTATAAACAAACGGACATTATAAACAAAACGGACATTATAAACATTTTTTAATTTATGAAAATCAGAACGGACATTATAAACAAAACGGACATTATAAACAAACGGACATTATAAACAAAATAAAAAATGTTTATAATGTCTGTTTGTTTATAATGTCCGTTTTGTTTATAATGTCCGTTGTAACTTTCAGAAATTCAAGAAATGTTTATAATGTCCCTTTTGTTTATAATGTCCGTTTCGGAATTCCATTGGAATCGTTACAAAGGATAAACTATACACATTTAAAGTGACCCTCCCTGGAGAAAACTTTTTCGAAATAAGAATCGAAAAAATTTAACCTATGATAAAATTTTTGATTAAGAAAGTCTACCCCTTCTAACGCAATGATTTTGCTACTTAAAAATGCAAGTCTACTCGAGGATTTGCTGTCAGATTGGTGATTCGCGCCTGTCAGAAGGTGAATTTATTCACAGATTCCTGTGCCCCTAACCACGGGGCTACGCCCCTTAGGTCCTAAAATGCCGGGGTCTAGTCTATGGTTACTTAGGGTTACCTTCGGTATCCCTAACTAACCCTAGCCTATCCCCCTCGGGTGAGTTAGTTCTGTCATTTTGCCCAGTGCCCCTAACACTAACCTCAAATTATAGATAGTACATATTGCTAAAATGATAAAATATATACTATCTATAAATTATAGATAGTACATATTGCAACAAATGGGCGAAAATTTCTAAGCTTTCGAAAGACTCCTTATATGGCTTATTAAGATGACAATAAAAAACCGAAAAAAATCGGATTTTCATGCTAGCTAAGTACAATTAATATGCATTTTTGCAATTTTTGAAGGCCAAAATCTCGGGGATAGATGTTCGTAAGGGGGTCATGTGACACATCAAAATGATCCTCAGAAAACTGGGAATCTTAAAATGTCAAACATAGACCCTTATCAAAGAGTTGAAAAAACAGGCGGTATCCCTTAAGTGTGTATAGTTTATCCTTTGTAACGATTCCAATGAAATTCCGAAATTGCAAACGGACATTATAAACAAAAGGGACATTATAAACATTTCTTGAATTTCTGAAAGTTACAACGGACATTATAAACAAAACGGACATTATAAACAAACAGACATTATAAACATTTTTTATTTTGTTTATAATGTCCGTTTGTTTATAATGTCCGTTTTGTTTATAATGTCCGTTCTGATTTTCATAAATTAAAAAATGTTTATAATGTCCGTTTTGTTTATAATGTCCGTTTGTTTATAATGTCCGTTTGTTTATAATGTCCGCTAACCGTTACGCACAATTCCGGACACTTTTTTTTTCAGCAAAAAGGGCCAAATGTCCGGAATTGTGCGGATTCTAGATGGAAAAAATTTTTGTTTTCAAAATGCTTGTTTTTTATTCAAAACGTAAAATATCGAGAAAAAAGCAGAAGCCAGAAAAGCCGAAGAAACAAGCAAGCATTCTTAGTTTTTTTGCAAGAAAATGATCAAGTAAAATAAATTTCAGTTAATGTTTCTCCTTGGATTTTATTGTGACATGTTTCGATCTTTGTTAGATCATTTTCAAACTAAAGAACAGCTACAGTAAGTCACAAATAATAGGGAGGGGCTCGAAACAATTCTGCATGCAGAACTATTCTGCAAAAAAAAGAACTATTCTGCAAAAAATGGAACTATTCTGCGTTTCGCACAACTATTCTGCCGAGTGCAGAACTATTCTCAAAATGTAGAACTATTCTGCAAAATACAGAACTATTCTGCACGAAAGCAGAACTATTCTTTATATCCAGAACTATTCTGCAATATAAAGAACTATTCTGCATTTCGTGAATATAGCACGCGACAGGCCTTCGGCCCTTACGCGCGCATTTTCTGGTAGGAAACTCATTGGGTTGGCAGGGGCAGTCTTTCTCTACCGCTGGGACTCCAATCTTTCGGAAATTTGAGTCTTTTTGGTGTTTATTTGTGCTTATATCCGTTTTGGCGGATGCAGAACTATTCTCCGGAAAATGCAGAACTATTCTGCATGCAGAATTATTTCGATCGAATAAGGGCGAGATTTGATCGAAACAATTCTGCATTTTGCAGAACTATTCTGCATGCAGAATTGTTTCGATCGTTTCCCAAATAATAGGAGAAAAGAATACCTTTGAGTTGTTATGAATTTTAAATAGGAAAAACGCAATTGAACAGAAAAAGCGAGGTGCAGTTGTTTTTGAGATGGAGCAGCTCCTCGCTTTTTCTGTTCAGTTGCGTTTTTCGTAAATTCATAACGACTCAAGGGTATTCTTTTCTCCTACTACTTGTGACTTACTGTAGCTGTTCTTTAGTTTGAAAATGACTCTAACAAAGATCGAAACATGTCACAATAAAATCCAAAGAGAAACATTCAATCTTGGTCAACTTATACGATATAAATTTCAGTTAATATTTTTTGTCGAATTGTCCGGAATTGTGCGTTTTTTAATTTTTTCCGTTTTCCTCTAAATGTCCGGAATTGTGCGTTACGGAATTGTGCGTAACGACTGTAGTTTCTCCTTTTAAAGGTCTAAACCAATTATCGGAAAATTTAATTTTGGAGAAATGAATTTTGAAACGATTAATTTAGGAAAAATGAATTTTTAAACGATTAATTTTTAAAAAATAATCTAGGACCGACTTATATTGGAAATCCAAATCTCTAGGATCCATTTTTGGATGACCAATAAGATTGCCGTATTTGGCCTACCGGCCAATCAAAACCCTTCTTCATAAAATCATTTCAAAAATTAGTTCTTCCCAAATTACTCGTTTCAAAATAATTTTATCCCCACTAATTGTTCCTAAATTATTTTATCCTCACTAATCGTTTCTCTACTAACTTCTCCAAAATTAAATTTTCCAAAAATTGGTTTAACCCCTTTTTAAGACTACGATACCGCGCAGACCGAGGAAAAAGATGACGCTGAAGTCATCCCTGTTCATCAAAACGTGATCAAAAACTTCTGCAACATCGAAATTTACGCGGTGAAAGACGAAAAAAGAGAGGACTGCCTCGGATGGATTACGATTATGGAGAAATGCGACTCAGATTTGAGAAGCAGACTGAAAAAGGACGATTTGAGCTTGGAGCAAAGGAAGAGAATTGCGATGAAAGTGGAAGAAGGAAGAGATTATTTAAAGAGCATTGGAATTTGGCATCAAGATCAGAAGCCGGAAAATATTTTGTTGAAAAATGAAGAATGCAAATGGATCGATTTTGGGACAATTGAAGAAGAGACTGGAAGGGAGAGCTACCGAAGGATGGGCTACGCGAGGAAAGGGAGCAAATATCGTGGTAATAGCTACTTGTGTAAGTTTTGAATTGAAAATATTTGGAAATAATTTGCTCGCGTTTTTTTTCTCAGATGCTGGATCAGCTGCCTTTTCGGAAAGTTATCAACTTTGTGGAAGATTAGGAGGAGATAGATCACAACTTCACGTTTTTATTCTTTGTGATTGGAAAACAGCGTGGAGTCTTCTTTTCAAGCCAATCGAAGAAAAAGAAAGAAAGAAAATCAAAAAAGAACTAAAGGTAAGAGCTTGTTTCTGCAATTGAATAAATATTTCAAGGCGTACAATGCTGAGTGGCTCTCAAGAGAAACTCCATCAACCGAAGAAATCGAAAACTTTTCAAAAATAATTTCTCTTAAAAACCCTTCTTGTGATTTTTGCGTTGACGATCCAAATTTGACAAAATCCTCAGCAATGGGTAATCTTAAACAAAAGCTGACACGACAGATCAATTTCGACTTCGAGAATGTGACGAAGAATGTTTTAAACCAAAAAGAAAGCAATCTTTGTGTTCCCATTTCAGTTTCTGTTCTTTTGAGATGGGCAATCAAAAATGATTTGAAATTTGATGATTGGATGATGGAAAATGATTTTACTCTCGAAAAAATCTTCACAACTCTGACAATGGTAATTTATCCGCGCAGTTTGGCTGGATTTAATCTCAATCCGAAAAAAGAAGAACAAGAATTTCAAGCGAACGAAATCGAATTGCTTCTCAGAAGAATGAAATTTGATACTTATCTGAATGAAAGTGGATGGGACAAATTATAATATATCTATTTAGAAGCGAAATTTGATTATGAAAAAGGTTTTTCAGGAGCAAAACTAAATATTCATTACAATT